TAAAGTCAAATATTTTAGCTGCTTACAAATTAAAAATATTTATATCTAATCAACATCTTTATTCAGACTTAAACATATTCTGTCCAGGAGAAATCTAAGCACAATCCAGTTCATCACAAGCACGTCCAAGCCTTTTATTCTAGTTCATTCAACAAGCACATTCAACGCTGCTCATAAAGCCTTATTCATAATCCCCACATGCGTCCCCTTTGTGACTTCACCAGCAAAGTAAAAGCCCTCTATTCAAGAAACTTAATAGTGGAGAAAAATCATTCCCGCTATAATACACACCACAAGAGGAAACTTGTCCAAAGGCTTGTTGTCAAATGGAAGCTGGAATAGTTTCTGATATTATGCTGCTACTCAGCGTTGCCTGAATACAAAGAAGTGCAATACACAATTCAAGAATTGTTATTGGCAATATCCTGGCTTAGTAAGAATGAACAAATTCCACTATTCCAGTTTTCCTCAATTTCTCATTTTTCAGTTTGTCACATTTTTGTATTACTTTGCAGTCTCCCCCTCCCCAATCCTCGTGAAAATTCAGCAGCATTTTACTGCGCTTTTCTCCTATTATAAGCATTTTTTGAACATCTCAGAATTTGAAGGAGTGCAAAGGATACCTATGATTTGTTTCAAGTATATATTTTTTTGGCAAAAAGTGAATTAGGAACATAGGAAGATGCCTTATAGCCAGTCAGGCCAATGATCTATCTAAAACAGTGCAGCCTCACTGACTAGCATTAATACTCTAAGGTTTCATGCAGGTGTCACTCCCAACCGTAGCTGGAGATGTTGGGGGTTGAGCCTGGGCTTTTTGCATATAAAACAGATAGCCGACCCTTATAGGTTATAGCCCTTCCCCTAAATTAGGTTCTCATTAAAATGCAAGCCAAATTCACCCCCATTCCTATGCCTTAAACAATTAACAAATAAAAAAACAAACGCATCAAGGTTCTGGACTGTATGTTATGTTGTAGGATGTTAGATATTATAAAAATGAGGATATCCAATATTTCATTTTTAGAAAATTTGGGTTGAGCCACTATTAGTCCCTATAAAGGTAGACCCATTTAATCAACATGGCTAACATAGGTCCATTCATTTCAATGGGTCTGCTCAACCCATGCTAATGATCAAAGTATTTAATAATAATAAAAAGTAAGATTCATCAGGGCATGGAAGCTCAGAGATTAGGAGAAAATTTTAAAAGACAACGTTCATGTTGCTTTCTAGGTTTCCTCCCCCTTCAGAACCAAGGTTAGAAAGAGTAAGACACTTTCTTGTAACATTGCAATCTAAGGGCAAGCAAGCTGTTACCGTTCCTTGTTAGGAGCCTGAAAAAGTTTGTCTATTCATATTCCTTAGGAACAATTCCCATTGAAATCCATGGTGCTAAGTCCCAATATCGTTTGGTATAGTAAATATAAATGGCTAAAAAGAACCAGTTTTCAGTTTTAAGATATTGAAAGGAAAAGCTCCCCACAGCCCATTTCTGGGAGGCTATTTAATATTCTACCTAATAACCTGCCATGATTTATTGCTGTTGCAAAATGAGTTTTAATGAGACTTCAACTTGAGCACTTAAATAAATTAAAAGCTTATTACTGTTTTATTAGCACACCAGGAGTTTAATTGATGCGCCTTAGGGATTTATTTTTTTTGTATTATATGTACGGAAATTAGATAACTGAAGTACTACAAGTAAGAAATATTATGTGAAAAGCTGCACGGCTCACTGAGATGCTCAACTGGTCTTTTTAATTTTTTAAAAAACAGTTAATTGTACTTTTAAATTTTGTATTAAGTGCTGCTAGTACTTCATCTGCAAAGTACCAAAAGTGACATAGCTGCTACAGGCCGCTTAGGTTTCATAGAATCATAGAATCATAGAGTTGGAAGAGACCACAAGGGCCATTGAGTCCAACCCCCTGCCAAGCAGGAAAATCAGAGCACTCCTGACATATGGTTGTCAAGCCTCTGCTTAAAGACCTCCAAAGAAGGAGACTCCACCACACTCCTTGGCAGCAAATTCCACTGTCGAACAGCTCTTCCTAATGTTTAGGTGGAATCTTCTTTCTTGTAGTTTGGATCCATTGCTCCGTGTCCGCTTCTCTGGAGCAGCAGAAAACAACCTTTCTCCCTCCTCTATGTGACATCCTTTTATATATTTGAACATGGCTATCATATCACCCCTTAACCTCCTCTTCTCCAGGCTAAACATGCCCAGCTCCCTTAGCCGTTCCTCATAAGGCATCGTTTCCAGGCCTTTGACCATTTTGGTTGCCCTCCTCTGGACACGTTCCAGTTTGTCAGTGTCCTTCTTGAATTGTGGTGCCCAGAACTGGACACAGTACTCCAGGTGAGGTCTGACCAGAGCAGAATACAGTGGCACTATTACCTCCCTTGATCTAGATGCTATACTCCTATTGATGAGGCCCAGAATTGCATTGGCTTTTTTAGCTGCCGCGTCACACTGTTGGCTCATGTCAAGTTTGTGGTCAACCAAGACTCCTAGATCCTTTTCACATGTACTGCTCTCAAGCCAGGTGTCACCCATCTTGTATTTGTGCCTCTCATTTTTTTGCCCAAGTGCAATACTTTACATTTCTCCCTGTTAAAATTCATCTTGTTTGTTTTTGCCCAGTTCTCTAATCTGTCAAGGTCGTTTTGAAGTGTGATCCTGTCCTCTGGGGTGTTAGCCACCCCTCCCAGTTTGGTGTCATCTGCAAATTTGATCAGGATGCCCTTGAGTCCATCATCCAAGTCGTTGATAAAGATGTTGAATAAGACCGGGCCCAAGACAGAACCCTGTGGCACCCCACTAGTCACTCTTCTCCAGGATGAAGAGGAACCATTGGGTTCGGTCAGTCAGCCAGTTACAAATCCACTGAGTGGTAGCATAGTCAAGACCGCATTTTACCAGCTTCTTTACAAGAATATCATGGGGCACCTTGTCAAATGCCTTGCTGAAATCAAGGTAGGCTACATCCACTGCGTTCCCTTCATCTACCAGGCTTGTAATTCTATCAAAAACGAGATCAGGTTAGTCTGACATGACTTATTTTTCAGAAATCCATGCTGACTATTGGTGATCACAGCATTCCTTTCTAGGTGCTCACAGACTGTTTGCTTAATGATCTGCTCCAGAATCTTCCCTGGTATTGATGTCAGACTGACTGGGCGGTAATTATTTGGGTCCTCTCTTTTCCCCTTTTTGAAAATAGGGACAACATTTGCCCTCCTCCAGTCTGCCGGGACTTCGCCTGTTCTCCAGGAATTCTCAAAGATGACTGCCAGTGGTTCTGAGATCACGACTGCCAGTTCTTTTAATACTCTTGGATGCAGTTCATCTGGCCCTGGAGACTTGAATACATCTAAACTAGCCAAGTATTCTTGTACTATCTCCTTAGTTATTCTGGGCTGTGTTTCCTCTGCTGAATCATTTGCTCCAAATTCTTCAGGTCGGGCATTGTTTTCTTTATCAGAGAAGACTGAGGCAAAGAAGGCATTGAGGAGTTCAGCCCTTTCTGTGTCCCCTGTTTGCATTTCGCCATCTTCTCCTCTGAGTGACCCCACTGTTTCTTTGTTCTTCCTTTTGCTACGAACATACCCATAAAAGCCTTTTTGTTGCTTTTAACCTCTCTAGCAAGCCTGAGTTCATTCTGTGCTTTAGCTTTTCTGACTTTGTGTCTACACGTGCTGGCTATTTGTTTGAATTCCTCTTTGGTGGTTTCCCCCCTTTTCCATTTTTTGTACACATCCTTTTTTAATCTTAACTCAGTTAAAAGTTCTTTAGATAGCCACCCTGGCTTCTTTAAAGGAGCCAATATATATTCTCCCAAGATGTTTACTTCCCTTCATTTGAGAAGATCACTTAGCTTTAGGAAGAAAGCATCTCAACACAGAACACCAGAACAAAGACAAAGATCTGCATAATATTTACGTGTGCTAATTCATATTGGTGGCTTCGAATGTAGCGTGAGTGGACATCCACTTGCGGAACAGGGCTTTTCCTTCCCTTTGCAGCCTCCCTATATCCCCTAAAATCACCCAATAACCTTGGGCCAGTCATTGCCTTCCAGCCTAATCACCCTATGATGTGGGGATAAAATGGTGGAAGAGAGAACCTTGAGCTCCTTCGAGGAAAGGTTGGTGTGACAGAAAGCTCAGGTAGGCCAGAGTCTGGAAGTTTGCAGAGTGCTGTGCTGGAAACCTCACTCTGATTGGCTGCAGGTACAGCTAGCCAGAGGGGGCAGAGACAGCACTTTGGGAGGGGGGGAGAGAAGCAGTTGAGAGTTGGGTCCCTGGCGTTCAGCTGGTTAGGAGTATAGCCTCTGAACTGTGTGTAATTCGCCCTGAGGGAAGTTTTTCAGCCAGAGAAGGAAGTGTCTGAGCTGGGTGTTAGTTTAACAGACAGGGGCTGGTGTCTTCTAAGAGCATACGGACAAGGGAGAACTAGGAAGCTGAATTTGAGATAGGAGAAGCGGGAGTGATGAAGGAAGACTCTACTTGGGTCTCAATTCAGTGAGAAGGGATAGATCTTCTGGATAGAGAAGAGTAATCCCAAACCAGTTAGAGGGGTGCGGTGATCCGCTGGTCTGGAATCCAAAAAGAGAAGCCTCAGGAGTAAGATTTATAGAAGGTTGGGAAACTGACAGAAAGTGCCAACTTGTTTCATAACCCAAGTTTTAAGACCCAAGCTGCAACACCTCTGAAATTAGTTTAAGGAATGGAAGTAAATCAAAACTGTACATTTCCATCTTGTTGAGAAGCATGTAAGACAGTTTGACATCCTTGGCTATTTAGAAACAATTCCTGTAGTTTAAATAGAAATGCATTTCACCATAGTAGGCAAACCTGTGAACTACGTCTGCTTTTCAGATGCTAACTGTTCCAACAGAACTGGAAAAACCACACTATTCCAGTAAGAAACCATAGATGTCAAATGAAATATTGCAGTTACAGTAGTCTTCCAACCCCTCAAATTCAAACATTCAATTATTATTAATTTGTTTATTACTTTAAAAAAAGTTGAAAGAGAAAAGTTCTTGGTATAAATACTGGGCTCTGCATTTTATTCTTTTCCAGCCCAGGCTAGCTTATCATGTAAGCAATAGCAAGGGTAGACAAAGCACAGCCTGATTAGGGAAAAATCCAAGGATAGGATGAAAAGGTCAAAGCAACCTGGAATTCTTTGTTTATACAGACAGAAATTTGTAGTTCAATATAACAGCCATAAGCCAATTTCCTGATGGTCTAAACAACACACACACACACACACACACACACACACATATATATATCACTCCGGAACTAGGTCATGGCTTTCCCAGTGATGAATATCCAAATATGTTTATTTTTAAAAAATCCAGAGTACAGATGTATTTCTGCTCATGTCCGTGATGATAATGTCTTTAAAAGCACAAACATAAATGCCATATTCTGAAAACTTAATGGCAACAGGGGCTGGGAAGAGAATGAAGAGTAGAACAAGTCATCCTGAATGGCTGGAAGCCGCTGCTGGAAGCAATGGCTGGCAGTATCTGTTTCAAGTGGTTATCAGAAGAAACTTGTCCAAAAATTAAGCAATACATATTCATTTCCTCCCTTTAAAACATCCCTGCCTTCCAGGAACAACCAAGTAGTTTTGCCTGAAAACCCATTCAAAATAAATTTCAGAAGTATATGGCATTTAAATGAATAAATCAAAGGAGCAGCCAGCTCAAGTGCTCAGTCCAGATGCAGCCTATCATTCTAACTTTACTTTCTTTGGATTCTTTCCATCTTCAGTCTTCTTTTCAGCTGGCCTCTTCTTTAAACCCTTCATTTTCCTGGTCTGCAATTTTTCCAGATCCTGTTTCTGCATGTGGATCCGTCCATATTTTGTACCAAAGACATCATGGGAAATATTTTTCTTCTTCTTTGGCTGAAAAATAAGAAAGCATTACAGTTTCACTAGACTGACATCTCACATTTGTATAATGCCACCATCCCTTGTTACATTTCAAAACAGTTGCATTTAAGGACAAAAGTCTTGATAAATGACAGCCAAGACTGGATGCAACTCACAAACTACTAACTTAGAAGAGCCACCCCCTAAAACTCCATCAGGCATAAGGTTTCATTTGGCAGAAAACTCCAGAAGCAGTGATTTGGGCGTTACAGGAAGAGACAGCTCTTTAACAGAGCACTAGTGACAATATGAATTACTAGCAGCAGTGACATTCCAAATTAAGGCCGCATCCAAATAATTCCAATTAAATTAGAGACCTAACAGTGGTATGCAGATTCAAAACATGCCTGATGTCAAGGAATCTTTTAAAAACCTACTAAAGATCATAAGAAAAACAGGACAAAGCTTAATGGATGATGTAATAGAACATGGAAAAAGACAACAAATTGCTGATTACATCAAGGGTAAACATTGAAGACAAGAAAACTACACATCTCTTTTCTTATGGAAAAGCTTTCAGTGGTATAAAGATGTGCCAACATACCTTGAGAGCTTTGGGCTGTCTTAGAGATAACTTATAAAGATCATCTGAGGCCAAATGGGTCCTTCTCATCACCAAATCTAGCGATGGCCCCATGTCTTCAAGTTCAATCCTTGGTATTTTGCAACCAGATTTTTTCAACAGTACTCTTAAAAAGATAAGAACAAGTTGCCTTCTCATCTGACATGTTTAACAGATGCCTTGCAACAATCAACCTCCCCCTCACTCGCATTCCACAGTGATGCAATACCAACACGACTGGACGATGTGCTTTTCTCAGTAAGGCTGCAGAGTTTTGTGCAGGCTGGAAGCTTACTTCCAATAAGAGAGAAACTATCACACACAGGCTCTTTTTTTCTGGGAAGAAAGCAGTTACTAAGATCCTGATAGTTCAGCATGACTCATTAGCAACCAAATCCTACCCTCTTTGAACCTGATGCCATTGATGCCCTGGCATGTGTGACTGGTTCAGTAATGCTGGTGTGCAAATGTTAAGTAAAGCCAAAACACAGGGCACAAATGCTGAACAACAGACTTAGGTGGAAGGACTAAGGTAGACAGAAATACTGGGACCACCCTGCCCCATGACATGCATCCTTAAGGGCACAGGAGTGGCCCTCTCCAACCAGCTATTCCCACAGGCAAATCACTATTTGCAGGGCACAACATGTGTTGGCCCCATTTGCACTGCATTTAGTACTGCTTTCTCTGTGTTGCGGCAAGCTATTGTTTATTTTGCAATGCTAAAGTACACCGAGGTTATACTTGTCCGCCACAAACTTAAAGCTCTGCTCTTAAAATATGCTTCCCTGGAATGAATGTCATATAGATTTACAAGCAAGTACATATATTTAAATATCATTTAGTTTGGAGGTGAATAAATTAGTAGGATGATCATTCCTTAATATTGTTTTTAAAAAACCATTCACTGTCACATTTTCCAATCACCAGTAGAATTTTTACACAAACGTTTAGCTGTTTTGTTTTTACTATATATTCCATAGCTTAATAGCTGACCATCTGGTCTGCATGCAGAGGGTTCTGGGTTCAAGTCCCAGCATTTCCAAGTAATACTGAGAAAGACTCTCTATTGAAACCCTGGAGAGCTGCTTGCCAGGCAATAATGAGATGGTAGGACCATTGGGTCTGACTTGGTACAAAGGCAACTTCTCATATTCCTAAATAATTTGGAAGCTGAAGAGTTTAAGCAGAACATGATGGAAATTATTTTTAAAAGGTTTATAAAATATGTCATTCCTGCCTTGACCTCTAGGAGGCGCTAACCACCTGGCTCCAGTATGATAGCACGCAGTGAATGTTGTTTGATAATTTTGGGAAATTATAACTAGGCACCTTCACTTTGATATACAGCAAGCCCGCAACTTACGCAAGGGTTACATTCCAAGGTTCACACCTAAAGCTTATAGCCAAAACACATTGGGCTCAATGGTGGGTGGCATTGCCAAAAGTCATTTTTCTCACTCTGTCCCCATTCTCTCTCCCCCGCCCCCATATAGCCACATGCATAAAGCTGAATGCGCACAAGTTAAATGTGTGCAAGTTACGGGCTTTCAAAGTCTGATTCTATAACTCTAACTCAGGCATAGGTGAACTCCAGCCCTCCAGATGTTTGGGACTACAATTCCCATCATCCCTAGCTAACAGAACCAGTGGTCAGGGATGATGGGAATTGTAGTCCCAAACATCTGGAGGGCCGGAGTTTGCCTATGCCTGCTCTAACTCAATCCTACAAAGCACTTCACAGAATCTAATTCTTAGGAAGCATGTTAGTATTGCATATAAGAGCAAGAAATCAGCAATGAGAGACTTACTTGTAACTTCTCATATAGACTTTTTCATCAATGGCTGTGAAGTGAAGAACGTGTTCTAAGCCTGCCAGGCGAACGCTGGGCACAACAGGGCCTCTGAAAAAATCTGAAAGAGGGAAAAGAGCAAGAGCCATTTCTAGACAGCCAAAAGAAACAAGATCAGGGACCTGCAAATAGAATCGCCACTTGCAGCCAGACGTGTAATTCTGTCAACCAGCAAAATATTCTGGCACAAGAGAAATATTTTTTTTAAAGCCACTAGGCCAAAACAGTTCAGGTCAAACAGTGCACATGCAACAACCAAAACAGGAGGATTCAAAATAACCATACACTTTTAAAGACCTTTATCTTTAAAATAGTGCTTTTCCACATATTTCAATGTTTGTGAAAATTAGGACTGAAAGAACAGAAAACAATACCTCACTTCAAAATAGATTGATTCTCTCACTCACACACACACACACACCAAACAGCTGACACTAGTGGACAATTTTGAGGTTGCAAGAGATTATGCGTTATGGAAAATAAAGAGTTAGAAGTGGCTGATTAACAGTACTTCCCCCACCCCCTATGTTTGGCACTAATTATAACAACCAAATTGGAGAATTGCCTCCCAGCCCTGACGCATTTCAGTTATTAATAGTGCAAGTTATGTAAAACATAAATGAAACAAAACATTATTCCAGATATTCGGGTCTACAAAATGATATCCAACATGGTAAAACTTAACAGAAACACAAAAGCTATTTTATGATTTTTATACAGTCATTATGATCAGAAGATGTTAACAAAATTGCTACTGTAAAGCTCACACCTCCTTGAGACTTAGGGATGAGGGGGGAAATCACAAGTAAGATATCTCTGGTCTACACTTGTTGATACCAAGGACAAACATAATCACTGCACAGACCTATCCATGTACCGTAAACAATAGATTCAAAATATTAAATTGGAGGCATTTTCCCAACCTAACCTAGGACACCATCTGTATGTGCTCATTTTCAAGGCATATCAAAGATGTAAAACCCGCTGTAAATGAAATCTCATCTTGAGCACTGAGTTCCTCCAACAACTATCAATATGTACATTTTAAGACGACTCTCCATTTGAACTTCAGTTCCAGCTTGTGTCAGGTCAAGAAGAGCCAATGTGATGCCCTCCAGATCTTAATGGATTATAGTTACCATCATACTTGACCATGATGGTTGGGGCTGATGTGGACTGCAGTCCAATAACACTGAGTTACACCGACTATCCCTCTTTTAGGAATATTAACTTCTTCTTTTTAGAGGGTGAGGAGAGAAGATAAAATTAAAACAAGATCTCTGAATTAATATAAACAAAATGTGACTAGAGTTGGGGACATGAAGAGGATGGTTAGAATGCGGCATTCCCTGCCAAACCAAGAGCCATAAACTCAAGTTAGAGAGTGTGACTTGAACATTCTGCAATTTCTTATCCGTACAAATAAGGGCTGCTAGTTCAGATTAGCAACCCTGAACCAACAACTTCTGAAATTTTGCAGGACTGTATGCCCAGATTATTTTCAAACGGCCCTTAACAATTTTGCACTGTGTTCAGTAGCAACGTGGCCTTGAAGCAGAGTACAAGGCATGTTAACAAAAACAAGTATCAGTACTGCAATTTAAAAAGTACCATAGTGCTAAATGTTCCGTTCTCTTCTAGCTTTGGCTTCCAGAGTCAGCTGTATTTTTCTCAGTGTCATTTCCTTGGTTATTTCAGCCAAACCAAAAGCATGAAGTGCAAATATACCAGTGATCAGTTTAATACGTTTTCACATGTATCCTTTTGAAATACCAGATTTCTAACTGAAGAAATGAGAAAATATTTTCTTGACATTTCAATGTCAAACTTTCTCTGCCCATGACTGATGTTCTATGTGGGTAGCTTTTGAAATATTGTTTTCCTATGTTTTTGGCATCCAATCTTTAAACTGGCACTAGTCCAAAGTTCTATAGCAACAGGAACACTGCTAAATCAAAATCCACATAAAGGTGCTAAGTTTCAGAAAATTATTTTTCTTCTATTATGTTATTCTTCGAGTTCTTGCCAGTTTCTTCCCCTTTTTCTTTCTTAACAATTCGTGCTCTTCCAAAACCAACTGTCTGTGAGCTATAACCAGCCATATTGCTAAAACTTAGAAGTTACGCACATTGAAAGAGCATATTGGTTGACACCTTTGATTAAACTGAGCAGTTTCACACATGCTCAGAAGATGCAGTTATGTTTGAATATAAAAAGGTTATGCGAATCAATGCAATTCCTATTCAAAAGGCTTATTTTACTTATTAACTTATATACTGCCCTTCATCCATAGATCTCAGGGCAATTCACAACATAAAAATATAAGAGAAAAACACAAAATACACAATAAAAACAAGAACCAACCCCCCTCCAATCAATAACCTCCCACCCTCCCCATTCCGTCCTGCAAACACATTTAAAAGAGTAAAGGTAAAGGTAAAGGACCCCTGACAATTAAGTCCAGTCATGAATGACTCTGGGGTTGCGGCGCTCATCTCGCTTTACTGGTCGAGGGAGCTGATGTTTGTCTGCAGACAGTTTTTCCGGCATGGCCAGCATGACTAAGCTGCTTCTGGCGAACCAGAGCAGCGCACAGAAACGCTGTTTACCTTCCCACCAGAGTGGTACCCATTTATCTACTTGCACTTGATGTGCTTTCGAACTGCTAGGTTGGCAGGAGCTGGGACTGAGCAACGGGAGCTCATTCCGTCACGGGGATTCGAACCGCCGACCTTCTGATCGGCAAGCCCTAGGCTCAGTGGTTTAGACCACAGCGCCACCCGTGTCCCTCCATTTAAAAGAGTATAGGATGTTAATTACCCAAAGGCTTGGTTAAAGAAGAACATTTTTGTCTGGCACCTAAAGGTGTATAATGAAGGCACAAGGTGAGTCTCCCTGGGAATAGCATTCCACAAATGGGGAGCCACTGGAGAGAAGACCCATTCTTGTGTTGCCACTCTCCGGACCTCTCGTGAAGTAGGTACACGAAGAAGGACCTCAGATTATGATTGCAGAGTCCGGGAAGGTTCATATGGAGAGAGGCGGTCCTTGAGGTACTGCAGTCCTGAGCAGTTTAATTCTGTTTATATACAGAATTAGGCTGCTCACATATAAGAGTGCTTCAGGATAAAATCCCTTTAGTGTAGTGTTTTCCAAACTTGGGTCTCCAGCTGTTTTTGAACTACAACTCCCATCATCCCTAGGTAGCAAGACAAACGGTCAGGGATGATCAGAATTGTAGTCCAAAAACAGCTGGAGACCCAAGTTTGGGAAACACTGCTCTAGTGCCTAGGGTTGCACATGTGGTGCTTCAACTCTGAACACGCTACACCAAATGGATGGGGGTCCCTTGATCCAGAACAGGTGGCTGGTGTCTGTCTGATTGACTCTCTATCCAGGTGGGGAAGAGGAGGAACCTGCACATTGATAGTAGGAGAGATACTCTTGGACTCACTTCATTTGAGTTCACCTCAGAACCCAGTAATGTTCCTTTGAGTGACATTGTGCTCAACTATTTGAGTGACATTTGTGCTCAACTATTCCTCATCTTGTTCCTGATTGATATCATTCAGAATATGCCAACAGATTAATGAATCAGTGCTGTCACAGGAGAGGAACTAATTCTCACACAAAACTGATTTACAGTCTGTCAGAATGCAATGCTTTTATTTAAAGTAGGAAGAGGGGGAGTGTCAGAAAACTGTCTCAAATTCAATATGCTTCTGGAAGCTAGCCATGTCACATGTATAACTAGCACACATGCCCTAAAAAAAGATTTAAAGGGGCCAGGAGAATTTTCCTGTTCTAGTATAACACTTATGACCTCATTTTCCCAACCCTTGTGCTCCCTCAGCAGCAATGTCACATGACTCAAATGGGCAAACTCCACAACCGGCCAATGGCTCGCAAGTCAACAGAAACCTAGTTGTTTACCAAGAACATTGATGTGGTCACATAGCTTTGGTAAGAGTTTATTTGATGCTTGATATTCCCTGTGGGCTAAAAGCAGAACGTGATATTTACAAGGGCAGTGGCTTTTTAAAAGCCATTTACTTTTAGCTGAAATCCAAAGCAAAATGTTTATTTTTCACCAGTCAGATAAATAACAGTTCCACTTAGGTCAAACTGTAGAAAATCCAGTCTACTCCTTTATGATTACATGACATGGAAAACTTCTTGCTCCTCATATTCTTTTGCCTTTACATAGTCAATTAATCTTCTCCTGCTTGCAAAATTTTGCAGCCAAAACCGTACTGCATAATCACATGAGGGAGGTATAAGCAGATTCTAGCTAATTCTAAGGTTGCCAAGTACACACAAAGCCTTTAAGAAGAAAAACAACCTAATGGAACTCCCCAAAACAGCCCAGCAGGGACTGAAGAGCCAAAGAATGCTGACTGACAAGAGAAACAAAATGCTGAAAGCCAGGTGAGAGGGAAGAATGGAAGGGCTGAAAAAGAAGGCGAGAGAAAGAACTGCACAGATATAAAGAGAGGGAGAGAAAACTATCTCGCTCACTCTGCACAGGTTGTTCACTTCTTCCACAAAGAGAAGATATTCTAGGGTATTTTTTAAAATTCCCAGGGTTAGAAATGAGGTATGTTCATAGGAATCAAGATTTTAAATGTGACTGGGATTAGGCAACAATATTTGAATTCGATATTTTAATGCCTACAGGGAAACAAACACAAATTACCCATTCCAATTTTATTCTATCTAAAAAAGGAGGAACCCCCCCCATCTGACTTGGAATACAGTGGTACCTTGGGTTATGAACTTAATTCGTTCTGGAGGTCCATTCTTAACCCAAAACTGTTTTTAACCTGAGGCATGCTTTCGCTAATGGGGCCTTCTGTTGCCACTGCACGATTTCCATTCTCATCCTGGAGCAAAGTTCTCAACCTGAGGTACTACCTCTGGGTTAGCAGAGTTTGTAACCCAAAGCGTTTGTAACCCGAGGTACCACTGTATCTCCCTGATCATCCAGTCACTCTCTTCTGACATAAGAACTGGGCAACTGGGCAGTAGTAACCAGTGATGGGGTTTAGATATCATACTGACTTCCAATATGACTTTGAAAACTTACAAATTTGAAGTTATATTTGCAGGCTTGATTTCCATCTGCCAAGGATTCTACACACACACACACACACACACACACACACACACACACACTACATTTACACAGGGCTTTCAGGGCCTTCCTAGCCACAGTCCTGAGCAAGTCCACACTCACTGAGCTTCCGTAATGCATCAGATGTTCCCAGGCAATCCACTGGGTCTTGATTTTTAACTTAGGCTGCAACTATTTCAGCTTACAGATTCATTTCTTCATAGGAGGACAGTTCTCAATGTTCTCCCACCCCACCCGCTGCTGCAAAAAAAGAACAGATGACCACAAAACCACCTGGGTTACTGACCGAAAGATAAAACTTCAACATAACTTTACAAAACAACATAAATCACCGCAACCTTTCACATTTTAGTACTCCCAACAGATGGCTAAATCCCAAATATGAAAATTTCCATGACTCAGCACTGCAAGAGTTCCTACTCTGCTGCACAAAAAATGCAAATTAAGAATACTTACCAATTAGAAGGCTTTTTAATCTCCTGTGTTCTTCACTGATGTCGAAAGCATCACCAGCAAATATCAACATAGGTTTTGTCCCTTCAGGGCACTTGCTGTTCTATTAATTTTGGTTTTTTTTAAAAAAAAATGAATCAGAAGATTAGAAAGTGAAGGGTTGCAGTGGGAGAAGAAGCAACACCTTAGAAAACTGCCAATGAAATAAGGGATAAAAAGTACACAAAACCCCAATGCAAGCAAGAGGGAAACGTAGCTATCGTAAGGTACAAATATTTTAGTTGGCTTAATCTGTGCTGACTGCCTGATAGCATTTCACATGGAGAAGCCTCGCCAGGTCTAGGTATTAAGTCAGGGGCGGAGAACCTGTGGCCTTCTCAATGTTGCTGGACTCCAACTGCCATCTGTCCCAGTCAGGCATGGCCAAAAGTCAGGGGTGATGAAAGTTGTAGGCCCATAGCATCTGGAGGGCCACAAGAGTCTGTGACAAGAGCTCACTAAAAGGAATTTCATATTCCTATACTATCTACAAACCACACAGCATAAACGATAGGTTAAATATCCATTTAGGCAGTAGACAAAGGCATTTGTATTTTCCATGACTTTTAACCTAAGCTGAACCACCCCTCCACTGCTTCCGTCATTCTTTTCAGTGATCACTTTAACGGTTTTTATTGCCTTTTTTTAGCCCTAGAAATTTTGAACTGAAGGGAAATATAGGTATGTTTTAAATAAATGAATGAATAATGCCTAATACATAGTTTAGGTGTACTTCTCCACATCACTCCTCATTTTAAGGATATGTAGCCATCAATCCATTTGGAAGCAACTGATAAGCTACTGGTTTTACATCATCTTACCTTGATATCTCTGAGAGCTACAAACTTCTCAATACCCAGTTCAACCATATCCAGAACATGATAATCATACATGCGACCTGCCAAAGAAAAGAAAGTGAATCAAATCTTCTCCTTGAATAGGTATATCCAGCACAAAGACAGATGCACAATAGGATTACAGTGTACATATTTAAACACCACAAGTTATATGGATGTAAGTACTGCCAGATAATGGTTAACCATTTGTGAGTAACCGGCAACCTTGTCTTCATAAACGATATACATTTCAGACTCTGCATTCCTCTCCTTTGAGAGAGGCATCTCAGCATTTTGGAAAATCCAGTAAGCTAAGAGTTCCATCACCCTTGCCACCAACTCGCTGCATAGCCTTGGCCACTTGTTCTGCTCCCCAACAAAATATGTATGCGGATGAAGGCAATGAACTGTAGAAAGTATTGCACAAATCAGAAGTGCTAAACAAATTGTGACAGCTCTTCTTGTCACAACTAAATCAGTGCTCCAAAATTTCTATCCTCATTTTCTTTAACGTGCACTGGCTGAATTGACAGTGCCTCACCCATGCCCTCTGCTGGCCCTTCCCCTAACCTGCAAGCATTTGGTGGAAGGCAAGGATTCAACATAGTTTCTGTGCAATAGTTTCTGCTTGAAAATACAGACCCTACAGCCCATTCTTGTCTTCAGTTGCATGCATAAAACTTAGGGGGAAAGGGCCAATCCCACTTCCTCTCTGTGTGTAGGATCAACTTGGAAAAAGGATAATGAAGTTACAGACGAACCAAGAGCTCTCCTACCGACATCTCTACAAAAGCAGACAAGCTTTCGAATTATGTAACAGGAAAAGGCCTAATTCTGCTTTGAATCTTTCAAGCACATTGCTGTTACTTTTCTCCAAACCTATTTGTAAAAAAAGGAGGTCAAAGTAGCAGAAGAGCACTGATCTTTTAATTCTCACGTTAGCTAGATCTTGTTGGTAATCTATTTCTTCCAACTCACAGAAAAGAAACAACTTTACCTATTATCAGATTATTAGGCCTCTTCTTGTTATGTGATCCAAACAGGAACAAAGAACAGTCAGATTTCTTGGAAAAAAATTCCTGTTAATAAAAGACATCAGTTGAAGGTTTTGCAAAGTGCAACATAAAAAGCACATTGCAGTGCTGAATGCCAATCCCTCGGAAGAATGTTTTGCTCCTGAGCAACCTTAAAATCCTGCCAAAGGAGGAAACTCAACTAGCTGCTTATCTCAAGATTAAACCTAACTGGCCTTGTTGGAATATTATGACGTTTTATTTAAAGTCTGCAGGAGAGACATGGGTGGCAATCCAGAAAACCCAGTGTGTGCATGCAGTTGGGTTTGGTCTCAGGATTATTGAACAGCCTGCTTGTACAGACTGCTTCTGTAATTCACATGCAAGACACTCTCTCAGCCTCAAGGTGAGGTTACAAACTTTTCTTTCCAGCCACAAGCTCTCATGCCTTATTGCAAGTGTGAGGAAACTGTGGCCCTCCAGATGCTGCTGGACTACAACACCCATCACACCCCTGACTACTGGCCATGCTGCCTGGGGCTGATGAAAGTTAGTGACAGTGATCTGGAAGAATCCGGGTTATGCATGGGGGAGGGGGTGCTTCTGAAATGGGGGAGCTGAAAAGCCACACATGCACCCCTTGTACAAAACACTATCTGGGGCACTTTGGATCCTAGAACTTTGGATTAAAAGGGCATGAGGTTTAATTTTAAAAAAATAAAATCTGAAATCAATCACACATGTTCTTCATCTATTAAGAAACCTAATATGCACTATAAACATTCATTTTAAAGTTATTTGTGTTTTTCAGATAAGAGACTGACATTCCAAATCCAGATCCTCCAGAATCATGTCTAAATGCATAAACAATACCCAATGAACACCAGCTGTGAAATGAGCACAGGGTGTCCTATTAAAGTTTTTACTTGACAACACTTACCTAATGACTTTATATGTTTGAAAAGGTTAGGGAAATGCGAAGATATTCAACTTAAGCTTGGGTGAATGTTTACTATCTGCTTGAGTTTTTGAGATAGACCAAGGTATAAAACAGAATGGAGTTGCACATTGCTCCTGTTTTACCCATCACTGCCTTGAGAATACCATGCAGCCCTCATTCAGGTTGATTCTATGGCAACAATATTCTCATTTCACAAACTTCTCACAATAGGTCATGTTTCCCAAGTCACAATACAGAATGGAAGCTGCTTATTTGAATATTTCAGAATCAAACACAGCTATTAATGAATTTAAACATAAAGGATCCTCTGTCTCCTCCTCAACAAGTTCTGCCTAGAAGCCAAGAATTACTGCTAAGAGAATTACTGTGCCAGGAAGAAAAAGATTGCAGTGTTTGTTTTACGAAAATCAAAATGAAGTGGATCCATATACTAGCACAGCATATCCGTCTCCTCTGAATCCATCTTTATTTTGTTGTTTAGAGCCATGCAATGAAGACAGCCCATTTGTTCCGATTGGACATATAAGTTTTGTATACTTACCAGCGAGGTTTGATCTTCAAATGGTCTTGCAATATTTTTTCTAGAGAGAACAGAAAGGTTTAAATTTTTTGGCTCTTGGATATGTGGCATGACAAGATTGACTTTGAAGTTTTAGGCACACTGTGTCGAAAGACTCTTGCTCTCTTTTATCAGTTCAGGAGCTTCATCACCACTTAAATTTAGTGTGGTACAGTAACCTTCCCCCAACTAGGTGCATTCCAATTATTTTGACTTCAGCTCCCATTATTCGTGACCATTGGCACTCCTTACTGGGAATCTTGGTCCAGAACACCCTGAAGGAAGGCTGCAGCACTGCAAAGGCCCATGCAATATATCATATCAACTCTTTCATGGATCAATCAAATGCTCTTATTTACTCTGTTTACATTCCACCTTTCTTCCAAGGGCAGTGTAATTCTTTCTACTCAAAGACCTGCCTGAATGGGAATCTGCCAAGGGCCCACATCCCAACAGGGGACCACAGACAACCTGCTCCTCCTCTTCAACATTGCAACCTGCATATCCCACCTCCTTCTCTGCATCTCACTCTACCCCAGGTGGTGGTGGTGGTGGTGGTGGTGAGGAGCAGTACCTGCCACTGGCTCTCTGCCTGGCATGCAAGCAGATGATAGCTATGACAAGGACGACACGGAGCATCTAATGATAATGGGAAGAGGAAACAGACCCACAGAGGAAGAGGTCTTGCCCTAGAGCCCTCGTAAACCTGCCATTGGCACGGTTTCCAACTTGTATCTTCACACAACCCTATGAGATAGGCTAAGCTGAGATAGTGAATTAGCAACTGGCCAAGGTCAGCTAATGCATCTCCCTTGTTCTAGTCCAGGCATGGCCAAACTTGGCCAGCCAGATGTTTTGAGACTACAATTCCCATCATCTCTGACCACTGGTCCAGTTACCTAGGGATGATGGGAGTTGTAGTCCCAAAACAGCTGAAGGGCCAAGTTTAGCCATGCCTATTCGAGTCCAACACACTAACCAAATAAGGTGGTTGTCCCCCAACATCTGTTTCTGTAGATAGGGGCTCCATTTGATCAGTTTATAATTCCTGATTCAATTTTTATAAATATATCTAGCCCTTTTTGAAGGCATCACAACATACTTTACCCGTGAATCTGATAGGTTAAGTTCAGGCCACATTTAAGCAGTTCTTCCTTAACTTCTTGCATTAACCAAAGGGGAGGTTAAGAGGCAGTGACTGGTCCAAAGTAACCCAATGAGCTTCATGACTGAGTGGGGATTTGAACCCTGACCTCCCAGGTTCTAGTTTGACACTTACCACTACACCACACTGGCTTCCTAGAGTATTTCTGCTATGGGGCAGCTCTATAAATTAAGTAGTTGAATCAATGCGGGGAAAGCAAACTATTACTTAGAGAAGGATCTGAAATATTTTTGTTGAAGCTTGAATTTGTTTTATTCTGGAGTGTTTTATTTGAAGTTTTCATGTGTTGTAAACCACTTTGAGATTTTTTTCTTTAAAATATAAAGTGGGGGGAAATGGCACCAAGACATACCGTTCGAGTTTCTAACACTGCTGAATACTGCACACACACACACACACACACGTATGTATGCATGCATGCATGTATTAGCTGCTCTTAAAATATGCTAAATGCCATACATGTTCATATCAGATTAAATGGGGAAAACACTTACTTTTTATATAGTACAGCAAAAGGCTTTTTCAGTGCATACTACAAAAAGAAATAGAAGTTAGAGACAGCATTTTAACGTTGAACCACTCTATGACAAATCACTTTAAACAGAAGGGGGGGAGTGCTTGTCTGAACAGATAAAACAGATTAAGGAATGCCTGAAGGATTTCACTGTGTACTGTGCTTCCCAACAGCTTTCTGATAATGGATCAATCCATCAGGGAGCTCTGCAACCACACCCTGCCCCCCCATACCTCTCACTTTCAAGGAAATGCAATAAACAAATAGAAATAGAACCTACCCGGTTGATGTTGATACAAAACCCCACACGTACACTATATAAAAGAATATAAACCTCACCACACCACCCCTCCTCTCCCCCATCTTCTTCCCCAGCCTTATACTGTACTCAACACTAAGGTCTCACAACAAATGTAAATGATTTGTAAGAAAGACTGTAAAACCTGAAAAAAGAGACAAGGCATGTACTTTTGTAAATCAAGAAAATATTTAATAAAAATAAATTAAAAATTTTAAAAATTTTAAAAGGACTTTCTTCTCTCTTCATTACAATATTATTTTTCTCCTTGGTCCAAATATATGGCCCCTTTCTATTGCAGTAGCTATACTGCTATAAACCACCCTGAGACCTCCAAATGAATGAAGTAAATATAGATTCATCAGGAGAGTAAAATGGGGGGAAGCAGAAGAGGATCACTTGGAAAGAGCAGCTTCAGAAATCCTTCAAATATACTAACAATCAATAATTCCAGGTGCTGTCGATTTGGGTTTAGAATCAATATTCCAAAAAGAATTTTTTGGGCTGCATACCCCAAGTGTTCTGCAACAATTTTTGGAATTGGCAGAGATTAAGCATACATTAATAATACAACTGAAGTAAGGCCATTTGGAATCTAGCGCTTGGAGGACTTCACTTAAAAGATAATGCCCAGTATGTATTCTCCAAGTCACATTCCCACACAACCCAGAACACTAGCCATTATTTCACACACACAAATTCCAATCATACTTACAATATCTTTGAGCACGTCAGTTATTGTTGCAGTTGCATTTCCACCTTTTATTAGCATTGCATTCTTTGTGTTTTCTGTGAGCTTTGGCTCTCTCTTCTCAAGAAACCTTTTGGCCCTCTTAGTTTTGGGCTTTCTGCCATGGGAATTTATAAGACACAGAGTCAGCTCTCAAAAAGTATTTGAGCACATCTATAAAGAAACTGGGTTCAACATAGCCCAAGGTCCCATCAATGCAAGGATTGTTCTTGCATGGCAAAACCGTCTTGCCATATCCTCCCCTTAGCATGCCTCATATTGGGATTGCCCCAACCCTCCAGAGCAGATCTGGGCATGACATGGGGCATGCATGAGGGGAGGGATGGTGAAGTCCTGTTGCACTAGCCCAACAAATTAGTTGAATACCGCCCATAATTTTGTGTTCTCTATTAAATATACTTAATATTTAGTTATTACTGTATTTATTTACTTACTTACTTACTTACCTTTCCTCCAAGGAGCTAAAGGCAATATACATAGTTCTTCCTCCTTTCCCCATTTTATTCTCACAACAATCCTATGATGTAGGTTAGTTTGAGAAAGTGACTATCCCAAGGTCACCAACTGAGCATCATGGATAACTGGGGATTTGAACCCTGGTCTCCCAGATCCTAGTCTGACACTGTTAAACAGCTGTTGCTTTTTAATGTATGGAGAAAAAAGCTGTACTAGTCTTCAAAGAAGTCAATATAAATGATCACATATTAGTAAGGAGCAAAAAAAGAAGAATATGGAACTCCATATGCATATTTACTCAATTCACCAAGCTTTATTTCCAAGCAAGTGTACATAGTACTTTGGTGATGGGTAGTTAATGCAGTTGCTGCCTCTGAGGTTTCCTCTATCCAGTTCAATACCAAAACAGAAACATATCAGCTGAAGCCACCTCATTAAAAATGTTACTCCATTGTAGTTTTAAACATATTTAGCTGCAAGGAAACCATACTGAAATCCATGGATCTTAGTTCTAATTAATCATGGCTGTATTTGGGCTGCAAGTTTTACTACAATCTGAAAAGCCATAGAAAAAAATGATTAGATTAAGAAAAAAGCAAGGAATTGTTGGGCACGTTAGAGCTAAGTTGCAGCATCAGTCAAGATACTGATACAGACATGTCACAACAAATTTTTGTTTAAAATAGATTAACATTACTATTCTGTTGATGTTTCAGCTGGTTTGTCAGTAATGCCACAGTAACAATGTGCTGCCTCTGCATGAGAATCTAAATCTTTATAGGTTGAAATATCAAGCTTTATTAAGATGCTTTTATACTTTAAAGTCAGCACAAATAGTGTTTTGAAGAGTTTGAAGTTTTCAAAGTGGAATATTAACTTCAGATTGATAATATAGTTCTGGATATTAGGATCTAAACACGAACGTTAAAGGAGTTGTGCTCTTTCAAAGGAACAGGGAGTTTCAAAGGCACAATTCCCTCACGCTGTCCTTTCACCCCAACTACACCTCACACACCCAAGCACACATAATTACCTGTGACTCAGCTATATAGCTGCAAATAAAACTTTTAAAGTCTGTTTTAAGTGCAATATACAATGTGACACTAGCTGGTGAGCCTTATGGAAAATTCAATGTATTTTTTAAAACGCTTTTTTAAAAAAAGCATTTTCAGAATGGTTTTTATATGTGTCTAGGTTACACCCTGGCTCAAAGTCCAATGCTTTGACAACCAAATAAAACAATTCCTCATTTCAGCATTGTTACCAAGCCTTCCAAGAATAAGAATATTGACACGGCTTGAAATGTAGCCGAATAAAGATCTGGTCAAATCTGGAGTCATCTGAACACGAGTTAGTATGCAATCAAAATTCCCTAGGGATAGATGGACTGACGCGAGAAGAACGTTTATGCAGAAATGTCAGATTGTCATCCTTGCATTTTATGACTCTGGGGTCACACTGCCTACAAGAAATTCTTTATATACACACAGAGGTGGATCCGCCCATTAAAACCACTAATGAAATGGGCTCTCTTATCTGAAATCTGAACAGGATTGCTCAATACACTGTGCACTCCATTTTTTTTATAAGCCTTTATAATTACAATACGCTTCTTGACAGATAAAGCAGCTTAGCTGCAGAGTACCAGACATTTCATTGCTCTACACCTAAGCAAAGGAGTAGTAGAGCAATGGCTTATTTGGCTTTCCATATACAAAAGGACGTTGTCATAACACCTGTAAAGCCTGCAGTTCAAACTATAGCCATGGTCATTCAGTAGCATGATGTCTTGATTTCTGCATCCGCGGAATGAGGAAAGTGCTTCCCGCGCTTAAGTAAGTCCGCGAGCGCTTATGCCATAAAAAGACACAAACCTTGGAAGTAAATCCCATCGAGCTCACTGGGTTTTACTTAGGACTGGACCTGACCAGCCTAAGGCTGTATATCTGCCAAACCTATAGGGGCAATTAAACATTTTCTTCACGACCTCAAATAGTGCCACACTATTACGGGCACAAACTTCGCAACGCTTCGAAACAACTGTACTTACACCACCCGGTCCAAGGACTCCATTTTCGCCGAAAAATATCACCCGTCTCCACGTGCGTCCGTCGAACATGTGCGCCGGAAGTAGAACTACGCCCGGTGTGGTGACGTCATATCCGCCGGCATTGGGAACAGGCGTAAAAAGATAGGAGAGGCTAAAAGCTTTGGAACGTAACAAACGCACAAGCATTTGTATCTCTGTCTCACAGAGCCAATGAAAATATACTGAAATATTCTGCGCGGCGGAGCGGCATTCAATAGTTTTGGGGGAATAACATTTTATCACTTTTTAATTCCTTTCCCCGCATATGGCAACGTTCAGATCTAAATCGGAAGTTCAGGCTGCGTGGAAGTGGTCCTAATTTCCCATTTCTATGAGAAAGGGCTTACGGTAGAGCGTCGGTCATAGAGATAAGAAATTGAACAGCCAATATAAACCTCCGGTTTTAAAGCTGTTGTGATTCATGGTTCTCTTTGGGCGCGTAATTGCAGATACTGTATACACAAATTTAGAAAGGCGTATCTTGCATAGACATTTTTACTTGCTCCTCGCAAGGGAAGTGAGAGAGGGCCATAGCAATCAAGGGGAAAATACAGGATTTTGCAGTAGGCGTCCCGACGCCGCCCCAAATGTTTCCGTACAGCACGAGCCCCTGTTCTTCCTAACACAGGTTTTTCAGAGACAGCACAAGCCGCCTGACTGCCAATCAAATGAGTTCAATGCTTCCGTTTGCAATTTAGTCCTTAATTTGGTGTGGGAGGAAGGGGCAGTTTAAGCAGAATAGCCTTTCTGCTCCATGAAGGTTGTTTGGGGTCTTACATAGAAGTACTATATACAGTAGATGATATTTGCAAATGGAGCGACGAAGACCGGATTTTTCAGGGGCTGCGCTGGGCTGTTTCCACCTTAGAACAGGTGGAAGCAACGTATGGTTCTCCCCCTACCCCCATTGTTCCGCTGTCCGTACCATGGTTGCTATGCACTATTGTTTTATGACCACCAGGGGGAAGAGATGAGCGAATGGATTCACTCCCCATTAAGGGAATTTGAGGATACTTTTTATTTATTAAGGTGGGGAAATGATACAGGATGTCAGAGTGCGAGGTTGCAGTTAAAATGAGGAGAGGGAAATGCGGGGGGGATTCGGGCTCCAGGTGTCCCTTATCTCTGAAACCTTAGGAAATTTAAGTTTTCCTTTGCATGGAGCAGTGAATCTTGAGTGGTGGTTCTATTTGGTTAAAAGCACATTTATCATCATCATCATCATCATCATCATTTATTCCTCCACACTTTAACATATTTTGCTAAAGCGTTAAAAGCTTTCCATTTACACTTACTTTTGAGACCAGGTATACTTTCAGGATATTCTGGCATGCAGGCTTTTATTCCACCTTAATGGGAGTTTTCTTGGTATTGCCTGGAGGGGTGTAATGTTGAGAAAACAGAAATACTAACCCTCTCCCATATTGGTCCAACAGTTTGGCTGACCCCTGAAGGCACACTCTTCCATTGTCTCCCAAGATAGACAGATATCAACAAGAAGAGTCTGAAAGACTTACCGTAATCTCTTTCTTTCAATTTATTGCCTCAAGCTTTCAGGGTAGAATGCATGCCTACTCAAAAGAAAGCTTAAGTTCTGCCCTGGGGCAGGAAGATGACTGGGGGAGTCACAAAACCACCACCCAAAAATGAGATTTAGTTGTGATTTCTGCATTGCAGGGGGTTGCACCAGATGGCCTTTGGGGTCCCTTCCAACTGGACAGTTCTGTGATTCAACATAATTTACTCCCAAGTAGTTGTGTATACAGCATGATCAGCTAACCACTTTTTTTAGCTCTGTAGTCTGTAGTCACCCTTGGCCAACTTCTAAGCTAAGTTATAGGTGTGTCTACAGCATTTTGAATTGAAGTTAACCCCACACCCCTCCTCAGTTATCTCTGCTTATCAGTTGATATGCGGCTCTGAAGACTGAAGACTGTGGTGGGAAGATTTGTATCCCCAGTGGGGCCAAGAGGTTTAGCTTTCTCTGCCTCCTTCAGTGCAGTGTCTATTTTGGTGATTCTCCACTTTGCTGCCTCTGCCCAAATCAATGGGGTGAGGTGAGAAAACTTTGCTTGGAAGGCCCTCACCCTCCCATAGAGGAATACTGTCTACAGAGAAGTAAGCGCCATTCAATCAAATTAGGCCTGCTCCTAGATATATTTATGTTTGCAATCCTACACCCACTTCTCCAGAAATATGACCTGCTGAATTCAGTGAGTAGAAGTGCAGAGGACTGTACTATTGTACAAGTAAAATGTTTTGCTTGACCAGACTATAGGTATTGCAGTACTACCAGAAAAGTGGAAGAGCTTTGAACATCAAGCTAGACAAAGTGGAGACATAAGTAAACTAAGTTTTACATTTTTTTCTACCGACAGTTTCTTTTACAAACTAGCTTCTTTCTTAGCCTTATTGCGGTTATAAACAACAAAGGCTGTGTACACACCCTGGGAAATGTAGCCTGCTAAGAGTGCTCAGAATTATTGTTCTGGGTCAACTATGGTTCCCAGGATTTGATGCATGTGGGTGTGAAATGTGCTTTAAATGTATGGTTGCATATGCAGCAAAAGAAGGTCGTAGTACCCAAAGAACAGGTGGGAAACCTGTGGCCCCTCCAGAGGATGTTTATCTGCAACTTCCATTATTCCTGATCACTGATCATGCTACCTCAGATTGTTCGGCTTTGGAATTCAACAATACCTGGAGAGCCATACATTTCCCATTCCTGCCTTAGAGGCTAACAAATTTGTTATGGCATAACCTTTTTAAGTCCAGAAAAGCTTATGCAACAATAAGGTTGTTACGTCATTAAACATAAGGGCTTGTTTTTGCTGCTTCATACTACCACAACTACCCCTCTGGAAATCCTGTGGTTACCCAGATGTCAAACATACTAAACACAATGGCACTTGCTTACAGATATGTGTACTACGATGAATCCTTTTATCATTTAAGCAGGGGCAAAACTAGGTCCTATCGCACCCGGGTCAAATACCCATATGGCACCCCCCATGTGCATTAGCATACACACACAGGCTGGGAGCCTCAATTGCACCCCTCTGGAGGCTTCACTACAGCAAGAAACCTGGCTAGCCCACCCCACAGGTAGCTACTGCTCTGCTTTAAAGTATGTTGTTTTAAACTCAGTCAGGCTTACTTCCAAGTAGCATGCATAATGTTAGGCTTTATGCACACTTTCTTGGCAGTAAGCTGCACTGAACTCTGTGGGACATGTTTCTGTTGGAGCAGCCTCTCAGTAAACACATTTGCTTCACCTCCCCCCTCAGTATATAAAAAAAGTGTGCTAAAACTAGCCAAGCACATGGATAATAGGGTTTTACATCTTTGAGAATAGTATCTATAGTGGCTTATCTTTCTGTTGTGGGACCAAAGTGCACCATCACATGCAAATCAGGCTCATTGTTTTATTTAAAGCTCTCAAATCAAGACTTTGATAATGTAAAAGAAGGCACAAGTTGGCAGCCTCCAGGCAATGCTTGGTGTAGGTTTATAAGTGGCTCTAAGCATTATTTCAGGAGCTTTGCTGAAGTGATGCTTGAGTCAGTATTTTGCAACATGTTCTTGGAGGTTCTAAGCATAACACTTTGAAAACAATTATATTTTATGTTAGTTCTCTTTTCAGCTTATGTTCTTCTTATGCAAGCCCTGCAAGCCTCCCTAGCAAGTAGACAGGAAAATGCTGTAGAGCAGCCTTTGCCAACCTACTGCTGTCCTGTTATCATTGGATGACAACTCCCATCAACCCTGACCATTGGGCTAAGCTGGATGGGGCTGATGGGAATTGTAGTCTAAAACACCTGAAGGCCAGCAGCTTGGTGAAAGCTGCTGCAGAAAATTACATTAGTCAGGTTACAGTAATACTTCAAAAGAGAACTCTCACAGTATCATTAGACTGGGAGGTATCAAGTGATCATCTGGTGCTCCCAAGGTAATACAAACAGCTACGAGGTTTGTCAGGCCAATTTCCCCCCAATACCTCCTTCGACATTCCATGTTGCCGTGCCGTTTCGTTCTTGCTCCTTTTTAATTTGCAAGCCACTATTTTTCTGCAAGCTTGGGGCGTCTGCCAAATGTGTAGAAACCCTGCCTTATCTGTGCATGGCTCCATTTTGCTGTCCTGCTGATAAGCACGGGACTACCAAGCTCATGATAGCAATGATGAAGCAAATGAGAATATGGAGACACATTTCTTCACATGTGATCTGTAATTATATCAGTATATTATTATTTCATCATTGCTAGACATTGTAATACTTATGTTACCTTGAATGGTAAAATTGACACTGAAAGGCAAAACAATCTAAGCAGAATGGATATTCTGGGCTGGGGGTGGGGGGTGATTATATATAATTAGCAATTAACTGGAACACAGGGTACATGTTTATTTTAATTTGAAGGTTAAAACAGTGTCTAACCACAGGAGGCGAACACAATACTAACTCTTAATCTGTCCTTGTGGTATTGACCAAACAAGCACAAAGAAAAACAAAGCCATTTTGCTATGCTTGTTTGTTTTCAGAAACAGAGAAACAAATGCATATCTAGAATCACTAGCAAATGTTATGCATGGGATGGCGAGGGCACAGGACATCTCTCTGACCAAAAACTGGAGATTGTGCTTGCTAAAGTTCTTTTGCAGCTGCTGGTGTTGCAATTATTAGATTCATAAGAGCTGAAATGATAAAAGCAGATGGTTAATTGCTCTGTTTTTTTCCTGTTCAATCTTTTGCACTGGCAGTGCTTTCAAAAGAGATTCTAGTTAGTGTGGAGGGGAAAACATCATTTATGTTTGCACATTGATATATATGTTTACGATCAATAAAACACAAAATTATGGATATCATATGTGTTTCTGACAGCATGCCACATCTTTTCCAAGTCAAGAAGCTGATGCAGAAAGTATAGATGCTGCAGGATATTTCTAATAATGGTGAATGTACCAATGATGCCCAATTCCTTGTGGGAGTGAAGCATAGCATGTGCGGAAGGAGAAAACACTTATTACATGTTTACAATAAATCCACTGCCTGTTCAACATATGAGATATAAATTTCAGTCTGCCTTTATGCTTGAAGACAGTAAACATTTATTTTACAACAAAAATTATAGAAGTAAAACTGTAAAACAAAAATTGCTTCCACACTTGAGAAGAATCAGGAAAGGGTTGACATTATTTCTTCCTCAGGCATAGCCCTCTGCTTTTCTGAGGCCAGGGATGTTAGACAAAGGCCAAAGTCCAGCATGTCTGGTGGACATGCCTCAGGCCTTACATTTACCTGATAGGATTAATTTTTTCCTTTGAATATCAGTTCCTTGCTGCACAACATGCTTTGCTGAGTTTTGGAAGTGGCTAATGGTGCAGTGTGGTCTTGTGGCGAGTGGGGGGTCACTGAAAGTAAAAGGGCTTGTGAGGAACAGGGACTTAGCTGCGTAGTTCCTGATTTGTGAAAGATGACACTACTTAGCACTCAGATTTAGGGTCCAGTTCTCCTATATGTGATGTAAACAAACCATCGGTCACAAAGAGTACGGTATACAACAATAAGAAGGTCCATTAATTGTCATCTCTCAACTACAGTCTTTAGAGCAATGTGGAGAATTATCTGCAATAATAACCTGACTGTCCTCTGAAGAAGAGTCCACTGCCTTGGAGGAGGTGGCATCCATAGGAGGGGCACCACCATCCCTTTCAATGTGTGGATGCATCTCAGGTTCAAAGGCCTGATCAATACTTCCTCTGTCACTGGCTTCTCCTTCAGATTCTTCTGCCATTTTGTCTTGGGACTCAGCTGCGTCTTCTTCTTTCTCGTATAAGAAGTTGCAAATCATGTTAGGTCTGCTGTATGAGAAATCTTTGTCCTTAAGCTCTAGCCATTCCACACCACCACCTGTCAGAGAAAGAGAGAGAAATCAGGAAGAAGATGAGTTGGGGACAGGATTTTAAAACTTTTTAAACTACAGTAGTATTAAATTCACTAGTCACATTTATTCTTTGTCTCTCCTTTTCCTTTGGTCCCTTCCCCTTTCTTTGTCAGTGCCTTGATTTAGATGGTAACTTCTTCAGAGGAAAAGAGTGAATGTCATTCTATAAAGCACAATCTATGCTAATGGTTTTATATAATCACCATCAATAGGAAGTTTTAGGGTTAATCATGTAGCAGTAGTTAAGGAATACATTCATATATGCCATAAGAATACCAATTGAGGGAGATGGGGACATAAAGAGTTTTGTACATATTATTGATAGCAAATTTATAAACAGCCCTGGTATGTTACCAAGTCAGGGCCAGGATTTAACTGGAATCACTAAAACAAAGGACCAGAACCACAACTCCTTGTAGGCTCAGTTACTTCCAAGTGGAGTAGAAGTGGTGCCAAGAGAGGGTATGTTTATGAACGAGGGAGGTTAGAAAGAAGTGAAGCAATCTGTATATACAGGAACTGGGCAAAGGAGGGTGGTGAAGCAATGCATGACATGTAGAAATCTGGTGAGCATGCAAAATGGGATTTCTAGAAGGGGAACTATAGAAAGCAACAGCAATTTTCTCAGAACCACCTATGTTCTCTTCTCCTTCCTTCTTCTCAGTCAGGAGTGTCCGTGTCATGTTCAGCTTCTTCATTGTGTGGCATTTATATTTTAGCTGTATTTTTTGGTTGCCTTCTGCATCTAGTATAAGGAAAAATTACAGATTATTTTTAAGTGGTAACTTTACTCTTTGCAATGTTCCCCCTGCCTAAAGTTCTCTTGAGCTTTTGAAAAGCTTAGAACAAAAGTATTCCTTACCATGATCTTCATTTTCTTCAAACACCAAACAGGTACCAAGAGTATCTGGGAATGAAAATGAACATTTTGTTAAGGAAAGTGCAGGTTACTTTTTAAAAGAATAACACTCAAAAGAGCGGTATCTACTTTCGTTAAGCAATAGATTTAGAAGATAAGTGTATGTAAAGTTAGGGCCAGAAGAGCTGATTAGTTCATACAAGGGACTTTTGTTTGTTTGCTTCCTTTTTTCTTATTTAACCAGTTTACACCAATGCCATATTACAAACTTCTCAGAACTCCCCTCAATTTCAAAAGCAATTTGCAAACAGATATGGTAGCTAAAACTTGTATGTGAAAATTGTTGTCTGCTTTTAGTTAATGTTAACATCTCCTATGTTTGTATTTAGGTGTTTTTACTGTGATGTTATTTGAGAATTTATGGGTGAGATCCAACACTATGCCAGCAGATGCAACAGGACTTCCCCTACCTCATCTCCCCGCTGTGCCCCTCCCCTGCTTCGTAGCGTCCCCAACCCTAAGCAGATTTTGGGTGCGTGGGGGGAGGGGCTGCAGGAGGAAGGATAATTTCCATTTGTGCAAGTTGAAGTCCATTGTGCAAGCAGGACACTTGAATTGGATATCAGCCTAAATGTATTTGCTTTTTCTCTGTGTGGAAAAACAGCAAAGGTATACTACTAATAAAAAATAATTCTGCCTTGGCTCACATGACTAGTTTTATTGTGCATTGGATCCTGGCTTATGAAAAGAAGTATAGTATTCATAAAACATTTTCTTACCTTCATATTCTCCAGCAAAAACATATCTGTCTACTTGCAAAATGGGCCTCTCTGTGTCTATTCCCTGCAAATAAGAAAAAGAAGAGACACAGCTGCATTTAACAAAAAGATCATTAAATGCAAATACCTCCCAAGCAATTTTGACTCAAAGCACAGCCTAAATTGCTGAAGTCTGTAACACTTATGAAAGGTTACAGATATCATTGTCATTCACAAAGAGCACGCAGTCTCTATTTTGACAGTGTTTATGTACCCTAAGCTGATCAGAACTTCCCACTTTGTGTGCACACAAAAAAACGAAGACATGCACATTCTTCATACATGACAGTACTTCCCCCCACAACAACCGCAAACCAGACTATAGTAAGCAAAACACCTATATTGATTTTTGTAGGTTCTGAATAGAGGTTTGTTGTTCTTAACAAAAACTGCAAAGATGGAAATTTGTATTAATCACACTCACCAAAATCTTGCATTTGTTATCACATTTTTCCAGAAAGTCTGAATCAATTATTCCTGACAGTTCCACCATGACCAATTGTTCCTGGGGGCAGAAAGTTTTTAAAATATATTTAAAACAATGTATTCATAAACTCAATCTCCCTTTCAGTCCAGCAGATGGAGCCCATCTGCAAATATATTACTGCTATACAACCACTTTCCAGGAGCACATATACAAACACATCCACCCAACCACCAACCTCTATGTTGAAATTGCATGCATTTATATTTTCAACCAAGTTTGTGATGCTATGGGAGAGCAAGACATCCACACCTTCTTCTCCCCTCCAAGTTTCAGTAGGCTGGATATCTCACATTAGTTAGTTTTGCTCTAATGCAATGAAAGTGATGTGCATCTTTCTCCAGTGCCAATTTGCAGCTGCAGTTGACTATTTCAAGTCTTATATTTGTTTCATTAAAAAATAAATAAATCTGTTGCCTTTACTTAATGGCTTTTCAAAATGTTTCACTGCTCTCACCAACTTAGGACATGGAAACAAAATCATAACAAATCAGTTTAGAGTAAGTATCAACTTCTAATTCTGTATTCCTAAGTAGTGCCCACTAGAACTGTTACTAATAAATATGCACCAACATATGCAAGAGGTAGACAAAAACAATTCTGCTCTTCTGAGTTATAGTAAAGGAAACATAAGATGCATTCACATTTATATTTTCAAACACCAGCAGTTTACTCCCACTTAATTCCAGCAGTAAAGGACTTCACTATTGTACATTCTGCACTGCCATTTCAACCCAGGGCAAACTAATGCTGCCTCTTTCTGCTTTTTTCATAGGCTGACATAAAAAGTACTAGCACTCCCACATTTTGTTCCACCACCAAGTAGGGGAGTATGCAGGAGCTATATACAGTTGGAAAGTAGGTACACTCTACTCCTTAACCATTTACCGTATTTTTCACTCTATAACACGCACCCAACCATAACACGCACGTAGTTTTTAGAGGAGGAAAATCCGTAGGCATGCCACCCATAGGCATTCCCTCCATAACACGCACAGACATTTCCCCTTACTTTCTAGGAGGAAAAAAGTGAGTGTTATGGTGCAAAAAATACGGTACATACAATGTTTCAACCATCCTGAGGGAGACAGCATGAAAGCTACTGATGGAAGATGCAGCTGTAGTTACTGTCACTGCTGGCCCAGAGTAACTCCTGCGGAACAGGGCCATGTTCAACACAATATCCAGCAGTAAAATGCCTGTTGAAATTCATTAATGTTTATTATCAAAATAATAAAAGGGCATGTTTTTCGCCTTTCCTTTGGGGCTATATTCCAGGTGTACAACACATGCTTTGCCCGTAGAAGGGCCAAGTTCAAAGCCGCATCTCAAAAGTTACAGAGCCGGGAAATATTCCTGTCTGAGATGGAGGGGAACATGGACTTCAGGGAGGTAGACAAACTGTATTCTGCTGGATTAGGACGGCAGCATGTGACCTTCCAGACTCCAACTCCCATCAACCCCAGGCACCATTGCCATTGGGATGGATAATGGGAGTTGTAGTTCAGCAGCGGCTGGCGCTCTGCAGATGGACCAATATAACCTGACAGCATGTATAAGGTATACATGTATTCCTTTATACTGTGAAGTAATCATTTTAGTGATCCTGGATATGGACCAGTGGAGGCAGAAGGCTTTTGAATATTAGGAGATCCAAGTGTTGCAGCTATTTCACTACAGAGAATGGTGCTCCAAGACGCTGTAGTTCAGGCATCCCCAACTTTCGGCCCTCCAGATTTTTTGGACTACAATTCCCATCATCCATGACCACTGGTCCTGTTAGCTAGGGATCATGGGAGTTGTAGGCTAAAACATCTGGAGGGCCGCAGGTTGGGGATGCCTGCTCTAGTTTCACTTCGCAACGTATGGAGAGGTGAGTCATGGCATTAAATGCTGGCGATGACGAGACTAATGCCAGGAATCGAGTCCGACCGAGCTCAGCAGAACTTATTTCCATGTGAACATGCGTGTGTATCAGGTTGCCTTGAGGAAGCGCAATCCCCATGACCCATCCGTAGGCGTCAGCCCGGGACTCCCAACGAACCCGGGACGCTGCTTCCACGGCTCTCGGCCCTACAAAGAAAGGCCCAGGCTGAACCACTGGCAGGCCGCTTTCCCTGCTCAGACTCCGCAGCGGGAGCAGCCGGCAGCCTAGTCGCGAGGTGAGGCGCGGAGCAAACCCCGCGGGGTGGGGGGAGAGCCCATTCCTGCCACCCACCTCCACCTCCACCTCTTCCCCGTCGCGGGGTCCTTCCGCGGCCTCCATGCCGGTAGCGGCTCAACGAGCGTCACGTGATCCCCCTGCCGCCGCCGCCGCCGCCATCTTACGCAGGACCCTTTCGGCAAGAGCAGCGCCTCTGGTTGCTGCAAGGAGGACTCTGGGCAGGGACGGGAGAGCTGCGTAGTTCGCAGGCTTGGGGCGGCGGCTTCTGCTCAGAAGCAGCCGAGGGGGAGACAGGTACAGTTCAGGCAGTCTAATGATGACTCATAATCCTCTAGAAAATGTTACTGGGGTGTTTTGCTTTTAAAAATATATATCCTGACCTATAGAGAACTTTGGTGGGGAGCGGGAAAAAATGTTCGCTTGTATCTTCCGCCCTTTTAACATAAATGTGGTTCATTTCGCGGCTTTCCTGCTGTTTAGCGAAGTCCTCTGTTAACGACTGTTCCCTTCACTGGCCATCCTCTCGTCCCGGATACATTTTTAAATTTAAAGTATTTATATTCCGCTTTGCGTATAAAACTGCAAAGCACGGTGTAAAAATTAAGCCGCCCACTGTGCCATAGTAATAAAAATAAAGACGTACATCCAAAGGAAACGGACAAAACCTGAATGTTAGCTGGGTATTTTAGAACTAAAATAGGCGTTTTAAGAAGAGCTCTCTTGTTATTTATTTTTCGCACCAGGTCATCAAGTATTAAGGTCAGTAGGCTGCTTTTTAAAATAGCAGCTGCTGGGACCACAAGCCAGTCATCCTTCAAGCCAATTCTTCTAATCGTAAGATTGCAGTTTCACCTTCTCTTTTGATAAACTCTGCATGATCTCAGATGCACTCTCCCTTTTATCTTGATGTAAGTCATATACAGTACAGTATAAATAATGCTCTGAAAACCTGCACCCCCTACTAAACTATGTATTTTAATTACACTATCTTGCTTCAAGACTTAGAATTTCAGCAGCACATAGGTAAATTAATCTCATAAGTTTTACACAAGCAGGGAAATAATTCAATACTGTTTTCTTGGTGAAGACAAGAGGGAGTAATTAGCAGCTGAGATTTCAGTACTGTACTAGCTCAACTTCATGAAACACACAAAAACCAAACCAAACCAAGGCTGGTATGGGATGTTACATTCATAATAATAATAAAGCTGGTTATTCATTTATTTGTGATGAGATACATACTTGAAGTGGAGAATAACACAAGAAATGAGAGAATAAAAGGAGTTGATCTTATTTTATTAATGCATATTTGATATTAAGCAATCTCATTTTGATTTAGTCAGGAATGTTACCAGTAGTGGCAAAGCCACAGGTATCATACACTTAATGTTACCTGTATGGGGTGTTAAAAGGCAACTTGTGTACACAACAATGTAAGGGTATTGATATAAAACACCATTACTGTTATGGATTCTTAAGTGCTACTCCACAACAGGTTAGCAATACCTCCAAGATGTTGGTCTCTATTATCTATGTCCAACAGCAACAAGTTTCAGAATAAGTGCTTACCATCTATAATTTTAAATTTGCTTTTTTCTGTTGCCTCAGTCTTTTATTTATTGCATTTATAACCCACCTTTTCTCTCAGATGAACTCGTTAGTGTACATGGTTGTCCCCCTTATTTAATCCCCACAACCACCCTGGGATTTAAGTTAAGCAGAGGTAGTGACTGGCCCAAGGTCACCCTGTGAGCTTCATGGCCAAGTGGGAATTTGAATCCTGGTTTCCCAGGTTTTAGTCGGACACTAACCACTACACACTAGCTTTTCACACCTTATAGTCAGTCATCCACTGCATTTACCACTTCCTCTGTATGTCCACTCATTATCAGAGCACTACCAATAATTGGATCAAATTGCAAACAAGCCTTGAGGTACCTTAAAGAAATACAATAACAGTTTTGTTAAGATCTTTGTGGACCAGAAACCACAAGATACATGAAGTGGTAGCTCCAGATGCAGGCACACATACATGTGTAGACGATGGCAAGATTAGGGCAGAGGGATTTAAAATGTAAAAAGTAGTGGCAATTCCAACTTGGTTGTAGGCAAACTAACCATAGTAATAATTTAAAAGCAACATTGCTAAAATAAATTTTAAACACTGCTCAGTGCCTACTTCAGCCACCCTAGAATCGCCCCTCCCTATCACCATGATCTCTCAAACTTCTCTTTTCTATTGAAAGCCAGAAGTAAAGGTATTGACTTTTGTCGGTCCTTTTTAGGGGAGCTGCTCATGATAGATTATAAGCAATGGCAGAGTGTTCTGTAAGAATATAATCACACACATTCAATTGCACTTGGGACTATACACAACTGCTATTTAAGTAGTGCCTTCATTCTAAAAACAAGATTACATTAATAGTCTGCCCTTTGCATTGATTAAAAATAGTACAGACAGGTAGTTGATTAGCAGGATTAGTGCTTCCAATAGGCTTAAACCTCCTGGGTCACCCTGACATTTGATTCCCCATCACAGTTATTAGCATACAAGGGGCTGTCTGGAGGTAGACAAGAACTTAACCAGGTCAAGGCTTGAAGTTGCCATGTATGAATTCAAAATAGAATTATCTAAGTCAGGGTAAACAACATTCACTCATTGAAAGAGCTTAGAAAGCAAACTTTTATTGAAGCATTACAATTTCAGGTACAGATATATTTTTGTACATTTTAATGATCCATGTCTAACACCACAAGAGAGAAGATTTAACACCAAACATCACCCCCTCCATAGTTCGCCCTAGTGTTTAAAAATACCCAATTCAGCTGCTTTCTTTCTATCCAAGGCTTTTTACCTGAATCTGCATTTTCAGTATTATTGAAGGGAACTTCAGTCTAGCAGACCTCAAGTCAACTTGAGGCACTCTTTCAAGAAAAAAAACCATTTGAAAAATTGGTCCTCAAAATCTAAAGCACCCTAAACTGTTAGGTGCTACTTATAAGCAAAATTGGTAATTTTGGTAGAAAACAAATCTACTTAAAAATAAAAAGGTGTTCAACCGCTTGATATCCAACCAAGCAGATTTAGTAGCCTAGAAACACTAAAAAAGTGTTTCATTTATAAATACAGAAGGAACAAAATATTGTCATATTCAGAGAATCAAAAACATAGCAAAGATGAGTGTCAAATTTGTAACAGACTTCCTGGTCTCAACAGCTGAAATCCCACAGTATTTCCAAGGTTACTTGAATATACTGTCTCAGAAGCTTGAAGTTTATATCCATGAAGTGGTATTTCCATGCCTAAATTGTTATTAAAAGTTGTGCATAAAGTGTTGTACTTGACTGTCTAGGCTTCTCATATTTTGCCTCCTGCAGCCAAATCACTCAGTGCCTTCCACATCTTGTAAAAAGGAACCACACGTTAATTAAGAAACACAGATGAAATCACAATATTATTAAGTTCAGCTTAAATATCACATGCACAATGCTGTCACAGGACGTCAGTCACAGTGTGGAAGGATTTGTGGTGTTTGAATATGCAACAATAGAGCCACCTTATTTCACAGTAAATGGTAACTAACCATTTTGTGCAGTAGTTTGAATCACATTCCATTAGATGTCCCTGCCAAGTTACCAGTAAGTACCAAGCTCCAAACCAATTAGATTCCTCAACGCTGCAACTATTTGAAGCTTGTCAAATGCCTAGAGTCAGCTTAGTCTATATTGTCACAATTGTGTAAGTACCCTTACACGGATGTTCAACAATTTTCACCAGTTGCTATGTGTTGCCTTTGAACAAAAGACCAACACAGAACAGAAATGGTCTTGGCCGAAACTGAAAAAAGTTGATCAAAATAAAATGACCAATGAGCAATTAAGTTTCCAGAAGTAAAAAGCTAGTGCGTTAAACCCCAGCATATTGTTTCAACTGGTTGTGAAAATATACACAGACCTAGTGATAATTTTTTATACTAGCCTCAAATTTTAAAAAGTGAAGTAGTCCACCATGTGTAAGTAGTCTTGTTCTACCAGTCTCAATATTTCAAAACTGCAAAAAGTTTGAATCTGCCATCAAAGAGTTACAAAATAAATGTCAATTAGAAATTGCTCAAATTCAAGATTATTTTTAAAATTTTAAGTTACAGCATACATATGAAAAAAGTTAGGCAACAACTAATTGTTTCAGATAAGTAGGTCCATGGGAAATCCTAATGAGGACGAAATCCTTGTCTGTGGGGAATTTTTGGTGATACGTTGAGAAAAACTATACTGCATGTAATCCTATTGGAATTTTTACAAATGCTGTAGAGTCTCGTACAGTAACATTTTTCTACATGCATTTCAATTTCACAGCAAAAGTGAAATAGAATACCTAAACACAGTAGAGAGTATTCATGCAATATATCTAATTTTTTGATATAATAATGCATACAATTGAAAATTATACTATGATTACATTTAGGGCTTTCTGCAACTACGAGGTGGATATGAAAAATATGGCCCCTTGTATCATTAACTAGAAAGCAACCACCACCTCCTCTATTGGGTATCTTTTTGCGCTTTTTCTTCATTTCTCTTAATCAACTCTGCTGTTTATTCTTGGCAAAACTGGTAAACACGAAGTTGTAGTCATTAAACTGAGCAATCTGGCGATCTAGGCGCTTAAAACCTTCAATCTTCTGGGCTGAAGAAAACACTGTGCGACATTTTGAACTCTAATAGAAAAAGAAAAAGATATTCTTCAGATACACGAATCTTGATGGTAGAATATTCAATACTAACAAATTAAGAGGGGTAACCACATTTGTATGTTGTAACCAAGAGCCTTAGGTAAAGGTAAAGGGACCCCTGACCATTAGGTCCAGTCGTGACCGACACTGGGGTTGCAGCGCTCATCTCACTTTATTGGCCAAGGGAGCCGACTTACAGCTTCCGGGCCATGTGGCCAGCATGACTAAGCCGCTTCTGGCGAACCAGAGGAACGCACGGAAATGCCATTTACCTTTCCGTCGGAGCGGTACCTATCTATCTACTTGCACTTTGACGTGCTTTCAAACTGCTAGGTTCGCAGGAGCTGGGACCGCGCAACAGGAGCTCACCCTGTCACTGGGATTCGAACCGCCGACCTTCTGATTGGCAAGTCCTAGGCTCTGTGGTTTAACCCACAGCGCCACCCGCGTCCCTTCACCAAGAGCCTTGTGCCACCTTAAAAAATAAATTATGGCATAAACTATAATGGGCCAGAGCTCCATTTAAGAGTTGGGTGACATGACACACCTTTTGAGTAGGCATAATTTATTGTAAGTACAGAGAAAATGTGTGCGCATGAGTTTGAAGGGGGCAGACATTTTACAATCCCTTGGCTGTTGTAACTCCAAAGAGATTTATTATGCACAAAAGCAGGAAGATGAGGTAAGTTAAAAAGGGAATGATTTACTTGCAACTAATGAATTAGTAAGCAAATTAATAATGTAAAGATATTAAGTTGGAATTCATATGTAGATGATATTTAGGACTAGGGATCAACAAACTAGGAATGGCTAGTTCATTACATAATTTTATCTCTTAGTTTATCTTGATGTGCTAAATCTTCTATGATTGGATCTTTTATTCTAGACTATTTGCATAACACAAATGAAAATGCAATCCAGTAAAATGTATTGTATTGTTTAGTCTTCAAAGGCTTGCTTGAAGAATAGCTTACTTCCCCTATCCTTTCCCTTAGATCAGGCATGTCCAACTTCAAGTAGGCTGTGATCTACTATCCAGTAAATAAAACGGGCAGTGATCTACCACACACTCCCATTGTCATTCTTCAACTTCTTCGCTTTAGGGGCGAGGGGTAAGGCGTTGTTGGTGGCCAGGAAAACACCCTCTCTTTCCTTAGCACGGATTCACGGTCGATTCAATCGCCTTCTTCCACCCATCGCCTTCTTCCACGTATTGCCCAAACGGAGACTACAGCTGATTAAGCCACAGGCCGGTCTGTATGGAGGAGGAAGGAAAGGCGCTCTCCTTTTATCCAGCCTTGTCCTGAATGTGAAACATTGGCACCCCCATGCCCCACTTTCCTTTGCTCCCAAGGGGGACCGCTGCACCCTCTCTCCATCACACGAGTGTGGCCCTGCAGCACCCAGCAAGGGCCACCCAGCCGAGAGCAGCTTCCTTAGCAGAGCAAAGCAAGAGAAGTGTGCTCTGGAACTCACGGTACGGCAAAAGCAGAGGCGCAGCTCGCTCCCTCCCACAGCAGAGCCCTGGCTGCGAAGAAGGAGCAAAGGATGCCTGGCCATAGTGCAATTGAGGCATACATATTGAGGCATGATTGAGGTGTTAGACATGTTAGCTTTAGATCACAATACACTGTTCAGTCTATACAGTAGTTCTTTTTCACAGGAGGACACTGAAACACTCAAGGCCTTCCTCTTCTGCAATCAAGTGGTGGCCCCATAAAAATCTACAGTTCTCTCTGCAAAAGCATGAATGTTTACAACTTATAAGTTCAATTTGAATCTGGAAAACATGCTTTGGATTATAGCCTTCAAATCAGTTAGGGTCCTCTAACATTTGGTGTGGTTTAAAGTAGCTGCTGTCCTGTTTCTCTTGACCATCAACATTACAAAACCATATTTTGTCTCCTTTTTGCAAGCGGAATACACCTGTTATTCATTTCTTTCTTTCTTTTTAAATCAGTGTATTTGTGTTTTCTGAAGAAACAAAACAAAGATGCAAAAACTATGGCCATTGGGGGACGGGAACACTGAATGGCAATGGTAGTGGAAACAGTAAAGTTGATTGTGTGGAAGTAGCCTTTTATGTGCCGTTTATGGCATTCCCAATTTATTGTGGTTTATGCAATAATAAAAATAAAATGCTGTAAGATGCCACAAAACTGGTTTTGCTGTAATAGACTGACTAGGTAAACATTTTCTGGATTACAAATACAATTACTTCTGTAATGCTTGTGGATAGCTGGATCATTTGGGATTATCTGGCTGCCAAAACTAGCCTACTGAAAGTAATACAAATGTTTGTACCTGATTAACAAAGAGGGTTGTCACAAATTTTCCTGGCTTAAAAATGTCTATGACCTTCCTAATTAAGTCATCATAGGATGTCTGACTTATGTTGGTTTCAAAACTAACGTATGAGAACTCTGGTTCTGGAGTGATGTGAATAGTCCAATAAGTTCCCTAGAAGAAAATAAAGGAACCAAGTTAGAAATCTCAACATGGCATCAGTTTATAAGTGAATTCTCATTGCAAAGTATAAAAAAATATGGCACTCACATCTGTTTTCATCCCATTCATTGAATATCCACAAGGATTGAACATTGTAGCATCAATGACAGAACCTGTTATCAGGTCACGAATTCCACTCACCTAAAGCCAAGAAAGTGTTTGTTTATTTAAGCTATTTATGTAGCTGACATTTCTAAGCAGTGTACATAAAAATTAAAAAGATAAATTAAAACTAGTCATATAAACAGAAAGTCTTCTTAAAATGTGTGCTCATATTTAATCTTCGGTGTAGACTACTGCTTCAACCGATTAATGTACGTCTGATGAATCAGTTCTTTTCACCCATGGTGCCTCTCTTCCTCTCTCAAATAAGTTCAAGGCTTTAGATGTCTGGCTGTTAATTTACCGTATTAGTTTTAACTGGAGAAGCCAGTTAAGTAGCTGAGAATACTATTCCAGATGCATGCATTTCACTATGTGTGTTTTAAGCTGTTCAAATGGTGTCTTCATTGAGATATGGATGAGAGATGTAGTGAATGTTCTATTGTTGACTAGGCAACCCTAAAACAAGTCAATGTTTTTTACAGTGACTACGATAACTTGTGCTTAAATTTAGTTAAAACTAAAAGCTTGCCTAACATGTTTTCATTGTGGGAAAACTTTTCTACTCCCTGCATTTAAAACCTTTTAAGTAATATTCCTATTTTACAGACAAATTAGCTGGCAATCAGGAAAGGATTTGCCTAACGACTTTACAAGTGAGGGGCTGGTGAGGACAGTCCTACATATTAGGAACTGTATTAGTCTCTGTTCTTCTCATTCACAGTAGACAATTCACACTTACACGAGTGACATCATTTGCGGTAACACCATCTTTCATGTAGAACTGGTCCATAACTACTGGATCGAGCTCGCTCATCAGAATTTCCAGTGTTTGATCTGGCTGATTGATGACCCGACTCTCTGGAAAATCCAGAGTGTACAAGTACCTGTTTACAGGGGGCGGAGAATCAGAGAAGATAATATATAGCACATAAAAGTCAAATTTGTACTGCTCAAGATTATAAAGTAATAATTCAAAGTAAACCTACCAGCAGTCAGAGTTCATACGACCCATGCAATAAGCTGCTCCATCTGTAAAAAGCAAACAAGACCAGGAATAGAGCTTAGAAACAAGGACTATCATCTTTGTTTTGAAACATAATGTTTAGTACAGCTAAAAATTAATTCCATTGTCTAATTAGTGTCTCCATAATATCATGAGAGTAATTCACGCCATACATCAGTTTGTAGCAGTAATGTGGGGGTAGAAAACTAGTACTGCAAACTGATTCCCCAACCCCTGTAAATATTTCCATTTTGTAAGTTCATTATTAACAACAACAAAAAGGATGCCTATTCCAGTATTAGGCAAGATTGAGTTTCAATGTTTTTATTTCATTTATTAAAATAAACATGCTAAATTAGATCACTCTGTGGCATCAGAAAATTTTCCAATGTATGCATGAAACCCCACATCACTGACTTGCAGCAAAAAAAAATAATTAAAAAAATTAGTATATTACTAGTTGGCACTGGAGATTTGTTGCTGTGCTTTTCTTACAGAGCTCCTAAGCTCTGACTACTTATTATAGGCATTGGTTGTCCATGTGATTGCAAAAGAGACACAGCCATGTTTCACTGCCAAGCAATCTACTAGATTTGCTAGAACTACATAGCTCTTTGTCCATGCAACTGTTTTCTTTTTACCCTTTTTCTGAACTTACGGTCAACAGAAGACAAGGGGGTATTATCACCCAAGGATACACATAAAAATATCGGACATCCATCAAACTGTGTGCACTGTATAAACCTATTACATTTATCATACCATAATTCTGACTAGGTGTGAAAGTCTACATAAGAGTAGATAATGTAAGAGTCAGTTCTTGACATCTTTTGGTCAACTCAGACTATCACTTCTAATCAAGGCAAAGCTGCATTTTTAGCATGATAGTGCTTTTATATTGGTTTACATGCTAGTTTCAACAACCCACTGCGCATAAGCCTCTTGGACAGTTGTTTATTATTTACAAGCATCCCATTAAAAATACACATTCACTTACTTGGAAATATTTCATTAAGGAACTCTACTTCTTCCTGGAAATTCCTATGTGGGTACTCTTGATGGGAAGGCTTCATGAAATTCTTGCGTGAATAAAAGAAGCTCTAAAGAATAAGAGGGGTGAAATTAAATATGCAGCTTTTCTTAAAAGTTCCATTAGGATCAAAAGGAAATTATTTAAACACATGCTTCTGCTCAAGGCCTTTCCTTCTTGTCTACAATTTAATCTATTGTCAACTCAAAGATGAATGCACTACTCTGCAAAAACAAAACATGACATCAGTTTTGTCACATATAATACATAAGAATGATCTGGAAAGATTTTAAGTGGTGTCTTTAAAATACAGATTGGCAACTGCATATAGATAATGCAGGGGTTGGGGGTCACCAGAAGAACTGGTAACACTTTTGTTACACCAAGCTATTCCCTTCACTGAGTCAAATAAAGGAGAGTCCAATGATAAGGGCTCACAGAAGCCATGACCTTGATTGTCAGTATTGGGTATTAATTTCAGTAGCCCACCAATGCCTTTCAAAGTTTTACCTGTTTAGCTACCAACATTTGGTTTTGCTGCTTTGATACACCATCAATCTACTTTACTATTATGCAGCTTGGAAATCCTAGGCTTACACAAATGTCTACCCCAAACAAGATACAATGAATTGATTTGCTAGCCAAGAACACTATCTTAATATGTATTGCTTCCTCTCAATGTGGATTAGTGCTATTCAGAGATCCCATAAGCACATATAAATTGAAATAGCTTTAGTATGTTACAGTGCACTTTGATGTGTACATTAACAAAGTGATTATTTTGGAAAGCACTACCAATATGCTTGCCAATTTCCAAGGTGCAGTGAGAGAAAATGACCATCAGGATGTCAAGAGGAGTGTTTCTAGAGCCTCTCCCTAGAGTGCTCTTTACATGCTGTGACTACAATTCAAGGCCCAGTGCCAGGCAGGGATAGGGTAAGGATAAGGAAACATATTACATGCTGTATTCATTACGGTGGCTTGGCCACACAACAAGGCGATATTGTGCCACACACTATTCTTGTAAATACAGAAAAATACTTTCATGAGTACATTATTTCCAACTGCTTAAATAGTCTTTAAAAGAGGCCATGCAGACAATAGTGCTCAGGAACCTTAGTAGAACTTGTAGATTAAGATCACACAGAAGTAAAGTTAACTTTTGAAGCAAGGGACTGGGTAGAATAGATCTGTTGTACAGTTGTGAACTGTGCATGTTCCAGCAAGCCATGTTTAACTGAAGGGTACACTACAGGGCATCCATATGGTATACTGATGGATAAGAACATCATGCACTATCTTTGACCAAACCAGAACAACTTTTTGTCGTGCATTTGACCAGAAGGTGAATTTGACCTGGCTCTCCCACAGCTTTTTCTGCTTGTACATAAAAACACAGGCAATGTTACTTTATGGAACATGCATGTGTAAAGGCAATATGGGTTGCCATCCTGCTGGTATTGGTTTGTGAGAGATGTTGTATTCATTCCAAAAAACACATTAATATGAAGAATATTCTTGTGCAGGATCCAGGAATCAATGTATTTCTATAAGATGTCTGCTGAAGCTTTAAACATAGAAACAATGCTGAAACAAGGTCTAGCACTCTACACTTCTCTTCCTTAAATATGTAAACCACCACCACACTTAAGAAATTAATATACCTTTCAATGCAGCTATAACGTAAGGATGAGATTCTGGGTATCTTACCTGAATCGAGTCAAACCCACAGTACTCTCTAGCAAGCTCTAACAGGGGAACCAGTGCCTGCAGTAAGAGGGTGGTACCACATGTCTTCAAAATGAAACGTCTCTTGGAGACAAACATGCTACTCTCACTGAAAAACAAAATACAATTGGTAGTGTTACATTTAATGCCTGGGTAGCTTTGGGAAAATCAATTTATTTGTCAACTGATTTGGTTCACTCAAAGCTGTTCTTAGGAAACATCCCTGGGAATGTTCCCTAAAGATTGGATGGGGGTGTATCATTCCACAATGGGCTTTGAATCAGGCAGAAGCCTACAGCTCTCCTGCAGTACTTTTGCCTGCATCAACATTGTGACCTGACAAATTGCTCCCCTCACTGTTGGGAGAGAAGGTAGCTTCTAACAGTAAAGGTCTATGTCCTCAATATGCAGATTTGTGGTTGTCTTAAATACAGGGAAGGAATACAATGACAGCATTATATACCATCTTAAACACAGTTACTAATGGCTGATGAAGTAGGCATATAGAATATTAGACAGTAACACTAATTTTCTCCTGAACAGCAACCACAAAACTTTCTATGGGTCTATCTATGGGTTCATACCATGTGAAGAGACATTATCACATCTCTCACAAATGACAGCAAACGTTTTTTGCCGAGAGCAGGGAGACAGAGCCAACTGATCAGGGCTGCACTGCTGGGGGAAGGAGGACTTTTCCCTACCCAATACCATTTCCCAACTTAAGATCATCCCTTCCACAACTGCAACTGGCCCCACAGGGTGAAAAAAAAAGTGCATATATGTTTTCCACCATCAGACAGATATTAGTTTCAAAGGGAAAGGATTTAATTCTGAAATACTGAATTTGAAGCATGTTGAAAAGGATTACCACCCACTGTAGTACTGCCATTCTGATCTGACTTTCCTCTGCATTTTCCTCTTAGAAAGAACACCACAGACAATCCACTCACAATCTTCCAACATCTCATCTAGTTTGCCATCCCTTACAATGAAATGAATAATTATGCCAAAACAGTTTAAGACTTCTGCATTGGTGAAAACCAGCATGGTAAAGAGGCTTCAGTGTTGGGACCAGATCCAAATCTCAACTTGACTACAAAGCTAATGATCAGACTTTGGTCAAATCAGTATTCTTGACTTAACCTCCACCACAAGACTGCACTTAGCCTTAGAATGTTCGGATGAACTTCTCATACGGTATAAGTATAGCATGAAAATGTAACAAAAAGGGAGTTGGGTAGGCTCCTTTTCTCCACAGCTACACACTCCAACAAAACTCATAACGGGGCTGTTTTGGGGTGCCCCTCCCCTGAGTATCCAAGCAACTCTACCCTATCTGTAGCCAAGAGGTGGCAATAAAAGACTATCACAATATTTATACCATAGTACATATGCAGCCCAAAACACAACATAATTTTATCAGAATCATCCACCTGTTCCAATTGGAGACCATTTGGGTAGCTGCAGAGTTGAGTTGGTGCTTGTTTTTTCAAGCAAGCATTTAGATTTGGAACTGATGGCAGAGGGTTGCCTCCGTGTGTACAGGGATGTCTATGATCAGCAGAGCAGAGTATACTATAAAGGGTTTTTTTTAATTAAAAAAAGCTGTGGTGATCAGAACTGCATAAAACACTATAAGTGGGTACACAGACTGGAAATAGTAAGTATATTTCTCAACACTGACTTTTCCCTCATTTACAACCACAGCACACAAATTCATGTTTTCATTGAGTTTTCTACTGGACCACCAAGATCTTACCTGACTAGTAAAGCCAACAGACCTATCAAACAAATACATAACTTTGAACCTTAGTGATAAGATTGTTTCTAAAAAGCTATGTTTAACCTTTGTGAGCTTACCTGAGTACATAAGCTTCCTGCTTGTCAGTTTTTGTCACACTTATGATCAAACAATGCACATTCTCCAAAAGTTTGTCCCACTCAAACCTGTTAGGGAGAATAAAGTTTAAAATTTTAATTCAAGCAGAAATCCAATACGACTACAACATTACTATTTCAAGTCATAAACGGGTAGTACAAACAAGTCCATAGCTGTAGTGTCCAATGCCTTATTTTCCTTCCTTAGTGATTTGTAGATTCTGTTTAACTACCGTATTTTTCGCACCATAGGACGCACCGGACAATAGGACACACTTTGTTTTAGAGGGGGGAGAACAAGAAAAAAAAATTTCCCCCCTCTCTGCCCAGCGCCCCTTCAGTGAAGCAGCAGGAGGTGCTGCACAGAGAGGGGGAGAACTTTCCCCCTCTTGTTTTCCCGCTCTAAAACAAGGTGCCATTACGGTGCGTTCAGGCGGCTACCTTGGAAGCCTGGAGAGCGAGAGGAGTCGGTGTGCACTGACCCTCTCGCTCTCCAGGCTTCAGGTTCCTCGACCTGCTCTTTGGGGCTGGCGGGGGGAAGCCCACCACCAGCCCCAAAGAGCAGGTCAGGGAGCAGCGGAAAGGCGCAGCGGAGAGGCTCCTGCCATAGCCGCGCGTCACCTCTCCAGCCGGGAGAGGGTCGCGGGGGGCTGCTTTAGCCCCGCGCGCGCTCTCCCGGCTGGAGAGGTGACGCGCGGCTATGGCAGGAGCCTCTATAGCTGCGCGTCACCTCTCCAGCTGGGAGAGGGTCGTGGGGGGCTGCTTTAGCCCCGCGCGTGCTCTCCCAGCTGGAGAGGTGATGCGCGGTTATGGCAGGAGCCTCTATAGCTGCGCGTCACCTCTCCAGCCGGGAGAGGGTCGTGGGGGGCTGCTTTAGCCCCGCGCACGCACTCTCCCGGCTGGAGAGGTGACACGGGGCTGTAGAGGTTCCTGCCATAGCCGCGCGTCACCTCTCCAGCCGGGAGAGGGTCGCGGGGCTATGGCATCTTCGCTCCATAGGACGCACACACATTTCCCCTTCATTTTTGAAGGGGAAGTGCGTCCTATAGAGCGAAAAATACGGTACATGAGTAGTAACATAATGACCAGCCTCAGCATGGCTTAGATGTAAGCCACAGATGTAAGAGTAATAGTAGATTGCAATTCAACATGTTGCAAAACATTTTTTCTTTTGTGAAACATTTGTGTGTTAATTTTAGTATTTGGGCACTCAAAGCTACTGGTATCTGAGTATTACCACTTACAAGCCATCACATGCCTTTAGAATTAGAATATAGGAATGCTGCAAAAGCAGAATAAAGCCTGAGGTTTCAGCATAGGAGCCTGTTTCTGGCCTGGCTATGGCCTCACACACTGCAGTGTGACACTATATGGCATGGATGAGGAACCTGTTGCCCTCCAGATGTTGTTCAACTATCCCTGACCATTGGCCATGCTGGTTGAGGCTCATGCAAGTTGGAATGCAACATCTGAAGGACCACAAGCTTTCTGCCACTGCCATCTGGTGAACACAAGTGCATCTTTCAAGGCTTTATAGTCCAAGCCATGCTTCACAGCACATTGAAAACATTTTGCAAACCTGGAAAACATCACCATAGACGGGACACAGAAAGAACTAAAACAGAGTCTCATTCAGTTATGAGGTTTGTCACAAACTGGAAGTATGAAAAATTGTCTCAAAAATTAGACAAAAGTGTTACCAAATGGAAGTTTTGGCATGGTGGCTAAAGAAATTGCTTTTAAAGGCTCATTTTAAAATTTAATTTTAAGGTGCTTCTTAAATATATTTTAAACTATTTCCTTGAACAACCACTAGGTTAATATTAATGTTTTCCCTAGAGATCTCTGAACTGAATAAGTGCCTTTCTTAGGTACATTTGAGTTAAAATGAGATTTTTCTATGTAAAATAATTAAAGTGATTATTTCTCATATACAAATATGTACACCTCTACCTACCAAACATAGGTATTTCTTTTGCACTACATGAAAATAAACTACTCATGTCTGCTTATTAACTATCAATCATGGACATTTATTTTTGCTTGCTTTTTTGGCGGGGGGGATGTGCCAAGGCAGAATGAAGCAGAAACACAAGTAATATGACAACTGTCCAGTGCACCAATTCCAATATTCCCTTAATTATTAATTATTGTCATGGCTGAATGTCATTCCCTCTAAAAGTAAAACAGAATGCATGCAAATGGTATACAGTACAATGAAGAGATACAAAAGCAAAATAAAATAGTGTCAATAAAAGTAGCTGTAATTAACATGATGTAGTGGTCAGATATACACCACTGTTTTAGAAATATATGTAGCAGATGGTTGTGTACCAATGAGTGTTTCTCCAGTTTGCAAATGTGTGCCCAGTCCCAAAGAGTTTGGCAACCCTACCCTTAGGATAACTTAATGGAATACCAAAAAAATACTGAAGCACCATCAAATGTGCACATAACCTACACAACTAAGTCATAGCTGCCTATAGCATGATAGACTTAGTTTTTTCTATCAGAATGTTTGGACAAGCATTTGGCTTCCAGTTACTAGCATGTTTGCTACTGCAGTATTTAGAACAAATGACATCTTTTTAGCCTTACCAGTTTTCTTACTATTCATAGACTGGTAGTGTTTTAGATCACAATTATGAAAGAGGTTTACTTTTGCCTGAGCAACTGTACCAATTTTTTCAGTAAGAATTAGGTTTTGATTTAACGTAACAAACCTTTGTCAATACTAGGAGGATTCTGAATAGCCATGTTTGAGGGAAAAGCCTTTTATTTTCTTGTCTTACACAGAACTTTTGAGTTCTATGAGACGCCTCATTCTATATCCCAATAACACTTTGGAATCAGTTCCATTTACATATTGGCTTCCAACATATGCCTTGGCAGACAGTAAGCTTAAGTTCTGTTTATTTGCTCAGCACTTACTAAATAAGATCTGGAGAAAGGAAACTGATCCTAAACCTCCACTGCCTTGCAGCTATACTCATCCATGAAAAAGGCTCCGGGACTAAAACCTGAGGAAAAATCTGCACCTGCTGCCTTGCAAAACATCTATGGGAAAAGAAAAATCTAAGGAGTAACTCCTACACAAATCCAGAGTGGAGTCCTCATAAGATGTCTTGTACACCTCCTGGCAACTCCTGCAATCAAGCTGGTCCAAATGCATTGCTCTGCTTTCCTTTGGACAGTTTTCTTATGAATAGCTCTAAAGTAAGGGAATGCTATGCTGGGGGGGGGGGGGGAGAACATGCTGCTCCACTGGAGTTACAGATGGAGCAATAGGATGAGGGGTCACCATATTTCTTGCTTAGTAAGGAGGTGGAATTGAGAGAACTTTATGCTAGTGAGGACCACATTGCACATGCTGGTGCACTTCCTTCCTTTATAATGCAACCTCTCTGTTCCTTCTTTGCATAATGACCCACCCATAAGAAGCAGGAGTCAGTGGCTCACACTTTTTAACAACTTTGACTGCAGCAGAACCATAATGTTCAGGGGTCCACAACTTATTGGTGGTTGACTAACAAAGCTGCAGGATGGGTCTTGTCTGTGATATCACACTAACTTCCCAGGCAGTTGGGAATACAGTGGTACCTCAGGTTAAGAATTTAATTCGTTCTGGAGGTCCATTCTTAACCTGAACTGTTCTTAACCTGAGGTACCACTTTAGCTAATGGGGCCTCCCGCTGCCGCGCAATTTCTGTTCTCATCCTGAAGCAAAGTTCTTAACCTGAGGTACTATTTCTGGGTTAGTAGAGTCCGTAACCTGAAGCACCTGTAACCTGAAGCACCTGTAACCCGAGGTACAACGGTACCTCTAGCGTTGCATAACTGCAGGCACAAATCCCCCTCACACCAACTGAGGAAGTGAAGACTCAGCAAACAGTGAGAAGCCTTGCTGCTTTCCAAAACGCTCCAAGACACAGCCAGTAGCCTTCTCCAGGCTCAAGACAAGTGAACTGTAAGTGGTGACTACAGGTTCTGCTCCCTGCCATCAACATTATCTGCTCTATAACAGCATCAAGCAAAATGTGATGCTTTCTCCTCCACAAAACAAGTGCAGAAGAGTGGCAACAGATTTAAGTCCATCCTGCTCTGCTGCCTTGTACTTTGCACTTGTTTTATTTATTTATTTATTTATTTATTTATATTATTGTGGGTTTTATAAACAAGAATAATGTTATACAAATAAGTATACCAAGTTTTCTCATGTCATGTCAAAATAGCATAATAAATGTGGGAAAATATCTACAACATATGTTTCATTATAAGTGGTCAATGTACACAAGTTTTTGGTTCATGAATTGGTTTAAAACAATTAGGAAGAAGACGTAAAAAGAAAGGAAGAGGAGGAGGGGGAATGGTGAGTGGGGTGGGGTCAGGTGGTTATGCTTCTATTATTCTACTTAGGGGGGCCTGTGTCAGTGTTACTTGTATGGATTCTCTTACTATGCACTTGTGGTGAGAGAGGTTGGGGGTGGCTTACGGTGTACTTTGAGCTTGTTCAAGCAAAAAAACTGTTTCAAGATGGCTGCTACTGTACATCAACCTTCCCACTCCCTTAAAATCAGAGCCAGTTCAAAGAACTATCAAGAGATCCTGGACAGACAAAATGAAGTACTTTACATTGTAGAGAGTTAAATTATGGGATTTCCTATCATAAGATGTAGTGATGACCACTAACTTAGGACAGCTTTAAAAGAAGATTATACAAATTAAGAGGATAAGGCTATCAATGGCTAGATCCTACCTCCAGTATTGGAGGCTGTATGCCTCTGAATACCTGTTGCTGAGGAGCACACGTGGAGAGAGTGCCAAGGGTAAAACCCTGGTTATGTTTAGACCGAGGTGCACATTCCCTAATGTGCCCTCCCGCCGCCGGTGCCCTTCCACCATTTGGCTTCCATTCCTAGACCGAGGTAACTACTTCCGGTTTGTATACCGAATAGTTCATAAACAGGGCTGTTCTTAAACCAAGGTACCACTGTTGTACAGAATTTTAAGTTGGAAGGGACCCAAAGGATCATCTAGTCCAACCCCCTGGAATCATAGTACACATAAACTTCACTAGTGATCCACAACAGCCCCTGCCCGTCAACTATGTGAAATTTTAAGGTATATGTGTAGATATTGGTTGGCTTGATTTAACTTAAGTTTCTGTACTAGTATTCTTGACTTCTGAAACCTGCCATGGTCTTAGATTTCTGGCCAACTGGTAACACACTGCAAACAAGGGGGAGATGGATGTAATGTGTTTATTAAGAGGTTTGCATGCCGTCGATTCTGTCCTAGCTTTGGGGTGTTTCATATACAAAAGGGACACACTTGAAATGCTCATATGCATGGGTAGGTGCTTACATTTTTCATTTATGCCTCTTTATGAGGGGCAAGCACCTGCTCCTCTAGACTTCCATAAAACAGGAAAGAAGTTGTATTTGTTTCCAGTACTATTATATCCAAGTTATAGGTGAAACCTCAGATGGCTGGGGTATAAATAATAAAATTTATTATTATTATTATTACTACGACAACAACAACAGGTACTGTTTTTAAAAATCTGTTTTTAACATACCAGGTTTAGAGAATCTCCTAAAAAGTATAAGTCTTAAAGGAAGTTTCATAACCTCAACTATATTACAGGTACTTGTTTCTAGACTACATGTTGATCAGATTGGATATTAACTTGTTTTAGGATTAAATGTTTCAATGCAATAGCCAAAACTACAAAAAATTGTTTCACCAATGTTGGGCCAAAACGTATTTTAATACCACTGACAAACAAGATTGGCAACCACAATGTAGATAATTTGCCATAGGAGTCCAGGTGTGTTTTGAATTCTCAAATAGCTCAGTTTATAGAAGTGTGAGCTATCCAGAAGACTTGATTTGAACAGGGCTCCCCTTGCCCATCACTTTTCTCTGTCTTGTTTCAGCAAGTTAACCTTGTCAGTCATTAATTCCCACTCTGGTTCCTATGCTTAACAAGCCCAATGTTTCAAAGTTCTACTAAAAACTAGTCAAGGGAGAACTGTCCCTTTCACACACAAAGCAAGGAAGATGCAAGCACATGTACATTTCAGGCTGTGCAGGGCTCAGCCCTTCCCCCCACTACTCTGTTGGCTGAGCTGGCGCTTCCTCCACATTCCTGAAATGCCCACTGGATGACAGGCCCAGGCCCAGCCCTTAAAATGATACTGCAATCTCATTGGCCTGAGCTTGTCAATGGGGAAGGAGAGGCCACCACATCTGGGGCGCGAGCCAGAAGCCTCACGTGTGATCTCGGTTCCAGCCACATTTTTCAAAAGATAGGAGGGGCCTCTCCCCGCCCCAGTGCCCAAATAGGAGAAAAGCCAATCGCGCAAATAAGAGCCGCCCCGGCCACTGCTCTCCTCGCCGGAACGTCCCTATGTGGCCCAGAACACTAGACCTGCCCCAGTCAGAAGCTGAACACAAGACGGTGCGAGGGCTAACGCTCCGCAGCATTTAGTAAGGCCCGCTAAAAGCGTCGTTTCACAGGTAGCTGACAGACTCGATTAACTCTTCCACAAAGCCAAGTTCTGGGGCTGACAGACAACCAAGCGCCCGCTCTGTCAGAATTTGGTCCGAGATTATCGAGGCCAGGTTGGAACCACGGCGCCAATGGAGACGACACAGGCACGCAAGGCTGCTCGCTCGCTCGCCCTCCCGCCGGGGCGAGACCGGGGTAACGGCGGCCGCCGGTGCAGCGTTCGGAGGCGGAGGCGTTAGACACGTGTCCCGCCGTCACGTTACTCTCCCATGACGAGCTTGCGTGCTCTCAGCCGCGGGCAGTGCCCAGTTCGCACACGAAATACGTTTCAGACGTAGACGCCGCTTATACACGGGCGAGCAGGTTTGCCGGTGGCCCCGCGCGCGGCTAAGGTTTCATGCGCCTCCCACTCTTCCCCGAAGGCCCAGCCAACCGCCGCCCGCCCCGACCATTACTAGGGCGGCCGGCAACGACTACACGCGGCGGCGATGGCATCGCTCCGCGCTACCTCAGAGCAGGGGCGGGGGAAGAGAGGAACCACGCGGACTGAGCTGAAGTCGGAAGCTCTCCCGAAGGCACCTTTTTAGCAAGGTCGTTTAAAAGGACCGGCGCGGAAGGTCACATTTCGCCCGTGCAAGGTCACCCCGGCTCTTCCCACCACCACCAAGTTCCTCCACTCGGCCAACTTTTTCCTAGGGCTGCGCGGCCTGCTTGGAACTCGGACGCAGGCCTGCCCGCCAACGGCCGTGCATGGAAGCCAGGCCCGCGCGCGTGCCGAGCAGGGACGTTGGTGGCGGTTGGCGGTTGTTCGTTCTCGTGCCCCCCCCCTCCGCGCGTCAACGCCCAGAGAAGCCGGCGAAACTCAGCGCGTCACTTCAATGTCCGCCGTATCCCTCCCTCTCCGTCGGGCCAGCCCCGCACTGTCCCTCCTTCCCGTCACACACTCATCCACACATCGAGCTGCGCTCTGAATGGAGCAGCCGCCATGCCCTTCCCCTTTGCTGGCCATCAGCCTCGTTCACTTCCCGCCCAGCGGAGCCGGCATCGCGGCAGTCCTCTTGCCAGTGCATGTGCGCCACCAGTCGGGCATGTTCGCTCCCCCCCCTCCTCTCGCCACTAACCCATCCATGTTGCTTCTCTCCCGCGCCCGGCCGCCCTCCAGCAGAGCGGACCTTCCCCTTTTTCGCCACCACTCCGGTCGGCCCCTCTGGCTCCCTTCCTTCTCCCCTCGCGAGCAACTAACCTGGGGATGGTGCGGAGATCGCCGGACCCATTGGTTTGGTGCGGCTCCTGCGGCGAGGGCTGTTGCCAGGCGAACCACACCTCCAGTAGCTTCTCAGTCCCTTCGAAGAAGTGTGCACCGTTCTCCTCCATCATGGTGAGACAACTCCGCAAAAACCAACAACCACAGAAATTAAAACGACAGACACCCCCGACCAAACTGCTGCTGCTGCCGCCGCTGCCGCCGCCCTCCTCTTCACCTACACACCGGCCAAGGCTGGTACTGCTGCTGTTCCGGGCCGCGGCGCCTTCACCGGGTCTCAGCCCGTCCCAAACAGGTTTCACCTTTGACGGGGTAGTAATCTTATATTAGGCTATAAGAGAAATATATATATAGATATATATACCAGAGAGCGGTTGCGGGAAAGGTGGCGGGTTGTTACACAGTCCTTTGGGGTAGGGGAAGGAGGGAGATGGAAGGAGAGAAGTGCGGAGTAGGCAGGCGTGCAGGCGATGCGGTTCGGTTCCTTGTAGTCCGTGTGTTCCCCTGTTACAGAGAAAAGCACAGAGCGAGCGCTAGCTAATGTCGCCGGCCATACTGTGGAAGCGAAGAGGAATGAAGCACGCAGCAGCTTTTATATGCGCACAGGTATTCGGGTCCCTTCCTCCGCAGCGCCGCCATTGGGTCCTTGCTGGTTAGTCCCGCCCATCTACTTCACCGATAGGACGCTCCGAGATGTCTGTCAGGCGACACGGGCTCGCCCCGTGCTACTGACGGTTCCAGCCTGTGCGCCCGAAGGCGAAGCGGACGGAGGCAACGTCCCCGGCTGGCACTCGCGGGAGCCAGTGGGCGAAAGAGGGAGAGAATAGCTGCAGAAAGAATACAAAGAAACCGCACACAGCTGCGTAGCAACAGAAAATATGTTTGTGGTTAGAAGAGGGGGGTTGGGGTTCTGTTCAGGAGAGAAGGTATAAAGGTACTGGAAAGCTGACATTTGTTTTAATGAGCATTTTGGACTACACTTAAATCATGAGTGCCTGGGGCATGTTGCTGGGACCTTCTGAAATATGGCTCTTTCAGTACACGCTAAAGGTGGAAAACAGGCAATGTGTGACAGACTCAATATATTTGTGACAAATGGAAAGTATAGGGTGTTGCCTAATATATAGAACCTTGTGTATAAAATATACTATTGACCTCTCTGGGAATTATCTCTGAGTAAACATGCATAGGAGTGGACTGCACCTGTAACTCAGGAACAGGAAAGCTATGGGAAACCCCCTTGTTCACTGAAGCAGCTGTTCAATGATTTTGTCCTCTGCAACCAGATTAACCAGCCATTTACAATGATGTATTTCTCCAAACCCACTGGGATTCCACCAACAGTAAGCAAATCTTCCCCAGTTTAATAGTATATAAGGGCATTACTGCACAGTCAGTCAAAGCATAATTCAACATAATTCAATGCACTCTGATCATGCTTCCATTTAGGTATATCCTACTGTGTTCAATGTGCATACTCCCTGGTAAGTATGTTTAAGATTGCAGTTTTATGTTTAACTTCAAGTTCTTTTCAATGCACAATAATCCATGAATCTGCACACGACTTGGAAGAGCATAGTTATGCTGTGTGACAGTGGTCCTTAACCTTTTTTGGGTTACAGACTCACTTGAGAATCTGATGAAAGCTACAGACCCACTTCCCAGGAAAAATGCAAATATGCACAAATTTTTTGCATACAGTTGATTTTATTGCATGGGTGTGTTTTGCATCCATAGGCCCTAGGGCGAGAGGGAGAACTTACAGTTTCACATAAAGATAGGGAATCTACTGAGAGCTGATGGACAAGCTTCAGTGACATACAGTTACAATCTTATATTAACCCGGGCATGGCCAAACTTGGCCCTCCAGCTGTTTGGGACTACAATTCCCATCATCCCTGACCACTGGTCCTGTTAGCTAGGGAAGATGGGAGTTATCCCAAAAAAGCTGGAGGGCCAAGTTTGGCCATGCCTGTATTAACCTATTTGGCAGTAAGCTTCACAGTAGGGCTTATGAGTAAGCAAGTATAGAATTATGCAGTGTACTGATAAATAAAAGGGGGGAGGTAGTTGGTTGAGAATTCTTGCATTGGGATTTTCCACAGGGCTGCCTCAAGACAGTTTCCTGCCTGAGGCAAAGGACAAGATGATGTCTCCACCATTCCATGTACAGAAGCTAATTGGACCAGTAATGGAACAGTGTCTTCCACTGCACCTGAGAGTACCAGGCTAGTTAGGGGAGTGTGGCACATAGAGCTCTGCCTTTAACAGAAGAGTACAGCTGTGGGATTCAGGAGTAGAAGCTAGAGGACTACCACTGCTGCCCCACAACATATTGCAACCTGAGGCAGTTACCGGTAACCTCATTCTGCCTAATGGTAGGGCTATCCCTGGGCATCCAAAATATATTTACTTTAAAATAATAACAAATGAAAGTTCCCGAAAGTGTGGAAAGGGGAAGATAAGCATTCTGCTGCTAATTTCATCACAGGAAATACCCAATAGCCGCCACTGAAACTTGTAACTGCATCCCACACAGTAATCACAATGGCAATTAATCCACTGCCTTGAGCTATTGTATTTCCCCAAATGAGACTGTGTGAATTAATTTATCTAAAATTAAGCTACTTCCACATCTGAACAGTGTATGTGTAAGGGGCAGGCAAACAACACAAGCTTATGGGGAGGCTTTTGCTTCTGAGAAAATATATTTTAATTCAGGGGAAATTGTGACAGAGCACACAAGATTTCCCTGGGAAAAGCATGAACAAATGGTTACTTCTGATCTGAAAGAAGAAGACAGCAGAATTGTGGGTCATAATACAGTATTTGTTTTCTAAATTAAGATTGCTATCCTATGATGAATTAGTGGAGGATAAAAGTACCTCAGGAAAAGCTTAACATGTTTTGTATGTGAGAGGGAAAAACAAAAAAAGTAAAAAGATGTATTGAGATTAGAAGTGAAAATGTATCAATGGGAATTAAAAGTAGACGTGTGTACAAGAAACCTACTGAAACTCTTATTAATTTTACTCAGTAAGGCTCTGATTTCATACCTCAATGTTAATGCCTACTTCAGATCTAATGGAAGACCATGGTTCATTCATCACTGTGTGAGTAAGCTATGACAAACACTGGGTTTTAGCATTTTCCCTCCTCTGCTTCCCTCTTTTGTAGGCAGGGGGAGATGAAGATGGGGTCACACAGTGTAATTTGCCCCAGGTGCTGCACTTCCCCTAGGGACAGCCCTGTGTTCATATTTACATGGAAACTGGTGGCTGAATTAGTTTCCCAAATAGATTATACAGTATTTCGAGATCATTCCTCTGTAGTTGTGTGCCCAACCATCATGTAGGCTGGTATTAATATCATGCTTTGATTATATCCAAGTAAAAAGTTCAGGAGCATTGGTGCTGATATCTGCAAAAGATCAAAAACTTGAACAACTTGCATTTTATAGCTTCACCCTTGGTAAATATTGTTAAGTAATACAGTACAACAGTGCCCTTCCCTGTAATGTTTTTACATTCAACGCTGGATTTTAGCTGAATAAACAACAATAACAGGTATGCCGGTAGAAAGCCAGTAAGGGACTAGCCAGTGTATTGTACAGAATATCACACAATTTCTGCTTGGTTTTAAAGGAAAGCGTTGATATAGTGGGCCTAGTTGAAACCAGATGGAGAGTACCAGTGCAGTGGAAGAACTAGTGCAAAACAGCTATCTCTTGATGTAAACTATGGGAAGGTCAGTAGCAGGGTGTACTGGAGGTGGTGTTGCTCTGCATGCCAAAGGACACAGAGTCCAGCAAGCAAAAACTTATAAAAGGGGTAGATTCCTCCACAAAATTGCTGTGGGTGGCAATACTAAGGCATCAATATAAATTTAGTACTGAGTACATGCTATCACTGGGACACGCATGGTGCTTGGGACGTGGGTGGCGCTGTGGGTTAAACCACAGAGCCTAGGACTTGCCAATCAGAAGGTCGGCGGTTCGAATCCCCGCGACAGGGTGAACTCCCATTGCTCGGTCCCTGCTCCTGCCCACCTAGCAGTTCGAAAGCACATCAAAGTGCAAGTAGATAAATAGGTACCGCTCCGGCGGGAAGGTAAACGGCGTTTCCGTGTGCTGCTCTGGTTTGCCAGAAGTGGCTTAGTCATGCTGGCCACATGACCTGGAAGCTGTACGTCGGCTCCCTTGCCCAATAAAGTGAGATGAGCGCCGTAACCCCAGAGTCGGCCACGACTGGACCTAATGATCAGGAGTCCCTTTACCTTTTACATGCTATCACCCCCTGACCAAAATGCTCAGTGTCATCTTGAGATGGAGACAGAAACCAAGGAGGCATCCAAAGGAGGAAATGTAATGAGTGACTTCAGTTGGGTAAATGAATGCTCCAGTCACGATAGAAAATAAGCCTTCCTTTATAAAATGTAAGTCTTATCCAAATGAGGAGAACAAAAAGGTACAGAAACTTTGGCAAAATAAATGCAAGCAGACAACAAGAGAACATTTCATATTGCAAATTTTTTAAAGACCAACAATAATACATTTAAAAAACATGTTAGAACCAGCAGACTAGCTGGAGAGACGTTTGGTCCTTTGGATGACAAATGAGTCAAAGGTGTACTAAAGGAGGAAAAGGAGATTACAGAGAAGCTGTAGTGCTGATCCCTGTGCCTGAACTGAGTCTGAAGAGGCAAATGGTGGTTAAAAGAATTGACATTCTAGGCCTTGATGACAAACTAAAAATGAAGACATCACATCCAGGAGGTAGCATCTACTTGAGAGCCCTTTTAAAACTTGAATTTAAATAGCTGATCTTCTAACAAAAGAAAGTAACATCTGTGAGATCAGCCTGCATACCTGAGGACCAGAAAGTGGTCAATATATACCGGTAATAAACTTTTAAAAAGGGATCCAGAAAATATATAGGAAATTAGTTTTCAAGTAACCAACCTGTAATGAAAACTATTATTAAAATTAGAATTACCAAGCATAAAAGACCAAATTTGGCTGAAGCAAAATCGGTATGGCTCCTGCAAATTTAAGTCATATATAACTAACCTTTTAGAGTTCAGAGTGTCCATATGCATATGACTAGGGGTGATCAACAGATAACATAAACATGGCCATTTATCAAAAAGCTTTTGATAAAGTCCCTTAGGAAAGGGACTGAAAATAAAACTGCCAATCATAATGGTGTTATATAAATTGATGGTGTGACCAGATTATAGTACGAACATTTCTGGTTGTCATACATCAAAAATACTATATTAGAGCTGGAAAAGGTGTTGGAAAAGGCAACCAAAATTATAGAAAGGCAGGACCAATTCCCATATAAGGAAAGGTTACAACATGTGGGGCTTTTTAGGTTAGAAACCGTGCATAAAATTATGCATGGTGTGGATAAAGTGGGTAGAGAAGCTTTCTCCCCTTCCCATAATATTAGAACCCAAAGTCATCTACATAGCACATAAACTATTGAAATTTATCCCACAAGATTTAACACTGGCCACCAACTTACACAAACATAAAAAGAATAAGACAAACTATTGGAGGATAAGGCTATCAAAGCTGCCAGTCATTATAGTTGTATGCTGCCTCTAATATTGGAGGTGATATGTGACTGAATACCAGTTGCTGGGAAACACAAATGTGGAAAATGCTATTGTGCTTGTATTGTGTTTGTGGGCTTCCTATCCTTCACCCTATTTAACACCTTAATGAAGCTACTGGGGGAGGTTATATGGATATTTCAGATGCAGAATAAACAGTATGTTGATGACACCCAACCGTGTCTCTCATTTTCAGCTGTACCAAGGGAGGTAGTTGAAACAGTGAACTGTTTATAGTTGTGAAGGACTGGATGCTGTACAAGAAGCTGAAACTTAATTCACCGAGTACAGAAGTAGCATTGGTAGGTGGACTAACATGACTAACATCCCCTCAATTCCTTTGTCCAAGTTGTTTATAAAGACATTGAACAACAGTGGGCCCAGGACAGAACCCCGCTTGTCACTTTTTACCAGAATAAGAAGAAACCATTAATGAGTACATTTGGGTTCAGTCAGTCAGTTACTTCATTCAAGCCACATTTTACCAGCTTCCTCACAAGAATATCACGGGGTGTGTGTATTTGTATTTGTCCAAAGCCTTACTGAAATCAAGATACACTGTGTCCACAGCATTCTCCTGATCCACCAAGATTGTAACTCCATTTAAAAAAAAAATGAGATTTGCCTGGCATGACTTGTTTTTAAGGTATAAATGATATGAAAGGGAAAACACAGCTTTTGTGATATGGTAGTCTGCACACCTGTAAGTTCACATTATGTGAAGAAGAGAAAGACCTTGCAGAGCAAGCGCAGACCTGCATGTAAAGTAAACTGTATGAGTCATTTAACAATGCCTTTTGAATGCTGATGGTTACCTGAAATACATTAGGAAGAGGTGGAGGCAAACCAATAGGTGCCAAATCAATTTTATCTATGTAAGCAAAGTGTTCCTCTACGTCAACTTTCGAAGTCTCTAGGCTTCATGTTCAAGAGACATTAAACTCAACGCTAGCTTGAAAACTGCTCTACCCTATCTCCACCCCCTTCCGCGTCCCGCGGTCGGTGAGGCATATTGTACGTGTTGCCTGTGGGGCAGCGTCTTCCAGCTCTAGCGCCTGGGAACGTGCACCTGCTGCCTTTTCTTTTAATTATTGAGGGCAGAAGAGCTTTGCCGGTGCTCTGCCGCTCCTCCGTTCATAGAACATGAGACGCTCCAGGAAAACAGCGCTGCGCAATGTCAAGCGAGCGAGCCGGAGGCGGCGGGAGTGGGAGCCAGCGAGAGGCGCGTGAGCAGAGCCATTGTCAATATGCTAGCGAAGGGGGGAAGGGCGAGAAACGCGAAGGCTTGGGAAGAGCTGCGGGAGGACGACGACGACGCGGAGATCGGCCCAAGCGGCAGCCTTTCTCCCTCAACTCTCAGACTTGAGGCTCCACCTTTCAATTGATTGACAAAAAGGCCAGCGTTTCAGATTCGGCGTTTGGGCGGGCTCAATGGTGAAGGGCGAAAAGGCGGGACGCAGTCTAGCCAACGGTGACGAATGTAAGAGCGAAGGGCGGGGCTACAACCTGAATGACAGCTCAGGAGATAAACAAGCTCCAGCGCGAGACCCTCAATCGACCGACCTCGGCCGTACCCCGTTCCCCGCCCCGTCGCTTGAGAGTGTGACTGCGACTCATTGTTCTGCAGGCGGACAAACGAAGCAAAGAAAGACTCCGCCGTCTCCCTTCTAAGCAACCGTCTGACTCTCCCGCCACTGCCCGGCAACGTGAAGAGTCAGCAACTTCCCACCACCCGCTCAGCAATAACCGGGGAGCGGGTTGCAATGCGCAGGCGCACACAGGCTTCGGTGCTGCAAGCGACGCCGGGAACTGTAGTCTCCGCTTCCTCAACCTTCCCCAGACGCCTTCGAGCTCGCGCTTCCTCCGATACTACCAAGCCCAGAATCCCTTGCGGCCCTAACTATTGGAAGCCCTAGTTGAAGCGGGTGGCGGCGGAGCGGACTCCCCCCCCCAAAAAAACAAAAACCCAAAACAAGGAAATGGTGCCCAGTGCGGTGGCTTCGTGCCCCTGACGCTCGCGCGGCCGCTGGTCCCGCCGCCTCATCCCGCCCTCCCTGCGGCCGCCCCTTCCATGGGTGAGAGACATGGACTACGAGTTCAAATCCAAGCTGGCGGCCGAGCGCGAGCGGGTGGAGGATCTGTTCGAGTACGAGGGGTGCAAAGTCGGCAGAGGCACCTACGGGCACGTCTTCAAAGCGCGGCGCAAGGACGGGTAAGAGGGAACCGAGCTCCTTCGAGAAGGGCGGGGGGGGGTTCGGGGAGAGCGGGGGGGAGCCGAGCAAGCGCAGATTGCCAGGAGGCGCCGGCGAGGTCGGCTGAACTTTGAAGCCCCGCCGCTTTCCGCGATTGCTGTCACAGCGGCGGCGGCGGGTTTTATTTCTCGAGCCCCAACCCCGCCCGCTAGAGGCGGCTGAGGGCGGGAACAAACTTTGTCCCGCGCTGGCGAATCCCTCCTTCCGCTCCTCGTGCCTTTGGGGTGTGAAGGAGGCTCGGGGTCGAACGGGATTCAGGAAGAGACGGACCCCGGTTCGCCCCGCGCTTTCCCCTCGTTTGTTTTTAGGGTCCAGCCCAAGCCGTGCTTTCTCTGCCTGAAGCAGGACTAAAACTATCCTCTCAAGTCTCAGCCGTTCAAAGCCTAGAATTGAAATGCTTGACCTGATTTGAGAAAGCTACAAAATTTCCCTTTCTCGGTCGGAGGGACTGGGAATGTTTGGAGCTTGAGATAGTATCCTGGTCACAGAGCTAAGAAAACGGTCTTTGTTGGATTAATAGGTCTTAATATCATACTTTGATTTTAGCTGATCCACATTTGAGGGGGAGAGCCCCCCAAATTCATATTAGCTGCTCGGAATAAAAGGGTTTTTGCGGTTAGTGCACAAATTACTTGCTTGAGAAAAAATTATTTTTACTACTTGTCTTACGAGTACATCTCATGTGACACAGGTATTACCTGTTTGGATAATAATAATCTGCACTGTCTTGTGTAGGCGTATATCTGGACAGAGAGGAGTCTGATGCTTTGTAGATGATTTGACTAGATAGTTTTTGGAACTCCTCTGGATCGAAAAGTCTATTCAGTATTATTACGGTATTCTATATATGTGTATCTAGGATTGGTTAATGTATGAAAACAAAGAGCAAAGTATACTCCCATGTTTAAATTTCTGATCTATATTTTTGTAATGCTATATATACAGGCTGATGATGTAAAATCCCTTGAGTACTGAAAGTGGTTTTATGTTTATATAGTGTCAATGGTCTGCACCATGAATAAGAAATCAAGCCCTTTTGTAACTATTCTGCTTTGGCAAATCAGGTATTTTGATTACAGTATGTACAAATGCTTAAAACTCTGGATGCACAAAACCCAGTTTCTGGTAAGTCTGCAGTCCTGTGTATTTACCCTTACTTGGAATAAACTCCATGAAACAGTAGGGTTTGCTTCTGAGTAAATATGTACGGGATTGGACTGCTTGTCTCATTGAGTATACAAATCCTTAATTCACAACACTTAGTAGCTCTCTTCTGCAGACATTCAATATTAATTTCATGCTAACTGATAGAAACTATAGCAAAAATCACAGTAGGTAGAGACATTCCCATGTAATACATTGATAGATCAACATAGCTATGTGTGTGTTGTCTTTTCAACTTGGTAGTTTTCTTTTACAGTGGGAGCCATGTGGATAAATGTATTGTAAGTGAACCAAGCCTGCAGTTTCAGTTATGTTATTGACAAAGTTAATCACAGTAGTCTTCCAACACAAGTCATGAGATGAGAACCCTTCTACTTATTATGCAGTAGGGAAAAGGGAAACACAACTTTAGGATTAACAGCTTTTCCAGTAGGGAGAGGGAGAACCAATATTTGCTCCAATACCTCTACATTTTGTTCTGAAGCATGGGCAGATTTCAGAGGCATCAAAATACTAGGCCCAGAAAAAGCAATACTGAGATAAAAAAATCACAAAACAGTTTTACTGCTTTTCAGCAAATATTGTGTTAATATATTGACAGTTATTTATTTTGCTATTTTTATATTCCACTTGTCCTTTTGAATGTTCAGAAGCCACATGCATGTGGTTTTCAAAAGTTTCCCACCAGTTGTTGCTCAGGTCCACACATGCCAAAGATTCAAGCAAAATATATGATTAGACAACCTCCGTCCACCGACTTTGTTATCAAAAGATCAGGTGTGATCACAAATTTTGAGTTGTGCTTTCCTTCCCTCACTAACAATAAAAAAAAATTAAACTGACTAACAGTGCCATGGAATTAAATGAGACTTACTGTCCAATCCTAACTCAAGTGTAGTACTTATTCCTAAATATGTGGGGTTAGAATTGCAGCCTTAAACTGCCTTAGCATGATCTATTAAAACTTGGGTTTTTTTCTTATACTTTGATGCAGCTGCAATAGCTGTGATATTTACAACTGGCCGGGCTGAAATTAACAGCATCTTCCTGCATCTCTTTGGAGTAAATAAACAAAAAGAACTTAAATTGTTTAAGATAATATTTTTCTCAAACATTACCCGTTATGGCCATTTATATGGAAGGAATTAGCAGCTCAACACACTTGTTTTCCTGGATTGTGTTTGGTCAACCAAATGAATAGCAGCACCAAACTACATATTAGTCCTATCACAGCTGCGGCAGTGCTGTTAGCCATGGTTACAGAGTTGATTGTTACACATGACATTGACATAAGTCCAGTATCTCATGATTCTGCATGATGACAGAATTCTGCCTCCTGGGAATGTATCTGAATTTGAAATAAAGTGAGTTCCTTGTCCTTACTCCTGCAAAGATATTTAAAAGTATGTTGCAAGGCCTGATGAAACCTTATTTAGCCACCTGTCTGGCTTCTCAGTTGTCCAGCGGTGGGAGGTGCAATTTTTTAAAATAGATCTTTCTGCCTCTCAATGTCTAGGAGAATAGAATAAATGTGTCTGACATGCATGATATTTCGTTTTGGCTCCATTTGCATAGTATCAACAGACTTTAACACTTGGCTTTTCTTGATGCACAATTCCTCTTGCAATGCAGGAGATACATTGTTCTAGCTTTATTAATGCACCTCCCTCTTTCAGCTTGGAGAGGCCAGCTTGGTGAAGCAGTACCACAAAGATACCCTCCTGATACTGGTTTCACTTACTGGGTTAGTAGTGGGAGGTCAGGGCTGTGCAGGCATACTGGTGGAACCAATCCAGTACTCCCTCTGATGTGCTCGCAGAGCCTTGACCTCACTGTTGCTCTGCCCCTACAACACCTCTTGGTAAGCAGCAGCGATGCCCATATTGGAAACATATCTCTGCAGTACCACCTTACTGCACTAGCTGCTCTTATATACAGGCTTGTGAGACCTGCTGCCGTCTTTCAGACTTGGAGGAAATATGTGGTGGCCGCATTCAGGATACCTGTTCCAGTTTTAAAAGGGAAGAAGAAAGCTGCAATGCCTTTTGTAGGTGTGGAAAAAGCACCATGATGGTAGGGAAGGAGATATGAGAAGGGAGATTGTGGGAGGGGAAAAGGGGGAGCCAGTGGGTGAGGGTGGAGAGGTGGGAGGAAGATTTAATCAACTACTTGCAAGAGTGATAAGAGGCCTACTCTGGTTCTGATTTTGTCATGTTTGGATTCATGTTGATTTCAGGGAAGTCATAGGGAAAATTCCTTGAAGGTCATTGTTGGCTCTTAGTCAATATGCCAAACCAGTGCAGAAGGCTTATTAACTTTGCCGCTGCAGTTTTTCTGGAAGTTTATCACCTCACTTCTGTAATGGCTGTTTTTTCATGAAGCATCTGCTTGCCTATTGGCCAGGATAAATAGCTACAATGTAATGGTATTGAGATTGTTAGCAAGTCAGATGTTGTCGATTAGTTTCAAGGCACTATTGCACAAAACATCCATATTGAGATATGTTTTAACAAATTTGAAATGTTGAGCTGTAATAGTCTGAAATTCATAGAGTCTCTTACGTTGTGTCTTATAATTAAATCGGTTATTGCTGCCATAAAGGATACAGTTTGGGAAAGAATAATGAATGCAAAAGATCTGATTAAACCTTTTTGCATTTATTTAAAACTTTCCATGTATAAAAATGCTTGCAAAATTTATTGCACCTTAAAACAGTTTTGTTGCCTGTACTGTAGTTTACCGGTACATTTATGATATAAATACAGTTATAAGCTGGTGGTTTTGGCTCTCGTGGGTGTAATGGTTGTATGTCTTTTGATTCAGTATTCGTGGAATAGGAGCAATGGAGCTGGCTACATACGTAGTTGCTTTTGTTACATTTAACTTGTGTACCACAATTTCAAATTTTATTTTTATTTACAGTACTTAGACTTTTAACCCCACCTCCGAAAACTCAAGACAAGTAGAGAAACAAGTTATAAAAGTACTGTCAAAATAAACATGTTGCTGCTCATTCCAGTCTTCTATGCTACATCAAATGACTTCGCATTGTTAGTGTGTTCAGCTTCTGGGAAGGCACTTCTAGAATGTAGAAGTGACCACTAAAAGCTAGTGATAGGGTGAATTTAGGTCAGAAAGCCTTGCCCCGTTATAGAGTGTTGAGATCCCTCTGAATTTGGGTCTAGCTAGTAATGGGATTTGTCTTTGTTCTTGCTACTCAGCTCTGCCTCCAGTCCTCCTGCTTTTCCAAGCAAAGTCCTTGCAATTGAGAAGCTTTAGAATTCATTTCTAATAAAGGGCAAGGCCCACAAGCAGACTTTCCCACTCTCTTAGGATCCCTCTTTGCTGCTGGTTCCTCACTCTGCTTTTCTTGCGATGTTTTGGGAGGGGTAGGGGATACAGGGGAACCTGAAGATAAGAGAAGCTCATTTCTCATTGTTCCTTTATTCCTGAATGTTCTTGGGGGGTGGGGTGGAGATGGGGATGTGCACAAGGTTTCAGGAAAAGAAGAATGGATTTGGAATCAAGCAAAGGGGAGTTACACAGTCACTACATAAAACTAGGGTGGCCAGATGAAAAAGAAGATAGGGTTCCTGTCATGGGCATAGCCAGGATTTATGTTGGAGGAGCAGGCTTTATGTTAGGGGGCCAGAACTTCAGTCAGTTATGTACTGACTGATTTGGGAGAGCAGCTGCCCCCTGCCCCCCTTGGCTACAACCATAGCTCCTGTGCCTTTAATAGTTGTATAGAAAAGGTAATTGAAATTCCTCTTCTACATCTAAGTTGCAGGAGTTCTGTCTTCTGTAAAAAAAAGGGGGGGGCAACCTGGGTAACATGCTATGCTCTTGCTGTTTGAGGCTTCTCAGAGACCACAATGCGATATGCCTTAGTAAATGCATTCTTCCATATGAAATGTTTTTAGGTGTTGGTATTCATGTGTTCTTGGATTGTACCTAGGGTTCTGTTCAGATAAAGATCCCATTACCGCCATACTTTGTCTAGAAATAAGTAGAAACAGAGGGGAGCAATCCTGTGAACATCTGGCAGGTCTTTCAGTTATTTTGGTTGGTTATTCATTCTTACCTGGGAGAAAGTGGAAATGAAAACAATGAGGCTTACTTCAGAGTAGATGCTATCAGATAGCCATGTTAATATCTCATTACGAATTTATATGGTTTAAAAACTTATTTTCATGAGTCTGTTACTCGGATACCAACATTTCTGAAACAGCTTTAAACATTCTAAATATTAAGGTGGATATTCAGAGAGGGAAGAAACACTACATATGTGTTTATTTTTCTCTTAAGAATGGGGGAAGGAACAAATGGTTGTGGAGTAGTACTTTTACAGTACGATCCTGTATGCATGTCTACTCAGAAGTAAGTTCCATTGAGTTGAAGAAACTCACTCCCAAGCAAGTGTGTATAGTATAAAAAGGTAAAGGACCCCTGACAGTTAAGTCCAGTCGCCAACGACTCTGGGGTTGCAGCACTTATCTCGCTTTACTGGCTGAGGGAGCCAACGTTTGTCTGCAGACAGTTTTTCCAGGTCATGTGGCCAGCATGACTAAGCCGCTTCTGGCGAAACCAGAGCAGCGCACGGAAATGCTGTTTACGGTCACCTTCCTGCTGGAGTGGTACCTATTTATCTACTTGCATTTTGATGTGCTTTTGAACTGCTAGGTTGGCAGGAGCTGAGACCAAGCAACGGGAGCTCACCCCGTCGCGGGGTTCGAACCGCCAACCTTCCGATTGGCAAGCCCTAGGCTCAATGGTTTAGACAACAGCGCCACCTGCGAATAGTGGCCTTCAAATGAATGGAGTCTTTTATAAATTAAATTAAAATGCTTGGAGGGGTAATTTCCTTAGAAGTAAGTTTGATAAATTTGTTGGAGTGTTAGAACACTTAATATTAAGACATCTTTTTTCTTGGGATTTTAATACATTAAAAAAGGTGTAAAAAAACCCGTTAAGAGTTCAATCCTATAACGTCTTCTCAGAAGTTAGATCCACTCAGTTCAGTGGAACTTTTTCCTTGGTAAGTGTTTATTTAGGATTATAAAAATGTCTACATAGAAGGCTGCATCATACCTACAAAGCTTGTGTTAAAATAAACTTAGCTTAATCATGCTAGGTTAAATGGCTTTGATTTTAATTTTGTGACGCTGAATATCTCTGTGTACCTCATTGTGTCTAAGCAAATCACACCTATTATGTATATGAAGTTTTGAGGTGTATCAGTTAAATAATTTAGAAAAAAGACATCAACAAATACTAAGTTGCAAGAATGGCTCCTTGAAAAAAATACTTGTTTTTGAATAGAAAAAGCTGTGGCAAAGTTTTAGTGTGGGAATGTTATTGGTAGAAGGAGGCCTCTAGCCGTGTTGCCAGCTAAAACTCCATAGAAACCCAGCAGTGATGCATATTTATAGTTTGCCAATCACCATGGTACCAAGGCACTGCTATAGCTAAAATCCATTCTACCCATTCTTATAGATTGTTTCAGCATCCTTCTTAATCTTTCTGCAGATGAATCCTAAACAAATTGGGAGAATGCATTCAGTACTTAGTACATTTTCATGATTGTTGTTTGCCCACTTTATATTTTACAGATTCAATAAGTATCATGCAATAAATATTGTTATATCACACTTTTGTCAGCTATGAAATATTGCTTCTAAAACAGTTGCTTTGCTTGGATAGGTACACAAAGAAATAATTGCTATGGTAGTAGCTTTTCCCCCTGTAGTGAGTGATGGCATAGCCAGTGGCATATCTCTTTGATTTGGTCAGCTCTGTAGTAGCTAATCTTAGACCTGATTTATACATGAAATTGACCACAGTGAAAGCTCTTACTCATGTAAGTTTCCCATGCTTGCTATATCTTAAAGAACTTGCAGGATATGTTGCCCCATTCACATGTAATATTAGCATGCCAACAATCAGGGTGTGCTATTGGCATGCTAATGTTGCACATGAATGGATGAGCACACTTTTTTTTTGTATGTGAATTTAAATGTGGTGAAGCACATGTAAAGCTTATCCAGATAAAAGCTTTTCATGTGACCCACATCCTACATGAATCTAGCTTTAGAGAGGGGTAAGAATAAAGAAAATGCATACCTCCAGTAGTGCTTATTTTAAAAACCTAAATAAACACACTCTTTTGGGAGTTGATGAATGCCTGAAGTGCCTGGTCAGACCAGTGGGCTGTCGGTGGTGCTTAGTGATTCTGAAAGACTGTTGGTTGTATTGATTAAATAACCTTTTTATTATAGTGCTAACCTTGCATGTTTGAATTCTGTGTTTGAAGTGATCTTGTCTTTCTAGGCTGCTGAGACAGCCAACTAAACTTGACCTTCCTAAGTCAGCACTCATAGTAAATCAAGAGCTTTGAGAGGCTGTTGAGGTGGGCTGCATCTGCAAGCTATTTAAGCACGAATCTCGGTAATTGTCATTCTGATAGAAACATCCAGACTAGAAAGACAGGTCTGTCATCTATGAAAATTTAAATCTATTAGCTCCAGTTTAAGAGCTGCTACTTCATGTCAGGAATATTTTGATGATGATGAATAAAATTTATATACTGCCCTTCATGTGAAAATCACAGGGTGGTTTACAGTACGAAAACACAAAATACAGTACATAACATAATGACGAAATAACAATAACCCCTTCCAGTTTAAAAGGCCATAGATTATTTAATCAGCCAAAAACTTGGGGGAAGAGAAATGTTTTCACCTAACACTTAAAGATATTTAATGAAGGTGCCAGGTGAGCCTCCCTGGGGAAGAGTATTAATGCTTGCTACTCATCCTTACAGTAACCATAGTACCTCTCCCCAAAGCCATTCCTACCTGTCTGCAGACTCTCTTCAAACTTTGTGTCCATTATGCACTTTGTCTTCTGTTCTTGAGCTTACCTTTCTATCACAGAGAATCTGTAACTCCTAGTGCAGTCTCTTTGACTACTGGTTTCCTGGAAGTACAGACATGACTTTCTTGCTCTGCCAGTCATGAGAGTAAGTCACTATGAACTGGCTCACATGACTACCAGCTGTTCATTTCCCCCTGTACAATCTCTGGTGTGTACAGGATCATGTGGGCCAATCTTGGTAAAAAAAAAAATCCGACTGTTTACGTTGTGAGAAACCTACAATTATTTCTTTGGTAGATTCAGGAAGTTATTTTGCAGTCTCCATGTACAGCCTCATTCACACCGAGGTTCCTCATGTGAAGATTGACTGGATTCGTAACTGTGAACAGGCCCTAAGTAAAACCTGACAAAACTTCAGATAGGCTCCCTTTGCTATCCAGTATGACAGGCTTCAGACAGTCCTGCTCACCTTGTTTGTTTCAAAGCATTTTCTTCCCATTATGAATACTTATCAGATTCAACCTGTGAGAAGGGACATCGTTTAATGACTTTCTAGCCTCTGTGGAGAGCATGCTTAGTGAGTCCCTTCCAAGCGTTATAACTTGACAAACATTTAATCAGTTTGCTGCATAACGTATTTCCCCTTTTTGCTTGCCAAAAAACATTAACTGTATAATGTTGATATATGCAGCATGATCTAAGCATGCTTAATAGTTTGAATAATTTTAAGTTTAATTGGTAGATCCTTGTGAGTTCAGTGAGCTTAAATGTAAATGTGCATAGGATTGCAGCTAAACTGAATAGTGTGTTTATGCAAAAAAAAACCCCATTTTTACTTGTGATTGTATTTTTTCATGTAAAGGTGCTTTATATCTATATGTATCAGACTGATGAATGACTTTACCCTTCTGAGAAATTAAGTAATTTTTTTGAGGATGAAACTTAAAGGGCTTTCAGTATTTTGCACTTCTAGTACATTTTTGAAAAATTATCCACACCATTGCCACAGAAAAGGGCCCATTCTTTTTAAATAAAGAAACTGTTGAGAAGAAAAACCAATGATAAGATTGAAAAACCTTATGGAATTGAAGTATTCACAAGTCAAGTGGTATCCAGTCTATTGTCAGTAATGGCAGAAGGTTTGGAAATAATGTTTTTGTTTGTTTTAATTGTTGTCAACATCACATAAGTCAGTTGTTTAGGGAAAGAAGCTTTGGCTAGGGTAGACCAGTCAAATATAGCTTACATTCTAGCTAGCGAGATGTATAGTAGTATGCATATTTAGTCAGAAGTAAAGATTTCATATGTAACTATGCATAGGATTACACACTTTATTTAAAAAACCGAAACTGTGTTTCTGAAAGATGTATCCTTTATTGACCTTGTTTGTTGGTGTTCATGAACTGAAACAAAGGCAGTATTTTATCTCAAGTTTCACCTTGGATAAAATACATGAACAGCTGACCTAAAAAAGACTTGTTTGTTTCAAGTCTGAATCTGCTCCAAGCTGGATGTTTTATGATGAGTTTGCAAGCTTGTTCAATAACTTCAGTTCCAAAAAAAGTTCCAACTGTATTGTAAGGGGTTAAAAAGTTGTGGTACATTATGTTAATGAAAATATATTGCTTTAAAATATTAGAGGGAAAATATTTTTGGTACACATGACCCACTTGGTACACATGACCCACAAAGTGGATCGTTTTGAAAATGTATTCCCTTGACACCTTGACGGTAAAGCCTGACAAATTTCTTCATTTGCTTTGACTCGTAAGAAGGGCAGGTTGAGTATGCCCTGAAAACTCAGCTCTCCTTTGTCAGTCTATTTTAGGAATTAAAAGTTGCCTAGTGAAAACAAATTGCAGGCTAGAAATTCTGTACACTGGGAGAAGAGGTTCTCTCACTCAGTGGCCGTGTTTCTGATGCATACTGACCAGCAGAGATGGAGGCAGGCTTGAGACCCCAGGCACTTACTTCCCTGGGAATGGATGGGGACTAGTGGTGAAAGAGAGTTGAGGTGAGGGTCCAGTGATGGTGGCATATAGCAAAGGGGCAGCCAATTCCAGCTGCCCAGTGTCAGATGCAAGGCAGCTGCCACTCACTTTCTTTTCAATAGCAAGGTCTTTTGTGGGTCCATCTAAGCATGGAGTGGGGGTTCCTGAGCCTCTTGGGCCATCCACTCTGGAAATACACAGCTGGCGAGTAACCTTTTTGTCTTGGTATGGTATTAGGAGACAGAAGTGGTGGCAGCTGGAGCCAAAAGGATTTTCATCATGATCCCTAAGCACCAGAGACACGCTTTGTACTCAGCAAAGGTATCAAAGGGTCATGAGTAATAACATCTAGAGGCTTTTCAGATGGCCAGTTTTCTTCCTCTGCAGCACTAAGGAGAGTGTTTGGCTGGGGATGGGACAATGCTGTCTTACTGGGTGCTGAGGAGATCCCAACAGAGGGAACAAGTACAAGAAAGAATGTCACCCTCACTGCTTGTGGTGTGGCTTGGTTTGCCATGACCATCTCTTTGCTGTGTTGCTGTCTGATGATTTAAAAATGGGAGAGGCATGTGCACAGATGGAAGAAACAAACCACAGCAGTAGTGGCAGTAGAGCAACTCTGCACTGGTGAAAAATGGGGACTAGGAAGGAAGGAGAAAGGAAAACTTTATCCATGTGACCAGATGGGTGGGGTATAAATAATAAATTGTTGTTGTTGTTGTTGTTATTTGCTATTATAGCACACACTCAAATGACCTGGTGAAGGAGGAACAGAGCAATCTATTTCTCCTTCACCCAGCCCAGTTACTATACTGAATAGAAAAAAGAATAGAATAGCTTTTAAGGCGCTGCAAGGATCTTTGCTACAACACTTACACAGCTACTCTGCTGGAAATTGTTGCTGTAAGCACTCCTTGTGATTGAGCTAGCTTTGGGTTTGCTTTTTTACACACTATACCTTTAAAGCACATTCGAAACACATCGTCGCACAAAGAACCCTGGAAACTGTAGTTTATCCCTCACAAAGTTATAGTTCCAGCACCCTTAACAAACTACAGTGCTCAGAACGCTTTGAGTGGAAAAATGTCTTTGAAAATTCTTGGTGTGTATGCCCCCCTCATAGAATTGTAGAGTTAAATAAGACCGTGAGGGTCATCTAGTCCAACCACCTGCAAGAAGCTCAATGCTTTCTTGTATGTTCTTTATTCAGTCACAGAGCTTATTCCCCACCCCTCGCCCCCAAATGAAATGGCAAAATACACATGAATTATGGTATGAGTCTCATTCATGTATAACTTCCTGCTGGTTGTGTTCTTCACAAAGAGCTTGTTTCCATAGCCACCAGTTTTTTTCTTGTATTAATCAGTCTTACATAAGATCAGATGTGTATAGTGACTTTCTTCCTTACTGCATTAACAACATTCACAAGTGATATATTACAGACTGCAAGGTGCTGTTGATGTCAAATGTGAAAGCATTTTTAATAAATGGAAGAAAATTAACATAAATTGAATATAAACTGTCACTGAAAGGGGAAAACATATGAAACCTAACTTACAGTGTTTGAAACCAAAACTGAAAACTGGAACAGATAAAGTGATGTTTGTATTTCAGATAATGTGCTTAGCACTATCAAGATGTTCCACAACAAAGATTTGTAATCAGGTGTAAGAATTTATAATATTTGTTTCCTTAGTGCTGTGAGACTTATTTCCTTTATCTAGTTGTTTTCCAGCAGTGTTTTTATATCATGCTTTTATGCAGGATGTAGGATGGCCTTGGGAAGAAAAGCAGGATGTAGTTCAGGATACTAGTGTGTATAGATTATTAGGCCATGGTTTAATGGTGTTATTGCTACTTCTCTGGCAAGTACTGTAAATTAAAGAAAAAATGGTCATGCAACATTTAATGAGCATCAGTCCTGCTGCTGTCTCAGATTGAGTTTAATTACTGTGTGATACTCAGTTGTATACCACCTCACAGCAGTGCCTCATCCTTTATTTTCTTACTGCATATGGCTGTTCAGAGCTACAATGTTCAGAGCTTCCATGTTTGGTTTCCCTTTAAGGGTAGGAAAAAAAATAAAATGCACAGTCCTTTCAATTACATGGTATAAGTGTAATGGAACTGTAGTATTGTGTGGCGGGGTGATGGTGTTATATTTCTTTTGAAAAGACTTTTAAGGCACAATCCTATACTCAATATCTATCAGTTGAGAGACTATAGGATTTGGCTGAATCACCCTTACATAGGCAGAATGCATGATTAATCACCATCTTTAGATATACCGTATTTTTCGCCCTATAGGGCGCACCGGCCCATAGGACGCACCTAGGTTTTTTTTTGGGGGGGGGAAATCAAGGAATTTTTTTTTATTTTCCCCCCAGGTTTGTGCAGCCATCCCCAAGCTAGAAGAGGGAGACGCTCCGTCTCCCTCTTCTGCCTTCAGGGACAGCCTCTCTAGCCTCCGTGGGGCAGCGGTTTGCCCCACTGTCCCCTGAGCTTGTGGGGCTGGCGATGGGGAGAAGCAAGCTTGCTTCTCCCCCCCGCCAGCCTCCAGACCAGGTCGGGGAATAGCGGGGTGGCGGCGCTGCGCCTCCCTGCTGTCCCCCGAGCTTGTGGGCTGCAGGCTGCTGCCTGCAAGCTTTGCGAGCCCGCGGGACCTCCCGCTGGGCTTGCAAGGCTTGCGGATAGCTTCCTGAAGCCTGGAGAGCGAGAGGGGTCGGTGTGCACCGATGCCTCTCGCTCTCCAGGCTTCAGCGAAAGCCTGCATTCGCCCCATAGGACGCACACACATTTCCCCTTCATTTTTGGAGGGGAAAAAGTGCGTCCTATAGGGCGAAAAATATGGTACTGTCAGAACATTGTGTTTGCAGCCCATTCTGACAGCCAAGATACACTGGTAGAAAGGCTAAAATAACCTAGAGTCATGGGTAGCCCAGGGGAGAAACATACTTAGGCTGTCACCTATACATGTTTATTTCACAGTTAGATCCCCAGTGGCGTGGGGCAATATTTCTCTTGCCATGCATGTTTAGTTCACAAGGTGAACTTTAGTGTTGGGAAACGGGATACTTTGTACAAAATAGCTTGTCTCCAGAACATTACTAAGGGACTTCAGGACATTGTTAACACTTCTCTGCACTAAGCAGGGGTGGGGGACTTGTGGCCCTCCAGATGTTGTCGGACTGTAACTCTAATCAGTCTCAGTCAGCATGGCCAATAGTCTGAGACAATGAGAGTTCTAGTCCAGAAACATCTGGAGGGCCTCAGGTTCCCCACCCCCTTCCTTGGAAGATCGCAGAACAACCAGCAGCTACATACATAGTGCTTCAGTATAGCCCTACTAAGCAGAAACATGCTCTCCCCCCTCCCCTCTCCCCATCCAGGTGGTGCAGAGGCATCAGTTTTGATTGAGCACTAAGGTAGCACCACTTGCCCTCCCTTTTTCACACACTCTGAAATACTTAACATGCAACGTGCATCCAGGTCCACAAACTATGTTTTCTGTCTGTTGACTGTTATTTGCTCTGTCTGCCCTAACAGAGACTGCTTGGCAACAGGTATAGGCAGTGCTTTTTCTGGGGGTACGCAGGGGTACACATACCCCTAAACATTTTGTGAATCTAAGTTTGGCCTCATTGAGGGGCAGTATCTCAATATGAGTAGGAAAATGAGAGTACTGCTAAACATTTTTTTAAGGAAAAAAACACTGGGTATAGGATCCTGTTCAACACCCCTTTCCATGCTGAGAACATGGGAGACCCATCCCACGATGAGCAGCAGTGCCCAGCACGCTCCTGGTTGTTTCCCTTTGTGGTTGTTAATCTGCTTGTTCCAGGCAGACTACTGTACCCATGCAAGCTTCATGGCAGAGAGTTATGCAGCAGATGAATATGTTCCTATCTTTGCGCTAGTTCCACGAGGGATACTGCACCTGTTACTCTGCTGTCTGTTGAACAGCTATCTGAGACACAGGAACCCTATTATCTATGATGCTGTTCAAGAAAGACTATGATTTTGCCCTGCTTGTTTTTGTTGTTGTGGAGTGGTAAATAAGAAGATGGGAGGAGCTTCATGGGCAAAAGGGAATTGACTTCTCCCCTTTCTCTGCTTACCCATACCACTTTGATAGGTGAATAGGGTCACCCACCTGCGATTCGCCTGATGACAGATGACTCACCTTTGAGTGACTCACCTGGGAGTATGTCCCTGTTGACAGGGGTTAGAATAGAATTGTAGAGTTGAAAGGGACCTTGATGATCATCTAGTCCAACCCTCTGTAATGCAGGAATCTCAAAACGTGGTCTCCCATCCAATTTGAAACCATACCAGATCCTGCTTGGCTTTGCAAATGTGTTAGGAGTTTTATTGCTGTACCACTAGTTCATTGCCTCCCTCTATGTGTGGGCGGTTTATGGGCTTCATTGGCAGTACAAGTCTTGGCTACTTGGTACCCGCAGAGTTTTCAGGTATTCTATATGCTTGCTGTTGCTTTTTTACACCATTTTGGGATTTTCTGTTTGTATTTTTCTCCTCTTTGCTGAGTGACTATTGGAGATGGCAGCTGTTTACCTATGCATACTGGCATAGCCCCCTAAAGGGGGGGATAAGTTCTGTTATGAAGTTTTATAGCACAGTAGGAGCAATGATAATACATACAGACCTTCCACTGATCCCTTTGTTTGCTTCTAATTGATTTGAGCAGATTTTTCTATTTAGTGCTTGAATAAATATTTCAGAAATTATTCTTAGTTTTGATGGTAACCTGTCTTCAAAAACTGCATTATTTTTACCTTTAATGTGGTGTTTCAGGAGTTTTAAAGTGTAATTCTTCTCTTCAGAAAGCCTAGGAAACAGGTGTGATTGCATTTATCCGAGAACTCAAGAAACACTTCAGACTCCTAGGTGACAGCCTCGCTTGCAAATAGCCATTCATTTTTACAGTTGTTCTGCAGTATATAGTGCAAACAGTGCTGTTTTGGAAAATGTTTAAGTGGCAATTTATTTTTTGCCACCTGTACCTGGAATTCTGATTTTTTAAAAATACTTAGTATAAACTTCTGATTCAGGTCAGTTTCTGAACTACTGATGTCCGAAAGGCTTCTCCTTATCATGAATGATATTGTGGTCACTGCTGCATCCATGCAAATATTTCCACTGTTTATTAGTTCCTTATAGTACTGTTTCTATGTTTTTGTTGATAACTTTTGAAATATACATTTGTTCTTAAGTGTTTTCCCACAATAATTTGTCCTCTCTTCTCACCCTCCCCTTGAGGCAGGAGGAATGGAATTTTCTTCTATGTCAAACTGGCTGGTGGTCCTGTACTGTGTGGGACATATCTAGCTTGCTATAAATGGAGAGGATTTTGAATCACCCCCCTCAAATAAAGCGCTTATTAGCTCATGTGTGATAAAAGTAGGATAAGTGAAGATATTCATATATATATCCCATAAAAGGTAAATGAAGATCTTATCAGTGCTTACTTTGAAAAAAAACTTTTGAGTAAGTTGTATTTTCAAGGTAGCCATAACTGCTTTTGTGTACTGCATGTAGTTCAGCAATACTGAAGTGGATACAGATGATGTTTTTTCAGTGAGTTTAAGATGGTTTGAAAGTGCAAGTGATTGCTCATAGTGTTTACTCTCATCCCACTGGTAAGAAGTTTAGGGTTTTTTTAAAAAAAATACTTGTTTCAGAAACTTGCAAAATGTGTTTAACCAGAAGCAAAAGTTTGGCCAATGAAATGTGTCTATTTGTGGGTATGTTCTGGGAAATTAAGCCACTCACAAACACTTTCAACTCTCAAATATTTCTGTTTAGTATCAAAGAATAATCTTTACCTGTTTGTTGTTTTAGTGACTCCTGAACTTCCTTGAAAGTCTTGGACTGATAACTATCATGTTTCCAAATAGTGTGCCTATTTATTAAAGAACTGCTCAGTGGATATCTAGGTATTTGGCGCTGTTGAGACGTAAATCTTGTATATCTACATAAATCTCTGCCTTTTACTTCTGCTGTGTCCATAGATTCCATCGGGCTTCGTATATGGACTTCAAGCCTTGGAGGTAGCAGAATATTCAGCAGAAGGTAAAGAGGAGTGTTGCCTTCTGGCGTCATAGTGTGTGCTTGTGTGCGAATGTGCGCTGGGGTAGTTAGTGTTGTACAATCCTTCTAGGGAAAAGGCAAATATAGTCCTGTCGGCTTGGGATCTGAGTTAATAGAACAGTTATGTCAATAGACTGCCTGTTGTTTGAACTTGGTCAAAAGTTCCATCATCAAATGTTCCATGAAATCAAGAATGCCCTTGTGTAAGTCTCAGCTTACCACTGTTTCCCATCATAGGCTCACCTGATAGCAATGGAAGGGCTATACAGTGGTACCTCGGGTTAAGAACTTAATTCGTTCTGGAGGTCCGTTCTTAACCTGAAACTGTTCTTAACCTGAGGTACAAATTTAGCTAATGGGCCTCCTGCTTCTGCCACACCACCACCACCGTGCAATTTCTGTTCTCATCCTGAAGCAAAGTTCTTAACCCAAGGTACTATTTCTGGGTTAACGGATTCTGTAGCCTGAAGCGTCTGTAACCTGAAGCATCTGTAACCTGAGGTACCACTGTAGAGCCTTTGTCTCCTACTTTGGTGAGAGTGAGGGAGGTCACTCTCACTTGCACAGACTAGCCTCTCATATAGGACTGGTTATTCCTTTCAACTCTCCTCAGAAGACTTACTCATTCTCCATTCCCAGTTTAGGCCACATGGCCTAACTTCACTTTCTGTCCTTTCACTTAATGTCTGGTATCTCTCGACATGTGCATAATGCTCAAGAAGAAGCTTGCAGCAAGCAAATACACACACACACACACACACAGAGTCTTCACAGGTTTGAAGGGTTCATGTCGGCATTTGCAGTGAAGTACTTGCGTGTGTTGTCGATACAAGCACACGTTCTGCTCCCTATCATTCTGCTGCTTTATGGGAGGGCCGTGGAGGTGGCTGCCACCATTCCATAGAATGCATCTAGTGAGATTCAGTGTGTACGTTTGTGTATTGGTCTTAATACATAATAAGAGTCTGCTGAATTGGGCCAATGGCCCATCTGCTTCAGCATCCTGTTTTCACAGTGGCCAACCAGATGCCTGTGTGAAGCCCTCAAACAGGACATGAGCTCAACAGTGCACTACCCACCTGCAGTTCTGAGCAACTGGTATTCAGAGGCATAGTGCCTCTGACCGTGGAGGAAGAGAATGGCTATTGTAACTAGCAGCTAGCATCTTCTGGGTGCTATTTTGGCTGGCTAGCCAGCTTTCTTGAAAAGTGTTACAGGCCACTTTTCAAGCAGTACAGCATCCATGTGACCTCTGCCATTTTAAGTGGGTAGGTTGATGATGAGGGTATAGACAGGTGAGAAGCATTCCCTTCTCAGAGGAAAGGCAGCCTGCACATGCTTAATGGCACTTTGGAAAGATTTCCCCTCAGAAAAGAACTCCGCACATTCTAAGAGATTCTTTGTTCTAGGTCCCATAAGCTTTATTCATTGCACTTTTTATGGAAAAGGGGCCACCATATGATGTAACTTGGTGCTCTGGAAGGTTTTTGGGAGATCTGGATTCTGGAGGCTTCTTCAAAGCAGAATTTTTTTGTAATTGATATACTTCAATTTATGTCTTTTTTTGTTCCAATAAACTAATGCTTTCAATACTTGGCCTCTATTTTACAATATTTGACCGGTCAAATGCCAACTTTATAGTAAAGTGAATAGGAATGTTGAACCAAACAGAAAGATGTTGAGTTACCTGTACATACTCCGTTTAGGCTCATGATTGTAGGCGAAACCAATATGTAATACATTTAATTTAATTTCCTCTTCTGTGTATGTTAAACTTTTTGTTTATAGTGGAATATGGCTCCTATGGATGTGTTTTGACAAACTCCTGTTGATAATTTCTTCTACATGTTTTATAATTTAACTTCGGTTTTATTGTATTGTCACCATGCATGAAACAAAACCAGGAGCTGATAACCTTTTTACACGAATAGCATCTTTAATCTCAACAGTTGCTGCTGGCCTGCTAGTGGTTCAGTCACTGCCACTAGAACCTGGCATAGCTCAAGTTGACTAAACAAAACTAAATAATGGCTGCTAATGGGCTTGGCAGTGCTTGAATCAGGCTTGATTAATTTCTTGTGTAAATAAAATTAAGTAGAGGGGGAAAATAATGCACTTTATATGTAGGTCAGCACATGGAACAGTTGCCCATGGAATTAATGAAGAGTATATGCAATGAACTAAGCATGTCTGCTTTTCATTTCATAGCTTTCTCAGTAAGTAGGCTTATGCTTCAATTTTTACTGTTCTTCTCCGGGCTAAATATTAAAAATTGCATAGGCTTAATCTTATTTCTCTGGGATTTATGTGTAGAACAAATCTTTTGGTGTGATAGTAATTGCTTAGGTATGCATCATCTGTCCTATCTTGTTGCTGACATTTATTTCTATCCAAATATAAAGGGTGTGAAAGGTAGCTTATTAACTTGGATCACATGATTAATACTGGTATCACTATCATTTTGTGATTTCAATTCTCTTCAATTTTCTTCAGTATTTCTGTTGAGTACTATAGCAATTTCTAACATGAGTTGTGTCTAGGGGGAAGACTTTGGTTTCAGGAAGGTGACACTGCCAGTGGGAAACTATTTTAGGATGATGATGCATAGCAAGCGGTTGTACAACCTTATTATGAATGTGACATATGGTTCATAAAAATCTAAGGGCTGGATATGAGGAGAGGTTCTTCTAGGGAGCCAGCTCTCTGCATCATGACAAGTATCCTTTACACATTAATGTTCTTTCCCACCCCTGCCTAAAGAATTCACATGATCTCGTCTACAGTGTGCCGCAAGCAGACAGCACAACTGAGCATGATGTCTCACATCGAGGTGCATGCAAGTAGCTGACTTGCAGTGTGGCTTAAGCAGGCAAGCCAAAGAAAGGCAAAACCAGCTATAGTGTCACTAGCTGTCCTGAACTGAGGAATAGATTCCTGAATTCAAATAATAGCAATCAATTGCACTCTCCATATTCTTAAAGCTTGGGCATTTCCTTTTTTTATAGTGAATTTGGGTTGTGGTGGCGGTATAGAAACCTCAAGGACGAGGCAAGGAACACAGCAGCAGCAAGACACTTGATTGTACCAGCTGCAAACTCTGACAGTTACTTACACAATAATGGCATGAATGACACTGAACCACAACAACCCTTTGTCTTTTGCCAGAGCTGAATATCTTGGAAACGCTCCTTGGGTGGGAATGAGTTAACAGAAACCGGCCTGGATCCCTAAACTGCATTTCCATTTCCCAGGATACCACCCTTTTGCAGGGACTACAAATTATGCTGGGGTTATACTATGAGTAAAGTGCTTGTTTGTATATCTGGCCGTGAAATCCAGTCCCACCAAATATATCCTCTTTTGCAGGTGGGGTAGAGAGTCCAAATAGAAGTGGGGGAGCTACACATGAGTAATAGAATGTTTAACAGTCAGAATGTCAACAGGTGAAACTTTTCTTATAATTTAATTTCTGTAACAGAAAAGGCTCAGACATGTTGAATTCCTGTTTGCCACAGAGCTACCTTACAGGTGGTTACCTCATGGGCACGTCTGCCCCCCCTCCACTTGTCATTTAATTTTTCAAAGTTTTTAAATTTGGCTGTTCCAATGGGCTCCTTCCTATGAAGCTGCAATGTCAAAAGGATTTTGTGGCCCCTTATATCCCCCCTCCCCCAATTAAAAATAATTTGCTGGCTTTAGGCAATACCTATTTTACACTTTAATGAGCAGGCCCTGATAGCTTGAGGAAGGCAGAAGATCAGATTGCGTCTGCCCATCTGCCAAGTAGTCAGAGCAACACCTGCTCTGGTTATGCTCCCTGAAGCGTGTCTAGGGCTCAGTAGGTAGGTGGTCCTTAAACTTAAAGATTTCTGATCCAGCAGTCATCTTTGATAATGGAAATGGGAAGAAATTTTAGCTGATTCTGAGTCTCCTCTGCAGCCCCACCCCGACCCGGTGTTACTCTATTTTCTATATAGGAGCCCTCTAGAACAGCATGGGAGGTAGTGAGGGTAGCCAACAGAGGTTGGGAAATGGATGCATGTTGGCTCCCCTCTCCTGTTAGCAGAGGTGTCCACTATGTCCACTGTGCTGCAAATAGAATGAATCCTCCTATACAAACCACAAGTGTTATTGTGTAAAACATGGGGTATAATAGCTAAAATGAAAATAATTGTGTATAAAAATAAGTTGGTGTTTGACATTGTGGAAGTATTGGGTCCAGTGATGCTATGCTCAGTTTCTCCTCAGTTAAAATGTGAGCAAAGTTTGGTCAGTGTCTACTGGTTTGGTAGTTTCCTGCTTGCTTCAAGTATGTATATTCTTCTTTTAGCTGTTCAACGTTTAAATAGGTATTGATAATTTTTTTTTTAAAAAAAAATTAAGAACATCTTTGGCTTTGTCAGTCAGAAAAGTAAGGGGGAAATAAAATAGAAGTTGAAAACTGATCTAGTAAGCAGAGGAAGATTTTTATTAACTAAGCATAAAAGTAGGTATACCAGAGCAAAACAATGCATAAACAAATTAAATGTGCATTTTTAAAGATGAGAAAATAAACATTAATGAAACATGATTAATGTGTAGCACTGAATTTGAGTATTTAGCGTAAACTTAATAGACACATAACATTTTACAAATGCTGCTGTCCTATGCATATTTGAGGATGATCCTCATTGAACAACCTGGATCATGTACAGGAACACTCAAGCTTTCCATACCTGATGTTGGCAGAAAACGTGCATAACAGCTGAAGGAAGAACATAAGCTTCCAGCTGGCAAGACAACAGTTTAACTGTCATATCATAACTGTTACCACAGACTATCCAAGTGGAATGCTTTAGTAACCCTGGAGACCACCAGTAGCTGGAAACATGCAAACATGTACGTAAGCTCAGACACAGAACTCAGATACTGTTGTAACTTCCAACAACTAGTTGGGAATTGTCCAATAATGTATGGAGAACACCAGGAAACCTGATCCAAGTTAACTATATAGAAAACCAGGACTACAATCCTGAGCATGTTTTACTTGAGTTTAACCCATAGAGTTCATTGGGGCTGGTTTCAGGTAAGTGTGTAGAGGATTGCATCCTTGGTATCCTAAAACCATACTTATTTTCTGAGAGCTGGGTATAAATAATATATCATTGAAAAAACTAGCATAGCTCAAATTCCTTTTCTGATCAGTATCTGAAAGATAGTTCTGATTTTAAACTTTCATTTTGACCTTCATGGACACCTGAAAATGGAATATGGCATGAATTGGAAGAAGGTTCTTCACTCTCTTACACATGTTAGTTTTTTCATTGGTTGTATACGTTTGACAATCATTCATTGGGCTTTATGTCACTTGATGCAGAAGAGGGAAGAATTTGAGGAAAGTGAAGAGCAGTCTGGAGTCTGAAGCTTCCCCATGCAAAGGTCCTAGCTTTACATTGCAAGAAGAGTTTGTTGATTCATATACAGTGGTACCTCGGGTTAAGTACTTAATTCATTCCGGAGGTCTGTACTTAACCTGAAACTGTTCTTAACCTGAAGCACCACTTTAGCTAATGGGGCCTCCTGCTGCTGCTGCGCCGCCAGAGCACGATTTCTGTTCTCATCCTGAAGCAAAGTTCTTAACCTGAAGCACTATTTCTGGGTTAGCGGAGTCTGTAACCTGAAGCGTATGTAACCCGAGATACCACTGTATCTTAACATGATCTGTATTCAACTTCTGAAACATTTTCCAGACAAGATTGTTGCTTGTTTAATAGTCCAAAGACCGTCCCTGGAAACTGCTTTTCTATAGTAGGCAAGGCTATTTGTTTTACCCAGTATTGTTTTCTCTGTCTTCCAGTTGCTCTCTAGGTTCTTGTGGTTCTTATGCAGAGGTCTTTCCCCATCTCCTGATATCTGATCCTTCTTTGAATGGAGTGCTAACAATATTTGTTTTCAATGCTACTTCCAAAAAGCATTTCACCTATTATTTTCAAAGAAAGAGTATTATATTCTCAGATTCTCAGTTTTTGCAGTAGCATAATTTGGGGGTGGGCAGTTTGGAATCTCCCTCTTCCCTGATGCCTTTGCATCTCTGACTTGGTACGCACCCAACTGAGGAGGCAGATATCGCCCACATAAGCACCACCTTCAAACCCATTAGGAATGGGGGAAGCAGTCTTAAACTTGCAGTATGTGGATTGTTCACTTCCCAGTAGATGTCAAGAATATGGTAAGACCAGCTTCCTTCCTTATCACTTGACGGAGAATCAAACTGTGAATTACATGCGTGGCTAGCATGTCCGAATAGCTTTAAAATTTAATCCTACTGTACAGTCTCTCTCCTCCAACCATCTCATATTATTCAGGCATGCAACCCATCAAGAGGTTTAGCCCTTCTCTCCCCAGCACCAGTTCCAGTGAAAAACACATGCACAAACATTCTCAACCTGCAGTTTGGTGTCAAAAATAATCCTGTTGGTACCAATGGGAGATCTTTTCTGAAGACTAATGACCGTACTGCACTGGGATCAGTGTTCATTTATCACAGATGGGCAGGGAAAGGTTCAACTTCACTTCCATCAGTGCCATGATCCCTGCACCTTGTTGGTGCTAACCCTGTAACTTGTCTAAGGTTTTTGGGTTGAGTTAGCTTGTTTTGTCTGTCTTAGTTGTATTTCCTGGGTGCAGCTATATTTCTGTTAGGAGATTCTATCTTGCTGTTGTTGGCTAGTGTAGCTGGGCTGCTTAGATCTTGGGAATTATCCAGGTTTTCAGGCTATGCTTGGTGCAGCCCTGTGTGCTTTTGTTAAAATACCATATCTTCATCATGTTTTGTTTTTGTTCTGTTTTTGGGTGGTATTTGGAAAACTGCCATTTCAAGAGGAGGTATTTTCACTAGAATATCACATGCCAGATTTATTGTTTTCTGGTTAATAGAAGAACTTTGTCATCCCTGACAAATATAGACTAGAGATTAATTAGTATATGTGTTCTTTAACTATTTTAAATATAAATAAGCCCTGTACCATTTACTGTTTTCTTTTTCCAGAAAAGATGAAAAGGAGTATGCATTGAAGCAGATTGAAGGTACAGGGATATCCATGTCGGCATGTAGAGAAATAGCAGTAAGTGAATACATTGCTTAAATAAGTTTATAATTAATGGTGGGTTTTAAAAAAAAACTTTTGTAAAAGTTCAGGTTTAATTATCTGATAAATTTCTTAATTGAAACTTTATTCAAGTATAATACACAACTATTTTTTTTTAAGTATTTTGTTAAATTTAAAATGCAAGCTTTAAATACATCCTGAACAGCCATCTAGTTGGGCAGGCTTTTCCTGGCTCATCAGATTCATAATCCTGCTCCATTATTTCTTGTAATTTTATTGAATGTTTTATGTACATAGATTTTTTTCTCCTGTAATCACCTTATTGTGATTTATGATAACTGCCTAGGGATTTTTAAATATTATGTGGGGTGGGTGGGTGCGTATGAAAGTTAAATAAAGAATTATTTTTAAAGAAACTTTTGCAGAACATTTGGTACCACTCCAGTTGGGTTTGAAAACAATTTGTAGCTTGGAGCTTCTTGAACTTGTGCCATCATTAGAAGGGATCTTATGAAAATGCTCTGATGTGTAATTAAGAGAGATTACATGGTTTTTGGACTTAGTGTATAAATTGAACACCTCCCTGTTTTGGTAGCTGGAGGTAGTGAAAAACTTTTAAAAAATAATGGTGTTTTAAAAAGAAATTTGGTGCTTATTACCTTAGGGGGGTATGCATTCATTTTTCAGTAATGAAAAGTTAAATCCATGAATGTAATCCTCAGCAGTAGTGTCTATTTCTGACCTGTATGCCACTGACAAAATATGAAATGGTACATTGGCTGAATATGCCACCAGGTGCGAGACACAGATACTCTTCCTTTAGTCCCTCCCACTTCTAGAATTATTTCTGTCATTCTGCATTTATAGCTCAATCACCTCTTTCTAGGAGAGGAATGGATAACCAAGCATGGACATGTTATTCAACAAATAACAGGAGACCAGGAACCTATAAAAGGCAAGCTCATAAAGCTGAGCCATGCATGTTTATGACTGTGTATACATGTCTTTTTCTCAGAATCATGGAGTGCCATTGAGAGACAGTATTCAGACAACAGGCCAGTGCTCAGAAATGGAATGCATAGTTTTATTACAAAGCAAAACATTGATTTAATATGCAGGCTGTTAAGAGCAAAAAAAAGCATTGGTTAATCAAGCCATAATATTTGTTCTCCTGAGATGAAGAAGCAGGGACTGAATATGGACATCATTCTTAGCACCAGATTGGAGTATTTGGGGTTGGTTGCAGGGGTGGGGGGTGGGGCTTTCCCAGTTCTGCAGGTGCCTGGAGCCTATTATGGTATGTTACAAAGCTTCTTTGAATGGGACTAGGAAGGGAATTGTGTAGTGGTGCTCACTTGGATCTTGAACTGATTTGAGTTCAAAACAATAAAAATGAAGAAGGCAAGGAATACTGGGAAGGACGCCAAAGCTTCCTTTGTTTCTTAAACTAATCCTCTTTCTGGAGCCACAAAATGGATTATTTGAGAGCATATCCCAAACTGAATACTAGGACCTAACTGAAAGAACTCTCTTATATGTCAAATTATACTAGGAGAGTTTCACTCCCTACAATTTGACCTAAATGGCAAAGGAGAACAGAGTCTTGATGGGCACCTAGGAGTCACCCTGGGGTGTATCGAATGAAGTGAAAATATAATTTCTACTCATAATCTCCAGTGAATAATTCACACACACCCTTAAGATGTATGAATGACTAGCAGTGGTAGTGCTTTAAGGGTGATGCTTTACTGTAGCTGGATTTCAACACATGCTCTTGAGTGGTTTGCTAAAGTTATGCATCAAATAATTAGCGTGGCTTCTGTATGTTTGGAGTTCTTGTGCAGTTATGCAAAGCTGGCAAGAAGCATTCCCACTGAAAGCAACTGATATGAATTTAAGATTTCCCCCTGGCTGATCCTACGCTCCATGCTTAGTTGGCCTGTACCATGCAAGAATGAAAACAATTAGACATTTTAGGAATTTTCAAAAGACCAGCAAGGTAGAGCACATCAGCAATGGGGTAGGTCATGGCTTCTATTTCCTGAATATGCAAAAAGCATTCTAATTACTGAATTGCATATACTTGAATATTAAAATATTAAATGTTTCCAAATTGTGAATGCCTCCTCCTATGCATGATTTGGAAGCACATTTTAAAACCTTCCTTTACTATGTTGAAAATACTTCAGAATGATAGATAATGTTAAAACGGGGCATAGTCTGTCACTTCTGTGCTTCATCACCCACTAAAATCAGTGCATCTAATTTGCTTCATCCGTACTGAAACCTATATTAAAGGACTGCAGCCTAATATGTGAATTATGAAGCAGCCATTCCACCACCCTCTAGCAGAGGGAGATGGGACTATTAGGGCTTCTCCATTGGCTCTACTGGAAAAACACCAACTTTTGCCCCTGCTATCCTTGAACTCTATCCAGTACAGCTGGCTGTTAAAATAATTCTATTACTAAAATCCATTGCCTAAGTTTGCTTTCCCCTTCTTCCTTCCCAGTCTCCTTTCCTTTTGAAAGTTTGTTCACTATGCATTCGAATACCTCTGAAGCTAACCAATTTTTGTATGATAGCTTCTGAGATCAAGGTACAGGTTTTCATCTGTATCTGAGTATAATTGACTGTCATTTTGAATCAAAATTGTCGATTGAACCTTTCAAAACCACACTGATTTTTACCATGGATTTCAAAACTGCACTAATTTTTTTGTTTCTTAGTATTCCCGAGCAATGCTGGGAATGAAGCTGCTTTTTATTGCTATTTTGTATTGATATGAGGCCTGGGATTGCTACCGTGGAGGGGCGAGGGAGGTATGGCGGTGGGGGCAGATGTTATAGGTGAAGGGGATCGAGAGATGGATACGCTCGTACCCCTTCCAATCTGCGCCCCATCCCGAGGGACGAGGGTAGGGTGAGCAAGGATTACTCACCTCCGTCACTGGTGCTGTGCAATGCCAGGTCTATAGGCAATAAAACCGCCACCCTGCGAGATTTCTTTATCTCGCAGGGGGTCGACCTGGCTTGTGTGACGGAGATCTGGGTGCGCGAAGGGGCAACAGTTACCTTACGAGAGATGGCGCCCCCGGGTTTCTCCGTCCTCCACCAGTCGCGGACTGTGGGCCGGGGGGGAGGGGTGGCATTATTAATCCGGGAAGATTGTCCTTTCAGGGCTCTACCATCGCCATCGATCCCTGGCATTGAATGTGTTGGCCTAGTGTGGGGCTCCGAGGAGAGCTTGGCTGTCTGGCTGGTGTACCGGCCACCTAGCGCACCGGCAGCCACCCTGTCAGGCCTATTGGAGGTGGTGGCCGGCTGGGCCTTGGAGTTCCCTAACCTATTGGTATTGGGGGACTTTAACATCCATGCTGATGCCACTCCCTCCTCACAGGCTCTGGACCTGGTGTCTTCCATGGCGACACTAGGGCTCTCCCAGTTTGTTTTGGGCCCCACACATCAAGCAGGCCACACGCTGGATTTGATCTTTGGCGTAGGTATAGATGTGATCATGTCTCCTTCGATGAAGGTGCCATGGTCTGATCACTACGCTCTGAAAGCCAGGATTGACTTTCCGCCCCCACCCTGCTTAGGTGGCAAGCCAATTTGGGCTCGCCCGCAGAGGCTGATGGACCCTGATAGATTCCGCCAAGCCTTGCGGGACCTTGCTCCCCCGGCGACTCATTGACTGAGCTTGTTGAGGGCTGGAATACCCAGCTCCTGGCAGCCATCGATGAGATCGCACCTAAGCGCCCTCTGCGACCCCGCAGAAACCGGGCTCCTGGTTTACCGAGGAGCTCTGGAAAATGAAGCGGGACCTCAGACGGCTAGAGCGAGTATGGCGGGGTGCCCGTGACGGAGCCTCAAGAACATCTTATAGGGCTTTTATGAAAACCTACGAGATGGCGGTGAAGGCTGCTAAGAAGTCATACTTCTCGGCCTCCATTGCATCCGCTAGCTCTCGCCCAGCGCAATTATTTAGTATAATCAGGTCTTTAACGTCCCTTGAGGGACAGCCAAATTTAAATAACAATTTGACACTTAGCTGTGAGGCATTTGCGAGCTTTTTTGCGGAGAAGGTCCTGTTGCTCCGCCATGACCTCCCTGCCAATTTGGATACAATAAAGGAACTGGAGGCCCCTCTTTTTTTTAATAAGATATTTATTAAGATTTTTTAAAATATTACAATAAAAGTGAAAAAAATAACAAAAATACAAAATAAAAATGGTTAAAAACACCCAGATTTTCCATTACTTATTTTGCTTTAGCTTGTTTCCCGGACCTCCTCATACCTCCCTTTTTTGTCTTCCACTTCAATCTGTTGGATCAGCAAGTCCTTACCCTCTTTAATTATCCTAATCCTTGATCTTAAAAATAATAGCATTAGATTTTTACCTATTTATAACCCTTTTTTCATATTCCCTTAAAGCATTACAGCTGGAAACCACTTGATTTCTATCCAACATCATTCTAACATTCATTAATTTTACAATATTTCTGTAGATAATCTTTGAATTTCTTCCACTCTTCTTCCACCGACTCTTCTCCCTGGTCTCAGATTCTGCCAGTCATTTCTGCCAGTTCCATATAGTCCATCAGCTTCATCTGCCATTCTTCCAGAGTGGGTAGATCTTGTGTCTTCCAATACTTTGCAATGAGTATTCTTGCTGCTGTTGGGAACTGGAGGCCCCTCGACTGTCCTCGGGTCCAGTATTGGACCACTTCAACCGGATACCCCCAGCCAATGTGGACAGACTCCTCCGAGCTGGAAAGCCCACCACCTGTCCTCTCGACCCGTGCCCGTCTTGGCTGATTAGAGCGTGTCCAGACGAGGTGCGGGCCCTCCTGGGATATCATCAATTTGTCCCTTGGCACGGGGACATTCCCAGGGGAACTGAAGGAGGCAGTGGTGCGCCCGCTCTTAAAGAAAACATCATTAGATCCTTTAGATCTATCCAATTACCACCCGGTTTCGAATCTTCCGTTCCTGGGTAAGGTGATTGAGAGAGCGGTTGCTGAACAGCTTGGTGGGTTTCTGGATGAAACATCGGCTCTGGATCCATTCCAGTCCGGCTTCCGTGCTGGTCATGGGACCGAGACGGCTCTGGTCGCCCTAACAGATGATCTTCGTAGACAGCTGGATCGAGGCGGGTCGGGGCTGCTGATTCTTCTAGATCTGTCAGCAGCTTTCGACATGGTCGATCACGAACTTCTGGACCACCGCCTTGCCGACGTGGGGATCCAGGGCACAGTCCTTCAATGGCTGCGCTCGTTTCTCTCTGGTCGGGGACAGAGGGTGGCGCTTGGGGGGGAATTGTCATCGCGCCACTCCTTGGTGTGTGGAGTACCTCAGGGTGCGATACTCTCCCGATGCTTTTCAACATCTTTATGCGCCCCCTCGCCCAGCTTGTTCGGAGTTTTGGGCTGGGTTGCCATCAGTATGCCGATGACACCCAACTCTATCTGTTGATGGATGGCCATCCTGACTCGGCCCCAGACACACTGACCAGATGTTTGGAAGCTGTGGCTGGATGGTTACGTGGGAGCCGGTTGAAGCTAAATCCTTCGAAGACAGAGGTCCTGTGGCTGGGACGGGGCGATATGGGATTGGGGGGGCAACTCCCATCTCTTGCAGGGGCGCAATTAGTGCCAGCACCGTCCGTTAAGAGTTTGGGTGTAATCTTCGACACCTCCCTTTCCATGGAGGCGCAGATTGCAGCTATAACAAAGGCGGCATTTTTCCATCTCCGCCAAGCTAAGCAGTTGGCTCCTTACCTCTCTCGCCCTGACCTAGCCACTGTGATCCACGCGACGGTCACCTCCAGACTGGATTATCGTAACTCGCTCTACGTGGGGCTGCCCTTGAGACTGACCCAGAAACTCCAGCGGGTGCAGAATGCTGCAGCGAGACTCCTTACGAGGTCTTCGCTGCGAGATCACATTCACCCGGTCCTACACCAGCTGCACTGGCTCCCGGTGGAGTACAGGATCAGGTTTAAGGTGCTGGTTTTAACCTTTAAAGCCCTATACGGCCTAGGACCCTCGTACCTACGGGACCGCCTCTCATGGTATGCCCCACAGAGAAACTTACGGTCTTCAAATAAAAAGATCTTGAAGGTCCCAGGCCACAGAGAAGTTAGGCTGGCCTCAACTAGAGCCAGGGCTTTTTCGGCTGTGGCTCCGATCTGGTGGAACACTCTGTCACAAGAGACCAGGGCCCTGCGGGACTCGACATCTTTCCGCAGGGCCTGCAAGACAGAGCTGTTCCACCAGGCCTTTGGCCAGGGCACAGCCTGACTCCCTCCCTCGGCAATCTTCGCGGAGCTCTGGCCCAATGGTTGCCAGTGGCTTGAATTAATTAATTTTATAATGAATGATTTTAGAGTGTTGTTTATGCTGTACTTTTATACTGTTTTATTGTTGTTAGCTGCCCTGAGCCCGGCTTCGGCTGGGGAGGGCGGGATATAAATAAAATTTCTTATTCTTATTCTTATTCTTATTCTTATTCTTATTTGTAAACCTGTTCTGGAAACCCTTTTTCAGCTGAAGAGCAAGCTAAAAACACTTAACAAACAAATCAGATATGGAAATAATCTGTGCAAACTTAATTCAGTCACAGTTTACACAATTAGCATTTTGTAGGGAGAAAAATGAATATTGTATGCTTTACCTTTTGGTCTTCTAATCATATTTAGTTATTTGACTCTTAATGTGTTCAGTACATTGTTAGGTGGCTGTATAGAGAAACATCTGCAACATTTACTTACTCCTATCACGTTGCATAGTTTAAGCTCAGATGAAAATATAATGAAGACACAGTCCTAAAGTCTGAACATAATTCTTATTTTCGATTCTTTTGCTTTGCTTTTTATAAAATTCTACATGTACATATTGGGTTTTTTAAAAACAACAGCACTCAAGTGTGAGGTTTAGAAGAGATTTTAATATTGCTACAAATCTTCATTGATTTCCCTGTCTAATGTCTGCAGAAGCATTTACACCCATGTAATCAGCAGACATAAAATATGTTGAAATTATATTGTGAACACTTGCAGACTACTTATCATTTATTCAGCTAGAGCACCACTCCTTTCTTGCAATCATCTAGCTTGCCTGATTTATTAAACTTTTCTGCTACCGTTTTTACCTTCCCGCATTGGTCACTATGATTGGGTGTGGTATATGCCCTATTTCAGAACAGGCAATTGTTAACTTGATGATATTTGTGTGTGGGTTTGACTGCTTCTACCTTTGCACTAAAAAATAGGCATAGGAGGAAATTTGTTTGGTCTACTTTGCAGTGCAGTAACATGATCTGATGCTCCTGAGCTTGCTTGCTGATTTTAAGTTAAGTGTGCACGTAATGCATACAGCAGGACAAGTGCAGATGAATTGGATGCAGTGGGCACCAGGGGACGCAATGGGATGGAACACAGCTATGATCAAGAGCCAGCAAGACTGAAATAGGATGGAATTAGAGGCTTAGCCCATCCCTATTGAAAAATATGCAGGCTAGTGATTGTGATATTTTACTGTGCCTCCTATCAGTAAAAGTGCCAAACTTATTTATGCTCTTTCTGTGAACCCCATGGAATGAAAGCACAATGCTAATTGTCTCATTTCCTTTACTTGAATCAAAGCATAATCCTTTTTAAAGTCACTTGAAATGCTTTTGTTTAAGAAGAATGCTGTTCATTAATGCCAGAACATTTTCAGATCTTGAAATGAAATTATTTATAGAACAACTGCTTTTCAAAATGCTTGTTATGGAACAAGGGTGTTGCATGACTTGAGCAATTGTAGTAAAAAAGAAAAGCAGCACTTGCCAACAATGCACAAGAAAGTATTTTTAAAAATCAAGGATTCAATAAGCTATAGCTATTGTGTAAAATATCCTAAGGGCATTTTAGTTCCCTTGCTCGGTTTCAGGTGTCTGCACACCATTTATCCTAGGCAGTGAATAGCCATTCTTAGTTGGTTAAGTGATTTGTCCTCTAAATTCTGGTTTTGAAAGTGAAACTGGTATCCCAATAGTTCTGCAAGCTATGAGCAGTCAGCATCCAGCCTGTTTGAAGGATCTGGCATTTAGTGATGCTTTTACAATAAATTGTCTTGTACTTCTTGCAACTTTAGAAATTTAAGCTATAAAAATGTAGAGGCCCTTCCCATCTGCCTGTGTGCAAGAGTAGGTTAGAAGATATGTATATTATGGTAGGTGGCTTCAGATTTAGAATTCTGAGTTAGACAGTGTGGTTTGCTAAGGCTGCACTAGAGGAGCCAGAGTAAGTGAATATACGGCTGGGTGCTAGTCAGGGAGAGTTGGCGTTGGTTGTATCAGTTCGTGTTGATCAGAGAGGGAGTTAGTGTTTGTTGATGGTGTTTGTGGTGGACAGCAAGAAGACAGCAGAGGAAGAGGGTCAAGAAAGAAAAAGGAAGACCCAAAAGGAAGACAGAGTGACTTGGTGGCCAAAGACTTGTTGGGGTAGCTGAATCACTTGCCTCAGGCTAAAGAGATGAGGGGAAAATATGTATATAGCATCAAAGGTGAAGAAATGAGAGGCAGCTTGGAATTCTAGGCTGTAGTGTCTGGTAGGAAAGCCAGAGGAAGATTCCAGGATAGCACAGTAAAAACAGATCTATGCTCCAAACGATCAGTAGGAAACAGAGGTTTCAATAAAGGTGCTCTGTTTTAGTGTTGGTGAGGCCTAACTGGGGTGGAGTAAGTACAAGGGCAACCCAACAAAGGAGTTTTAATAAGTTAACTGTTTCATCAAACCTGTATTGGTTTTGCAGTGTAAAATAAGCTGTACTGCATATTAAAGTAACCACAAGATTGGGCGCTACATAATCTTGTAATAAATAAACATTAATGCTTGTTTATTATTTATCTTTGTTAAATATAGTAACTATATTCGACTTTGTCATACCTCCATCCCACAATTATCAGGGATTATTGGATAGTTGATATGCTAAGGGTGCAAGTGATACTAAATGATGGCAGTTGTATGGAAGTTGGGCTTTGTTAATAAAATAAGTAATGAAAACCCCCCCTCCTTTTCTTCACCTAGACCTTGGACCTAAAGGGGAGGAGATTAGGTTGAATGATCCCCCAGATCCCCCAGATTTTAAGACCTGCTAAGGAACAGAGGATTGTTATTATGTCCTCATATGAAAAATCACAGAATTCAATACTATATTCAATACTATACCTTGTTAAGTATAGTAACTATATTCGACTTTGTCATACCTCCATCCCACAATTATCAGGGATTATTGGAAAGTTAATATGCTAAGGGTGCAAGTGATACTAAATGATGGCAGTTGTGTGGAAGTTGGGCTTACTTACAGTGGTATGGAAGTTGGGATTACTTATTTTACTTAAAATAAGTAATGAAAAACTTTTCTCCTTTTCTCCACCTAGACCTTGGACCTAAAGGGGAGGAGATTAGTTGAATGATCCCCCAGATCCCCCAGATTTTAAGACCTGCTAAGGAACAGAGGATTGTTATTATGTCCTCATATTGAAAAACCACAGAATTCGAGGATGTGCTTTCTTTTCCCCATGACTGTATAAGCTCTGTATTTAAGCTCTGATCCAGCAAAGGCTCCTGCCAGTAAAGGGGGAGAGGTGATTTTAGCTAAATTTCCCTTGCAACCTCTATGCCCTTTGAAAAATAAATTGCTCTGGAGATTAGAAGACCCTCCAAAACCACATGGGAGGTGGTGCTCTATGGGCTGTAGAGTAGGCAAAAATTCCTTCTCGCTGACAAGAGCCTCTGCTGGCCTGGAGCAATAGTTATTTCAAATTGCCAAAACATCAGTGTAGGTGCCTTGTGGAGCTAATGAAAGAAGTGTAGGAATTCTTTCAGTTTAATAAGCTGCTGCCATGTGCCGATTGAAAAAGCGGCCGTCTTATCTTCTAAGGCTCTTTTTCATTTTCATTGAGGACTGCATCAAAATAGCCTAGGCAAATAAAAGAGATTATTTGCTCTCTGGCTCACTGTTATAAAAATAGGCTTCATCAGTTACTCAACTAAAGCTTTATGTCAAATAACAGATTAAAGCAAGAATGAGGAAGCAAGGATGAGGAACCTCCTCCCACTTTTTTCCCTGGAGGGGGGACTGTACACTGGCAGCAGATGAAGCAGAAGCCAGGCGAGGACAGGGCATCCTCTTCTCTCTTCCTCTCATTCTGCCTCTCCTGGATTAAAGCTTGGCACTTTTTTACTGATACTTGTATTGATTTAGAGATGAACTCTCTTCCTTTCCATATGGCTTGCTTTATTTTTTGTGAGTGAGTCTGTTGCTTCACTGCACTGGCCTTTTCCAAGAAAGCACATTCGATCTTTGCTGAACATTGTATTTTAGGGAGATTTCTCTTGTGGTGGAATCAACCCACAAATCACAAAAGTACTCCCAGATGTTTTCACCTAAACACTGCCAGCAACACAAATATTTTTTTCCCTTACATATACTTAATATGTTAAAGACATGCCCAGTATGACAATAATTTGTTATATTTGAACATGCTCCAGATTATGCAATGTTTAGTAATTAAATATTTGTGCAAAATTGGAACTTTTGTCAAAGTCAAAATCCACGATAGATTGACATTTCTTAAAGGTTATATTTAAGAATGCTGAATTCAATACCCTGTGTTAAAAATTGGGAAGTGGGAAAAGAGAGAAATTAAATAATTGTGAAATGGCAGGTTAAATAATAACCTTCCTGAACTTCATACTGATCTCTCTTTTGTGATCATAGGCCAGTAGATTGTAAAGGTCATTTAAGAATTTTTAAATGACCATATAATATTTGCCAACTGCTACTATGTTTTAATCCTAGAACAAAATGAAGCCTTTGGTTTATGTTGTTCATGGCATTCCATTTATTTATCAGTTTAATGCAGTAAACAACCTGAACACCGAAGAGTTAGGCTGAAAGTTGGACTATGCTTTTAGGATAGATTTCTATATATTGCACCCTGACTTACACTCAGTGGAGTTCTGTTGGCACTAGAGAAAGGGGGTTGGATAGTTTCAGTTTGCACTACAGGGTTCTTCCCTCTGCTGTCACCTGTGCCTCTTGAAAACATTCTCCAGAGGCTGAGGGGAACAGTGTGGGGTCTGGGGGACTGGGAAGGTGGGACTGGGGGCTGCAGGGAAAATGAGGAATCGGCAAAGAGCATCCATAATTCCATAATTCTCTCATTTTCGAGGCAATGTATGTGGGTCCACTGCAGAGATCAGTCCCTGGAGGGGATTATACACATTGTTCCTGTTTGATCTCCTCTTGTACTACTTTGGGGGAAAGGCTTACTCTGTTATTGTTCTGTAAATGAGGTACTTCTTGTGCTTAGATTATTCCGGAATTGCTGGAATTTTCAAATCCTTTTGACAAATTAAAAGCAAATTGTCCATTTTGTGGTGACAGAAGTATTGATGATTTTGTCTCTTCACTTACAGCTTTTGCGAGAACTGAAGCACCCTAATGTGATTGCATTACAGAAAGTTTTCCTTTCCCATAGTGACAGAAAAGTGTGGCTGCTATTTGATTATGCTGAACATGATTTGTGGGTAAGTTCAGAATTTATTGGTGCTTTGACTGGCTGTGGTTGCATATCCATAGTTGGGGATAGTAAAAATCTGTAAAAATGAATAAATCCAAAACCCCAGAAATCAGAATAAGTTATGAACTTGTGCAGATTTTCATATGCTTATTATACAGATACAGCCGCATAAGACAAATTGGAAATGGAGACATAGCTTGAGTGCCAAAATGATTTACTTATTTTTATAAAACAATTGGCCTAAAAGAAGGAGCTTCTTCAGATGACCTGTCTATTTAGCATCATTCTGATTTGCTTGCACAAAGCTTATACGGTGGTCAGACTTCATTCATTTTTACTTTATTGAAATTTGTTCTGATTTGTTTACGGGCTGGTTCTATGACATAGAGTATTCATTTTGTATTCTTCCTGATTTGCTTGTAGGGATGGGGGTTATATGTTTTCCTGTGGATCTTTATTCATACCACACTTATCAATGTGTTTCCCTGTCAGTTTACAAATGTCCAATTCTTTTATGATTTAAGTGGATTTGTTGCACTAAAGATCCAGTATGCATTTGAATTGCTCCTGTAAAATAATTACAGTCTGGTGACATCCTTGTTTTTAGAGGCGTGACTACTTTTTATTCATGAAGACTAGAAATCTCCCACCCCAGCTTTCCCTTTTTTGATGTGTAATATTACTGGTTTTCTCACCGTGTTTTAATTCACATTGCCCTATTCTACGCTTTATAGTTTTAGGAGTATGCAAATATTGATACCTATGCCTGCAATGCTGCAATCCAGATAACTGTTTGAGATCAGGGCTTATGCCCTGAATGTGCTTGCCTGACCTAACAAGCCCTCTTCCCCCACCCCCCACAAATGCAAGCAAACCCCACTGCAGCCAACCACAGACAGCCAACCACACCCTGCCCCCCCAGTACCTCTCACTGCCAAGGAAATGTAATAAACGAATAGAAAGAGAACCTACTCAGCTGACGCTGACACAAAAGCCCGCAGTACACTATACAAAAGAATATAAGCTTCACCACCCCACCCTCCTCACCCCCCTCTTCTTCCCCAACCTTATACTGTACTCAACACCAAGGTCTCACAACAAATGTAACTGATTTGTAAGAAAGACTGTACTACCTGAAAAAAGAGACACGGCATGTAGTTTTGTAAACCAAGAAAATCTTTAATAAAAATATAAATAAATAAATTAGGAGTCTGTTCACATATTGCTTACAAGTTGGTGTGCGAACGTATATGTTTGTGCATCATGTACAATATGAAAATCAAACATATTCGTTAGCAGTTTGTTTGTAATAACCTCCTGTGGAAATAGTCTAATTACCACTGCTTTTTCCCTAATCAGTTTAAACTATACTGAACTTGGATTACATTAACATGAAATTTAGGCTTGCCTGGGACAAATTTCTGTAAAACTTACAGTAGCAAGGAAACCACACTTTGAAAAGCCATTACAAAATATATGAGTAATAGCTTACTGTCAAGGAAAAGAAACCACACACACACACACACACACACACACACACAATGTTCAAAGTAAAAAGAAACTTGGATCAAAATGATATAAAGTCATGAGGTTTCATGTTACTGCATGCTGCTTATAGTTTAATTGGGTAGACTTGTTCTTACAGATTTACTAGCTTGCACCCACTCATTTTCGAAGTTTTCCCCCATTGAAGTTAATTGCACAAAGGACGAGTGTACAATTAATATCCCCAAAGTATCACAGTCTTATTATGAATAACCTCATTTTATATGCATGAACTTTAACTCTGTACATCAGTTGAATTCATTTGTTTTAAAAGCAACCACAAAACAATATTTTGCTGCTAAAATGAGCAGTGTGCTTAAGAATTCATTTTGCAGATCTTGCTGCTTGCATTGTGTGAAAGTTGCCACATGAATAATAGGTCTGTCGGGTCACCACTACTTGTTAGCTATCTGTTATGCAGTCATAATGCAAAGTGTACATATTTCACTGTGCACTGTCACTTTCTGTGCAATGCACCAATTTATTATTACTAACAATTTTCAGATATACGCTTCCACTTTTTAAATATGTTTGTACATTGAACCATTGAAAAAGGTACTTTATATTTTTCTAACTAAATCATGCAGCTCGTTAAAGAAGTAAAAGTATTTATGCGCAATTGCCACAGGCTAATGACTACTTCACATATACCTGCAGTGGTAATGGGTAAGGGAGGTACCATGCTGCTTTGAGAATCTGCATATGATCAAGCCATATAGATGGGACCAATGCTGTCGTTTCTTACCACTAAAACACTGGCTTCCCTCTCTGCCAGTAAGATTTGTGTGGGTAGTAACCGCATTGCTGGCCCTGCCTTCTTGGAATAGTGTTGGATGTCCTCCAGTAAAGTGACTCTCATGAATAAATATGAATTAACTCAGAATCTTACTTTGTGTCCCTTTCTGGTCATTGCTTCAACCCTCTACCTTTGCAAGCAGAGCCTTGTTTTGGGGTGTTTTTGGATCCCAAAATCTGAATATTCTATGATCCTTGAAATTAGCTATTTCATTATTCCTGTTGGCTCTCTTGGTTTTTTAATATTTTGTATAAAACATCAGAAGATGTAACTGGGGCAATTGTACTATTTCATCATTTAGGAAGCATGCAATTCTGGGAGGAGGAATTTCAGAGGTGTGGAGAAACTAATTATTTTGGGCCAGTGAGAAACTTAAAAAGTGAAATGAAATGTGAAAAGATTGTTGCTAAGGGCACAGCTCTAGGAGGATCCATGCCTTCTTTGTTTATTGAGCTCCATAATGTACATCTTTGAATAATGTTTGCTTTCTCTGGGGAGTGTCTGAAATTTGCTGACGGCCAAAACTTTATCCCTCCTGTTTTGAATAACTCCCCCTCTGTCACTTATTCTAAGCATCACTCCCCCTCCCCCTGCCCCCGTTGTCTTTTTGCTCACTCCCAACTTTGTCTCTTTCCATGCTGCCTCTTACACTTGGAACAGCTTCCCAATCAACGTATGTAAAGCTCCTTCACTCTATTCCTTCAAAACCAACTTTAAAACCCACATGTTTAAGGACACATTTTCTTATCAGATCACTTACATTCTTGGTGTCATACTTGTTTGCATGCTCTGTGCTATAAATAAAGAGTAATATTTAAAATTTTCAGGATAGAAAAGATGGTAGTCTGGGCCATTGATTATACTAGTAGCATTTTATATTTTAGATTGAGAGCCACCGTGGTGTAGCGACTTGAGCAGTGGAATAGTAGCAGGTAGATCAAGGTTTGAATCTTTAATCAGCCATCAAACTCCCTGGTTTATTTTGGACCAGTCACTATTTCGTAACCTAGCCTACCTTCCCAGGGTTGTTTGTGAAGATAAAATGGGAGGGAGGCAAACCATGTGTGTCATTCTGAGTTCCTTGGAAGAAAGGTGAAATACAAGTACATTAAATGAATATTGCCCTGGTTCATGCACAGTGCTAAGCCATAGTTTGCCTAACATGGGTTGTTTCTCCAGTACATAACTTGATTTCCAATTGCTGTTGTCTTATGCCTTTGTTTCTTGGTGATCATCTGCAGTGGGATGCCTGTGCAAACCATGGATGCTAGATTTACACGTCAACACCAAGCTATACTTAAATTCAAGTTTCATATGGAACACTAAGTCATTGCAATAAACAGTAATTTAATAAGCCATGACTTATGAGGAAACCAAGTCATATGAAGAAGGTTCTAATTTAGCACAGAGATGAGATCTAGTTGGGGTCACAAGCTTTATTGGGGAATAAATAAGGAAAATATAGAAGCATTCATAACGTTAAAGAAGTAAAACAACTATAGATGCTTTGAAGCCTTCTTGGAATGGCCTGGTCAAGTATCACATTAAATGATAGCTAAAAATAAAGTTTGGCTTAACATGAACAAGCAGTGTGCTGGAGTGCGCTCCTCAAAAGTCCTTGCTCCTGCTGGAGAGAACACAAACCAGAGGCTAGCTTCACATTACATGTGAACTAGCACTTGCCACTTTTTCTCTCCAGATAAAGAACAAGCAGTGAACCAAGAACAGATGTTGGTTTGGTTTACTGCCCATGGTTTGTTCAGAGATAAACAAGCCATGAATACTGGTTCACACATAGCGCAAAGCCAGCCTCTGATTTGTTTCCTCTCTAGCATGGCAACAGTAGAAGCAGGGGAGATAGTGAAGTAGGGACCTTTATTCAACATGCAGCAGCAGATTGTTCATACATGTTTACACCATAGTTTGTTTTTCACTGTGGTTAAATGTGATGTCCAAACCAGGTCTATAAGTTGGTGGAAAAACCTCCATCTGTTTTCTAATTCATAGATTGCTGGTTCCAACAGTATCTGGGGAAAAGCCATTTCTATTTCTATTTTTTTAAAAATGTATTTAATGAAACATAGTAAAATAAGTATAAATGTTAATAGAATCAGTGATATATCTGATTTGGTTAATCTACCTTTTTAAATACAGTTCTAGATAAGTTAGTTGCATAAATCTGTATTAAAACTCTGTGCACCATTTCTGTACTGAACAGGGTGGTCTCTAGAGGTTGAAGATGCTGAAAAAGTTGCTATTTTTATGTACCAGACAGAGAATCAAGAAAGCTAGTCGGAATCCCATGGTTTTGTTTCTTTAAAAAACAAAAGTCTGTCCAGGGCTTTTCCTTTCCTGGGTCAGGCAATTAGATTTCATCACAGCTGGAACATTTGCAATAGCAGTAGTGCTGCAGTCCAGGGTATAATTACTTTCCTGAGCATGTGAATACTTTATTCTGCCACAGTTTGATTTGTGACCTTTAAAAAGAGCTCTGATGTTTGAATTTGGACATAGTCTGCTGTATGACCTTCCTTTCCACACACAGTGCAAATGTTGTTGTATAAGCTTATCTGAGCCTCTCTAGCTTTGTTTGCAAGGTGATCCTAGAGGCACTTAGGTAAAGGTAAAGGGACCCCTGACCACTAGGTCCAGTCGTGGCCAACTCTGGGGTTGCAGCGCTCATCTCGCTTTATTGGCCGAGGGAGCCAGCATACAGCTTCCTAGCATTCCTTAAATCAGATCTAATAAGCTAGGAATATATTACTTCCACATTTCTCTTTTCACCAAAGTTTGAAAACTTAACTGCCATATTATCAATATGAGCCTCTGTTGTGTTAGTTTTTTGGTGATAGCTTCTGTCTTGTACACGCCTCTGTTATTTCTCCTTGTCAAAACTGGTTTGTTTGTTTTTTTAAAGCACCCCCAGTGTTTCTCCACCCTTGCTTTACTCAAATCTCTACTGCTGATTTAAATGGCCACTATTAATCTCTGCCTTCTCACTGTACTTTATTAATATCTTCTTCCTCAGCTGCTTCGTGCGAGAAAGATAAAGCAGGTTTTCTCCCTGAGATTGTTCGTGCTCAACATTTTAAAAAAGAACCCCAATCTCAGTTCAGTTTAGAACTTGTAAATTCATAGGCACAATAATTCAGTGATAAATAATATGACCATACTTGGGTACCACTGAGCTAGGACATAAACAAGCAGAAGGTAACACTTTTTGTTGTGTTACTGTCACTAGAATAATAAGCAAAAAGGCAGGTCCTTGTTCTTGAGGATTTTACAATAAAAAATCCAATCTAGAGAAAGGTGATGAATGGAGAGGAGAAAGATTGTGAATGTTTGGGCTTAGTTTCAGTAGGGGATGAGTGTTGGGATACTGCCAGGGAGACAAAGTCCATCATGGCCCCCAAGCCGTCTCCGGACGATCCATCGATCTCCCGTAGTCACGCAGTATCAGCAATTAGTGACATGAGCTCCAGAAATAGCCCAACATCTAGAGCCGATGCACACTCTCTATCAGCAGATAATGCACAGCCAAAGTCGCACTTAGGAGAGCATTATTTACAAGTTTTATTCAGCGTTGATCAGAACAAAGAAAAACATGACTGCCTGCTTCAGTGTCTACGACACAGAGAGAGAAAACAAAAGCAACAGAAAACATAAACATCCTGTGAACAGGAAATGCGCAGACTCTGTGACTCACAAAGCCTGCTCCCTTTTAAGGTGGAACGGAAATATCCTAACAATGAGGACTATGGGTTATGCTGAAGTATCGCAGAAGGACTGAATTTAAGGTATAATTTGAAGGAAGAGAGAGGATGTGTCACATAGGTTTTATAGGAAGGAGTTCTGCGAGAATGGGCAGATTTAGAAAAATAAAATAAAATCCAAAGATGATACATTTCCATAGATCAACAGTTTTGACTAGACTTGGAAACCAAGACAAAAATTATGGTTGCTAAATCTCTAGCCTTACTTTGCTATTTTGGCTTCTATGCAGCTGAGGAGGCCCTGCACCTTATTTTCCTACCGGAGAGCACATCTTTTTTTCTTGTTGCTTAGCTAAAATGCTCCATGCGCCTTAATCAGACTCAGGAAGCATCTTGCTTTACTTTCCTGCTCTGGGACAGAATGTGGTGGCTTTTCATTTTGGCCCTGCATGGTGAACATACTCTAGGTAGCTTGGCCTGTGCAGCCACCCATCCTTGGTTCTGGGGAGGGGATTGACTTCTGGAATGAACACTGCCACCACTAGTGCTCCAAGGTTGGAAGGTTGAAACTCATTGCGGTTGCCAGAGGGCAGTGACACACATGCCAAGACAAAAATATGGAAGACTGCACAATTCATTTGTCAATATGCTACTAGTTAAGAGTCATCAATTCCAGTACACTTTGTTTTAGGAAATAAAATATTATTGTATTCTACTTATGATCTGAAGAACAATTTAAGTAAAAACACATGGCAGTGCCTTATTGTCCCAAGATTCATCTAATGTCCACTACGACCAGGGCATTAAGTGTGACAGCACTTGCCCTTTGGAATATGCCCCCAATGAACATCATACAGGCAGCTAAGGTCTTGGCATTTAGGAGCCTGCTTAAAACTCATCTCTTCCCTCAGGGTTTTCGTATTAAGCTGATCTACTGATTTATGATGTCTTTTGTACTTGTTTTACTAATGTACCAGTAATTTTATTGTTGCTTTTATGCTGTTCATTGCCATATTTTTTTCCTTAATGCTGGAGGTATGGATTTTTTTATGCAAACAATTAAATAAAAATTGAGAAATAGGGCTGAGCATTTAGTTTCTGGAGTGATTTCTAAGCATTGCAACTTCTGTATATGTTTCTTCGTTAGCTGTTTTTCTACATTTAAGCTGATTTCATGCCAACGAAGTGGAGAAAAACCTAATTAGGAATATTTGCAATTACAAATAGTGTAATCTGTAATCTCTGGGTGCTTTAAGTTTTTTGGTCCAGTGAACAGGTTATGTAAGTCCTCAGGCTTTAGTTTATATTTTAAATAGGGCTGGTGGAGAAATCTTTCTTTAACTCACCACAGAAAGCACTAACTTAATTGTACTTCTTGAAGACATCCATTACATAACGATCATAATCAACAGTACAGCTTCAATTAAGTTTAAGGTAATAGTATAGAATCGCAATATAAGCATTCCTTCCCCAGACTCTTTTTCTCTATAGACTCTTCACTATGGAGAGCTTGTGCCTTTCTAGATGCTGAGTGTCTAAGAAGTCAGCCCTTCTTCCCTGGAAACTCCTGTGGGGAGACCTGGTTCTGGTTGTAATGCCAACCAAATTGGAAAACAGCCTTGAATTGGCATTTTCCTCTCTGTTCCTCGTGTTCTTTCTGGCATGAATTCCCTCCTCCTTCTCTTGTCAGCTTTAGTATGATTTTTCATTTTATCTCTCATCAACAGTAACCAACTAACCCTCTAAATTGGAATTTGAAATGTCGGGAAGCCCTGGTTGAGAGAGAAAGGATGGTTAGCAGCAGTGCAGATGAAAGGCTGACCAGGGAGGAAGGTGTGGAGTTGTGTTGGAGATAGGAGAAGGAAGGTGGGGACCATGTGTAGCATTCCCAGGATTTGCACCTTATTTGAAAACTTCCATATGGGAGAGCAGCTGCTGACACATGTGCATTAGACCTCAGTGATCAGGGAAGGGCACTTCACATATGAACAGACTCACTGCACTGCGACAGAGATATTGCACTGGAAGCAGGTCTTTAACAACCCATGGCACAAACTTAGTCCCTTTCTTCTCTTTGGTGTGTGTGCCTGTGCTACTAACAAAGTGAAATCCCCCCCATGGCCAGATCGCCAGCAACTTCTTACTTCAGTTTCCTGTGCACTCTAGAGCAGTGGCTTCTAAACTTCTACCCACCTCAGACCACTTGAAAATTGCTGAGGGCCTTAGCAAACCACTTAATGTGTGTGGGGTGTGTGTGTGTTTTGCCTGTTGTTTAGCAGTTGTAATACACTATGCTAGATGCTAAAACCTTTTTAATGGAATTCAAAATTTAATGCAACTTCCCCCAAAAATAAAAAATAGAAGAAGCAATAAAAATACAATTAAAAATCAGTATGAATATTTTAATGTGATGGATGTACTTCTTATGTCTAACAAAGTTCTTTGATGCTTGGTGTAATATTTGTTGAGTCTTAGGTCAACAGATTCAGCATTCATCCAGCATCCTGTCCTTTTATATAAACTGACAACTCCTACTCTGAGTCACTCCCTGTCTTTTGCATGTGCTCCCTCTTAGCTTCTTCCCCTCTTTCTTGCTTTCCCTTTGTTCCCATGTATGGACTCTCCACTCCTTTCAAGTGCCTTATCAGCCTCTTTCCTCTCTTGGGACCTCCCCACCCTGGCTTGCTTTATTCCCCTGAGGGAGGCAGAGTCTCCTGCCTCTTCCTCCTCAAGTCACTTCTGGTCGGTCCTACTTACTTTCTGGTCTGACTGCTGGGTTTTAAGAATGATGGAGCAGCCACTGCACCCACCAGTCCTCTCACACACGTAGCCCACTGTTCTTCACAGGCATATAACATGCATTTGAGGATTCAATTCTTAATGTTTGCATGGTAGCAGTGCTGCTGTTGTGACCAACCCTAGATCAGATCGCAACCTGGTAGTAGATCCCACCAATTGAGACTTACTTCTTTCATGATTGACCCCAGCCTTTCCCCATGACCATACTCCTTATCCCTGTTTTCCCATTAATCTCAACTTTCCTTCTCTAATTACTGATAAAAAATTTAAGAAAAGAACTCCTGGGCTGTATCTTCTTACCCCAAACATGTAATGTAAACAAAGCAAAATACATTGGGGTGGGGTTTGCATACCATAATTTGTTTTCCACTGACTCCAAACATTTATTTGGCACAGATCTCCCAGAGTCTATGACTCTTAAGAACACAGTGCTAAATTTAATAAAATTGCTTTAAAACAACGGGAAATTACATAGAAATTGGGAAAGCGTGAGAAGCAAATCTGAAAATAAAATTCATTCCAATCCTAGTAATCTCATATCCAAGGAGATTAAAATATCATATCACATTGTTTCATTTTCTGAAGTGTCAGATGTAAAAGCATGTAAGATGGGACATACTTGCACACTTGATTTTGGAACTAGAGAAGCTTCAAATTTATATTTCTTGAATTATATTTTACTGAGTTTCAAAAAGTCACAATAACAACACTAAGCAAGTAGAATCCCTCCTCAGGAGAATAGATGCTGAAAATATACCAGATGGCATATAGATGTAAAAAGGTGCCACTCAGGTAAGTTATATTACAGCTCGTTGCAACTCACCAGACTGAGAGTTCCCTTAGCCAGCATGCTTCAGTTTCAGAAAGCCACCTGGAACATGCAAGGCTTTTATTTTTTAAAATTCACTGTAAGAATTTTATTTCATCAACATTCATGTCTGTAATCTTTTTTTTTATTCCTAGCATATTATCAAGTTCCATCGTGCCTCAAAAGCAAACAAGAAACCCATGCAGTTGCCAAGATCTATGGTGAAATCACTACTTTATCAGATTCTTGATGGAATTCATTATCTTCACGCAAATTGGGTGCTTCACAGAGACTTAGTAAGTGCTGTGATTTTTAACTGTTTAGAAATAATTTGGATTACATTTTTGTTTTTGGGAAGTGAATAAACTGGGTGGGGGTGGGGAATCTCACAAACTGCTTCACTTCTTGATGTTCTTAAATACTCCTAGGGGTTTCATGGCAAAAGTAAACTTGTATCATCACTGGCTTTTAACAGCAACATCTGCTGCAAGTCTCTGGTGCTGCATCCAGTTAGCAAATAGCTTTATAAGCAAACAATACATCAGCCAAGGAACACTTTACACTGAAAAAGCAGGTAGCCGTTTAAACTGCTCTGGGTTACTTTGGCTGTCTACCATTCTAAAACTCAACAAGCTGTAGGAAGATCCTTAGGAGACTATGGCCACATTTGTGCAATCGTATCTTGTCATAATAAGCCAATGTATGAAAGCGCCTCCTGGACATGCATAGAGCCATTTTTGTACTCCCTTCACGTGAGCAGGAAAACAACCATGAAGCTGCAATGAGCTCTAGCTTCTCATTATATTCAGATCAGGTAACTGTAGTTAATGGCTTCCAAACAAACCAAAATATTAATTCATGTTTTTAATATCCTGCTTTGTTTGGAAGCCATTGACCTCTGCTTTTTCAATGCAATAGAAAGCTAGAGTTAATTGTCACTTCTTAGCTTGTTTCCCTGCTTGCACAACAGGGATAAAGCAGATGTGTGCAGATGCACGCAGATGCAGGAGGCTTGTTAAGCTGAGATACTGATCGTCCAGAAACAGTTGTTGTTTCATGAGAACAAACCACTGGCGGGGGGCCACTAGGGGGCGCATTGGAAGATGGCCAACAATATCATCTTTCCGACCCACACGGGGTAATTAAGAGGCTGTTATGGGAGTAGGCAGCCTCCCTTGTTGCCCCAAGGAAATGGGGAACACTGCCCTTGCCTGCTGTGCCCATAAATCACCCCCTAATTCGAAAGAAGGGGGTGAGGGCCCTAGGTAGAATGCCCCCGTGTGGACGTCGGCTCTCCTGGACGCTGTCTCTGATCGCGCACTAGTTGCAGCAATTTGGAATAATTAATTACAAAAGAAGCAAATGCACATATTTCAAGTGAAGAAGGGGAGTGAAGTCTGCTAATTTAAGTGACCTCTGCGAAAGAAGATGACAGGCTGGAGAAACAGGAATATTTTACGATGAAGATACACCAAACATGTTGACAACGGGGCTGAATTGGGGGGGGGGACCTTTTTTTACTTTCATAGAATCATAGAATCATAGAGTTGGAAGAGACCACAAGGGCCATTGAATCCAACCCCCTGCCAAGCAGGGGGAAAGTAAATCACTTTCCTTCTATGTGATTTACAAGAACCCCTCCTCATTAGAACCGTTGGTTGAACTGACCCAAGCAGGATGATTAAGGTCTGTGTGGAGATAAACAGGATCCACAGGCACCTTCAGACAAGTGCCATCATGACATGCATTCCTTCTTCTTCTCCTGTTTATTATCTTCATCAGACCAAAAATATGACCAAAAATACAGCACAACAAAACCTTACAGTTTTATTAAATACAGGATAAATACAAAAAGTATAACATACTAACAGCATCTCAAATACACACACACACTTAGAGTAAGCCCCTGGGAATATTTTTTTCAACTTCAGGTGCTTAAATGTCTTCTTAATCTCACTGCCACCTATAGAAATTTTGTTACCTAGACCAGTGTTTCCCAAACTTGGGTCTCCAGCTGTTTTTGGACTGCAATTCCCATCATCCCTGACCACTGGTCTTGCTAAATAGGGATGATGGGAGTTGTAGTCCAAAAACAGCTGGAGACCCAAGTTTGGGAAACACTGACCTAGATCATCAGTCAGGCTGTAACTGATGCTGGATTGTGGACTGCCCCCTGGATCGTTGACAAGGTAGCTGTTTACCTTGTCTGTTTGCTTTTTTAGACAGTGCTCAACTTTCACTTGTTCTTTGGCGGAAGCGTTTGATGAAAGTATTCATGGACATCCATGAAGCTGAACAGTAGAGGGGACCCTGGAGCATGTTATACCAGTCCTGACTGACAGGAGAGTCTTTCACAGAGAGAATAAAATACCCCTGCTGAAAATTTCAAATAACAGACAACTGTGAAATATTGTGAGAACCAGTCATAGTTCAGCTACTCAGTGGTGATATAGATCTGCAAACAAAACAAATATAAGATCCTGTTGTGCATCTCACACAGGAAACAAATGTTACCAGGAAGGCTGCCTTTCCTCAGGGGCCCATGACAGTAATTCTGCTTCCATGGAGAAAGGAGCCAGTGTTCTAAGGCTGCTGATCCCAGGAGTTGGAAACTGATGAGTATCAAACCTTAAGGACATGATGCTAAATATTTCCAGTGGGCTGGATTAGAGAATTGCCTAGCAGACCATTGAATGGCATTCTGTTACTTGAAAAGATCATCCAAGAGTTGTTTGCAAAACATACTTGCATTTGTGTATGTGCATTTTAAATAGCAGTTGCAACACCTTCCCACCCAGATCTGGCATCAACGGAGGCTTCCTTCTGATGTGTGTGCATGCATGTGCAGTTTTCTTTGGGATCGTGAAGAAGAAGGTGAAAGGTTATCCCCCTTTTTTTACCTGCATTGCAGACCCGGTCCAGATTAGGGATTCGGTGGTTTGCACAGAAATCTGAGCATGCTTTTAACATAATATGTTCCTTGGTCCTCAGAGAGACGGTTACAGAAAATGAGAATCTTTGTGTAAGAAGGCACAATAGGAAACCTTTAGAGACCTACCTTTCATCTACATGATTTAATGCTGAGCATACATTTTCTGGTAGTGGTTGAATACTTGTAGTGTGCAGGATCCAATAATTAGGGACATAGGGACATGAGTTGTGGTTAGCATGTTGAATGTATGGTGACCTGCTTGCTTCCATAGGTGATGAACATTACTTGCAGTCTAGAAAAGCTGACAGTGTGTGGGAAGAGATTGTGGAGTGGAATTAAACTCTTTGCTATGGAGATCATTCAGTCAGCATAAGCATTTCTGCCTGCCCAACAGAACAATCTCCCTCCCTCCCTCCCACCACATACTGTTCTGGGAGTTTTCACTGACCCTCCAGAATGGTTTTGGGAGAGGTGGGGAGGTAAAGCCCCATTGTGCTAGTGGGAATTCTTGTGCTGTTTTCCACTAATGGAACTGGGTTGTTGAATCCAGCCCATAGTCATGTTTTCCTGGAACCATATTTTTGGGGAAGGCACATGTTTGATGTATAGATGTCAGGACCGAGTTGTTGCTGGTGATCCCAGATGAGTGAGATGGTGCCCAGGACTAAAAGTGAGAATACTGAAATCTGTATGTAGCTCACCCATGTGGTATAAATAATAAATTAGGGTTATGATAAAAATAATAACAAATTATTACCCCCACACCACACCCTCCCAGGGCCGTTGGTGTACACGGGAAGCCAATACGCCCTGAAATGTCCAATTCCCCTTTTACCGGATGGAAGAGCTCCGTGGGGAGGTGGGGCACCAATAAAGGTCTTCGCAGTCACTGTGCTGCTTATGGGCACCAGGTTGGCAACTCCCAACTTTGTCAGACTCTTCCTTCCAAAGCTAGCCATTGGATCTTCCTGGACAGGAAGGAGTAGAAGTCGTCTTTCTGTTCCAGTTGAGCCTTGCCTGAGCAATAGAGTCTTGATGAGCTTTGGTGCATTCCTGTCTCCTTTTGTCCTCCTCTGGTCCTGATTTATAGCTTGCTCTTCAGCCTTGCCTCTTAGTTTGGTCCTGACTTGGCTTTATCCCTTGACTCCAGTCCCCTGGTGCAGAAAATGAAAAATCTGAGGCAAGTGAAAAGGAAGTAAAGTTTGTTATAAAACTGTCTAGCTCAAAACAACTTTTGTTAGAGTGCTGCATATTAACTTGCCATCAGAAACATTCATTTAAAATGTTTTATGGGTGCAGCTCAGTGGGGCTCATTTTTGGTTTGCTTCCTTGTGTTCATTCCACCCCAGCAAATACTGTGGGTTATGTTTCTCCTTCGGTCCTGTGGCAAAATATTGTATCCGTAAAGAAGACAAGGGAAACTATGTTAATCTCTTGGCTTTGTCCTTGGTACCATGTTGATATTTAGTTTGCCGACATTTTATGGACATTGTTTGTATCATCTAGATATAATAAGTCCTTCAGGGAATATTTATAATAGGCATTTTTAGAGTGCTGCTCTTAAATAGTGCTGCTGATTGTGTCTTAACAATTTGCTATTCAAAACAGCATGCACAGATGGTGAAAAAATATCACTCTTATTTGTATAATATAGTGGTACTATTGTAAAAAGTCTGGAATTCACAGAATCCTTGATTTAAAATTAGCTTCTTTTTCAGTTACTTTCTTTTTTACAGAACAATCGCTACAAGGTATTTTTTTTTGGGGGGGGGAGGAATCTGTTTTTTGTCCTTTACCACTTGTTCTTGAGGTATTCCCAACTCAACCGCAAAAAAGACTAAAACAAATTAACCTCTGTCTGTAAATAGTCATGTCACATTCTTGCCCTTCTCCTTCCTGCCCACCCTTCAAACATTCTATTTCACTTGAAGATTCAAACATGTTTCATTTAGCCTAAAGCCACTAAGTTCAGTCAGATGGGCAGTTACATGCATGTACTTTAACCATCACATATATTTGAAAGTTGTTATAAGTTAGAAAATGCATGCATGCATTCTCAGCATATCAAGAGTGTTGTGTAGGACAGAGTACTTCTCCGGGTTATTTATTACTTCTATTAAATACACTCATCAGAATACCTAAAAAGTATCAGCATGCATTATAAATGTGGAATTATACATTTCAAGCCTCTAAGGGCCAAACTTAGCGAGATTCATGATTGGATCTCTGGTTTCATTACCAGAGCTCCCCACTTCCATTAGAATGGGACCACAGTATGGGGGGGTGGGTTTACCCTTTTCCATCACTATATTACCAATGTAAATCTGCCACAGGTGGGAAAACTTAGCACACTGTCTCATCACCATATTCACTTCATGAAACTGATTGGCTCATATCATTTTCCGAAGGAGAGAGAACCTTAAACGTCTCCGAAGACACAGAGGCAGCAGCAGACTGGAGTAGCAATGACAGCTAAGCAGCACCAAAAAGTGAATATTATCACCAGTTAGAGCTTTGCGGGAATGATTTGTGGAGTCGCAAAGCACTGTACTGACTCAAATAAATTAAAAGGGCTAGATGGTTAGGGAATTCCCCAACCATTTATCCCTTTTGTATTTCCCCTTCTTGTTGGATCACCTGCCTTCAAGAAAGAGCCGAATTAAACAGATGTTAGAGATCAGTGATCAGATCTTCCATTTTAAAAAATATCACTTAAAATGCAGCTCTGTTCTGGAATTCAGTGATATTCATTGCATGGTAGGCTGCCTACCCATCAACAGAAAACAATCACTCCAGTACAATACATTCCATCACCTGAAAGTGAACCTAGACACCACGCCAAGCACAGTCTTCCTTTCCTATCTGAGTGTCTTCTTAGCCTTTAGGTTCTGGTTTTTGGATTGTTGGCACTCAGTGCAGAGTAACTTTGGAACCATCTACTGCACAAGGCCTTGTTGTTATCTGAGGTTAATTTTCCATCTAGATCCAGAGCGGTCCAGCTGACAACCCAGAGAATGGACAGTGCCAATTAGCTTCCATGGACAATACATGCCAAAGATCATGGCCACCATTCTTTTCTCTCATGCTTTTGAATCATATGCAAGTTACTATGCCAAAGTTAACAGTCAAAATGTTTTCAGTATAGAACACTACCCTAGCCACGTCACCCATACCTGTTGCTACTCAGATTATGTAAATACTGTTATTTGTTCAATGGTCTAGAGCAAACTGAGCCCAACTGAAAGTTCAGTTCTCAAAAGTTAATATGTGCTAGCAGACACTGACAGTAGGAAAGTGCAAAACATTAATTCTGCCGCTTTAGCACAGATCATGTTTGATAGCAGTAATTCTTTATTTCAGTAGCTCTGATTCCTTTTCAGTACTCAATCCCTTTTAACCCGTTTATAAAAGAATTTAATATTCCACTTAGAGTATGCAGAAGAGCTGTCCCCAAATCTGCTGCTATCATTATAAAATATTAATTGGGATGGGACATCCATTTTTGAAAGTTCAGGTATCTGAATCTTTGTGTGGGCAATACCATCTCTGTTGATCATATCAGGTTATACTGTACTTCTTTTAAAAACTAAACTGTGAAACAATTTCCCTATATTTTAGTCTATACGTAACTGCAACTTTGCTTTTGTTCCAGTAGTGTTACCTCAATGGTGTGATTTGTATGAAGTTTCAACTAGGGTCATGTAACATTGACCACTGGTTTCAATTTTAGTAAAATACACAGACACATCACTACATTATTCACAAGGCGAGCATGGCAGGATAAACATCTTGAAATCCAGTGTATCATGTTTACTCATTCCTTTTTATTATATTTTAATAATTAAAAAGTGACATTTTTAAATTGCTAGGCTCTCCCACAAACAGTAATAGAAGAAGCACAATGTCCTATTACTTTGCTTATTAAAATTAGCCATTAAACACCACATGGCATTTGGGAGTGAAGGTTCTACAGATACATAATTTGCTGTTTAAATTCAGTTTGTGCACCTGACTTCAAAAAGTGACTTCCATTCTGTAATAAACAAAAATCTGCCCTTATTCCCTTATGGGGGACACAAGATCCCTTATAGAGCCCTTTGTAGGTTCTCCATCGTTCGGAGAAAATAACAGAGGCCAACCAGAGAATATTGAGAAGCAAAGCAGCTCGTAAGCCTGATCTTTATTGAACTGTGGCAACAGGGTGCTCCCCTCACACGCAGGAAAGGAGGAGGACCCAGAACAAAGGTGTGCCCGCCCTTATATAGACATTTTAAATTGCCCGCCCTGGAGTCCAAGACCACCTCCAGAAACATCATACATACATCACAGAAGGGGTGTAGCTCAAGACCACCCCCCAGATGCATCATACCTACATCGCAGAAAGGGGTGTAGCTTAAGACCACCCCCCAGATACATCATACCTGCATACAACAGAAATCTGAGTGTGTTGTTTATCTCCTGTCTGGCAGGTTACCTGTTAATGGTTGCTTGACTGGATACCCGGGGGAGCCTGGCCAGTCTTTTGTAATGATAAATACTTAGTTCCCGAGCCAGGTCACAGACTCACCCTATTCATACACAGACATACCCTTAAGACAGAATTTGTGAATGAAAAGACAATGAGGAGGCTTTTCCATTTTCCTTCAACCTTGCAGAGAAATATTTGAGGTCAATTTGGGAGGGACAAAATGGTTTCAGGACTTTTTCTGTGGGGTTTCAGACATATGGTTTATATATGCAGTTACGAACATTTATCTTTTATATATCTAAGACCTTAATTTTTTTATTTCAATAGTCAATGAGAGACACTGGGCAAACTACTAGCTAGATGAGAGGTGGCCATGGGCAACTCGTGGCCGCCTACAGTTCACATTGCAGTCCTTGGCTACCTCACCAAGTCCCCTAGCAGCAGTCATACTAAGAGCTTTACAAAGGTGCCAGGGCTGGGGAAATTGTGGCTTTCCAGTTGTTACTCGATAGCAACTCACACCATCTCTGAGGGTTGGTCATGTTGGTTGAGGCAGATTGGACTTGGAGTTCAACAACATCTGGAGAGCTAGAGGCTCATCCCTGCTCTAGACAATGCACTCTATAGTTGGGCAGTAGGAAATTCTTGAGCATAGTAAAGATACTGGAACTTGTACAAAATAGTGATGCTGCCATCTTGGAAAAAGGCAATGCCATTTTAGGTATGCTTCATATATGCACACTTTGGGGTGGTAAGGTGAGGTGAGTTCACATTATTTGAGAGGCTTTTTAAAGTTTAATTGTTATTACACTCTCCTGACGTAAAGGGACAGCTATAGTTGCCCATTACCCACAGCTACACAATACTTGCAGCAGGGAACATTTGAACTTTCAATGTGTAAAATATCCTATTTTCACCCTACCCCTGGTAATCAGGATGTTTTGGATAATGGGTGTGCCAAATTTCACTTTTTCTTGTGGAAGCATGCTAACAATTTTGATCCTCTCTTGAATTAATGGCTTAGTAAGCCAAGTGCTCATGAATCATTTCCTACGGATTGTTTTGATATAGTGGCACGCTCCAATAGTTAACTGCTTTTGTTTGCATGTGAATGATTTAAAAAAACAAAAACAAAAACCAGCAGTACCCAGAGGATAACATTTTTCTCATGGGAAGGTCGTATCTCTAAAGAATTATATCCTAGATAAGCTCAGGAACAGTAAAGGCTACTAAATGCTAGCATTCTGTTGGCCATTGTTTCCCTTATCATTTAATCAGTTGTGTTCCTCTTATTCAAAGCTGCAGACAGTTTTACTTATGTTTGGTTTTTGCTGGCTCCTTTCTGGCCTTCATACTAAAGAACTGATTGCCCCTGCATGCATTAAAGCAGCTCCAATGTTCTTACAGTTTGATTTCTGTTTGATGTTGAATTATTTTTATTCTTCAAGAACATGATAGTTTGTCTGAGCACTTTTGGCTCTTGCTCTTTGTGTTGCCTCTCAGAGATGTATTCGTTGCATTACACCCACTAGCCGGAGGAAAGAAAACATGATCATTTACTTATTTACTGCTCAAAGGAATTTGCCTTAAATTATAACATCTATGCTACTTCTGCAGCAGATGGTTCCAGTTTATTATTGTTGACCTTGTACATTCTACATTTACACCTTTACTACACAGTCAGACCCCATAGTTCACACTCAGCAGGGATCTGTTTGTTCAGTTTTTATTGCTGATAATTTAAACATGAGATTCCAAATCTAACCTTTTGTTTCTATAGCAACTAAACATGGGCTGATCAGTACTATCATTTTCTTTAACAGCTGGCATCTTCTGTTCACTGTAAACTGAGTTTTAAAAGTATAAGGTTTTTAAACTAGGTGTTAACTGGCCCAGAGGTGTTGACGTAATTAGGAAGCACATATACTATTATAAGAGATCTGATAGGTAATTTTGAACCATGAATTCTCATGTTTTCATTGGAATGAATGCCATTGTCCAAAGCGGAGGCATGCCCTTGAGATGTCCTTGGATTTGCTGAACACATGCGTCTTTTCTGAAGTTAGTGTTGGAGATCTTAATGCTGTCTTTGGCTTATAATGTTTGCTGCATTTTCTTATGGATAACAACAACTACATACTTTCTTACTTCAGTCATATATATGCCTACATAAGCTTTTAGTCTTCTTATACATGCATATATTTAGACCAGGCAAATGCCTGGACACGTGAAGAATGAATTCGTGTACAGGAACATGCATGCAAGCCCCACTCCCAGCATCTGATGTGAGTCATTCCGCCCACTCAGTCCCTGACTGTGCATGTTGTTCTACTCATGTTCAAGCAAATACAAGTAAAAATACCCTGCAGACTTTCCTTGTACACCCCTGCTCCTCACCCACAGTTTTAGTCTACATGTATACAGGTGGATGCGCAAACACACTCTTTTATTTGTTAATATGATTCTTCTGTACTAATTCCTTAAAATATTCAACACCATAAAATGGTCTAATGTATTTACTTCAACTTCACATGTAAGTAAAGTTTCTTGAATTCTTCTGGAGGGGAAAAAACAGTAAGGAACAAATCGATCAATCTCCAAAGGTGTTTTCATCAAAGCAATTATGGTTCTCTGTTTCTAAGTAGATTCAAATGAGATTCAAAATTGCCCCAGACTTTCCATCTAGTGCTGGAGGACCTGTTTTCAAACTCTACTAACAATATAAAGTTTATGTATAGTGCTTCTCAAATGATGTTCTGTAAACATCTGTCCAGTATTCATAGCGAAATGGTATTATGCTGGTTGGTTTATTGGAAGGAAGGAAGGAAAAAGTAGAAGGTGCATTAGGAGGATCTGCCAAACTTAGTGGAATAACAAGAGAAGGAGGGAAGAGCTTAAATTGTCACTTGTATAATTTGGTAAAATAGGATAAGGAAAAGCTGGGAGATAAGAGAGGGGCATAAGGTGGTTTTCACTGATGGTTGTACTCAGAAACAGACCTGCAAGCTTCATAGCTGTTTCACAGATATAGCTTATGCTGTTGTGCTCAATTCATTTTCTTCCTATGTCATCTTAGATTGCTATTGAACCAAAACCTACCTCATAGTGTGCATTGACAGATTTCACAATTATATTTTATGCAGTTTTATTTCATTGTGTTCAGGATATTTGCTTGACACCTACAAAATTAATGGGAGTTGCAATTATCTCTAATCTAAACAGCAGATTTAACTGTTGATGTTCTGTCCTATTAGTTCCAAATAGCAAATATGGTGCAAAAGTTGGAACTGCTTAAGTTGGTACCTTTTGCTTCCCCGCCTTCCTGGTTTACAGCCATGGGCAACTACAGCAGGCAAAGACAGGCCGTTGCAGCAACAGGCCAGTATTGTGATTGTTTGAAACTCTGTTTTGCATAATGTAAAACAGAGTAATTTAAAATAGTTTATGAACTATTTGCTTGCATACAATTTAAAATGATATTTCAAAGAGGGAAAATGATCATGATCTGAGTACTTTAAACTTCTAAAGTACACAGAAGACTTAATTTCATGTGGATTTACCAGCTAGTCAGCAGAATATTTTACCTTTTTTCCCAGAAACCAGCAAATATTCTGGTAATGGGAGAAGGTCCTGAAAGAGGAAGAGTTAAAATTGGTAAGTATTCATTACATTTCTAATGCAAATTGTTGCAACTGCTTTTATTAAGGTTGTAATTTAATGACTGCTGAAGGGCCAAAGATTATCATGGCTATGAATCCTGGAAGACCTGCTCCATGACTTGGAGATCTTTTTCCACCTGGCCCTGACTGACTCCAGCTACAAAAGCTGAGGCTGCTGAAGGGGCCAGAGACCGTCTTGACTGCCACTTAGTGCAGACTCACGTCATCAAACCTGAGCTTCCACAGCCGCTATCCGCCATGAACCACCATTGGTGGGATTGGCAGCAACAGCAGCAGCAATGTTTATACTCATGATAATATTTTATTTTATTGCTAATTATGCTGTTTTAAATGTGCATTTTATATACTGCATTAAATGTGTGTTCTGTAGCTGACTTCCTTTGTAATGTTTTATTTTGAAATCTTTAAGATAATTTTGTAGTTTCTGTTCATTATGTTGTTTTGAAAGTATACAGTGGTGCCCCGCAAGACGAATGCCTCGCAAGACGGAAAACTCGCTAGACGAAAGAGTTTTCCGTTTTGGAGGTGCCTCGCAAAACGAATCTGCAATGGGCTTGCTTCGCAAGACGAAAATGTCTTGCGAGTTCCTGGGTTTTTTTTTCCTTCCCCTCTTTTCTAAGTCGCTAAGACGCTTATCTGCTTATCTGATAAGCTGATAAGCTGCTAAAAGCCGCTAATAGCGCTAATAGCGCTAATCCGCTAATCCCGTCAATGGGCTTGCTTCGCAAGACGAAAAAACCGCTAGACGAAGAGACTCCCAGAACGGATTCTTTTCGTCTTGCGAGGCACCACTGTACTTTATATTTGACTTTATTCTGTAATGTTTTATTCTGCCACTCCACTCTGAGGTTCAGCAGGCACAGGCATTGTCTAGTTTCCCCCATATTAATTGTACAGTGCACTGCAGCTTGCTTTCGAAGCTTTTGCTTTTAGTATAATAAAAATACTGTTTTGTTTTTCAGCTGATATGGGCTTTGCACGGTTATTCAACTCACCTCTTAAGCCACTCGCAGATTTGGATCCAGTTGTGGTGACGTTCTGGTACAGAGCCCCAGAATTGTTACTTGGTGCAAGGCACTACACAAAGGCCATTGGTAAGCGGGTGGCTAGACTTACCTTTTTAGTCTCCAGATGTATAGATATTAGGTTTTGCAATCTAGGGCTCCAGAACATGTCACTTCTAGGAAATTTCTGGTGCAAGTATGTTTCAGAAACAAGACATGGTTCCGTCAGTGAACATGTAAACTGCGTGCACAATAGGCCGAGGGTGTTTTCTGAATGAATGTGTTTGTGCTGGCCCACCCACCCTTACTTTATAATGGGATGTATCCAGCTGCCAGTCTTTTTCCTGGTCTCTTCCAAGGATCTTTGGTGCCAAAGATTCTATGCTTCAAGCCATCTCTATCAAAAGGCCTTCCATAATTACAGGGGAAATGGCAGCATGTTCTCATTCACCCATCCTCTGAGCTAATCGCTGAAACATCTGAGAGTGGTGCCTCCAGGAGTTTAACAGTCTAAGAACTTTGTGTTAGTGCTGATGCAGATTTAGAAAGTGAGGTGTCTCTAATGGCCACTTAGTATTAATCTTGTATTTTCAATCACTGTTATCCCATTGAGTGAGCTGCCTGACATTCCTCCAGTACCATTATCTGCATCCATTACATCACTAGCACGTACCTTTCCATTTTTAGCTTCTGCATTTTGGCAGCCTTTAATATCCCAGATGTTCTGCCGTCAAATGTCATGTCCTTGGATTTTATGCTTTCATACTTCTATCTAGAAATGTGAAGATACAGGGGAAGAAAATAAGAGGGTGGATCGTGGCTGATGAGGTTGTACTCCACAGACATTTGGAGGGCCACAAGTTGGCCATCCCCTTTTTTAAAAAAAATTGACAAGATCGCATCAGGGCTAAGAGAAATACCTGTACAGGATTCTAATCAAGCTAGTCAGTTTATTAAATGGCAATATTTTCACTGATCAATTTGGTATTTGAGTTTGTTACTGAGGGTTCATATGATCAGCTGAACTGTTCACTGACTGTGCTTCACCCATTCCACACATATCCATACATATACATGCTCTGTAGTTACAATGGCACATTAGTTTGTCTGCACCATTGTATTATGGAATACAATGGGCATATTGTTTCTTTTGGTCACTTTCAGACCAATGCAGTGTCTTGAGATGCACTTTCTACTGTATGCAATGGCTTTTGAAAGTTGCTTGTCTAGGTGTATATGCACTGTACCAGGAGTAAAGGATGAAGCAATACTGGAAAATACACACAAACACCTTAAATAGTGGGATCCCAGTCTATATCATGGCTAAGCAGTTGGGTGGTTGGTCTTACTGTTATATAAAGCGCTATGGTTTCATTAGGAGCAGGGGAGTTCACAATCTCTAAAACTGTGTGTGTGTGTGTGTGTGTTTTAAGTGCTTCATGCAATAGGGGAAAGTGGATAAAGAGGAAGGAAGTGGATAAAGAGGAAGGAAGGTTTGAGATGATCTCAAACAAAACCGACAAAGCACATACATGTGGCCACAACCAAAGCTGGGGGCACTATGGGAGATACACTGCATTTTCCTAGATGTTAAATACAGCAGTTTGGTTGTGCAGAAAATGTGAAATCCCTGTAGCATGTGACACATCCAGAGAAAAATGCCCAAGGATAAATGTGATAAATTGAGAAAGTCAGAGAAGCTGTGGTACAACTGTGTTCCAAGATGTGTTATTGAAGACCATGATAAAGACACGATCAGACAAATTTACCAGGATAGTCATATGAAGGTTCATGGCAAGGAGGACAAGCAGCAGACATAATAACTATAATTGTTTGTTTACCACTTGAGTCCAGACTTGCCTCTAGCATTATGCACACTTTACAAAAAAAAGTTAATGAGTTAATCGTATAATGCTTTGCAGCTACAATGCTTATTACATGCACATTCTTTCTGTGGTGTGATTCAAATCTCATGCTACAGCTTGAAATATATTTATATTAAATACCATTTGAATCTAAATTGCACAACCCTCATAAGAGGACTTGCCTTATTTAGTAATAGCTTGTAGATTTATAAGCACTCCTTTTGAAGTTCAGCATGTAGGGAAAGGACAACCAATATATTTGCAGGGAATGTGTCATCTATAACTGTTCATTATGCTTGTGTGTGTGTGGCTAGATAGGTAGACCCCTTCAGCGGAATTTCTAGGATGGCTTACAAAATCAAGATAATTAAAGTACAGCAAACATGTTAAAGCAGAAAATGTATTAAAATACATTTAAAAGCCTGGGAGAACGAAAGCACATTTGCTTGGCGCCAGAAGAATAACAATACTGATGCCAGACAAGCCTATCTGGGAGTGAGTTCAAGAAACAGAACCACATCACCGAAAAGGCTCTCTGGTGGCCACGTGCATTACCTGGCAGGGCACTTAGAGGACAGCCTCATCTAAAGAATGGAAGGAGCCTCCATGTATAGGCAACTTGCTTATGAGAGCAGGCATTCCTTCAGGTGCCTGGGTTGTAAGCCACGCAAAGCTTGAAAGGTAGTCACCGGCACTTTGACTCGTACTTGGGAACAGCCTGGAAGACAGCGAACTTATTGCAATAACTGGTGAGATATGTTCCCAACAACCAGTCCTGATCAACATCCTGGCAGCTGCATTTTCAACTGACTGGAATTGCCAAACAGTCTTCAAAGGCAGTCCAATGTACCACGCATTATGGTAGACAATCCTAGATGTTTCTCAAGGATGGCTAGCTAAAGGCTGAGCCTGGTACAGCAGCCTAAGCAGATGAAAGGCACTCCTTGCCACTATCTGAGCTTTCATTGACAAAGCTAGAGCCAGGAACACGCCCAAACTCGGTGTTTTATCCTTTTAAGGGGAGTACAACAACATTTCTTAGACGAGACGAACCACCTACTTATGGAACCTTTGTCCTGTCAGGATTGACTTTGATTATTGGCTCTCACCCAAACCATTTTTCTCAAGTGGAGTCTATCCTTTTGAAATTTATAAAGGTGGGGCTTTCTCCAAAACATTTTCTGGTACCTAACACATCTGAACTTTTTCTTCCTACACCACCTGCACATAGAACAGTAGCATTTCTGAGAATGCTGTGTTGGGGGGTCCTGGATTTCAGCACCCTACCCAGCAACTTAATTTGCTTCCAGGATTTCATGGCTACATTTTCCGACTTCACTGGGGCCAACGTGCATTGTGAGTGCTCACTATACTGTCTCACCATCCAGTCAATTGTGAGTGCTCACTATACTGTCTCACCATGCAGTCAACTCATCCATCACAAACCCATCTTTCTGCATTCCTATTGACTGAATCATGCTGTCCCAGAGCCCACCTCTTCCCACTCCTGGAGCATATCCTTAGTTGGAGAGGATATCAGCTTGTTAAAGAAATAGGTGTGTTGCTCAAAGTCAGGCAAGGATTTGGAGTCACCCACACTTTCCCCCTCCCCTTCTCCTTCCAAGGACGATAGTTTTAATCTAGATCTGTGCACAAAAGAGCTGATTCAAAAATAAGAATACTGCAAATGTGCCTTCAGCAACAACCAGTGGAAACAGTGGAAAAGTTCAAGGGTGATAGAAGCAAGGTGGAAGTAAGGGTGGTAGTGATAGATGGCACCCAGTGAACCACCACCACACCTGTGCAAAATCCTGCCCATACGCTGCACTTCAGTGCACCCAGTCGCATAACATGCAGTTTTGTATCTGATTTCCTTTTCCTAGTGTATTATCTGTGGATGTGTGCACACCGCAAAAAGAGAAGAAAGAGACACAAGCAGAGTCAAATCCATATTGAACTCCAGTAGGGATGAGCCCTTTGTATATCGGAAGAGTGGTTCTAGCTTTTCCTTATTCATAGTGCTTTTTAAACTGAGGACTCAATTTTTTAATATGTAGCATTGTATAACAGATGTACAGAATAAATATTGCTGTAAACAGCCAATGGAGTGATTTTGCAATATGGTGCATGAAGCCTGAGACCAAAATGGCATGCTCTTAAAAAACTAAGTGTACAATCCAGCCAAAATTAAATGTTCCCAAGACAAATTTGTTTTTGGTGGAACAGATCAAAGCATGTGCTTAGCTCTCCTATTGAAAACAATAGAACTTGGCAGTGCCTAACTCTAGGTGGATTATGCCCAAAGTATATAACTAAGAGACCTTAATAATCACTGTGGTAAAAGCGATTTCATTGTGGTATCATGAATGTGGACAAATTTCCTTCCCCAGTGCATTGAGTTTTATTTATGTTGCATGGTGACTGTGTACCTGGTAAGATTCTAGAACAATTTAACATGAGAAGTAATTTCAGTATCTGTAAAACAATATATGTGTCCTTTATCTTCGCGTATGTTTCAGGCAAGAATACCTCAGAACAGTAAATAAATGAATGCCCTGAAAATGCTGAAAGCATGATCCCAAGAATTGTGATTTTGTAACTCTGCCAGCTCTCTTGCTATGTTAAGTGCTCCTCCAAATGGCAGTGTTTTCATTCTAAATTTATGATTAAACTTAAAGCAAATAACCCTGCTTTATTATCTTAATGCTTAACAAGTGCAAGCCATGATTAGTTAATTGCTAGATTTTTTTGTATAAATGCTCCTATTAAAGTTCAAAGAAAGCTCAAAAATAATTTAGCGCTCACCTGAAAGTCCTCATGAGAAATCTGGAGTTGAAATTTTGGATGGGAAAACCAAACACCTCCAGAAGATTGGGGGGCGGGGAAAGGATTGAGTGCTAATTTCTGAAGCTTTTTCTGGCAGTCACTGGCTAGTAGCTGCTACCCCCCCCCAAAAAAAAGCACTTGGATGTGGGGAACACTACATGATGATATTGTGTCTCTCCTGAGGGATTTGGGCAGGAGGGGTGATGATGGCAGACAGCATTAATAAAGCTAGGAATAGTGATGCTAAAGTAATACAAGAGAATTTCTCTCTCCCTCAGAATACTATAGATTTGGGACAAATAAAGGAGTCTTCACACAACATAGTTTTATTTAAATGACTGCTAGAAAATGGTGCTGGCAGCAGCTGATTGCTCCTGGCTAAGAGTGGAATCCTATACCTGTTAACCCAGGAAAGTCCCACTGGGTTCAATAAGGATTGCTCACAGTGTGCAAGTATGAGTATGTTTTAATGAGGGTTAAACAAATTCATGGAGGATAGTTCTTTGAACAACTCCCAGTCATGATAGCTAAATGTCACCTCTGTGCTCTGATGCTGCGTACTTCTGAATGCCCATTGCTGTGGGACATACGATAGGGGTAAGAGTGTTACTCTCATGCACAGCACGTGAGTTTTCTAGACAGTGACTGTAGCTTCCAATTCTACAAGCTCTCTTGTCATCTTTGACACTCCTGCTGGCCCTTCAGGGGGACAATCGCAGCAGTATGTTTCAGCTCCTCCACACCCTTCCCCAGCACAACTCAACCAGTCTCCTTTCAACCAGAAATGCCCTGGGCTAATGTTATATAAATAGAAACTTCTTCATGTGACTGTCATGAAAGTACCTTTGGGCCAAATAATTTGTTTGATTCTTCATCATTTTATGCACCCTCCCCATCTAACCCACCCTAAACAACCTCCTTTGGGAAATTCCAAAACGAGGGTTGATAATCATTGCTGGCATTCATAATTTGGTTGAAGAAGTTTGAAATGTTGCAGAAAATTCTTGCTTGAGTTTGTTCGAATGTAATTTTAGATAGTCAACAAAATAGCTTTTGTTTGTCATCAGACATAATAGTTTTTCTGCTTTGAATCAGTTTTGTACAATATCTGATTATGAACGTATGTACTGTATTCATGTGGAATTTATAGGGCATTTTGTTTCATCTAGTTGCATCACAACTATGCCATTTTTGTTTATCCATATTTGCTATATATTTCATCATATCATTTTGTGATGAACATTAAAAGTATCTTACTTCAGTGAAAAAATAAATGAGGATACCTAGATTGCACATGTGATCTTCTTTCCTAGATATATGGGCCATTGGCTGCATATTTGCTGAGCTATTGACTTCAGAACCTATCTTCCACTGTCGTCAGGAAGACATCAAAACAAGCAATCCTTTTCATCATGATCAACTTGATCGCATATTCAGTGTAATGGGATTTCCTGCAGGTAATTTAATGTTATGAAGGAGCCCCATGCAAAATCCTTTATTTGATTTCTGCCCACTCCCAGTAAATTAGAGTCTTATATTACCGGGGAGTAAAAATGCATTATTTTGTGTACAGTATATCTTCTTATCCTTCAATAAATTTTCAAATTGCTTTTTCTTGTCAAAGATAAAGACTGGGAAGACATTAGGAAGATGCCAGAATATCCTACACTTCAAAAGGACTTTAGGAGAACAACGTAAGTGCTATGTATCATTGACTAATGGCAATTATGCTTCTAAAATATTATTATTAGGACCAAAAGTATGCTTTTAAAATATTATTATTAGGACCAAAATTATGATTTTAAAATATTATTATTAGGACCAACTTTTTATTGACTTCATTTATATGTAACACGTTGCTTAGTAGAAGGGTAGTCAACAATTGTGCTCTCTACGTGTTGCTGGACTACAACTTCCTCATCCTTGACTACTAGCCATGCTGCCTGGGGCTGAGTACTCCATGTGGTTACTCTAGGCAGAGTAGTATGAGTCTGTAGTCTGTATGATGACGAGCCTTCAATATTCATTCTTCTGTTTTTATGTTTTTTCTGTATCCTGGTTTAAGCTTCAATTCTATCTCTTGCTACTGTTTATATTTTGTATTATTTATGTGTTTTGTGGTCTTTTTAGCTTCCTTGAACCTCAGTTAAAAATGGGATATCAATTAATCAGATTGATAAATGTAGGAATTTTGTGACAGGTCAGTCACCCCTGCATTTGTTTAACATATCCCATACCCAATAAATACCAATACCTTTTACCTCACACCCCATAATAAAACATACTGCCATATCAGTGTTTACATATTTGAATAAAGATATTCATGAGACACAAACAAAATACCACCACCTGCCTTGCAGTACATCATTTGTCTCAGTAAATTAAAAAAAACCTCAGAAAGTGTTATTTGGAATGTAAATTACTACATACATTTCTATGATTTTGTTAATGTGTTACTCTTTTAAAACATGTTTTTCTGTTGGGTTTTTCAGGTATGCCAATAGTAGCCTCATAAAATATATGGAAAAACACAAAGTTAAGCCTGATAGCAAAGTATTTCTTTTGGTAAGTTACGCTGCCCATCTCATAGTGCTGTTGAAGACTGCTTATTTTGTAAAATAATAAGCACAGTTCCATATATGTCTATTCAAAAATAAATTCCTGTAGAGTTCAGTTGGTCTTCCTCCCAGGAAATCTGTGTATCGGATTACAGGCGTCCCTTTTTCTGACAGAAAATGAGGATAAAGATGCACAGATTTGAGCCCTGAATACTTTTTAAAATCTGTTTTCTGTTCTTTTATTTTTGGTGTTCTTAATGTTATTGGCCTGACTGACTATTTTTTTCAATTAGCCCTAAAGTTTTAGGACTGACTAAAAATTAACGAGCCACCAGTTCCAAATGTCATCATCCAAGAGTAAAGAAACTCAAATGTGACATTGCTGGTTGCCCTACTGAATATTAGTTCCTGGCGTGCAGAAGTAAAGTTGCTTTCTTCCTCCTCTTGTGGGATTCCCAGAAGCATTTGGATGGCCACTGTAGGGAACGAGATGCTAGACGAGATAGACTTTTGTTCTGAACTTTTTATGACATCTTATTGTAGACACAGGAGAGACAACTAAGTTTCTTCTTCTCCTGAAAAGTCTTTTTTTCTGAATTACAAATGATACAAACTGAGGGTGTGTGTTATCATGTATTAACCAAAATTTTTGTGTCACTATAAAGATAAGCAGCATTCTTTCTGTGTATGAAATCCTAAGTTTTTCTTTGATTTAGTTACCATTTAATACTTGGTATTTTGGCATATAACCCAGTGAGTGCTATTCATATGAACTTACTTTCTCTAATATTGTGCTACACAGCTTCAAAAACTTCTCACTATGGATCCTACAAAAAGAATTACCTCAGAGCAAGCTTTGCAGGATCCCTACTTCCAAGAGGACCCACTGCCTACGTCAGAGTATGTCTCTCTGCTAACCCTTTCCTTCTTTAGAGCTTTCCCCTTCTTGTTAATGGTAAATTTGGCTATCTGTGTGCCCTGTGAATATATAAAAATAAATATGTCTAAATAGTTCACAAGGCAGATTTTTTGTCTGCCTATATCCCTGAAACACCTACTTACGTACCAAGTGAAAGTATGCTTTCTCCATTCAGTAAGGAATAGCTGAGTGCAAGGGATAAAAAAAAGAAAAACTTACATTTGATCACTTGCCTTTTCCAGGAGACAGTCAGCTTGATGATGCAGTTCACTAAATGGACAGAGATTTCCCTATGAGTTATCAAATTTAGTAAAAGTGAAGAGAACTTGCAAACATGATGGGTTATGCATTATTTACAGGTTTTTCCTCTGAACATAAACTTCATTTTTATACAGCACAGCCAATGGTATAGTCCTACTCCTGAAGTAAGTCCCATTGAGTTCAATGAGGCATACTTCCCATAGTTTCTTGGTTTGGTCAGAAGCCATAGCAGAGCACGGTTGGAAAAAAAGCACTCTATCAGTTCCTGTAGTGGGGCTTTCTTTAAGCCTATTTGTAGCATGGAGGACCCCTGGAAAAGACCCTGATGTTGGGAAAGATTGAGGGCACAAGGAGAAGGGGACGACAGAGGACGAGATGGTTGGACAGTGTTCTCGAAGCTACCAGCATGAGTTTGACCAAACTGCAGGAGGCAGTGGAAGACAGGAGTGCCTGGCGTGCTCTGGTCCATGGGGTCACGAAGAGTCGGACACGACTAAACGCCTAAACAACAAAGCATGGAGGACATTTTTAAATATAATGCATTTTTTCAAGCCTAAGTGTTGGGGCAATGCAACCTTCTTGAACAATGCAGCTGCAGTGGAAAGTTGACCCTTCACCCCTAAACTGTGGTTAATATTAACTGTAGCTTGAAACACACTAGCGTATGAACCATGGTTTGAAGTGGACTTGCTTCAAACTATGGTTAAGATTAAACACAGCTTTGTCAGATTTGGACAATATGAAAAGCTGTGGTTAAGAAAAAATGGAAGTGAATGTTCCCAAATTTCTCACAGCCACATCACTGGAGAAGAACATGTAAGCCCAGAGGGAAACGAGGCTCATTTCCATCATGATAAAACACAGTTTATGACGACATCCCAACATGACCAATGAGTAATCAGAGGTAGCTTAAAATGAACTAAAAAAAATTCCAACGTTTTCACATCCATGCTTGGCGAGGTGTGTGTGTTGTGAAATTCATTAGCCAAAGCTTGTTCGTGGAACACTAAACTGTAGTTTTGTATTATTTCCAAATGAAGTCATTAAGATTGTAGTACTTTTAAATAAATGCAAGATTGAAGGATAACACCCTCAATGTTTTCTTTCTCTGCCTCAGTGTTTTTGCTGGCTGCCAGATTCCTTACCCAAAACGAGAATTTCTCAATGAGGATGAACCTGAGGAGAAGGGGGATAAGGTATAGTTCAAATATTACTCAACTAACAGTAAAGAAGAAGAAAATATGGTTCTTTGGCAGAAACACTGACAGAACACAGGGGGTTGTATCAGACACACATTCCTGGTCAAGACTATCCCAGCACAGTGTCATGGGACATTTCTAAAATATGTAGCATTTTCACGCCTAATGCTTTACAGGGGCATGGGTTGATTTATCTTGAACAGCTAATTTAGTAACACATGGCTGGAGGAAGCAAGAGAGGATGCTTTTAGCTCTAATCATCTGATGATGATATCTTTCAGTTGATGAGAAATTTCCCTCCAGCCCTTTATGCCCTATATTCTGGGTAGCAGAGGGCCTTGACTTGGGTGGTTTTTTGTTTAAGTGTTTTGATTGATTTTCCATTTACAAAAACACATACAGCAAGAGGACTTTGGAGTCCACAGACCTTCATAAAATAAAGAATGCAGAGTTGACACAAATTAAATTAGTCCATAAGATTCCATATTCTTCCATACGTTTGGGGTGGCTTCTTTGCACAATCCTCCTGCCACATATATTCAATGAAGGGCTGCTCAGTGTTGTAAAATGAGAAGGGAACTGATTTTCCTTAGCAGCATTCCCGTAAAGGCTAGTTTTTTTAGCCAGAGCTATTGTCCATTCTCTTGGCTTACCCAAATTTGATGTTTAGAGCTCCAGGAGACCCCCAGCACTTGGCTATTTCCAATCACATAGCCACAAGCAGAAAGAGTAGGAGACATGATGAAGCATCCAGCATCCCCAACAGCTAGTTTAGGATATGCATGTTTGGTCATATATTTTCAAGCTAATTCTTGTTACAAGAATTCCCACCCCCCTCGGTCTAAAATGGCCTTTAATCATTTCAGGTGTTAACAAAAGCAAATAAACCAATTTCCCTTTTACCCCTGGTTCACAGGGCTACATTTCAGTCAACTACTTTGATCTTTGGCCAAGAGCACATTCCTTTGGCCATAAACCTGATGAACAATTGCAAACTGTAGTCCTGGCTGGTTGGTCCCATTGAATAGTGACATGTCCTCTTTTGCAATAAAAGCACAAACATGGTTTCAATTGTAACTTCTCGCAGTGGTAAAACAGAGTTTTGTATCCTTGGTGGTGGAAATTCCTTTTGCTTTGTGTTGCCTTTTGTTCAGCCTTCTGATTATAAGCAATGAAACCCTTTTATTACACTGAGAGACATGGGAAAAGAAATTGACACCAAAGCTTCTTTTTTTAGTGGCTGTTTAATTCTTACTTTCTCACTATTAACCCCACTTTATATGTAATGCTATGGAAATCCTACAAAAATTGAGCCCAGGTGTTACAAACAAGGGAAGAGGTTGAAGAGTGAGCTAGTTTGCCTCTAAGATGCTTTTGCTGTGCTGGAGGGTGGAGCACAGGATGGGGCGGAACAACAGGAGGAAGAGGCAGGTCAGGCAAGTGTGAGGCCATCTGCTTCCCCACCCTCTTTTGCACCTCTGTGTCCCAGAACCAGGAGGGAATTGAAAAGGAATGAGCAATGGAAGCTTCTATGCAGGCATAGCCTCTGAGGAAGGCACATAAACTGGTGGGGGGGGAGGGTTCCCCTATTACAGCAGCTGCTCCATAGGGCTCAGACCCCAGAATAGCTGCCTAGATGCTAGATTGGTGCGCGTAGGTCTCCAGAACTGTAGAAACGACTATATTATCATTGACAATAAAGAGTTAACTACAGTATCTGCCATGTGCATTCCTTTGGCTGTGAAGCGCCCTTGACAACAGTATATAAACAGTATTCATAGCCAGTACAATCTTGTGTAAATTTGTGTGGACTGAAGAAATTGCTAAAACATACTCATCCAAACTCTGGCTTTCCCTCCCATGTTCAATCTCATAGAATCAACAGCAGCAGAACCAACATCAGCAACAAACAGCACCTCAGCAGCAAGCAGCACCTCAGCAGCAGCAGAACAGCACCCAGACAAATGGAACTACAGGGGGAGGTGGAGCAGGAGGTGGCGGTACTGGGGCAGGTCTCCAGCACAGCCAGGACTCCAGCCTCAACCAGGTGCCTCCAAATAAAAAACCACGCATAGGGCCTTCAGGCACTAATTCAGGCGGGCCTGTCATACCTTCGGATTATCAGGTACGGTTTTTGTTCATTTGGAACATGCTGTAGTGCCAGTTGCCCTTTGTCACATTTGAGCCGCGTGGTGAACTTTTAGGTTGTAGCAGAGATGGAGAACTCTCCAAATGTTGTTGGACTCCAACTCCGACCCAAGATGCCCACTGGTCAGGTATGATAGGAATTATCATCCAACAACATCTGAAGGACCACAGATTTCCCACCCATCTGCACCAAAGCAGTCATGCACCCAGATCAGGTCGCTGTGCCGTTTGTTGGTTGTCTTCCTACATCCTTTAATAGCAGCCTAACACATGTGAATTAAGGAGGTGAATTCCACCCCCGCCCCCATTATGCTGGGAAAGCGTTGTCTGCTAAATTTCAATATTGTTGAGCCTGGAGGGTATGAAAGAGTTAGCAGCCTTACATCCAAACTGCTGCATTGAGGACAAGGATTCAGTCAGCTCATCAAAGGCTGACAGTGATCAACAATTTGGGGATATGTTGTAAGACATTCATATGACCTAGTTTAGTGCATATTCACTTAGGGTTATGTGAATCATCTTTAGCAGACAGCTAAATCCACATGACCTTTTTGAGGCATAATTGCAACAACAGTCATATGATAGCATCATCATACAAAATTGGTAGCGTATATTAGCTTTCATGGATAATGGTCTTTTCATTAAGTGAACATTGTACCTTTAGATGTATTCGAAAATTGATGGCTGAGCTGCCAGTGCATGCATTCCTGGAATCAGACTGCAGGAAAGACATTGAAATGTCACTCAAACACTGCTTGAAGAATTTGGATCTCTGCTTTGATACCCAGGCCAATTATTCATTCTCTATTTTGGAATCATCTATAAGTTTACATTAATCCCAGTTGGTGCCACAGAATTTGTTTTGTTCTGCTTCCTCCATAGAAGCTTTGGTAGGACATTTTACTCTCAAAAACAGAAAAATAAATGGTGAAGAGCAGTTATTTCGTTGAAAGGTTAGATTTAATATGAAGATCTGTGAATTTCCCTCCTATATTTATGTAGAATACTAATATCATTAGGCCTTCTCATTTTTATGTTAATTGGAGGTAAGGAAAGGACCTAGTTAAGAACATTTGATCTGCCTTAATAGCTGGTTATTTCAATACAGTTTCAAAACATGCATAAGGTGCCAATGCAGTTTGGAGGTGATAGGAGAAATAATATTTCAGATTTATTGTAGCATCTCCTGTTACCCTATTCTGCCTTGCCACGCTTGCTGAGCATGTGATTTAAGATACCCAGTTAAGCTTACCAGACATATAATGCTACCTATCCAAGCTGAATACAGAAAGTTTATAGGACCCTTAGAAGAATATTGTCCCAAGGCTGATGTCCTGTGTTCAGCTTGTTGAGTCATCAGTTGTGCTGGTCTTGGCTGAACGTTTATATGGTTTCCCAAGCATGCTAGGCTGCTCTGAACAAGTGGGTTATATACAGTAGTGCTTGCCATCTTGAAGAAAGTAAATTAGAAAAAGTAGGCTTTGAAAACCACACTGAAAAAGATTAATAGTGGAAACTTTTTTTAAAAAAATACTACTGTATATCATTTAAGTAACTAAACCAGTATAAATTTACAGAATAATTATGCTTCTTATTCCAATATTAAATAAACAGGAACTGGTTTTGTATGCATTTGTTATGTTTATAGCCCTTTCTCATTCTTATCCCCTTCTACCATTTGCCATATTTTAAGACTTCCATTAATGGAAGGAAATTCCTTATTCTTGCAGCACATAACAGATCCATCACAAGATTGATATTTGAGACATAACCCTTCATTTCTGAATGTTTAGTCATACTGGTAGTATGTTTGTTTATCAACTGCAACCACAGAATTGCTTTTAGTGGTGTGGTGACATCAGTCTATCATAAAGCCAGTGTTTCTTACTTGATAAACTGCAGCCAATCTTGTCATTTCATATTGTAAACCTTGAAGTAAACTGCTTAGAAATTCTGAAGATATTGCAATAAATGAATGAAATAAATAATTAGAACATCACAAGCTGCCCTTTCGGCTGATAGACTTTGACCTTATTTTTGCTGTATGACTCTATTGATTCCTTTCCCCCAATAATTCAATTTTGTTCTTTCAGTAAAGCTTTTTTTGCTATAAAAAGAAATACCTCTGGCTTCCAAGTCATGAAATCTAGGTATAACTGCATATAGTAAGCTGTCTCTTGCTATCATTAACTGGAGCATCATAATCACATAGAACCTTTTCTTGGTTCATTGTCTAAAATAAAACTTCTGGACAGTATAGCTTTTTAAAATCTACAGTAGCTCCTGTGCAGTGTTTGTGTGATAACAGTATTAACAGTGTAGATTTATACCTTCTTGTTATAATCTCTTAATTGTATACCGAGACCTCCTGTAGAAGTTCCACCAAGTGATTTCTGCGGATCCCTCCATGCCGTGTTCCATATAATTGTAGATAATCCCTGGCCATTTGGCCAGGCTTTCTGTGTTAGGGTGTGTGTGAGGAAATTGCACAAGGCAAAAACGGGGAGGCAGGAACCACCCCGCTGCATGAGTAGAGTTCTCTGGATCCAACCGTATGTTTTGTTCAATAGCAATAATCCAGACATTCTATTAGTAAAGAAGAAGAAAAAAAGGGGGGTGGGGGGAGCAGACAGTATAAATCCCTGTCTCGTTTCCCTGCCCAGTGTAAATCTTATCTGAGAGAAAAGACAGGGATCATCAGCATTAACATTTTGAAAAATCATTTTGGAGCAATTCCTGCCCACCCAAATGTTCTAACATGTTTTGTTTCCCTCCCTCCTTTAGCACTCCAGTTCACGCCTGAGTTACCAAAGCAACATTCAGGGATCTTCTCAGTCCCAGAGTACAATGGGCTATTCTACATCATCTCAGCAGAGCTCTCAGTACCATCAGTCTCACCAGTCACACCGATACTGAGGAGAGCACATAGACGGTGTTAGAAAGGAATGAACTAGCAGTTGGCGGACTCCAGCAATATGAAGTTCATAACCATGAGAAGAACCAAAAATGCAAAACTGTGATGCAGATTTTAAAGTTAACAATTATAAAAGGAGAACTTTTATTAACTAATTGTTTTGAGACAAGAGACCTTTTTATCCTTTTTTTTTTTGCCATAAAGGAGATTCTTGTGAAGTTTCCCCTCAGCTTGCTTTCGCATGTGTTCCATTGTGGTTACTCGAATGAAACCGTCTGATCCGAACCCAGCACTTAAACTTCTTTAACCTATGGAATTTTTGAAGGATTCCTGGTGCACCTTTCTTGTGTTGTAGTAATTGCCATAAATCTTATCTTTTTCAAATCCCTTTACCAGGATTTTAAAGTTTTGAAATGTTGAACTCCCAGGCTTTTCAAGCTTGTATATAGTTAGTTTTTTACTAGGCAAACCCGTTTAGCTATACAGGTATAATGCACCTTTTAAAAGCACTATGTTATTTTCACAGGATATTACTGTTTTGCTCATGGATGTCAAGAACAGCAGATTTTACTGTTCCAGAGTATTTTATTATTCCCTTTTTTATTAGTCTAGTTTTCAGATGAGGTCTTTAAAAAAAAAAAAGAAGAAGAAAAGAAAAGAAAAATATACAACCCAAGTCTCTGCAGCAACTATTACATGTTATGTGTTTGGATTGAACACCAAACAGAAGATTATGAATGTTTGTTTTTATTATTCAGATGAGCTCCCATAGATCATTTGCCATTATCTTCCAAGTGGGTTAACCTAAGCTTTGCTTTAAATTAAGGCATAACAGTGAAGTGGAAGGCAAACTCTTCTGTGGCTCCAGTAGGACAAGAGTATGCTATGGTGTCTTCTCTAGCAGTTTTTCGTACATGCAATGGTGTCTTCTCCAATGTTTATCTGTTTTTCGGAACTCTGCCGTAGGAGTTGTTTAGCATCAACTAGAAAAAGGGCAAACAAGGAGACTGCGCTACTACTTTGGGGGGCTGTGAAGAGGGACAGAGCATCTTTTTAGTATATGTTTTACCTTCTAAGTTTTGTTTGCTAAATGTGGATGGTTCTGTAACTTGCAGCAAAAAAGGGCAAAATGTGCTGTGGCACTTTAAGAGACTAGCACATTTGTGGCATGAACTGCTGCCTACTTGCAGGACACTTGCAATCATGAACCTGGACAAGCCATTTTTATTTTTTACTATTACTAACCTTCATTATCCATTTGAACCAGATCAAATATTGAAGTCTTTGAGCAATGTCTTGGAAGTGCTTAGGCTTCTCATGTGGGAAAATGCATGTTTTGCTATCTTACCACTGCTGTGATTAACCTAAATTGGTTAAGTGCTAGGTAAGTGAGGCTGTACTGAAACGACTGTTTTCCTAAGGTCAGACATATTGTGGATGTTGGATAGGCAGCTGACAGAGGAGATGTCAGCTTATCACCAGAGCATAATACTGGAGAGCCATTGGGTTGGATCTAAGGATCCACCTATGGAAGGGGTAGGCAGAAACTGACTATCCCATCCTCTCCCCACTAGGTCGGGGCACCCCTGAATATTCTCCTCTGAGGATCATGGCACTTAGCTGAGTGGGGTGGTTCTGGCAAAGGGTCCGAGATGGAAGAGGGAGCTCACAGAAGCTCAGACAGAGGCATCTACTCATATTTTAAGGGGCTCCAAGGGCTACTGAGGAGAAGAGGGGACAAGAAAGTCATAGGTCATAGAATTGTTGAGTTGAAAGGGATCACAAAAATCATCTAGTTCACTTCCCTGCAATGCAGGAATATTTCACCCAGTGTGGGGCTCAAGACCACGGTCATGAGATTAAGAGACTGAAGCTATCCTTCAGTCCCCTTCTGCCTGGTCGCTTTCACAAGTAGATCTGTATATCAAACTCAGTATCAAGTACCTGTGATCAGAGACCATACTTTGAGGCATGTCCCTTTGTTGTTGTTTTTTTTTAAGAGGCCCAGAAATACACCTAGTAAAAGCTGTATATCTTCTGCAGTTCTGCATCTTGTGATTCTGAGGCCCCCCCCGTCTCTTTAAAAAAAAACAGGTTTATTGCCTTTCTGAGTATGAAGATAGGCATAAAGTTTGTCAGCAAATCTTAGTGAAATGCTAGATGGTGAGGAAGTGGAGCTGAATAGGATTTTCAAGGGTTAAATCTTGAGTGCCCATTAGTGGCTTCCCTTCCCCATCACTAGCAAAAGCAAAATACATTGTCCAACATGTCTGCTAATTTGCAGTATTTATATGGACTGCAGAATCCAGCTTTTTCTTGTGTGGAATTCAGGTTACCTTGGTGCAGAATGGTTTTAGCTCCTCTGACTTTATTGCACTAAAATGGAAAAGGCATAAACTTTAGGATATACATGCAGCACCCTGTATTCGTTATAATACTTAAGAAAGAGGTACAGGGAGGAGCCAGTTATTGATATATGCATTTATAAGCATTTACATGGTATAGCAGGGGGTTTGCAGACTTCAGGCTTCTTGAATCTACTTTAATTTTTACTGGAACCCCAAAATCAGCCAGAGCCATATAGTTAAAATTAAAGGAAGAGTGCCTTTGAGCATTCTGAGCTTACAAATGTGTTTTCTGTACCAGCACAGGACTGAGCTCACAGTCTTTTCACACAAAAGTCTACTTCTGGTTAACATTTCACAAGCTTAATGTGTTTGGGAAATGTTATATTGTTTTTGTTATTAAACAACTGGTAATCACAAACTCTTGCTAATCTGCTATCTACATATCTACCAATAGATCCTGATCTGCCTACCCCTGCTGTCTAGCAGGAGCTCATGCCCACTCTGTGTTCTGATCTGAATTGATATAAAAAATCAACAAATCTTTGCACTAAGATTGCAGTAAACTAACAAGGGGATGGGCCAGTTTTCTTGAGGGAGAAACTATTTTAATCCCACGAGTAATACATTTATCCTATCCCAGGACTGTGTGTGATTCCACTTTAAACTTTAAAAGGTCAGCTGATGTTAAGCTCAATTGTCTAGTCACTGACATTGTTCCATTTGCTGTTGATACCAACTGGCTCTGGAGAGAGCCAAAAATTAATTTATCATAGCATACCCATAACAGGGGGACAAAAGTATTCCATTTGATACAAACATACATTTATGCATCATGTATCTTACACTAGTTTTGTTTTACTGAAGTAATGTTTCTTTTGCACCAGCTTTCAGTGAAAATGTTCTACCGGCTTCATGTCTTCCTGCACCCAAGCTAATGTTTGGTGAGCAGCTTAGGAGATTTAACTTTATTTTGATTGGCTTGTGAATTGCTCATTTTCCTCTTCTCCCTCTGTTGCTCTGTCCCTCAACCTCCTGTTTGTTACAGCCCAGCATCTGCGGCAAGCTCTGTCCGAGTGTGGGTTCCTCTGTGCATGCAGTGTGACGACCTGTCTTGAATGTGCTTTATCTCCATGAGCTTCCAGTCCCCTAGAAGGATGGCCATGATCGTTGTCTGTACTGACGATAGTTGCAAATTGCTTGCTTGCTATACCCCACTTCCCCATGGTGTCTGTACACACAAATGTAGCTGTGCTAAGTAATACTTCATGGCCTTCCAAATAAGCATTGGCAGGGGAATAGATGAAAGTATAGGTTTACACTTCTGAAATGTTTACTGCACTCATTCTGTATTTGTATTTTGGCTTTTTGGGGCATACTTGGCCTATTGCAGTGAGCTATATGTATAATAAATGAGTGTCTCACGTACTGCAGGGCTAAGGCGAGCCAAGGTGAGGTAGCTTTGTTTCAGGGGGAATTTCATGAAACAAAAATGTAAGACAAATCATATATTGTATGTTATGGAAACACAGAACATGGACATTTTCATAACTGTGCAGCTCTGTCAACTCATTCTTACTAGCATGTGCAGCTTTGACGTCACCTATAATAAGTTTCTCTTTCCTATCTCATCGGCTCTTAGAAGTGGACATGGAATCAACCTTGGTTGGTTTCTGTCTTGCTACTTTGGGAAACAGCTGCTCAAGCCTCATTCTTACAATGTTGCTCTTCTTAGCTTTCAGAGAAAAGGAGCAAAGAAATAGGATTAGCAAAGCAGTGATGAAATGTATTGGTAGCATAGACTGCATAATGAAGGAAGAATTTTGTGAAAGCTGCAAGTCCTGCACTCTATATCTGTGACACTGTATCTTTTCGGGTGGGGCTGGGGTGGGAAGGATGGGAGGACATCCTGAGGTTGGGGAGGTGGAAGCTTGAAGTATTTGATTATGTATGATATTTTATATAAACATAATAAGCTTAGTTCCCCTTCATAATCTTCAGTGATGGTACTTAAGCAACATTAAGCAACAATAACTGTTTTAAGATAAAAGAAACATATTGTACATAAAGTCCATGTGTAATCTATATGTTTTGCCACACAAGAACGATGTGTATTGCTTTATGGGGGGAAAGTCCTTAATGCACTGTTATCTCCTAAATATTTAGTAGTAAATTAATACTATTTAATTTTTTAAAAGAAAATCTGTCTTGTGTAGACACTAAAAAGTATTACACAATGTGGACTGAAGGTGTCCCTTTTTAACAGCAGTTTAAATAATGTTTTATATCTGTCATGTAGTATGCTTTTAAAATGGTTTTTAGTTGTATTTCCTCACTGTGGAAGGGTGCCTGCCATAAGTTTTCTTTTATATATAATTTCACATATTCATCTTCTATTCTTGTGTCTTTATTATATAGTTCTGTGTCCTCTCTTATGCAACTTCAGCTCAACAGTGATGCCCTATGTATGGCAGTGTACTTTATAGTGGCTGCTGAGTTTTGCAAAATTAAAATGAAACCCTTCCAAATCCAGATTTGTACTCTCACTTCTTGGGATTTCATGGGGTGCTCAAGCTAGGATAATTACGTTCAAGTCAACAATGTAGGGGAGTCCTAGAAAGTACACCTCCAGCCCCATTGAAGACATACACACACATACAGGTCCTTTCCTGCTTCTGTCTGGAGCTCAGTCATTCTTCCTTGCTGTCACCAAGCATTGATCTCAACTGGCTATGTTGCTGAAGTGAAAGTGTAAGAATCTGGCAGCTATCTAGCAACTGCCGAATATGCTTAACCTTGAACTAGTGGCGCAAATATAGGATAGGATGTCACTGTGGGAGTCCAGTTCTTGCTGCCACCCAGCTCACCTCGCCTCCTGCCCTGCAGTGGGAGAGGTTCAGTACCAAGTCCACCAACTCTGCTGGGCAGTTACAAGACACTGAATTGTCAGGCTTTGCCCTCATAAAGCATTTACTGTTTTCATAATGTCCCAGAAGACTGTTAAAACTATGCTTTTTGTTCATTACATCATTTTTATTTTTTGTTGTAATTAAATTGAATTGCTTCAGTGTGAATTTTTTAAACAAAAATAATATACGTTTGTAATAATAATAAAAAGTTGAAGTCAAGCAGCTGTGTGATGAGACATGTGTAAACTTTGGGCTTCAGTGGAAACAGGATGAATTCCACAGACCTGAACTGTTGTTTGATTTAAGACCCTTCTAAAATCTGCCTCGGGAATTGTGTGCGCTTGCTTAGGTGCACATTACGTCCCTTCTCAGCTGTTCCTTGGAAGACAGTACCAAAAGATCTTGTGTATGTTGAATCTGTACCTTTCCATGGAGCTATCACTCCTCATGCAGCCCCTTCACTTCAGTACTGATCTACCTATGATTGGGTCCATATGGTCCTGAGGCAGGTAGGGGGAGAAGACATTTCATGGGCTTAGCCCCTTAGATGCTACAAGAGGACGTGCCATGAACCTATGCCTGAAATCTCTGTAGATAAGGTGGTGTTTTCTGAAGCAGGGGCCTGGGAGCTAACTGCAATGTGTCACCCTTTTTAAAATCTAAATATATCATTGCTAGGTTGCCTGCTGTGAATCTGCTGTTGGCAGCTTCTGTTCCTGTACGTGTGGCCCACATGTCCCCGCCCTCTCTTTAAAGCACTGGTTCCCCCTGGAGACGTGAATATAATTGTACTGTTTAAGTGTCATGAGACTTGTCTGCATGAAGGCATTGTTTCCATAGTGCCATAGTAAGACTCGTGATCCTTTTCCTGGAAAATCTCTGGGTTCTCCATGCAGGTTTCCTTCCCACAGCACCCAGGTTGCTTGCGTGCAGCTGGAAGTGCTATGATCTCTTTCTGCTTGCCGTGTGTGTGAGAGAGTGTGAAGGAGTGTGCAACACAGTTTTAAACCACATCACTCCAAAGGATCATGAGAAATGAAGTTTACCCCTCATGGAGCTATAATTCTCAACACCCTTAACAAACTACAGTTCCCATGATTCTTTTGGAAGGGTGAGATGCTTTAAATGCATAGTGTTGTGTACACAGCCTATGTCTGTACTTGGTTGGGTCAGTCAAAAGGAGGGAGGTGGACGTTGGAGTTTTCAGGGATGGGGCTGGTGTACTCTGATGTTACAGTTTCATATTCTGTTTTTGCAGCTCTTATTTTTTTCCAGATCTTTCAATAATAATTATTATTATTATTATTATTATTATTATTTATTTATATCCCGCCCTCCCCGGCCAAAGCTGTCTAATATTGCTGGTTGTTGCATCTATGATGATTAGGGGCTGCTTATACAATTCTGGGGGGCTGAGTCGTGCTAATTTTTGGGAGGGTGGTCGTTTAAACATTTGCAGACCCATGAGGAGAGCCAAGGCAGTCCAGTGTGGGATGGCCACTTGTACTAAAATCCACATAAAGAGCCTAGGGTCAAGATACCTGCTGTTTTGAGGGAAGGCAAGTGGCATAGACAGCCTTCCCCATCCTGGTGTATTCCAGATGTTTTGAACTACAGCTCTCAGCACCCATGACCACTGGCCTCACCAACTGGGCTGAGGGGAGCTGGAGTCCAACAACATCTGCAAGGCACCGGATTGGGAAAGGCTGAGCTAGGAAGTGGAAGTACTAAAGGATGCTGCGATCTGAGCCGCACTACTTTGGGGGACTCCTTTGAGATGGAAAGAGAGAAAGAAATTGGCAGAAGGAGCTATTGGTGGGCAAAATTGTTATAATAGGCATCTGGAAGAAGGTGTCTGATATGCAAGGAGCACTGAGGATGCTTGAATCCAGATACAAGGAATAGTTTCCATGATTTTCCATGCACAAGATTGATCAGTGTAGGATATTTGGTATGGATGGTGTGTTCAGTGGAGACCATGTGATGAGAGACTTCTGAACATGAATACCAGTAATATTTAGCAGAACCTGTAGAGACTTTGTTCTTGTTTTATTTTATTAACCTACTCCTGCCTTTTGGCCTAAAGGATCCTCATTTTGAAATTAATTGGTTATTATCCCACTGTTGATGAATAGAAAACTGGAAGCCTAGGAAGACCTAATGAATTTCTTTCAAGCCCAGTAATACTGTCTTGGCCCAGTCGGGGAATGCTGTTATTGTTTAAGATTATTTTCAGATTTACAAGTATATTTTCAGATGTAGATTTTCTATGAAAACAAACTTCCTGGTCCAGGCTTTAATTAAACTGGATTCCATTCTTTGTATTGCTGTGGATGGGATCTGTTCAGATGAGCACAAGTGTGTGTGTGTGTGTGTGTGTGTGTGTGTGTGTGTTGTTTTTTAATTACATGCAGCCCTCGTGTATGGCTGAAAATTTGACTGTCCATCATATGTGCTGTTCTCCTGCCTAAATTAGCTTTCAGGCACACCACTGTTCCATATAAATGTATTTAAATGCTGCTGAGACAGAATGAGCCAAAGCAGTACTTGGCAGAATTCTGTATTAACTCGGGCGATGAATTTCCTTCAGTACCTACCATGCTGTGCAGGAGTGCTGCTGCAAGGTGTAAATCTAGGTGGGTGGGTGAATTTGGCGGACAACCTTGCCTCTTATCTTCTCCAATTAGTAGTGGGGAGGGAAGGGAGCTGAAATTCTGTGAAATATATACTGCTAGCAGAAGATTTCTGTTTAAACAGTCACAGGTTTAGCACAACACAATTCAGTAATCATGCTAGTTTTATTGGTAGGAAGTAGAGGTATAGCTACCCAAGAAGCAGGGCTTTTTTCAGCCAGAACACACTGAACTCTGTTCCAGCACCTCTTTTTCTAGAGAAAAAAAAACTGCCAAGGAGTGAGGTGTGAAAAGTCCCAGAACCCACAACTCATCCTAAGAACTGCCCTATATCAGTGTTGGAAGTTTGCACAAAAGTTAGCATTTTTTTTGTATCCCCACCCCCATATATGTTTCTAGATGCGAGTCTATAATACAAGAAACTGCTGAAAGGGTCAAACAAGTCTCTTTGTTAAGTTACTGGCTCTGCCAAGCCTATTAAACACCCTTTTTACATGACTAAAGAGTTGGCCATGTTGCCACAGAAACAACTAACTAGTAAAGCCTCCAGAAGAAAGAGGTAGGCTTTCACCTCTCACCTGGGTGGATGTCATTCTAGGGGTACGAGAAAAACAGTCCAGGAGCTGGTCTTGTCTGGTCAGGAGCTGGGAAGACTTGCTCTCTGTGTTGAAACCATAGCTGTGGCTCTGAAGACAGCCTGGAATCCTAAGGGGAAGCAAAATCGGTTGCGGTGTTAATGCAATTAGACCATTCATCTTATGCTTATGTTGTATCTATGTGTAATTAAAACCATGTATCAAAATGACATCACAGGCTCCAGTGAACTTTATTCCAAGAAAGCTGAACTTGTAAGTGCTGGCACCCTTGAAGGTTCCCCAAGACAGACGTCATTGCTGTCCTCTGGGGGGATACAACCATTGGAAAGCGTGTTCCTCTAGCACACATTTGAACTAAAAATTAATAATCTGATAACTTCTAAATCCTCAGGTAGCACAATAGAGCTTAAACAGCAAGTGAGAACTGCAAGCGGATCATATGGACTATGTATGGATCCGCTTGTAGTTCTCTTTTGCTATTTAAGCTCTATAGTGCCAGAGGATTTAAAAATTATCAGATTATTAACAGCTGCAGCGATGGCAATAAGCCATAAATAGTAAAAAAAAAAGTTTCCCACCTATGGCAAAGCGTTCCTATGGCTCACAGACAGCAATTCAGAACCTTTAGGATAGCACTGCCCACGGGAACAGCAGGCAGGATACAATCATGTGGATTTTCTCCAGGGAAAGGAGCTACTATGAGTTTAAGAAACAGTACAGTCGTACCTCGGCTCCTGAACGCCTTGGGAGTCAAACGTTCCGGCTCCCAAACGATCAGAAACCAGAAATGAGTGTTCTGGTTTTTGAACATTCTTTTGGAAGCCGAACGTCCAACGGGGCTTCTGACTGGCTGCAGGAGTTTCCTTCAGCCAATCAGAAGCCATGCTTTGGAAGTCGAACGGACTTCCAGAACGGATTCTGATTGACTTCTGAGGTACGACTGTATTACAATTGTGCAGCTTTTAGATGGCATTGTAAAAGTGAAGAGAAGAAAGCAAACCAGGAAAGCCAACCCTTGCAGATGACACCTAATTGGGAGCAGTAAACAATGCAAATGAAGACAGAATCAGGATTCAATATGACCTTAACAGATTGGAGAACTGGGCCCCGAACATACAAAATGAAATTCACAAAGGACAAATGTAAGATTCTACACTTAGGCAGGAATAACCAGCTGCACCAATATAAGATGGGGCACACCTGGCTTGCCAGTAGTACATGTGAAACAGATCTAGGGGTCTTGGTAGACCACAGTGTGATGCAGCAGCAAAAAAAGCTAATGCTATTCTAGGCTGCATCAATAGAAGCATAGTGTAATGATCAAGGGAAGCAATGGTCCCGTTCTATTCTGCCTTGGTCAGAGCGTATCTGTAGTGTGACCAGTTCAGGGTGCTACAATATAAGAAGGATATTGATAAGCTGAAACATGTGCAGAGGAGGATGACCAAGAGTCTGGAAACCAAGCCTTTTGAGGAATGGTTGAAGCAAGTGAGTATGTTTAGCTAAGTAAAGAGGAGAATGAGAGAAAATATGATAGCCATCTGCAAATATCTAAGGTATGTCACATGGATGATGGAACAAGAATGTTTTCTCCTGCTATGGAGGGTAGGACCAGAACTAATGGATTTAAGTTACAAGAAAGGACATTCTGACTAAAAATCAGGAAGAGCTTTCTGACAGTAAGAGCTGTTTAATAGTGAAACAGACTCCCATAGGAGGTTTTTAAGCAGAGGTTGGGTGGCCATCCAGCATGGATGCTTTAGCGTAGATTCCTGCATTGTAGAGGGTTGGATTAGATTACCCTCGGGGTCCCTTCCTACTCTACGAATCTATGATTCATTCTTGTTAACTTCACTGCTGCCATATTTTTATATTTCTCTGGCTGCTCAGCAAACAGCTTTTTAAGCTTCTCTATTTTTACTGGCCCAACCTACTCCAAATATTGGCTAGAGTGGTATGGCACTTTGGCATGGATTGTATAACAAGGCATCTGACCAAATTTCTCCAAAACAAATTGTGCTTTTACTTAAGGATTTAGATAAAACACTTTTTGGAAAAAAATCATCCATAGAAGAGAACTAATTTTACAGTTTACCCATAAGAGCAAATAAATGCATCCATCCATCTCTACCGATCTAGATTGTTTCCCTAACCAAACTGATACTTGCCCATTTGCATCCAGATTTCTGGATCCCTTTCTCCAGGCTCCTTACTGCTGCAATTGTGCTTTCTAACACTTTCCAGAGTTCACACCGTTCAAGTATTTCAACCCCTTCTTTCTCTAGCACAGAGGTAAGGAACAGGATTTGGCTAGTGAGCCAGATTCTGACTTTTCTCACATCCTGTAGACCATTTTGACAGGTGGGGGAGGCTGCCCAACTGTCAATCAACTGTCATCACAGTAATGTCAGGTGACCCCCCCCCCAAAAAAAACATTTTGTGGGCATGTCTCCGACCAACCATGAAAAAGAATATCTCTACTTACAGCAAGACCTGCTTGGGGCAGGGATCGACTCTGCAGTGGAATTCTGAATTGGGACCTCTGCAGTATAGTTGATCCCCCAGTGGCTTCCTGCCACTACTGATCAGCATGTGTATCTTCATGAGTGTATATGCTCAAATTAATTCATAGGAGTTAGAGAAAGTAGGTATGTAGATAATAACTTTATTGAAAAATGTAGCACTTTTGTTTTTTTACATACTGGAATGACAGGAACCAAAGTAAAATACCCCTCATATGTTAATAAGAGTTACATTTTGATTATTCCATTTTATACATTGTTGATATTTCATTTATTTCTTTTTTTACTTTTAAAAATCAACAATACACTAATAATAATACCAGATCTGAAGAAGAAAATACATGTTTGTGTAAAATGAAGAGACAATCATAAATAGTTAACTTTCAAACAGTGTGACAAGTAGTGTTTTTGTGGACCTAACCCTGAGATTACAATAAGAAAATTAAAATGAACCTGAGCCCTAAGTTAGCTGGATTCCACCCCCTACCCCCCCAGAACATTTAACTGAATCCCTCTTCATATTGGATTCAAGAGCCTAAAAGCAAAACTAAACTAAGTTACCGGTTCGGAATGACGGTTCAGCTTCAAAAAAGCCTTGATGTGATATTACACACACTGGACCCCCACCCAACCTCAACAGCGTGTACACACACACACACACACACACACACACACACACACAAATGCAAGAGGATTTTATGTGGCAGTTTGTCCAGGCTTCCATAGTCTGCCATTTTCAGTGTCGGGGAAACAGAGATTCAGTCTGCTACTTTAGACTCCAATCCACTTTAGCAGAGAGAAGGAAAGAAAGGTACAGAACAGCAGTGCCTCTGCCATACTGGTAGTGATTGCTGAAATTAATTCCCCCCTAATGCTTGCACCTCTGGTAGTCTGAGCCAGCTCCATTGCTGCCGTTGATGCACTGGGCCTGATTACCACACCATTCTAGCCTCCATAACCCAACCCTTGACCCCCATCCAGTGTGACCAATGGTGCCGTGGTGACTAGGCTACTTTGTCATAAGTTGCTGCTCCTGGGCAGGGGATAGGATTGATCTGTTAATAATTCCAGCAATCGTAAAACAAAATCAATATGTTTATTTCTTTTTGTTTCATCATTTTCTCTCTCTCCCTACTCACGGCAATTTTCTATCTGCTATTACAGGCTTTCCTCTTTTGCCTAGTTACTATTATGAATCATCTAGTACCAATATAAAATTCAATAACTCAACAATGATGGATCACCATCAGATATTCAAATCAGGACTGTAGTGTGAATTTTCTTCCCATGTGAACTAAAACTGAGCTGCTAGTTTCAGAGTGTCAGAGCAGCCAATAAACTTGTATTGGCTTGAACTGGTACACAACTTCCTTCTGATCCCAAATGACAGCAAGAAACTTCAACTGTTGGACTACCTGATTACAACAGCCTATGCAGCTCCCAACATTCTGTGATATTGGAGGTGGAAGAGGTAGTTATGCATTGTAAGTAATATTGGCCAAATCCAAGTGCATGACCTCCCATGTGTCTAGGACGCAAGGTGGACTGCACCTTGGAATGGATGTTTGTCTCCCAGGACTAACAACCTAGGGGTCTTCAACAACAGATCTGAGGCCACCTCTCTGCTCAGGAAGGGAGATGGTTGGGCAGAGGGCCTGATGCTACCCCAACAGAATATCTAATCTGTCCCAAGAGCTCAGCCCCAGAGACAGGATAATCAACTCTGGTGACGTTGCCTCTCTGAGGTTCTGGGTTGGTTCTGCACTGAGAACAGAGTCAGGCATAGCTGGGGGAGACTAATGGTCCCTCCTTTGCCAAGCCGGGTCCTCACTGATGCTCTTATTTTATAAGCCTTCTGAAAACATCTTAATCAGACATTTTAAAGGTACATATATTCCAGGGATGAGGGATTTATCCATTAGTGCCCAATTCATTTATGTAAATAGGTTCTGCTGTATGTATAGCTTGACACAAAAGCATGATGGGATCTAATTGATACACATATCGAAAGGCACAGAAAAATAGTCATTTCCCTTCCTCCTCTATCAGCTGAAAGGCAGTCTGTCAATACTTATCATTAACTGGGATGCTCCAGGTTCTGTTGACCAGTGAAAAGTGCTATAGTGGAGCTTGTCCTTAAGTTACAGCTCTGCTCAGTGCAAGATGTTTTTGCTAACCATAAATAATCATTTTGGGGTGTGTGGGTGTACATGGGCAAAGGTACAAAGTATGGATGGAGGAGGAGAGGACAGAGGGTGAAGAAAGAGCTGTGAGTGGAGCGGGGGTCCTTTCCCCATCCTCTGGACCCCCTGGGTCAACAATCCTGCTGCACCTGGAACTGGGGGTGGAGAGTGCAGCTGAATCGGACATAGCCTGAGGAAGTACCATCCCCCTTGGGCTTGCCCATAAAAAGCAAGTCTAGAGTGAGAGAGCAGGGTGATGTCCACTTTTTCTCATTGTGAGACTTTTGTGAGTGAGATGAGAGTTTGTTTGGGCCCTGAGTGACAGTCCTCTGGGTGAGAGGGAGGGTGTGTCAGAAAGAACATGAACTGATACTGATGTATATATATTAGTAATTTTGTATTAATGTAACATCTCTATATGTAATTGTGTGTTTTTGCAATATTTTATTTAAATTGTCTGTTGTTGCTTCAGTTTCTGTATGCCACTTAATCTAATCTTCTAGACTGTTGCTATTTTCAGTTAGGATCCACATATTGGCACATTCAGATTGCACAATTATAGTTGATGTGGACAGAGGAAACAGACGGAGCAAGACTTTGCAAGGAGAACAGATATGTATTTGCTCACCCCGTTTTGTGTTTGCATACCCAAGAGAATGAATGCTTGAATTCAGAGTTTACTGAAGAGCTTTTTTAGTGCAGCGGGAATAGGGCAGAGAGAGTGGCACTTTGCCTTTTGAAGCAAAAGTATTCTCCCTGTCAGGAGAAGTGGCCATATTAAATCAGTGGCTTTCTTTCTGAAGAGTGCCATAGCCACCTTCAGATGCCCATGCTGCTTTGCAGAATTTGCCCTCTTCAAAGTCATTGCACCCATGATCTAGGACCACTAGAACAGATCGCATCCATTCTATGCCTCTCCAATGTGTGAGTTAATGAAGAAAATCATATGCAGTTGATTTACAACTCTGTGCTGTAAATCAACTGCTGTAATTTACACTTCAGTATGCTCCTGTATTTCAGATGCTTTCAGACATGAAGATTTGTAGCCTGCATGCCTTTAGAATCCTAATTTACTCAAGCTTGTTGCAAGTCTCTGAAGTGTTAATTAATAATGGTCATGTCCTGTATTAGCTGTCTAGTGACCATCTTTTGTTGAATTGCTTCATGACCAGCTGTTTCTATAATGGCCCTTGGAAGTTATGAGGGGTGATGGGAGGACACCCTCATCAAATCAGTTGGGGCACTGAATCTGTGTTTCTGTTTGGCAGGGGTGAGTGAAAAAAGAAAAAGGGAAGGAAAGAAAGAAAGCAGCTTGAATTTAGACACAGCGTTAGATTTCTATGCACGGCAAAGGGAGGTCATTCCAGGAATGTCCTGCTAGTCAAGAGATGTGGGGTGATCAGCCTTTCATAACACAGCTTATGAAATGGCCTCAGCTTTAATGTACATACAAGGCTAGTGAGCAAAATAATGTTTATCATGTTGGAAACACATGCTCATGTCCCTGTCAGCCTGTAATCAAGCTCACTCTTGCTTTCCTTGGTGACTAATATAAACAAGAGATAATAATTCAGACAATCACTTTTAAGCTGCTGAGTTTTACAGAAGTGATTTGGTATTCCATTAAATCCTGCATATAAAAAAATATGGTATTTCTACGTCAGGGTCTTCTACCATACTAGCAGAGATGTATAAAACAACTCCAACTGTCTTAGTATCTGCCTTATGCAGAGATAAACAGTCACATAAACAGTTTGTATCACTTTGCTTCAAAGTTTTCTAACTAGTAAGCCGAGATGTAAAGTTGAGGCCATCTATTATCTGAAAATGCAGAACGCGGGCATACTCTCCCTGCCAAAGTACTAACCAAATATAGTTACTCTTGGCGCTTGTACGTAAGCAAGGTTTCAGGTGTGCGTAAACTATCTCTGACTTCTCAAAGAAGCAACATGAGAACTTCTTTCAACTGGCTGATGCCAAGGTCCATTCCTGCAGCAATGGAATAGTAACGTCTTTACCTCAGCCTGAGTCAGTGGTCCTGTGTGTCAAAATAGCTCACTATTTTGCTGTGCTAAGGGATCCCATCTCACACATGAATCACAGGCTCACAAGTACGGTATTTCTTTCATCCAGGAGTCCTCTACTTCCTTCCCTACCCAGTAGTGAATGGATAGCTTGGAGAACAGTTTACAAGCTTTTATCATCCAGAACACAAACTACAGGAGAAGGTTTTCTCTAGATGCATTGGCTCCCCAATTTATTAATTCAAACACTGAGACAATTATTTCCTGAGGGAATTGTTATGAATTTGTCGGTGCCAGACTTCAAATCCCTATAATCCTAGCAAGCCAGGCTATATATAAGCCAGGCTAGCTTCCTCATGAGGTGATCGTCTGGGTGAAGGGCCATTAAGAAAACAAAGAAAAGGTGATGGGTTATTAAGAGAGCAAAAGAGAATGGGCTCTGTGCCAGATGGCAAATGAGTGGGGACCCTCCTCCAGAGAGGCAGAGCACAGCTGTGGGAGAAACAAGACCCTCTTGGGATGTTAATGCTGTGAAACCCTCTATCATTGGCTCAGGTTGTATCTATGTGTAAATAAACCATATATCATAAAGACACTAGAGTGTCTACTATGCCTCATTCCAAAAAGGAAACACAAACCCTGGATAAAGGCCTGGTAACCCTGGAATCTCACACTGCTTAAAGACTGGGGTGGTGGGCAACAGTATTTTGTTGAGAAAGGGCCTTCGCTCAGTGACAAAGCACCTGGTTTGCAAGTAATAATAATAATAATAATTTTTTATTTATACCCCGCCCTCCCCAGCCAAGGCCGGGCTCAGAGCGGCTTACAAGCAATAATAAAAACAAGGTGAATGATTACAACTTAAAAACAAAAATAAAATACAACATTAAAATAATGGAACATTAAAATATTAAAATGTGGCCTCATCGCAGGAGGAGAAGGAAAAGAAAAAAGAAAGAGAGGGAGGGAGGGAATCAAATTGGCTCCAAGCCAAAGGCCAGGCGGAACAACTCTGTCTTACAGGCCCTGCGGAAAGAAATCAGATCCTGTAGGGCCCTGGTCTCATGAGGCAGAGCGTTCCACCAGGCCGGAGCCAGAGTTGAAAAGGCCCTGGCTCTGGTTGAAGCCAATCTAACTTCCTTAGGGCCTGGGGCCACCAGGGTGTTGTTATTTATGGACCTTGAGGCTCTCCGTGGGGCATACCAGGAGAGGCGGTCCCGTAGGTACGAGGGTCCTAGGCCGTGAAGGGCTTTAAAGGTCAAAAGCAGCACCTTAAATCTGACCCTGTACTCCACCGGGAGCCAGTGTAGCTTGAAAAGCACTGGGTGAATATGCTCCCATGGCAGAGACCCCGTGAGGAGCCTCGCTGCAGCATTCTGTACCCGCTGGAGTTTCTGGGACAGCTTCAAGGGCAGCCCCGCGTAGAGCGAATTACAGTAGTCAAGCCTGGAGATGACCTTCGCATGGATCACTGTGGCCAGGTCGGGGCGGGAAAGGTAAGGGACCAACTGCTTGATGTAGCGAAGGTGGAAAAATGTCGCCTTGGTTGTTGCTGTAACTTGCGCCTCCATGGAAAGGGAAGCGTCAAAGATTACACCCCAACTCTTAACGGAAGGCAATGGCACTAATTGGGCCCCCGCAAGAGAAGGGAGTTGGTCCCTCATCTCCATGCCATCCTGACCTAGCCATAGGACCTCTGTCTTTGAAGGATTTAGTTTCAATCGGCTCCCACGAAACCATCCAGCTACAGCTTCCAAGCATCTGGTCAGTGTGTTCGGGGCCGAGTCGGTGTGGCCATCCATCAGCAGATAGAGCTGAGTGTCATCAGCATATTGGTGACAGCCCAGCCCAAAGCTCCGGATAATCTGGGCAAGGGGCGCATAAAGATGTTAAAAGCATCGGGAGAGAATTGCGCCCTGCGGCACTCCACACACCAAGGAGTGGCGCGACGACATTTTCCTCCCTAGTGCCACCCTCTGTCCCCGACCAGAGATAAAAGAGCACAACCAGTTACAGGCTATGCCCTGTATCCCCACGTCTGCGAGGCGGTGGTCCAGAAGATCATGATCGACCATGTCAAAGGCTGCTGACAAATCTAAAAGGATCAGCAGTCCTGACCCGCCTCGATCCAGTTGTCTATGGAGATCATCTGTTAGGGCAACCAGAGCCATCTCCGTCCCAAAACCAGGACGGAAACCGGACTGAAATGGATCTAATGCCAATGTTTCCTCCAGAAACCTACCAAGCTGTTCAGCAACCGCTCTCTCAATTACCTTACCCAGGTATGGAAGATTTGAAACTGGGCGGTAATTGGATAGGTCTAAGGGATCTGATGAAGTTTTCTTTAAGAGTGGACACACCACTGCTTCCTTCAGTTCCCCTGGGAATGTCCCCGTGTCAAGGGACAAATTGATAATTTCAACCAGGGGGGTCCGCGCAACATCTGGACACTCCCTAATCAGCCAAGACGGGCACGGATCAAGGAGGCAGCTGGTGGGCCTACCAACTTGGAGGGATCTATCCACATCAGTAGGGAGTATTCGATCGAAATGGTCCAACACAGGACCTGAAGTCAGTCGAGAGGCCTCCAGTTCAGTCATTGTATCTAAATTGGCAGGGAGGTCACGGTGGAGCAACAGGACTTTCTCCGCAAAAAACCTCGCGAATGCCTCACAGCTGTGGGTCGAATTTGTGCTTAAATTTAGTTGTCCTCCTAAGGACGTTATTGACCTAATTATTCTAAAAAGTTGTGCCGGGCGAGAGCTAGCGGATGCAATGGAAGCTGCAAAGTAAGATTTCTTAGCAGCTTTCATAGCCATCTCATAGGCTTTCATAAGCGTCCTATAAGATGTTCTTGAGGCTCCGTCACGAGTCCGTCGCCATACTCGCTCTAGCCGTCTGAGATCCCGCTTCATTTTCCGGAGCTCCTCAGTAAACCAAGGGGCCCGGTTTCGACAGGGTCGCAGAGGGCGCTTAGGCGCGATCTCATCAATGGCTGCCAAGAGCCGGTTATTCCAGTCCTCAACAAGGTCATCTAATGAGTCACCAGGAGGAGCAGGGTTCCGCAAGGCTTGTCGGAATCTATCAGGATCCATCAGTTTTCGTGGACGAGCCCAAATAGGTTTGCCACCCGAGCTGGGGAGGAACGGGAAGTCAATCTTGGCTTTCAGAGCGTAGTGATCAGACCATGGCACTTCCACAGCGGGGAGCATGATCACATCTATGCCAGCCCCAAAGATCAGATCCAGTGTGTGGCCTGCTTGATGAGTGGGGCCCAAAACAAACTGGGAGAGCCCTAGTGTTGCCATGGAAGTCACTAGGTCCAGAGAAGTAGAAGGTCTCGAGTTCAATCCTTGGCATCTCTAAGTACTGGGATTGCCCACAGTTGGAATCCTGGAGAACCAGTGCCAATTGTGCTGGTGGTGTTGTATTTTAATTTATTATCTGCCCATCACTCTAGGGTCCCAGTATTACAACACTATTAAACTGTTCTTAATGTTGCATTCTAAGCAACCTACAATCACAAAAATAGGGCTGGTCCTAAAAATATACATCTTAGGTGTCAAAGCCTAAGATAGTAAAGTGTGTCTTAAGCATTCTCCAAAAACTGTTCAGTGGTACCTCGGGTTAAGAACGTAATTCATTCTGGAGGTCCGGTCTTAACCTGAAACTGTTCTTAACCTGAGGTACCACTTTGGCTAATGGGGCCTCCCACTGCCACCGCAGAGCGATTTCTGTTCTCATCCTGAAGCAAAGTTCTTAACCCGAGGTACTATTTCTGGGTTAGCGGAGTCTGTAACCTGAAGTGTCTGTAACTCGAGGTACCACTGTATAATGAAGTTGCCAGATGCACCTCTATGGGGAGAGAGTTCCACAGCTTAGGGGCTGAAGCAAAGATTTCCCTTTCCTGGGCTTCCACTACCCTAGAACTTCTAAGCGTGGCAGAACTTCCAGAAGGTCCCATTTTGCTGCTCTTAATACCCAAGGGGGTCTGTAGGGAAGGAGGGTGTCTTTCAAGTATTTGGGGCCTGAGCTGTTTAGGGCTTTAAACATTAACATGTGTACCTTGAAATGGACCGAAAATAGCCAACCAGTGCAGCTGGTTTAGAACTGGATATGAACAGTGCAGCTGGTTTAGAACTGAATGAAACCCCAACCGGTAATCTAGCCGCTGCATTTTGGACCCATTGAAGTTTCCAAGTTGTCTTCAAGAGCAGCCCCATGTTGAGTGCATTACAACAATCCAGTCTGGGAGTTACCAGAGCATGGAGTACAGTGGCCAAGCGGCTGAGATGCCACGAGTTCTGTCCTTCTAACTCACATCCCACGACAACATTACATGCATTTTAAATCTTACCAATGGCCACAGATTATGAGAACTCTCATCCACAATATATGTAGGGGAAGCAAATTCCCTATCCCTGCTTGTATACAGTAGTTATGCAATGATAGCTTTCCCTAACTTGGAAACATTTGTTTATTCCCCTTTAAAATAAAGTCTAGAATGTACAGTTTAAGGGGGGATTCTGTACAAACATGAAACAAAAGCTGAAGTAGTGCACTGTGAGCATTGGTTCATTCAAATAAAGATATTGCTTTACTGTGGATTATGTTTTAAAGGAGCAATACAGCTATCTGGAGTTGATAGGCGCATGCATTTCGAAGAAACAATGGAACAAGTGTAGCTGCCTCCACCTTTCCCATTCCCTTAACATCCATGGCAGATTTGCTTTTGCTTCAGGTTTACGTGCCAGGGTGTGAAGTGGACAAAGTACTAGGCAGGAATACATGAGACAAGCCAGGCAGCCTCATATGCTGTGGAAATAATCATCCTTCTCTTGTCTACTGCTTTTTACCAGCTTGTAGTGATGAAAGTTAATGGGACAAATTTTGCATTCCTTTTCTCCCAATTGAAAAGCAAAGCTTGTGAGTAATAAGCTTTTTTTAAAAAAAACAACAACCCAGATTGAGAGTGTTCAGACTCATTCAGATTTTTAACTGCATTAATCAAAATGCATCATGGCTGCCTTTGTTGTTAATTGGATCAATCCTGCATTTAATTTTTGTAAGCTTTCAGCCTTCAGTGAATTGAGTGATCTGAGGGGAACAAAGCATAAATTAAAGCAATTCTTTCTCTTTTTCTGTCTCTCTTTCTCTCTGAAAGGCTGAGATGAATAGTGTTGAAGCAAGAATTTTTGCTAATCTTTTGCTGACTAGTTAACTTCAATATTTTTCATGTATGCATTCCTTTCAAAACTAATGGACCCTGGATTTCCCCTCCTATTTTCCTCCTAAAAAGCTATTCCGTACCTCTGTGAAAAGAAAGCATGGGATGTCAAGGGACAAGAGGCAAGACAGAGGTGGTTTGGGACGAAAATCCAAGCCACAAAAAAAGTAACGCAGTGCTAGGGACGTGCTATTACCCTCCTGAGTTGAACTCCCTTATAGCGATACTAAGATGCAAACAGCAGTCAGGGCGCCAACTACAGTAGGTCTTACGTTATGGCTGATTTCGGCTGTCATCAAATTACCAAGGTAATCCTGAGTCATCATGACAAAGACTCAACATGCCTAGAATTAGATACAGTAAATGATTGTGCTTTGGAACAACGTGTGCTGAAACTTGTCAACTCTTGATTTAAATCCTAAACAGCACCCAATATTATTGCAAGACACAGATTCTGCTGAATCCCTTATGAACACTGCACTCAACAAACGAGTGAGTGGGAAATTGCCCAACTATGAGATCATACTTTCAATACATCTTCTGCTATTGCAGCATTCATTTATGATACATACAAAGTGAGAGAGACTCAGATGTGCTTTTAGTGCTGTGAGTAATGTTGATCTAAAGCTACAGCAGAAGTTTGCTGCTTCTGCGTGCCCAGCAGCTGGTAATTCTGGGAATAAAGGAAATTTTGCCTACTACGCTATGATAATTGGATTACTATTCTATTGTGTTTGCTCAGGAAGGAGATGGGCTGCATTTAAAGTCTTCAAGGAACTATGCTGGGAAGAACATGTAGCTTGTGAGCTAGGTACATCTCTGCTTCAGTCCAAATGCATAGTTTACCTTTGGAAAATTGTGACTAGATTCCCCTATTCATTTATTTTACTTTGGTCATTCAGAATGTTTCTACCCAGAAAATGTAAGCAAAAATATGAGGGCACATAAGCACTCTAATAATATGTGTCTCCAAGGGAAATGACTAAAACACTTGAAGTTTTACTATTTAGTTTTGTTGTATTTTACTTTCATGTGTATTTGTCTACATAAAAATAAATAAAAATGAATTTTTTAAAAAAGCACTCAGAATACTGTAGGACTTAGGTAATGATGTAATTTGGCACTAAACCAACAAAGACCTGTGAAAATTGTGCAGTTGTGGTTCTCCATAACAAAATATTAGTGGGAATGCAGTATCCAAATATTACATTGCAGAGAGGGTTTGGATATCCAGCACTGAGTAACAGCTGTTTTATCTATTGCACATTAAACTGGCTATCTTGCACTGGAACTGGCCACTGAAAGTCAGGCCAGGTATTTCAAACATAAAACTGTTCCACCTCTAGTTGCTATTCTCTGCTCATCTTCCTTTTTACTTACATACAGCTTGTTATATTTCCTTCCATTTTTTGCACTTCAGAATCTCCCTACTGCACTTTTGTCAAACCAAACAGTGCCCAAATTCTTTTAAAACTAGATTCGTAGAGCACTGTGTTCCTCAATTTATTCAAAGTCTTACTGTGGGCTATTTGAGGGGCTTAGCTTGTTACTAATAACTGAAATATGAAGTGTCAAAGCAATACAGTAGTTTTAATTCTCTGGGACTAGGGGCTAAAACCTGGGCCTTCTGCTTCTTGATTCTGAGCTCCTGTTCTGATCTGTGAAGTCTTTGTGTTTTGGTTTGCTTCTTTGCATGGGAGGAACAAAGATACAAGCTGCATTGGCAAACTTGATCACCAAACCCAAGTTTTATCTCATGCAACTTGGTTAATTACACGTTAAAATTTGGTGGTGGGGTCTTTGTCTTTCAAATATCTACGCAGCTTCATTTGTATAAAGAGATTATTTTCTTAATCCTTTTGGACTTTTGCTTAGTGGGCAAGGTGTGGCTAATTTAGCAGCTCTCTTAAGCTTTGGGTGCCCTCTGCTGGTAAATCTTGGGGGCGGGCAGCAAGTGTGGAGAAGAAGAGCTCCAGGTTAGAGTCCATGTGTTACTGCTTTACCTGATCATTTTTGTGAACGCATACACATGACCAACACTTGTGGCTACCCATACCCTCAATCAACATGAACATTGGCACTTTGCCTGGGGGGCATGTTCCTACATGTTCTGTAGCCATGCATTGCAAACCAATGTGTAAATCGCAGAACAGCTCAGATCTTTGGCCTGTGGCAGGCGTGGTTAAGCTGTGACCCTCCAGATATTGCTGGACTACAATTCCAGGCAGATCTGCACCATACATTTAAAGTGCATTCAACACCCATCCAAAGGATATGGCTTCTCCCAAAAAACCTTGGGAACTGCAATTTGTTAAGGATGCTGAGACATGAAGCTTGGGGACTACAGTTCCCAAAATTCATCGGGGAAAGTCATGTGAGAACCTCAGGAACTGTACTTTGTTAAGGGTGCCAGGAAGTGTAGCTCTGGAAGAGGGAGACTACAGTTCTGATTTGGGGGGGGATGTTATGTGTTCTAAATGCAGTATATGTCCCTTGGCCATTCTGGCTGGGGCTGTTAGGAGCTGGAGCACAACAACTGCTGGCAGGCTGCAGATAAGAACCCCACGTGACTCCCACCCACCCACCCAACCACACCAGGCCATGTGCATTTTAGAATACATTTTATGTTTTGCACATTTTAAAATACAATTGCAGCCGTGCCATTAAAACTAACAAGGAGGTAGCCCTAAGCTTCCTGAAGAATTAACAGGATTTATGGTTGGACGCTGCCTAGCTATCCTTCCCATCCTGAAAGGAGCAAGAGCTCAGCTGCTTATGACACTTCCACCTGAGTCCACGGGCTGGCTTACACATGCACACTCATCATCTGAAGAGTTTCATATCATCTGTCAGCCCAGCAAAGTAGCTGGCTTTATTTATTGCAAATGCTTCTAGCCTTCCCTCCTAGCACTTGCACACCATACAAGGCAGCTAACAACAATTAAAACACAACCATAAAACACAACGCTATCTCATGTGCAGCAGATAAAATGAAGGTATCAGTCAAAACAAAGGTTTGTCTATCAGCAGAGTGGTCATTTGGCCTGCTGCTGACTGTGGGTGCTATAGAATTATTATGGAGAGTTGGGCAAAGAAGCGCATTTTGCTTTCGGCACAGTTCTGTTATTTGGTTGAGATAAGCCACTTAGTAGCAAAGGCATTTTGACATTTGCAGTTGTCTTGTAATGTCATGCTGATAGTGACACTTTGAGACTGCTGACAGCATTTGTTTTGTAACACCTGTGCGTATCTGTCAGTATTAATAAGAGCAGCTGCATTCCGTGTGTGTGTGAGAGAGAGAGGGGAGGGCCTGCAATATATATTGAGTGGAGTGTCTTCTTTTGTAGTTCCTCCCTCTTGAGTAGAAACACAGTGTAGCATTGCCATTTTTACTGTAAGTGGATAAACCTGCCACCATTGAAATTAACGGTACTCACTACCACTTGAGTTTCAGTTTTGTGTACAGCAAAATTTATGTAGAACTCAGGATTGGAGTGGCAATATGCAGCAGAAGCACTAAATGTAAAAATACATCCCTATCAATTGGCTTATGGAAATGTCAGCTTATATATGATTTGAAGGTCAAGCTGATGGGACAGGTTTTGAAAGCAGTACGACATAACAAAATGTAAGAGGAGCCCTGCTGAAGCGGAGCAAAAGGCCCATCATCCTGTGCTCAAAGTGGTGAACCAGACACCTATGAAAATCCCACAAACAGGACACAAGTGCAAGAGCACTCTCCCCATTTAGGCTCCCCAGAAACCGGTATTTAGAGACATGCTACCTCCCTTACTGAAGGTAGCACCAGGCCATTATGGCTAGTAACCACTAATATCCTCCATGAATTTGTCCCAGTCGATCGTCAGTACTGGATCTTCAGGTTAATGTATTCCATTGTTTAAACATGTGCTGTGTGAAAAAGTGCCTCAACCACAAATATCTACAAAACCTGGAAAGAGTGTGTTAAGCATGGAGAACCATGGGCATCAATACTTCCTTAATGTGGGTCCAATGTTGTACTCAAGGATTTCTCCACCCGAGCCCATCCAATAAAACCAAATGCAACATATTATATCCCAGCTTGATGAGTGAGATCATACAAAGAAGCACTGTAAGTTGCACCTTGTGTTACAGAGACCTGAATGGCCTCAGTTAGAAGTTGAACACTTAGTCCCTTGCAGCGGAACACTCTTCTGGCAAAGTCAGCAGGCACCCCTGCTTTTTACTTTCAGGTGTCTCTTGAAGACCTTTTTGTGCTGACATGCCTATGCAGTTGTTTAAAACTTTCTTGATTAGCCAGTCATTTTAATGATCTTTTCATGCTGTTTTAATTGTCTTTTTATGTTTTATTTTATACATTTCATGGCCCCTTATCTCTATTAGAGACCTCATGACCTATTTGGAGGGTGAGAAAAGTCTGCCCTCCCTTCTGAAAAACACACCAGCCCTTTTCTTCCTAGTATGGGAGATCCATACTCACTCCCAGATTCCCTTTGCTTGATCATGGAAATAGAATATTTGCTGCCCAGGAGCAAAACAGCATCAGGAAAATAGATTTATTTTCAAGGGTAGTTCTATCAAACGTAAAGTATTGACCAAGGTCAGGGTTTTTTGTCTTGTTTTCTGTTTTTGTCTTCCCATGTATATTTGCAAAAAGACTCAACTCAGTGAAAAACATCTGATGAGATTAAAGTTCAGTTGTTTTTCAGTCACCAGTCCAATGCCTGCATTACTCAACCTTAACTTCAACAATAATGTTATGGCGCTGGCCCCTATTTCCTTTGTTAGGCAGATTACTGGTTAATGGCCCAAGATCGCTGAGAAATATCCAACCTAACCCACTGAATTGATTAGGAGATAACTGCAGATCTCTCTCAGAGCCTTTTGCAGGAGTCAGCCATCAAGGTTGGAGGAGGTGGAATGGGGGAGAAAGGACAGGGGAAAAGAGCGTAGTGAATAAATTGAATTTTGGCAGAGGGAAAGAGAGTGTGTGCTGTGAGCAGTCCATCAGCATTAATACTTTGACTTTCTCTCTGGGTATCTCACTTGACATTGTTGGTATATAGCCTTATAAGGGTGACATAGGCTTACATGGCCACCTGCACTTAAGACCAAGGATGGAGATCCTAATGCCCTTCAGATATTGTTGGCCTACAACTCCCATAATCCCATGCTGGCTGTGGCCAATGGAAGATGGAGTCCCACAACACCTGGAGGGCCACAGGTTTCCCATCCCTGATTTCAGACTACAATAAACTGGGATGGGTAGCAAATGCCGCAGAAGCATGAATCGGGAATCAATATGACCATGACAGATTGTAGAATAGGCCCAAACTTACAAAATGAATCTCAGTAGGAACAAATGTTAGGTTCTACATTTAGGCAGGAAGAACCAGCTGAACAAACAGAAGATGGTGGGACACCTGGCTTGCCGGTAGCACATGTGAAAAGGATCTCAGGGTCTTAGTAGACTACAAGCTGAACAGGAGTCCACAGTATGATGCAGCAGCAAAAAAATGTGAATACTACTAATTGCATCAACAAAAGTATAATGTCCTGATCAAGGAAAATAATAGCCCCGCTCTGTACTGCTTTGGTGTAACCACACCTGGAGTACTGTGTCCAGTTCTGGGCACCACAATTTAAGAAGGATATTGAAAAGCCAAAAAGTGTGCAGCGGAGGGAGATCAAGATGAAAACCAAGCCTTATGAGGAATGGTTGATGGAGCTGGGAATGTTTAGCCTGAATAAGAGAAGACTGAGAGGAGAGATGATAGCCATCTTCAAATATCTAAAGGGTTGTAACATGGAAGATGGAGCAAGCTCGTTTTTTCCTGCTCTGGAGAGTAGGACCCAAACCAATGGATTTAAATTACAAGAAAGGAGATTCTCACTAAACATCAGAAATAACTTTCTGTCAGTAAGAGCTGTTTGACAGCAGAACAGAAGTCAAACGGACTCATTCCTTGATTGTTTTTAAGCAGTGGTTGGATGGCCACCTGTCATGGATGCTTTAACTGAGATGGCTGCATTGCAGGGAGTTGGACAAGATGACCCTGAGGGTTCCTTCCAACTCCACAGTTCTATGTGTCTATGATTCTCTGTTTGTCCATCTGTAAAATAAAATGAATGCTATAACAACATCAGAAGTCTCCATTACTTTCATTTCAAGGAAAGCAGACTTGAGTTGGGCTTCTCCTGGAACTTCTTGTAGCTTGAGAAAGTGAGGTACATATAACAATACTTTTTCACTTCAGCTTGAAAAAGAAACACAACTTCCCTCACTAGAAAAGAATATCATGCATCAGTCTTGTTGTTGTTGTTGTTTAGTCATTTAGTCGTGTCTGACTCTTTGTGACCCCATGGACCAGAGGACGCCAGGCACTCCTGTCTTCCACTTGCAGGCTTGTAGGATCCCATAAAATACCGTATTTTTTGCTCTATAAGACTCACTTTTCCCCTCCTAAAAAGTAAGGGGAAATGTGTGTGCGTCTTATGGAGCGAATGCAGGCTGCATGGCTATCCCAGAAGCCAGAACAGCAAGAGGGATTGCTGCTTTCACTGTGCAGCGATCCCTCTTGCTGTTCTGGCTTCTGAGATTCAGAATATATTTTTTTCTTGTTTTCCTCCTCCAAAAACTAGGTGCGTCTTATGGTCTGGTGCGTCTTATAGAGCGAAAAATACGGTAAGCCCGTCCCTAAGAATGATAGAGAGAAAGCTGCAACCCTATAATTGGATGCAGAAATTCCATGAATAAGAAGTTACAGAATCAAAATGGCTTGCAACTGGGTACAATTGTGCAAGAATGTATAATGAAAGGATGAGCAAGTCATGAAACTAATTGTGTCTTTAGTTGATTTATTAAGGCTGTCCTGCAAATTTGCTGAGACTGCAATTCTGGGAGAAATGCATCATCCCCTTGGTCTGGAAACACTTATTTCTAATAAAGCATGGGCGGTATATGTGATCTGTGGTGGAGGAAAGTGTACATAAATGTCCTGCTTTCCCTTGCCTTTGAATTTGGTTCTGACATCATGGCTAATTGGCCAGGTGTCAATCATTTACTTGAGCAGCTTAAGGCTGTTTTTGTACAAATAATGCTTTCTTTAAAAGTTGCAACAGCACCCCTGTAGGCAAATAACTCTTACAAAAATTTAAACATTCTTTAAAATTTTTTTTAAAAGAACAGAAACAAATGAACAAATAAGCATAGAGACTTGGTTCTTTCCAAGTTCTGTTCCAAAACAAGTGAGCTAAAGAGGTTCAAACACTGGCATACTCTAGCTAGCTAAATCCTGTTTAGGGAAGAGCCATAGCTCAGGGGTATGGCATCTGCTTTGCATGCAGAAAGTCCCATGGTCAATTCCTGGCATCTCCAGGTAAGGCTGGGCAAAGACTTCTGTTTGACACCCCAGAGAGCTGCTGCCAGCCAGTGTAGATAATATTGAGCAAGATGGAGCAATGGTATAAGGCAGCTTCCTACATTCCTCTTTTGAGGTTCCAAGGTACACAAAATGGGTGTTCAAATGAGGTCCCTTCACAGGTGCAAGAGATGATTGGGGTTAGTGGGAACATTCCTAGTGACCATGCCCTTGCAAGTCAGCTGTGCTTTCTCTTCCTGGCGGCCAAGCATTTGGCAGAGGGGCTCTACACATGTGCAGCCCCACCAACTGACTGGGGAATGCTGACTGGCCAGGAAATCAGATGGTGGGTGTGTTGACACATGCGGAGCATGGCTGGCAGGCACACGTTCCCTTGCACCTGCTATGAGAGGATGTAGGGAGTGGGTGGCAGGCCAAGAGTTACTATTCCAATTTTATTTCTACCAGAACGTGGACAGGCTAAAGCAGTCTTGAGGCTGGAGCAAGAGCATTGGCAGTGATTTCTCACACCCACCCCTTCCTAAGGATGCAGGGCACCCACAAAACGTGTGTGCATTTGTGTTTACGAATAAGAATATACAGTAATTGTGAAGTGGGGACTGTACATTGGCAGGGGTAGTTCCAGTTAAATTCTGACGGTGCTAATGGGAATGCACATTAGCAGCTATTTAGGGCCAAGATATACAGTAGCAGGGAAAGGTGATACTGCTTGATCAACTGGCTAGCTTATAGCATGGATTTGCAATAGGCTTAGAAGAAATGAACACATCTACTGCTGTCGGGTTGTTGGAGGAAGCCTCTCCACCAGTCACAACTGCACAGAACTATGGCCAGGATATGTTGTATACTTTAGGCAGGGAGAGAATTAAAATCCCAGTTGTGTGAGATCTGGAAAACAGAGGAAGTATTCTGTAACCAGGCATCTTTCTTTCTGTCAAGAAGCATAGAAAACGGGCCATAACTTTGCTAGTTTGGCCCCAGTTTCTTGTTACCAAACTGGCTGCTTGTGTAGAAGCCCAAACTCCTGTGGCATCTAAAGCATCTCTGAAGTGGATGGTGATTCTTTTGGAAGCTCAGACAGAAAGCAGAGCCAGCCAGGCTTATGATGATCTGCCTGTGGCAATGCAGGCAAGAGCATTTGGAGATTTGGGATGTGGGTCAGTGACGCAAATGAAATAAAATTTAAAATGTAGCATATTGCATATGCAAAGTGTCAGCAATCATTGAAAATGACGCTCAGCTACCTTGCCACTCCTGGTCCTATGCCAGTGTAATATCCCACTGAATCATAGAATTGTAGAGATGCAAGGGGTCATCTAGTTCAGCCCCCTGCAATGTTGGAATCTTTTGCCCAACGTGGGGCTCAAATCCACAACCCCGAGATTAAGAGTTATTTCTTGCTGTACCGACTGAGCTATGTTAGATCCTCTTATTTTCTTTCTCCTCTCCTACTTCTATGATCCAACCCCATCTTCTCCTTTTCAGCACAGCTCATTGCTAAGCATTTCCTGTGAAAATGACTCCCCAACCCAAGGCCTCTTCTTTGCTGGTTCTTAGGGGCTACTTTCCCCCCTAAAGTCTCTAAAAAGGTCATAATGACATAAATCCAGTTTAATTAAACATGTGCTGGGTATTATATTGAATGTCTTCACCATCTGTTATGCTGGCAATGCTGAACACTGAATCAAAACAAGAATCTCTTTCAAAATGTGTTTTGCAGTTAATAATAATTTGGCCTTAGTTATTTCATTAGCATGCCAAACAAAGCAATGTTCAAAGTGTTGTTTGTGCCTTGTATTTGCACATACTAGGTACAAAATACTTTCTGTACCACAAGAATTTGAAAACATTGTCCAATGCAAACCACACCATGTGTGTCCCTTTCCAGAAGTTTGCCAGTTTTGTTTTGGTTTTCTGGCAAGGCATCTGTGCCTTTAACAGCTGTGGGACAAACAACAGCTTGAAACTTCTTTAACAGGCAGTAGGCCAGATTGCCAGGCACATCTTTTCCTGGGAAAAATGACAGGTAAATAGCATACAATCGCTTGGAAATAGCTAGGGGCACCTCTGGAAAGTGAGGGCCATTTCAACAAAACATGCCTTTCTGTCCCGTCCCGTCCCCCCACATTCCAGCTAAAGATGATGTCAAGTTAGATCTGTGTCTGTGAGAACACCACCCTTGCTATACAAAAGTAATGCAGTTTTTGACTGGGACGGAGAAAGTCAGAGAGCTTTGAGCATTGGAAAACCCATTTTGGGGCCCGCCTCTTTGGAGATCTGATGAGGGCCAGTGGATTTGTTGTGGGAGTGTTGTTTTTTAAAAAAAGATATCTGCCTCCATCTATGCTCAACCCGAATATTTGTAAATAAACTCAAATAATACCCTCATGCTCAACATCAGCACCCAGAATGGTTAGGCAAACATTTGGATGGCAGCATGCTTTTAGCTGGGTGAACCTGCAGCTGCTTCCATCTTCATTTCCCCAGAATGCATCTGGGAAAATGAAGATGGCGACTGTCAGGGTTGTTTCACCCAGTGCATCTTGTCTTAGCAGTGCCGGTCTATGGGGGGGGACATGTGGTGATGCTTAGCATGGACCTGAGCAAAGAAGCGCTGGACAAAGAAGCTGCAACTGCTACTGCTATTTCCCTTGTTGCGTAGGGCACCTTCAAACCTGGTGCAGGCCCTGAAGACAGAAAATCCCTGGCCTTTTCCAAGTGAAACCAAATCCAGGTAAGGACAATGCCCCTAGAACTTTTCAGTTTGGGAAAGTGAGTGCACATGACAAGGTGGCCCCCTGTTGGTGACTGAAGGCAAAGCTCCAGATTCACATCATATACCGGTAGTAGCTGCAAATATTAGTAGAATGAATAAGAATAGCTTCACATTTGTGTTCCGAAGCCTTCTCTCTGGCTTATTTATTTATTATATTTATATACCACTCTTCATCACAAGATCTCAGGGCGCTTCAGGGACTGCTTTCCACTATGCAAAAGTTTGCCATTATGCAAAAGTTTGCCGTCTGCCATTTTTTCTTATGTATTGTTCCTTGCATGTTATCTCTGCAGTTTTCCATCTTTCAATCAGACAAAAGAAAAAAAGAAGGATTTAAGCTCATTGGTCCTTTTAGTGAAAAACATGGTGGTACGAGTAATGCGTATTCTGAAACAGCTTCTTTGCTTACTGCTTATTCACGCCAGTGCAGTCAAATAAATAGACCAGACCTGCAGCTAAAAATAGTTCCCATATCAGATATCTATAGTACGGAGCTTCCTATGAAAATTGAGGTGTGGTTGTCATGAATACTGGTTAAGGACTGAAAGATAGTGGCAAGGGATCTACAGATTTGTACGAGCGATTGAAGAACACAACCATCTGCACCATTCAAATAGGTTACCATTCAGACACACCATTTTGCTTTAAAAATGAATCCGTTGTAAATTTAAAGAGCTGGACAAGTATTTCACAGCAGAAATCTCTGACTCTCATTTTAATATTTTTATAATAACTTCTGGCTCTCACTAATTTAAAGTAGTTGTTCTAACTGAAAATTACTCTTCTATATTGCACGTCATTTTGAATGTTCCTCCTCAATACATGGTGGATAAGTTAAAAGAAAAATAAAACAACCTTAGTTTTGCCTGCATTTCACTTTTCTTCTTCCTTCCATCTGATCTGGCCATAGAGAGTCAAATAGCAGATTATGGTGTGTGTGTGTGTGTGTGTGTGTGTGTGTGTGGTTTCAGGTTTTTGCAAATCAAAGTACCCCCCCCCCCCAATGGAAGGACTGCCATTAATATACTGAAGAACAGTCATGCATACCTCCTAGTGTTTCTGACAATGGTTCTGTGCCTCTTATTATTATGAAATGCTTTTAAAATGACACACACTCCATCATCTTGTATACAGGAAGGAGCAGGCCTTTCAGTTCTGCTGTGAATTTCCATCCTTACCCTTCCCTCAAAATCTGAAATGGTACTCCTGATAGATTGTTTGCTCCAGCACTCAAGACCATTTGAAAATTATTTCTGTCCTCTTCCTTTTAGAGTGAAGTATCTGTCTCTTCTCTGATCCTATTTTAAGCCTAGAGATTTTCATTCAGTGTGCCACTTACAGTACCTCATTCACCTATGCTCTAGTCTAAGAGTGACTATTCCATTCATACAGTGGCTGCTTTCTTCTTTATAAAGAAATACTGCTTTGTTTTCTCATAGATGAGATAAGGAACCAAGAAGCCTGCTTACATGTCAAGGGACAATTGCCGCTGTATTAAGTATACGGGACTTCTGCACATGGAGGACCAGAGAAAGCAACTGAACAGTTTCTTTTAGTAACATGAGAATCAAGTGAAACCCTCTCACAGTACGTTTTGGCTCCTCTCCAGTGGAGGCTTGGCTTTGGGCAGATGCTATTCTGAGTAAAGCATCTCAAATGTTCTGTTAATCTATTCGGGCTGAATGAATGGCTTTCTATTTGATTTTATTCTCTTTAAAAATGCTAACCAAAAAATGACTATTGTACGTGAATTCAGAAAGCACAAAAGCAGAGAACGCCAGCTTTTACCCTTGTGTTTGTTTTCTCCAAGAGTGGGATATGTTAGCAATTTTAGCTAACAGCTGTCACAGACAAGTTTGTTCTTGACAGATTGCAACAGGAGGGGGAGCTTTTGACTGCAGCAGCCAAGGAAGAAGAGCCTGTTAGGAAAACTGCCTCCAAACACTTGCTGTGCTGTGTGCTCTGCTAATGTTACCTTTTCAGTTGCTCAAGGCCAATCTAGACATGACGGGCAGGGCAGAGATGTGCATTTTATGCATGTGCCTTCCCCATTCACATACACAGCATTCTGGGTGGGTGCAGAGTCTATTATTGCCCTTTTCACAAAAAGGAGGATTGGGAAGAGAAACCCTGTAACTGTGGGTGGGGGAAGGGTTAGCACCAAGGATGTGTCTGAAGCCAATTCCCACTTTGGTTCCCAGATGAAGGGAAGTAACTGGTAGCCCCACTGCTTGCCTCCATTCAGCTTCCCTTCAGTGGGACAGTGGAAATTTTTTGGAGAACAGGAGTTCACCATGTCAGCCCCTGTAGTCACGCCCCAATGTAGCCATGCCACAAATCCATGCAGGTCTGTCTGTCTGTTCTCTTTCTCTCTGTGGCAGTAATACATTGCATAATACACAATTTATTAGTACCAGCATGATTGCAATCCTGCGTATAGTTTCCTGGGGCAGCAAACTCCATTGAATTCTGACTGCAATGGATCAGTTTGTGAAACACAATGAGCTTTTACACAAGACCTCTGGCTAGCTAAAAACGCAACCTTTAGCTTTTAATTAGACACGCAAACAACCTCAGACAGATGTGTTGACATTTAAACTGTTAGTGAAAAGTAGGAACCTCGCCAAAGAAAAAGAAAGTAGTATGCTGGATTATTTTCCTCACTCTTAGATTCCCTTGATGATAATTTGCCACAAGCTTAAAAGTCTCATTGTCACCACATTTACTTGCCATAGGAGATTCATTCAGTCACCTTGCCACTCTGATAATTTTGGTCTTGCTCCAGCTCTGAAAAAGCTCCTGAACGTCACTCCGCTACATCCCTGTTCACACATCTCCTGTGTTCCTATTTGCTGGAAGAATGGCAGCGATGTTCATAAACAACCAACGATCTCTGCCAATTTGGAGAGGGTTGGGAGCAGGCCGATGTTGCAACCCAACTATTTATCGCAGCCTGTGGGAGCTTGTGACCAAGGACTTGTAAACAGGAGTGTTTGCAAGGGTGTTTTGTGGGAAAGGGCTGGAGCGCTGCCTCATAGTGTATGTAGGACCAAGAGACATGGACGGCAAGGGAGCTGCCGCCGTGACCTGCAACACCTGTGCCATGTTTGTATTCCTGTCTCAGAATATGAAAAACTACACATGCAGCAAGTGCAAGCTGGTTGCCTTGCTGGAAGAGAAAGTACAGCAACGTGATGCCCACCTATCCACTTTCGAGATACCAGGCAAGATGAGAAATTTCTCGATACAGCAGAGTGGATTGTCCTGAGACAGTGATGCAGGTTGGGGAGGAAGAAGATCACCCACTGCAGGAGTCAAACCCCTGGAAGAACATGACAAACAGGGGCAGGGCCCTAACTGAGAGGTGGTGCAAGGGCTGTAATAGGAAAAAGCTAACCTGTACCATTCTGTTGTCAGGGAACAGGAGCAAGATTCCTCTTAATTGAGTGATGAAGGTGAGGACTCCAACCCTGACAGGTATGCAGGGCACCGCATACCCAATGAACCTACAGAGTAGCACCCCCAACCTGAGGGTGTGGCACTGCCATCCTCACATTTGGAGGGCTCTCCTGCAGAAGGCCTGAGCCTCCCCCACTCCACAGCTGTATATAAGGCCTAGGCCCCTTTAGGCAAAGAAGCATCTTGTAACCGTAAGTGGTACTATTTGTTTAATTCATTAGATTTCTATACCGTCCTTTCTCATAAAGTTGCACCTGGTGCTACTGCTACAAAAGCACTCAGTTTCTGTTTATTCCTTGCTGGATCAACTTCCATGTTCCCCAGAGCAAAGCTTCACATCTAGCCTTGAACCTCTCCTTGCCCTATACCCTGGTTGAGCCTGGCCCTATACCCTGGTTGAGCCAGAGGATATCCATGGGAGAAGGGGTGGCATAAGAATGCCAGTTTTGCTGTGGCTGGGTAGAGAATCTTTCCCTCACCACTGAATACCCAGGACTACCTCCCCTCTCGATTTAGGAGTTCCAAATCAGGAAATGGTAGATGAGTAACTCCCAGCATCTCTTATATAGGACAGTGACAGGCAGAGCAGCTGAGAAGTTAGGCCAAGTGAAATTAGAAACCTTTGTAAAAAGGGTTCTGGTTAAGTAAGGTTATTCCCATAGAACACACTGAGCCAAGTGTGTCAAAGCAAGTTGCTGCCAGCACACGGCTTCTTCTAGCATTACTGGGTAACTGTCACTTGGTTGAACCTTCTGAGAAATTTTAATATGAAATCAAGAGGGACAGGCAATGGCTGGCACTTTCTAATAACATGGGTGAAACATTAAGTTCTTGCAGTCTTTGCAGCAATGCACTGACCTGAGCACATCTGCACCATGCATTGAAAGCACTCTTATACCACTTCAACAGTTATGGCTGATCCCCGTCCCACAGTACCATGAGAACTGCAGTTTTTTAAAGGGTGCTGGCAACTGTAGCTCTGTAAGGGATAAACTGCAGTTCCCATAATTTGCTGGGGAAAGCCATGGCTGCTAAAGTGGCATAAATGTGCTTTAAATGCATGGTGTGCATGTGATCTTGGGTCTTAAATTAACTTAATGCAAGCAAAGTTTATCATCTCTTCCACTTCCTACATACTCTGTGAGATGAGGTATGGGAGGATGCTGCCGGGGGGGGGGGCAGAATCACCCCAAACTGGATTGATTGACAATTCTCTCCCTCTTCCAGCAGCCCCCTGATCCCCATCCCATATTTTTTAGCCCTTCACCCTCCAGAGATTTGGGAGGTGCAGAGGGAGTATGAAGGTGATTGCAGTGGGAGGAGAGGATGGGAAATCATAGAACTGTAGAGTTGGAAGGGATCCTGAGTGCCATCTAGTCCAACCCCCTGCAATGCAGGAATCACAACTAAAGCATCAATGACAGATGGCCATCCAACCTCTGCTTAAAATGTTATTTCTGTGAACTTTCTTATCTTAGGATCCAAGCCAATAATGCTAGAAATTGATTAACTAAGATTTATGTTAGAATAAATGGTGCCTGAAATCATTAATCATGTGTATAAAGTTAATTGTTGTAGAACCTGAAGGACTTTATCCCTAGGTGAGGAGGGTAGAACATGTCCTCCTATGATCTGCCTGACTCAATCCCTGCTCTCTTTTAGATGAGCAAGATCTTACCATGCTTAATATTGTTCTTACTATGTTTCCATGCTACGTATGCCTTGGTTCTTAGAATTTTTAAAAAAGATTTTTTTCATTTTGAATTTAAATCTGTGAGCTCATGCACTAGTTTAGCTTAGTGCAGAGAATATCACACAAGCAGAGATATTAACTATGGTTGTATATTTGGCTCCCTTGGACTGCAATCCTACCCTGTACTCACTCACCTTGAAGTAAGCCCCATCAAATTCAGTAGACATGTGCAGGGCTGCACTGTTAACTACAGTATATAACTTGAAAGAGTGGAAGGTCTTTCTCAATGGCAGCTGGTGTGATGAAATCTGCTTACGCAGATGAAAGTTTTATTTTCACATGCCCAAGGGATTGAACAGGTATTCTGGTGACTTTAAGGAACTATTGTGAAAAGAACCAGATATCCACCAGAATGTTGGAGTTTCAGAGCTGAGAAGCTCCTATCTCTTGCGCTTAATTGCCTCACAGCCCTGATGAAGGCACACCAAACAGGGCCTTGGGGGGATATTTTATTGTGATTTGCAAGCAACTGTGGATTTGATCAGTGTTGGGGTGGATTTGCATTTCTTTCTTGCACTTGAGGGGAGGAAAAGGGTCAAATTAAAAGATAATAAAGGTTTGCAGTATTATGTTCTATCTTGGCATGTTCATAGAATACTCCTACTTTTAAACATAGTAAAAAAAAAAAAAAAGTTAAGCCACTGTAGGATACCAAAACTATAATGAGGAGCCATGGACTATGAATTTGACAAGTAGTGTCATCATAGGCCAATGAGAACTGGGCACATCATGTAGCAGAAGAAACTATTGCAGGTGTTGTTTGTTAAGGAAAGGTGGATTTTGATCATGCTACATATGTTATTTGGCTTTACCAGCTGGATAGCATTGGTCACCAGTTGAATTAAGTACTTATAACACAGTGTTCTATATTCAGTTGCATATCTTCAGTTGCATAGACTTCGTGTGTCTATTGCAGTGTACGGACAATCTGGGACTTAGGTCCACCACACTGCCACTGACAGCCATCCAACTCCAATGCAGCAGTGAAGCTAGAACTAACCAAAGAGTAGGCCATCATATCAATATTGCCTAAAGAACATGTATGTTAAATGTATGACCCTTAGCAGTTGTAATTTCCCAGCATGCTGGAGCTTCAGCAAACATCTCATCTCTCCCTCCCACTGTCCTTTCATGTTCCTCACACACAGCTGTTTGCCAACACACCCTCTCTGTCACTCACTCTCACACCACTAAACTTCCCTTTCAACTCTCCTTCCACTTAACCTTCTCTCAGAACAGGTTCATATTGAACATGTGTGATGAACACCCTTCTGAAATCCCATTGACTAACACTGGCCACATAAATGCCTTTAAAAAGAAAAACAAACCAAAACTGCAATCATGTTATACAATTCATGAGTAAAGGCACATGCTTGTTGTGTTTGACCCAACACGGCAAATCATTTCCCAAAAGATGCTGAACAAATGGAGAAATCTTTTCCTAAAAATCATCCTAGTAAAACCCATGGAAGGAAAATGCACGCCATCTTTCAGCTTGTCAAACATTTAATTCATTTAAAAGAAGGCCTTTATTATTTCTACCCTAGAGCTGGCATGGACCATCCTCAAATCGACATCTCTTACACAGCCAAGTTTCAGATCAGTCTGTTGAACTATTTTCTGACTAAAAGCTGTAGAATCACCTCCTCTCATTTTCTCTTTATAATGATGGAATGTGATTCAGTTGACTCATCCCTAATTAATATGGGGCTGCAACAGTGGCCCTATAATAACTGCTAATCCTTTCCCCTGAATGTTGTATAGGGTCCCTGAAGTATAAAATGAAGCCCATCCTTCCATTCCCCATACCCCAGGAATGTGCTTTTGCTATTATTTCTACAAGTGAGTCAAAAACCAGCAAAGTCTGGGAAATTTAGTCACTAGAGGACTGTAGGTCACAGCCTCTCTGTACATCCAGCATCTGATAAGTGGAAAGGGAAAATATATATACTTCTTCCTTGTTAAACAGGTGACTCAACCTAGAAGCAAATTGACTCTTTTTCACAATTACCATGATTTATAGCAGTGCAAAATTATAGGTTAGGTTTATTCTGAAGGGTGGATTGTTTCAAAACCATTCACAATGATGACACTAATCCATCTTTACCTGCTCAACAATAAATGGTCACATGAGACAATGTTATATGAAGACTCGTGTTCAGCTGCACAATGTGCTTTCAAGGAAACATGAACTCCTGCTGGGAAATTAATGAGTCTCCACTCAATAGCACCCTTTGATTCTGGCTGTGTGTTAGTAAAACCTCATTTCCTTGTTTTGTAAAATCTTTGTAATAAATCCAGCTGTGATTTTGGCCTGCTTTGTGTATGATGGTTAGTTTTACCAAAGAAGTTTGTTTTAAAAAAAGGAATTCGTTCCAGTTCCGGTTCACCCCTCTGCAAAAGGCACCTAATTCCATTCCAGTTCAATTCACAACCCAGTCCTCAGCAATTTTTTGTTCCAGCCTTCAGAATTTTACAAGCTGCTCTGCTAAAGTATAAACTATACTTAAGAAGACCAAAAAAAATCAAAACCCGTGCACACAGAATGTGGCCAATTGTTTCATTTATTTCCCCCAACTATGATTTTTAAACCTAAATGGCAGCATGATGGCCTTAGCCCCCCCTTCCATACTTGAAATGGCAATGTGTATTACAACTTCACTTACTTCAAAATGGGGGCAGCCAGCTCTGCTGCACTTTGGAGGTCCTCCTGCTCATGATGGCGCTGAATGGGGCCCTGGACCTTTGCCACAAAGACTTTGCTTGACAGCACAACTGCCATGATGTTCTTCTTCCTGGGAAGAAGAGGGTGCAGACTGTTAGTGGATGTATGTCTCACAGACTTCATAGCAGAGGCAAGGAGGGTGTGTGCCTTCCTTCTGCTCTGCAGTCCCAGGGCATCCCTTAGACCTGGGACAGCCAATGTGGTGCCCTTCAGATGTTGCTGCCAGCGCCTCTAGCCCATTGGCTGTGTTGGCTGGGGCTGATGATGGAAGTCGGGAATCCAGCAACATCTGGAGTGCATCACATTGATTGCCGCTTGCCTTAGCCTTAAACAGATGCATTTCTGCAGAGGCCAGAATGTAAAGAAATTGAGTTAAAGGCTGACCTAGCAATTCAGTCTCATATAGTCAGGGCTCCAAGATTTAGTATTACAAGGAAACATAAGTGGGTTTTGGGGTGCTCCAGGTGTGAAGCACCCCTTAATGATTTCCTCCACAATGTTGTATTTAAGGTGTCCAACACCTTAAAGGGGGGGGCGCATAGGAGGCATATATGTTCTCCATATATGAACATTAGAATTGCCCTGCTGGTTCAAACAGAAGGCCCATCTGAGAGCCAGCGTGGTGTCGTGGTTAGTGTGTCCGACAAAGAACTGGGAGACCAGAGTTCAAATCCACACTCAGCCATGAAGCTCACAGGGGAATCTTGGCCCAGTCACTGCCTCCCAGCCTAACCTACCTCAAAGGGTTGTTCTGAGGAGTAAAACAGGGGGAGTGGGGGGTGGGGAGTAGAAAACGATGGACGCCACCTTGAGCTTGCAGGAAAAGTGGGGTGCGAATGTGAAAGCAAATAAATAAAAATAATCTACTGCAGCATGCTTGTTCTCACAGTGGGCAACCATCCGCCCCGACTGGAAGCCCACAAAAGGCGAACGGCCACAAGAACAAAACCACCATATTCTAGGAAATTTGGCCAGGGAATTCGACTTTAAACGGGACTTTAAGCGCGCTGAAAGGGCTCAGGTGTACCTTGGCGCTGCTAGAGGAGCTGAGGCGCGCCCGGTGGGAGCGGAATGCCAAGGGCCTGGACAGAGGGAAGGAAGCCTGCACCCGGCGGGAAAGGAGCGCGCGCGGCCGGGGGAGCTGACCCCCCTGGCGCCAGGGGAGGGGTTACAGCGCGGCCCTTCACCGGCCTGAAGGGTCCGTCTGTTGGACAGGCGGGCGAAGGAGCCGCCCCTTCCCAGCAGGCGGGCTCTGCGGGGCAGGGAGGGGAGAGGCTGAGATGGGACTCTGGCCGGCCCCGCACACCGCCGAGCGCCCGCGCCATGGCTCGCAACTTCGAGCTCCTCTTTGACTCCCTGGGACACTTCGGCAGGTAACAGGCTGGAGCGCCGAGGGCGAGGCAGCAGCGGCAGAGGAGGAGTGGGGTTGGAGAGTTGGAGGCGCTGTGGGTCTCCGGTCTGGCCCTCCGCTCCCCGGGCAGGGGCGGGGGTGGGGATTGGCGAGGCGCGGGAGAAGCGGAGAGCTTCTTTGACTCGGGCGCCCGCCAGGGGTACGGGAGGGAGACACGTGTCCACCGCGGGGGAGCGAAGGTTGGCCACTTCCAGTGAAGGTTTGTTGCTAGTTTTGACTCTCGCCCTCCCTCCAAAAAGCGGGAAGCAGAGAGCGCGCTTCTCTTCTCCCGCTCGCGGCTTACCCTCGCACAACAACCTCGCGAAGTAGGCTAGGCTGAGAGATGGTGGCTGTCCCCAAGGTCACCCAGTGAGCTTCAGGAATGAATGGGGATTTGAACCCCGGTGTCTTCCCAGCTCAATTCACTACAGCACGTTAATGCAGCGTTTGGGGGCTTGGAGGCTAATAAAAGCCCCTGTTTTAAAATACCGGTGTAGGAACCCTTAAGGGAGTATATGTACTATACTCTGTGAAAGCTCTTTTGGACAAACGACTAAAAAGAGGAAGTTCCCTAAATTACGGAAATTTCCCCCTTTATCCCACAGGTCTGGTAGTGGTTATTTTGCACGTGCTCCAAAAAAACTTCCTGTCATTTATGTGGCATGAGCTCTGTGGGTAGGGTCCAAGTGAGCCTTGGCTCCCATTCCCACATGGGGATGGAATATGCTGTTTGAAGGGGGTTGTGGAGGTTTTCTTCCTGCCCTGTGTATGCAAAACACATTGGGAGCTGCTTATTGCAGGGGTGTGTGTAAGGAGGGGCTTGGCAAACCTGTGTCTTGGGGTTCTTTGAGTATGCTCTCACCTCTAGGAAATTATCTCTACACTTAGGCAGGAAGAACCAGCTGCACAAATGTAAGATGGGGGGCACCTGGCTTGCCAGCTGTTAGCATCTGTCTGTCTGAAGAGACAATGGAGTGCGCCTCTGGGGGTGAAGTCAAACCGCTGGAGAATCCACAGGGCCCACAGTGACTGCACAGACTGGTAACTGCTACCTCCCACATTGTTTTGGCTGTTTTAGCAGTACCAAAGTAAACTCACTCGGGCACAAGCCTGGGCAGTGTGTATAGAGGTCCTGAGCTGCCCAGATGACAGTCATTACTCTCTGCCTCGCTGATGTGGTCCAAAGGAAAGCAGAGCAAACCATTTGGCGCCAGCTTGGCTGCAGGAGGAGTACAAGGCCCAATCCAACCATCTTAGGGACACCACTCCAAATTTGTGTAGGGTTTACTTCTTAGCCTTTTCTTCTCCTGAATATGTCCCGCAGGGCAGCTTGCCAGTAGTACACGTGAAAAGGATCTTGGTGTCTTAGTAGACCACAAGCTTAACATGAGTCAACAGTGTGATGCAGCAGCAAAAAACAATCAAAAACCCCTAATGCTATTCTAGGCTACATCAACAGATGTATAGTGTTCTGATCAAGGGACCTAACAGTCCTGTTCTATTCTGCTTTAGTCAGACCACACCTGGAGTACTGTGTCCAGTTCTGGGCGGTACAATTTAAGGATATTGACAAGCTAGAACATGTGCAGAGGACGACCAATATGACAAAAGATTATGAGGAATTGTTGAGGGTGTTGAGTATGTTTAGCCTGGAAAAGAGGAGATCTGATAGCCATTGTCAAATATTTAAAGGGTTGTCAGATGGAGGATGGAACAAGCTTGTTTTCCCCTGCTCCAGAGGCTAGGATCTGAACCAATGGCTTCTAATTACAAGAAAGGAGGTTCTGACTAAACATCAGGAGTAGCTTTCTGTCAGTAAGAGCTGTTTGACAGTGGAACAGTCTCCCACAAGATGTGGTGGACTCTCATTCCTTGGAGGTCTTTAAGCAGAGCTTCAGTAGCCACCTGTCATGTATATTTTAGATGAGATTCCTGCATTGGATTCTATGTTTCTTTGCACCTGTGGGTTCAGTTCCTATTAAGTTTCTTTCTCTCTCTACAGAGTTTTTGCTTTTAGAGAGAGAAATCTGATGTACAGCCTTCTTGGTAGTTTATTTATTAAGCACATATTGTTGTAGTCTGGCCAGCTTAGTCACTGTGAATGAGTAATACAGGGTTTTATTAAAAAAGAATGTTGATTTTTCCTGAATGGGCAGTCTAACATTGAGGAATAGGACTCAGCAGGGAGGGGTGTGTGAGAGAGCCCGTATTTTGGAGTTAATGGGCACATTAGTGGCTTGAAACAAAATGAGATTGCTTCCCCCTTGCTATTATAAACAGCAGAGGGGATTGGGATGTCTGTGCATTTATCTGTTTGGTTTCCCTACCCCTGCATGCACACGCAGCTCCTATTCATGAAGCTGTCATCTGTGCATGCACAATGGATCTCTCAAATGAACAGTTTTTCTTTTGGATTGTAGCTGGTTTGAGGTAAAATGCATCAAATGGCAGTATTTCGCAAGGAGCTACAGGAGCGCTTTGTATAGTGTGCGAAGTGTATCGGGATTAAAAAACCAGTGGTGGCTGTGCGCTAGATCCAGATTAAGCAGTGATATGTAAACAGCAAGAGACAGGGAGTTAGTGTAAACTAGGTGCAGCATTGGGAGGGGGATATCTGAATATCTGCTGCCTGTTGTTCTTACTTCCAGTAGGGTTTATCTCAAACTAAGCCAGCAAGTAAATAAATAAATATTATCCAAAGGAAACAAGATCTTGTAACACTGCATCTGGAATTTCACTTCTCAAAGCACCTTCTCCCTTGTGTGTAGAGGTGTAGGGGTACTCTGTTCTCCTGCCCTCAGCACAGGTATGATAAATTATAATAATAATTTATTATTTATAAGCTGTCCATCTGACTGGGTTACCCCAGCCACTCTGGGAGGCTTCCAGAGCATGTGTTGTCCATGTCAGATTTGATATTTCACTGGATTATACAGTGACCTCATCGTGCTAAGCCAAACCTTGGCTCTTGGTTAGTCTGGAGAGAGCTTAACCATGAGCCCATGTTCTGATTGCATGCTAAGCCAAACCTTGGCTTACTACAGTGCAGCACAACAGCAAAAAAGATATGGGAGAAGCAAAACGGTTCTGAGTTCCTCGTTGGGAGCCTGCATCCCACCACAGATAACTGCATAAAGCTTCTACATAGATGCTGTTATTATGAGTATGTATGGATCTGGCTTATAGTGAGACAGACCATTGGTCTGTCTAACCCAGAGGTGTCTGATGAGTAGTGGCTTTCCAACATTATTATTATTTATTGAATTCATATACTGCCCTATGCCCGCAATATCTCACACCGGTGTTGCTTCTGGATACCTTTTAACCTGTAGATGCCAGTGATTGATCTTAGGGTGTTCTATATGCAAAGGATGTGCTATACCAACAAGCTATGGCTCCTCTTCCAATAATTTGAAACAGACTCCTGAAAGCAGGAAAGTCCAGGAAATGCAGACATTGAACCATACGCATGTAGGCCCTCCTACACTCACCTTCAGTTTGCATTCTGTGTGTATGTGCATATATCACGCACACATATCCAAAACCAGAATCACTGGGTGGATCTACACACAGGAAAAAAGCTATAAATAAGTCATAAATTAAATCGTAACAAAAGTAAAAAAAACCAACACTATGTAAAATCGCATAGAAAAGTTTTGTGCTCTACAGCTCCATCTGGCGTTGCATGTTTATAACACAATTAAAACTCTGTTTTTTGACTAATGTAGCTGAGTCCACAGTTTTATCACAGAATGACATGTTAACACATAACTACAAGGATGGTTCAAGCTGAGTTCAAGTTGAGTACAGAGTTTGAGGGCTCGAACAGGTCCTGAAGCAGCATTCTTAAGAACTACTGCTTATAGAAACTGTGACTGCTTTATAGCTGCTTTGAGTATGTTTTTTATGCATCTTCAGTCATTTGCTTTTTCGGGTTAGTAAGTATCTTTGACCCTTCATAGGCAATCAAATGTTTGCTAACAAGGCACTTTGTACCCCTCTTGGAACGTTAAGCTTGTTGCTTCTAAGATTTACCTGTTAAAACTATGAAGCTAAAATCTGCAATTCTCCCCACCCCATTCTTGTTTACTGAAGAGCATAAATCTTCATGAGTGTTACTCCGATAGCAGAGTTTTATATAAGGTTCTGAATTTCATATAACCAGCTGCTCCAGGAGCAGAAGGGAACCCTTGCTTCACCAAGCCACTTGCTATGTTGGTTATCCTCACCAGCAAATGATGAACCAATGAATATTTTGCTATTAATATAACTTTTTTAAAAGTTAACAATACGCTAACAATATGTTATTTCCTTTTTAGGATCGTTAGAGTAGGTAGGAGATTAAAAGGGTATTATTTACACAACTTTCTGCTTTCAACCTGCTTTTCCTTGAAAATGGCCTGGGAATTTGTCAATATATTCCATTTAAGTCATCACCTATTTATTTTCTGCAGTGGTGGAAGTTGTGCTTTGTATAGTATACATGGAAAATCAAGTACAGTATAGTAAATTATAATAATAAAGAGGAAGGCTTAATATACGTCAGTGTGAGCTTTTTTCTCTCTACAAGTAACTGGGCAAATACAGTAATTGGCCAATTATGCATGTGTAATTGGCATTTAATTGGAGCTTATCTCTAGATTGGAGTCCGCTGATGAATAACAAGACAGTTATTGAAATGAATTCTTGACAGGGCATTCAAGGGCTAATGCTGAACACTAGAGCCATTATAAGAGAGAAACGTTTGTATAGCCTGGAAAAACACATGGGGACTGCTTGTCCAAAACCTGCTGTTTGTCCGTTCTGTTGTTCTTCCCCTCCACTGATACTTCTGCTGCCACTTCACCCCTTTTCTGTGCCCCAATGGTCTGCTTTGGGTGCCTCCATCCTAGCCCAACACCTGAAGCGACAATACAGCAGTGTGCTCATGGCCACTATTGCCTTGCACTGCGTTTTATTACAACCAACACCGTGACAACTTCTTGGCTAAAAGGTCAAGAGCACAGTGCAACATTATGTTGTAGTAAGTACATAAAGCCTGGAGGGAACTGGTGATTTGATGCACATTACCAGTGTGGGTTACATATTATTCATTTGCTTGACTATGAACTAATGGACAACCTGTGGGCCGCCATATGGTGTTGATCTACAACTTCCATAAGCCAATGGCCAGAGAAGATTGGAGCTATTGTTGGCATCCATCTGTCTCAAGAGACAATGGAGTGCACCTCTGGGGGTGGAGTCAAACCACTGCATAAGCAGCACCAAAGCAGGAGTGCCAATTGGAATAAAATATTGGGGAGCTGAGCATAGGGTGGGGACCAAAGATGGACAAATTATCCCAGAAGGAGCATGATGTGCTCCCACCAAAGGTGCTGCCCCTCCTCTGGTGCCCCATACACCCCATATGGAGCTACAGTCCAGCAATATCTGGAGCCTCACAGGTTTCCCATACCTGCTGTTGACTTTTATTTGCTGGACTGTAGGTTTCTAGAAACTCTTTCCCCTGTGGACATCCTCCTTTCTGTTTGCAATAGAAACACCAGGGGTAAAAAGCAGCAAAATGGTGAAAATGGAAAATGGTATGAAAGTAAAGATGGGTGAAAGCACAACATTCCTTCAACACCATGCCCTCAGCCCTACTGCTGTAGTTAGGTTTAAAAAGAGGAGAACACCAAGCAGGGAATTCAAAGATGTGATTAATTTCACCTCTAGTTCCAAGTAACTATCTTGGTGGTTTCTTGTACCTTTCTTAGAAAAAGGCGTATAAATTAAATCTCTGCACGTTTTTCTTTTAGTTGCAGGAGGGCACGCCTTGCTTATAAGCCAAAGAAGACAGCCTTGGGACTCACACAGTTGTTTATAATTCCATGGGTGGGCAACTGCTTGAATTATTAAAATATTTTGTTCGATGCGCAAGTGAAGTCTTGTCTCAGTAATGCTGCAAAGTGCACCTGTATCATAATACAAAAGCACCACAATGCCTTCGGCAAATTCTGTTCTGTGACTGACTTGTAAATAATCCAGACGTTATGTGCAGAATTTTTATCAGTTCCAGCAAACCCTGAGGAGCAGTCTGTTAAAAGCAAGAAAACCTGAATGCATGTAGAGATGTTGTTCACGGTATATTAACGTATCCTGTTAACTGTCTTAAGTTGCTCTAGGGTTCAGTGTGTTCTAGATTTCACTGGTATTTGAGAAGCCCTACAACCTGTGGAGAAAAGAAGAACTCAAGTGCAAATACAGAAATAGGCCTAATATAGACAATATTCAGACAATTATATGGTATTGTAGATGTCTCAATTATAGTGTGTAATTAGCAGAGACTTAGGGTGATATCCAACAAAGTCACAGAGCAGAGCCTCTGAAATTAATTGACTTAGGTTCTGTAACTCCATGGTCTCAGTGGGTCCGTTTCGAATATGCCCAATGTTGGATATCATCCTTTGGGTTTTGCTTGGCATTACCACAACATATTATTTTATTGAACACTGGTATTGCTTCATAACTTGCATAAATAGACAAACCAATGAACTAAATTCCATCAAACATGCATCATAATTGATGGATGGAAGTACTATGCTGAAGAGCATTTGAAGATTAGAAATTAACAAAAATAAAGCCTATCCAGTAATGAGATACAAGAATGTAATTTGCTCCTCTGTACCTGTTTGTTATTAAATGGTTGTGTATGTGTTTTAAGGATTTAAGGAAGGGAAAGGCAGAACTAGGTTTTAATGGACAGAAGCAGATGGTTCTTGTTTGGGAAAAGTCTCACCAGGACATTTAAAAGAGGGATACGAAGGGCTAACTGAACATACGAGGAACTAATCTATGTATGTAAGGTGCCCCCGTGTGCTTTTTTTCTTTTTTTAAAGGAAGAGCAGCGCTGGTAATGCAGGAAGCTGGAGGGGGAGAAGGAGTGGGGTTGCTTCCTTCACCCTATATGTCAACCTGCAATGGCTTTGCTCTAAATCTGAACCTCCGTCCGCTTAACCCAAACATTTTTTCCCCTTCTGTGGGGTTCATAATGTATTTATGAGGTCAAGAGGCATGTTCAGTGCTGACAGATTCATTGTAATTATAGCAGGTGGCCTCTGTTCAAGTGACTGCCTAAGGCTTTATTTGCGACCCAGGGAATCCTTATGGGTTTATACCAAAAATGAAAAATACAGGTAACAAAAAGGGACAATTAGGCCTTGACTGTCTGGTCTGTTATGACATATTTATAGGATATCTGACATGCTTTTACTAAGCTTAGTTTCAGTGTTTGCCTACACAGACACTCGTGTGCTCACACATACGTACCCAAAAAGGGACCATCCATACACAAGGGGGTGATATTGACAGACCCAGGATAACCCCAAGGTTTGCAGAGGTAAAAAAATACCTCTAAGCTACAGGAAGTCCCACAAAATAATCCAAAATGCTTGGCCACAGAATGCTGACTGACACAAGAGAGGGGGAAATCTGAAAATGGGATGGGAGTGGAATGAAGTGACTGGTAAAGGAGGATGGAGGAAGGGAGATTTTGATATTTTAAAACGGTAGCTACAAAAAGGAAAAAGAAAAATTTTGTATTTGGATAAGCTGTTTTTAAGTATACTCAAGGATGGAAGTGAGAGCTGCCCATAGGAATCGGTGCAGAAATGCAGTATTTTTCATGTACAGTGGTACCTCGGGTTACATACGCTTCAGGTTACATACGCTTCAGGTTACATACTCCACTAACCCAGAAATAGTGCTTCAGGTTAAGAACTTTGCTTCAGGATGAGAACAGAAATTGTGCTCTGGCGGCGCAGCGGCAGCAGGAGGCCCCATTAGCTAAAGTGGTTCTTCAGGTTAAGAACAGTTTCAGGTTAAGTACGGACCTCGGGAACGAATTAAGTACTTAACCCGAGGTACCACTGTAGCTGGAATTGAGTACAAATGTGTCCAACCCCACTGTAAAACACCAGAATGGAGTGGAGTGTACCCAAAACAGCCCAGTGAGGCTTGAGCATGCTCAGTGGGCACAGCATTCATTATGTACTTTGAAGAGATTACGTAAGGCACTTAATTCCCAGTGAAATGTGTGCCTTTTAGTGCATTTTAAGCTCTTACTTGCTGTGTTTGGCCTCAGAAAATGTACTTATAAATGAGAAGCAACATAATGGAGTTTGTTGACTTTTACTTTTGTTTTTTTGCTTTGCACAAAGTCCACACTATTCTATGACTTTCTTGGCTTCATGTATTTTGAGGATTAATTTATTCATGTGGTATAGGAGCCAGCTCAGTGCTGGGGAACCATTTTTTTAAAGCTTTCCTTTCTGGGCAACCTTCTGGGAGCCACATGATGGAAGTGAATGGGGTCAGAGGCAAAGGGGTCAGAGTGACGAATGCACATTTCACCTTTGTTTCAGTAGGCTAGTTTCTATATGCACTCACACACCCCTCTCTATCCTCCACCCAGGGAAGCCAAAGGCGTGATCAGGGCTCAAGGACACATTCCAGCCAGGCAAAAACACTCAAGGAGGGTGTGGGGCAGGACGGGAGATGGGGTGTAGCCTAGACAGAGTTCTGATGGCCAAACAGGGAGACTGGGAGGGTTGCATTCAGTTCCTGAGCCAAAGTTTGCCCACTCCTGTCCTAACGGGATGGTAAATACTAGAGCACCACAGATCCATTCCACAAATGATTGCTCTGCACAGTCATCTCAAATAGGTTTGTTGTTGACACACTTCTTTACAAGTTTCTGAAAGCACCTCAGGAGGGGACTGGAATTGTCCTTCCATGACATCCAGTAGTGCACAAAGCAGCAAGTGTTGTGGAAAGTTTGGGCTGTGTAGCCTTGCAAACTTTCCATACATTTCTGGCAGTTCTGTAACCCAAAAAAAGAAATGTCCAGCTATTTATACTTGGTTGTTGGCTTGTGGAAAGAAGTGCCTTCTTCTTAAAGTTGTTGAACACAGTAAGTATCACTGGTGGCATTATTACTGGGACTCTCCTCCCCCTGAACACACCCCTCAGATGCGTGCCGCCCAACAGTTGCCTTTTTGTCTGTGAATAAGCAGTTTCCTAGTGAAGGTATTTGGAAGGACAGGAAAAGTACCAAAATAATTTTGGTGCCATAAATCCTGTGGGATGCTTTGAGGTTTCCAGATTAGAAGGGGAAATGCAACATCTTCCTATGGGATTTTTGCGCTTCTGCTTTTCTTGCCCCATATACTTTAGTCTGTAATGGTTTTATTGATCGAAAGGCATTTTTATTGGGGTTGTTTTGCTGTTATTTCTGAAATATGTTCAATAACCTGTTGTTCATTTATTTTGGGAGATCCAGCCACAGGCTTAGAGCCTAAGATAAGCTAACTTGAGGAAGGTCATGGAAGGAAAGTTTCCTGTTTCCCACCCCCATCTCATAAAGCCTCTCTGGAGAGTTTGAGGCCTCCAGAATACAGTGGTGCCCCGCAAGACGAACGCCTCGCAAGACGGAAAACCCGCTAGACGAAAGGGTTTTCCGTTTTGGAGGCGCTTCGCAAAACGAATTTCCCTATGGGCTTGCTTCGCAAGACGAAAGCCCATAGGGAATCTCCGGGGACCTCTTTTAAATGCTAGCGGTGGGGAGCAAAGCCTTCCCCCGGCCTTCAGAAGAGGTCCAGGAAGGCTGGCGGGGGCCGAAAGGCTTTGCTCCCCACCGCCAGCATTTTAAAAGCAGTCCGGGATAGCAGGGAAGCGCTTCCCGCTATCCCGGACGGCTTTTGAAGGCAGGAGAGGTCCGCGAAGCCTGGGCGCGCTGATCTCAGCGCGCGCAGGCTTCGGCATGCCGGCAACTCTCCGCAAGCAGCGGCAGCGCTGCCGCTGCTCGCGGAGAGGTCCGCGGAGCCTGGGCGCGCTGATCTCAGCGCGCGCAGGCTCGGCATGCCGGCAACTCTCCGCAAGCAGCGGCAGCGCTGCCGCTGCTCGCGGAGAGGTCCGCGAAGCCTGGGCGCGCTGATCTCAGCGCGCGCAGGCCTCGGCATGCCGGCAACTCTCCGCAAGCAGCGGCAGCGCTGCCGCTGCTCGCGGAGAGGTCCGCGAAGCCTGGGCGCGCTGATCTCAGCGCGCGCAGGCTTCGGCATGCCGGCAACTCTCCGCAAGCAGCGGCAGCGCTGCCGCTGCTCGCGGAGAGGTCCGCGAAGCCTGGGCGCGCTGATCTCAGCGCGCGCAGGCTTCGGCATGCCGGCAACTCTCCGCAAGCAGCGGCAGTGCTGCCGCTGCTTGCGGAGAGGTCCGCGAGCCTTGGCTGGACAGCTTTTGAAGGCAGGTGGGGGGACAAGACTTCGCCCCCGCCAGCCTTCAGAAGAGGTCCAGGACCTCTTCTGAAGGCTGGCGGGGGCAAAGTCTTTGTCCCCCTGCCTGCCTTCCCAGGGGCTTTAAATTGCCCCGGACAGCGGAGAAGTCCTCCGCTGTCCCGGGGCAATTTTAAATGCCGCCCGCCAGCATTTTAAGATCGCCCGGACAGCGGAGAAGCCCTCCGCTGTCCCGGGGTTTTAAAATGCTGGGGTGGGTGGGAAGAAAAGCCCTTGTCCCCCCCCCCAGCCTTCAGAAGAGGTCGGGGGACAGACTGTCCCCGGACCTGGTCTGAAGTCGGTTTCCCTAGGAACGCATTAATTGATTTTCAATGCATTCCTATGGGAAACCGTGCATCGCAAGACGAAAAACTCGCAAGAAGAAAAAACTTGCGGAACGAATTAATTTCGTCTTGCGAGGCACCACTGTAATGTGGGATGAGGTTGCTTCTGGGAGGCCCCATAGGCACTGTGGCTAACTTCTGGATTTGAAGATAGGCCAGAAGGGTCTTTCCTGTTCCTACCACTCCTCCAGCCATTGCTTCTCTGCATCTTTGTTTCAGCTGTGACACTGGGTGGCAGTGATAAATGAAGATTTCCCTCAGATTTTCCTTCACATACAATTTCTTCAGTACATTTCGTTCAGAGCCCTGCTCCAGCTCGGGTCCTGTGTGCTTCTGGTTTCCATAAGTCGAGTTTCTCTCGACTTCCCTTTGGGAAGTGTTGCAATAAATGGGCGTGAAGCCAGTTTTGGAATACCTTTGTGTGGCTTTTGCCCAATGTTGGCGGTAATTTGGGTTTGTGAACAGAAGCTCTTCATCCTTTGCACTCACAGTAGGCCTGGTATGTTGAGGGTGTTGTGTACAAGACTTGCTGGGTTTGGGGAATAGGAAAATTACCTAGTTATTCATGCTAGTAAGTTATAAATGTTGAGATACCATACTGATATAAGGACTCTTGATGAAAGCAAATTTGTATTTATTTGTTTTGATGAGAGCTGTATGCATGATATATGGAAAATCAGTGGAATAAAACTTGCATAAGGAACTTTACGCATTACACCCCCCCAAAAAAAAAGATGAATATGGTTCTACAGGGCAGAAAATATAAGAAAAAAAATCAAGACCAACAGTTAGGAAAAATAATCAAAGTGGGAATAGATGTCTCTCAACAAAATAAATGCCTTCTTGTATAAAAGTATATACTCATCCAAGGTTGCCTAAGATGCATTTCAGTAAGCTTACTGTTTCTGACTAGTGAAAGAAATCTATAGGTAACAGAAAAAATAGTCATAACAATAATTAGACATGTCACAGTCAGTCAACAAACAATAGTAACTAAAGAGCTAGCACTGGAAATGCTCAGAAAAAGGTAATATAGTCTGTTAAAGAACAGCCTAAAGCAAAGGTGAGGTGCTGTTCCTTGAAACTGGGTTGTAACTCTGGACTCAGCTATACAGCTGCAAATAAAACATTTTAAGTGTGTTTTAAGTGCAATATACAATGTGACACTAGATGGTGATGGTGAGCCTTATGGAAAATTCAATGTATTTTTTTAAAAAAAGCTTTAAAAAAGCATTTTCAAAATGGGTTTTATATGTGTGTAGATTCCACCTCTTACCACAGTAAGTGTGTGCTGAATCCTTTATTCCATCTGTGGAGACCATTCTCAAGAAAGGGGAACTTCTTGGAGAGATGTTCCTTCCCTGCCTCAGATTGTGCAATTTCCGGGATTAAGGTTTTTTCCATGTTGACACCCCAGGTTGATTTTCATCCATTCCCACCCCTGACCTGTTGTTAATATAGAAACAGCAGCATGCCATTTTGAAATCCAAATATGCAAAAAGGACAAGATTTATTTATGGTCTATAAACTGGATTGGCTAAGATCGGTGTCATTTTTGCCAGTTGTCTCACTAAAGTGTAGATTTTAATCCTTCAACTGCAGATTGCAAAACACTTTGGACCCCGATCCTGTGTCTATGTTCCTTACACAAGACATACCAGATCCATGTGCATATTGTTTATCTTAAAAGAACTTTGTTTTCTTCTATCAATTCACTGGGACAAAGCTGGGTTTTTTAAACCATTTCTTTGAGTTTAAAAATGCGACACTTTTTATAACATCAGGATATAATTTCAAATGGTAAATATAATGATAATTATTTGTTTTCCTTTTCAGATATCAGGCATGGGTTTATTTTGCATCTGTTTTTCAATCTATTTCTTGTGGCATCCACTACTTAGCTTCTGTCTTCTTGGCTGTTACACCAAAGTTCATATGCAGTGTCCCTGGAAACGTGAGTAGTGTTCTGATTTATAATTCATCTAGTTCAAGAATAGAGGATGCCTGGGCACTCTGGACATCAGCACAACACTACATCTTGGTCCAGCTGGAAAATGGAGATGTCTGGGAACTTAATCAGTGCAGCAGGTCCAAACGAGAGGACATTTCAAATTTTACTTACGAATACAGTGGTAACAAGACGGATGTTCCATGCACTGATGGATTCATCTATGACCAGACCAAATGGCAGAGCACCATCGTGACAGAGTGGGATTTGGTCTGTCAGCGGGAATGGCTTGCAAAACTCACACAGCCCACATTCATGTTGGGAGTCCTTTTTGGAGCTGTGATCTTTGGAGATATTGCTGACAGGTACAGTAGTACTGAACTAGCTTGGTGACTTGGGTTCAAATCCCCATCCACCCAAAAAAAAGCCCTCCTGACACGGTTTGGTTTGTTAGACGCAACAGGAGAGCGCAGAAGGATGCCATCAAAATATATCATTCTAGATTTCTCAAGCAAGTTTCTGCTTGCAGTAGAAAGCACAGAGCTGAGAGATGTGGAATAAAATTCCTATTCAATCAAGTTAACAGTCAGAGGCTGAGCTTGAACAAGGCATGTTAACTGAGTATTTTCAAGAGGAAATGTAGGTGACTTGCAAGCTCATGCAATGTTGGTGTCCTGTTCTCTTTCCACCCTCTCTGATGCCCTAGTCAAAAGACAAGAAAAGAAGTTACTCAGCCAGAGACACATAGCTCCAGTGCATTTTTGGATCACTTTTATTAACTTGGGAGGGAGGCCCTGCTTATGTGTTATCCATGGAAATGTATTTTGAGCATAAAAAACAGAAAGGTAATCCTATTCATGCATACTCAGAATTGTAGCCTAAGGGAACCTAAGATGTAGGTGGAATGCAGCTGCCACGTAGGCTGGAGAAATTACAGTAACTCCACCACACACCTCAGTATCCTTGTTGAGGAAATGCAACACACAATATAATGCAGACATACTCCAGCCCCTTAGCATCACTGTAGGTGGACTTCAGATGGTCTACAGAATGTTGAGAATGGCAGCAAGCAATGAGGCTTGTATCATCATCATCATTTCCTTTGTACGCTGCCTTTCCCTAGTTAAAAGTATGTAGTCTGCCTGTGACCTCAGAACACTTAAGCCAAAGTCAAGCATTTAAAAAAATTTCTTAAACTTAAGTGGGACTTAAATTGAGCATTCTCTCCTGCTGAACTCAATAGGACATAGAAGTGTGTAGCTTTGGCTGGCTGGAGGTGTGTGTCTGTAGATTTTTTATTTTGCAAGGAAGGAATGTAGCCTACTGTGCAAAGGCAAGAGTCACATCTGTTGCTCCACCTACTTTTGCCTCTGGCCCCTGGAAGTTTGCTTATGACAGGATGTTGCCCTCATGCTCTATACAGTTACTCCATCCAAAGATAAAGTAATAGCAGCTGCCCTTTAAAAAGCCATTAGCTAAAATGCAAACTCTGAAAATGAGCTTTGAAGCTCATTTTGAGTTAATGAAATGAAGATAATTTTGTTTTTAAAAAGAGATTAATAAAAAACTATTACAGAAATATCAAGTATAAAAATCTAGTAAATAACAAGTGTAAAATCTGCAGTAAGCTATAAACTGCTAGGTACAGCATTTGTGAGGCTTCCTTCTTTCTCTCTTGTTCTGGTAATGCAAGCCCCAGAGTTAGAAATGTTTTTCTGATGCAGTTTTTGCAATATTTATTTTTATGCTTGTTTTCTTACTGCGTTCCACAGGATGGGGAGACGGCCCGTCATGTGGTTCACCAGCACTGGCCAATTTATATTTGGCATTGCAGTGGCGTTCACATTTGACTACACAAGCTTTGTGATTGTCCGTTTCCTGCTTGCAATGGTAAGAACCCAAGTTGATTTTTCCAACAAAATAATTTCCTTGACTGTTTCGAAGGCTCTTCATTATTAAACCTCCAAAAGCGTATTCTAGCTGCAGTCTCTAAACCAGTTAAGCCAGAGCACTTGGATTGATCTCAGTACGATTTCAGTGACACAAAATTGCTTCTATGGGCTTCTAAAGTTTCTCCAGGAGTTTGCCTGGCTGCCTCTGAGCATATTGCCTAACCTTGTTTTATATTGACTGCCCTTTAATATATGTAGGCCCAATTCAGCCAAAGCAAAGGACTTTGAAATATCATTCATTTAAGGTGGAAGCATTAAACATGTACCTCTCTCATTTGATCAACAGATCTTAAATACTGAATGTTTTCTTATTTATATATAGCTATATACCATATTTCTTTCAAAGAAGCAGGGAAGTGAACTTGGGTAATCTTATTTTTCCCCCTGCATAGCTTTGTTGAGGTAAGCTAGGCTGAGAAAGAGAATGATTGTCCCAAGACTGCTTAGGCCTCATCCACACATCCATTTGTTCCATGATTACTTCTGTTTGCCCCTTGATTTCTAGGCCTAGGTTTGAGAGGCTTTTCTTTTGTCCTGCCACTTTCCAATACAGCTGAATTGGAACAAACATCAATCCGCAGAAAACCTGATTGACATTTGTTCCGATTCAGCAGTAAAGCATGGGTTTTCCCAGGGAATGCGGTGGGACAAAAGAAAAATCTCTCGGACTCAGGCCTAGTAATCATGGGACAAACAGAAGTGTGGATGAGCCCATAGTAAGTTTTCCATTGCTGAGGGGAAATCTGAACCCAGATCACCCTGATCCAATTCACACTGGCTCCCTTTTTGGCTGGATTATAGCCTACATTTATATCCAATACCATTGCTTCGTTTGTTCTTGGATCACCGCTTTCCTCTTTATTGTAGATCGTGGACTTCTTGAAATTCTGAGCCTCTGCAGCATGACCATCTATTTTTAATTCCTGTTGTAGAGGGAGACTAGACTGAAGCCATTTTCTTTCTCTGTTTTTCCCCCACCTCCCAGGTTTCAAGTGGCTATCTGGTTGTAGTGTTTGTGTATGTGACTGAATATATTGGCATAAAGGCTCGCACGTGGGCATCCATGCACGTCCATGCGTTTTTTGCACTGGGGATTATGGTTGTGGCTCTGGTAGGCTACTTGGCCCCGACCTGGTGGGTCTACCAGATATGCCTTTCCGTAACAACTCTCCCCTTTGTCTTGTGCTGCTGGATGCTCCCAGAGACACCCTTCTGGCTGCTCACAGAGGGAAGATACGAAGAAGCACAAAAAGTAATTAATGTAATGGCAAGATGGAATAAAGTAAGCACTCCTTGTAAAATTTCTGAACTGTGTCCCGTCCAAGATGATCTAGTCAGTAGCAGAACGGGTGATAATGACATTTCTCCCGTGAAGAAGCACAACATCTTAGATCTGTTTCATAACTGGCACATTGCAAGAAGGACCATTACAGTCTGGCTGATTTGGTTCACTGGGAGTTTAGGATATTATGTGTTCTCCCTCAGTTCCGTGAACCTTGGAGGCAATGAATATTTAAATCTATTTCTCATAGGTAAATATTGTTTGATGTAACTTACTGTACTTGTAACAGAAATGCAACCAACTTTTTAAAAATAAATGTCTAGTGATTGTCGCCACCACCAGTGAACTTCCAAACTCAGGCCCTGTTCATACACACATGCAAATTATAATGTGAGGGCCATTTCACAGGCAGATGATTTTCAGGGTAATACTGTCATGTTTCAAGCAGGGCTGTGGTTATGGGAATGGGAACCTGGCCCTCTCAGGGATATTCCAGCTAAATGTTCAGCTTTCATCAAGTTTCTAGCCTTTTACTTTTAGAGACGCAAAGAAACATGTACAAGGAGCATTGTTGTTCACTAAGATATAATACTGTCAAACGTAAAACATGTTAGGCTATAGTCTGCCTGTATGAATGTTCTGGCTGTTCTGCAAAGCTTCTCTGTCCCTTTAGGCCTCTCACTACAGAATTTCTTACTATGGGATTGGTTTCAAGTGGCTACTATTCACATGAATTATTTGGCTTTCACTTAAGGTTAGTTCACAGCAGTGGTGGCTAACCTGTAGCCCCAGCCAGCATGGCCTATGGCCAGGGATCGTGTGAATTGCAGTTCAGTAATATCTGAAGAGCTACAGTTTAGCCACTCCTGGTTTACATGAATGTGGTTTAGAAATGCTGGCCAAAAAATGAGAATCAAGTATGCATGCTTCTCCCACTGTACACATTACCTGGTGTGCTATGAGGATGCAGGTGCATACTTCTGTATGCATGTCCTCAAATCCTTGCACATCCACAAAGAGGGGAAAGAATGCTGGAATCAAGCGTATGCACATGTACTCTGTGCCACATGTTGAGTTGTGCATGCAGTGCATTGTACTGATGCCTCACTACACAAATAAGATTACCTGCTGGAAATTGCATGATCAGATGCTTGGAGTCAGATGCTTCTGTGCTGTGCAGCAATAACATAGCCTAGAACCAAGTGCAGGGCTCCCAATGCTGAATCCAGAGAACATTTTTGTCTCTTTATTTTGGCAGCGGGAGTTGACCCCAACATCTGACCAGGAGCCATTGTTACAACAGCACCAAAACTGTGGAAGAGCTGCTATGCAATGCAGAAGTACCATGCAAGGTTTTCCTTCAGGCCTGGCAGGGTACAGGTCTGGCTTCAGCCTAGCAGCAGATGACTTGGTGGGGTGGAGATGCTTACCTGATCTCTTGGCAGGTGAATTGCAGCTGCTTACTGGGTGGGAAAGAGCTAACGTGGCAGGGAGGGCAGCACAATGCAAACACAGCAGCAGGAGCAGCAGCAGGTCGGCTCTGCCTTTGCGTTGAGCGTGCTGCCCTCCCCACCACCTCACCTTTTTTAAGCAGCAGGGACTCACCTGCCAAGAGGTCAAGTCAGCATCTCTGCCCCACCATGCCACCTGCTATAGCTATAGCCACTAGGAGAGTATCCTAATAGTCCTCGGGCCATTTAATGCTGTTGCAGATGTTTATGCAGGCAGACAGGAAGTAGCACTTGGAACCCAGAAGGGTTGTGGGAACAGAGGTGGCCACCCCTCCCTCACCTGCCTTGCCTAGAAAGGCTGCTGTAGCTGTATGCAGCACAAATGCCTCTGTGCCACAACATCGAAGCTGTGGATGGGGCTGGGCTGTTCTTTCTCACAAACTAGCATCATCCGTTGACATTTTTGAGGATGTGCGTAAGATAAGGTGCTAGTATTCCATTTTGTTTAGCAGCAGTGTATTGCCAGTGGATTGATATTGTTACAAAAGTGAATTTTTCTGTAATCGTGAAGACATTTATCAGCTGCTGACCACTTAAGGCATGGTTCAGCCGAATTGGAGCCGTGCTGCTGATTTCAGCGGGAGACTTAAAACATACGCTTAAATCTCTTCCATTTTTATCAATGACATTGTACAGTATTTCAGTTTGATGGGATTGTGCCCGTTATTTCAATATATTTAGTGTCAGGATGTTAGTCATATGAGCTCCAGTTAACTGGCAATCCTAAGGGCCTTTTCACCCTATGCATGCCTGTGTCACAATAAGTCTTTAAAGTGCCACAGAGCAAAGAACTCTTTTTTTATTTCAGCTTTTTGACATAGTACTGCAGGAGCCATTTTAGGTATCCTTTTGACACCTGGGGAAAGTTGTTTTGTAACAGCCTTTGTTTCTGCAGATCATTTTCCCCAAGTGGCAAGTGTATTTCATATTCAGTACCTCGCAGTATTCTAGGCTGCCCTGTTGCCATCGCCATATTGCAAATCGGGATGGCTGAGGCATAAGGGGAGGGGCAGGCTAAGGCCACACTGGAGAGAAAATAAAAATCATGAGAAGCAGCAGTCTAGCCATGTCTTTATGTATCTAACACATTTTTAAAATGTGAATTACCTGATGCTAGGTGCTGTGGAGCTTCCTGCCTATGTCCTGGCTTGCATAGGAATGGACAAACTGGGACGAAGGAACACCTTGATCCCATTCCTCATCTCGAGTGCAGTGATCTGCGCTCTAGTCATGGTGATACCTCAGGTGAGTCATTCACACCTGCATCAGATGTATATAAACATGCTGTGGGTCTGGTACTAATGTAGCATCCTGAGCAAGGCAAGAGGATCTATGCAGGAGAGCCAATGTGGTGTAGTGGTTAAGAGCGGTAGTCTCGTAATCTAGGGAACCGGGTTCGCGTCTCTGCTCCTCCACATGCAGCTGCTGGGTGACCTTGGGCTAGTCACACTTCTTTGAAGTCTCTCAGCCCCACTCACCTCACAGAGTGTTTGTTGTGAGGGAGGAAGGGAAAGGAGAATGTTAGCCGCTTTGAGACTCCTGAAGGGGAGTGAAAGGCGGGATATCAAATCCAAACTCTTCTTCTTCTTCTTCTTCTTCTTCTTCTTCTTCTTCTTCTTCTTCAGGGCATGTGTCAGTTTCAGCCATATATGCATTATATAGTTAAAGCAGTATCACATCGTTTTAAATAGTCCTGGCTTTCCATGAAGAATCCTGGGAACGGTGGTTTTTAAAGATGCTGAGGATTATTGGGAGACGCCTGTTCCACTCACAAAGCTACAGTTCTCAGAGTGGTTTAATAGTCCATTCCTCTTCCGAGAGAACTCTGGGATGGTAGCTTTGTTAGGGAAAACAGGGGTCTTCTAACATCCTTAACAAACTTTGGTTCCCATGATTGTTGAAAGTCTCATGGTACTTCTTTAAATGTATAGTACAGATGGAGTCTAAGGGCAGGGTTCACCTAATGAACCCTACCAACAGAAGCCCAGTGCAGGGGTTTCTGCCTGTGCAACAGGGTTCCCCCACTCTCCTCCCCCTGTGCACTCCCCCAAATTGGCTCCTGGGGACTGAGAAGACTCCCAGGATAGCAGAGGATAAGAAAATGGGATATCATTCTATCTGGCAAGCAGATACATGTGCACAGATGGAACATCTGTAACAGTGTGACGTTGAATTCCACCCAAGGTTTTTGAATTGCTGCCAGCTTGAATTACTGCATCAGAATGCTATGGAAGAATATTACCCCAGTTCCACCCCCATTCCATCTCCTCTTGGCAAGTTTTGGGATACATGAGGCCACATTTGGCAATAGCGGCTCTTGTCAACGTTGCAGCAATTATGGGACCTTGGGTTGACAGAGAGGGTTGTTACTGAAACTAATTGTAGATCATAGCTGATGCCATGGCTTAAAGAAATAGGCCATAAATTCCAGAAATACTGACAATATTCCATCTGTAAAACTAGTAACTTGCTGATCTAGCAACCTTTTCCAAAATGTGAGTGTTTACATGCTTAGATGGAACTTAAGAAAGGAAACTGCAGCCTTTGGGCCTGCAATAGTAGTAAAAAAATACTGTCCAGTCATGATTAAGTGCAGAGATGGAATTAATTACTTGGTAAAGGAAACCAAACCATTGTCTGCTCTGAACAGTGCAGTAGGGGTTCCTGAATGTTTACAAAATAGCAAGGCTTTTATGAACTGAGTTCTGGAACATAAGTCCCTCAGTAACCCTCAGTGAATTCATGCTCCCTATGCTGTTATAAAATATGTTTCCTCTTAACAGGATTACAGTGTTCTAGTTATTGCAGCAAATATGGCTGGAAAGTTTGCAATAGGTGTTGCATTCGGCCTTATCTACCTGTATACTGCAGAGCTATATCCAACAGTTGCACGGTAAGGCAAAACTCTTTACCCCTTAAGAATTAGAATTGTATCCTGCAGCTTTTCTCTGTGAAAATATCTTCTGCTTATAACACTATCAATTGAAATTGGACTTTTTGTTTACTGTTCAGGACCCTTGCAGTGGGCAGTGGGAGCATGATGTGCCGGGTAGGGAGCGTGGTAGCCCCTTTCTGTGTTTACCTGTCAAGTGTTTGGATCTTTATGCCACAGGTAAATCCTTTGTTTTAACAGCTTCATCAAACTTGACAATGCCAGTAATGTACTAGATGGCCAGGTGTGAGAACAGCCAGTAGTTGAGGCCTGGAACAAACAAATATCAGCACTGCAGCCCCTTTGAAAATGACTTGAGCATATCCACAATGGACCAGTTCACATATGATGCTAAGCCAAACTAATGCTAAGCTTGAAGTTACAAGCCTGTAGGTACTCAAAATTAAAACCGTGGCCATTTCAGTCCTCCCTGTCATCCTGCTGCTGCCTCATCCAGAGCTAAGCTATGGTTTGAATTACAACACTCCTCAGTGGTAGGGCTCCCCTACTGATGGCAGAGCCAAGCAGAGCTGGGAGGGGGGCTCTATCCAACCCCCTTGAGCGCAACTTGGGGGGTTGGGTTGCTCTGCAACTTCATCTGTGTCATTGTTAACAATAGTAAATAAAACCTCTTGTTTTGCTTTTCATGCAGTTAGCTTCTCTCACTTACATGTCCTGTTTTCTTTTAGCTGATTGTAGGAGTCATGGCCTTCCTGAGTGGAGTGCTAACCCTGATGCTACCAGAAACACTTGGGAAGCCATTGACAAATACATGGGCAGAACTCAATGAGCATATGAAAAAAGACAGTGGCTCAGAAAAGTATCTCCCAGCATCTCAGGATGGTGCAGCACGGGATAAGATTGAGATGCTGAACCAAGAGGCACACGGATAAGATTTTTTTAAAAAGCTATTATTTGCTGTATTGTGCTCCTTCGTTTGCAATATCCACTGGTTAGTACATGTTCCTTGTAATCTGTACACCCTCTTGCCCTCTCATCATGGAGACAATAATTAGAGCTTGAAGAACATATCTTGAAGCTGTTCTGAAGCACCTTGTTAACATATGAAGTGAGTAATGCTAATTCAAAGAAATATGTTTTTCTGATACTGATTTTAAAAGGCCACCTCTAGTTTCTTTCTCAGATTTCCTGCTGCATTCATTGTCACTTCAAAATCCCCTGTCAATAACGTTTGAATTGCCAAGTGCAAGCACAACAAATCATGAATTGGTATTGTTACGTTCTCGGACATTTAGACAATGTTTACATAGGAGGAAAACTCTCAAATAATTGTAGTTATTTCTTAATAAATGGAACATGCCAATCTAGGTTTTCTAAGCTTTTGTCTCATTTCTTAGCAATGCCATCCCTTTAAAAGGAGAAGCCAGCCCATGGCCTCTAATGGAGACAGTCAACATTTGTAAGTTGCATAGACAGTATGCATGCTCATTGAATGTTAAAGGAATTATGTGTGACCGGAACAAAATATTGGTAGCTGTCTGTAGCAATGTCTCTGCAACACAGATAAAATCAGGTTGTCTTAAAAATTGGAGGGCCATTTTTATTTCATTCCTTTTCATTCCTTCCCTTTATTTCAGTTGCAATCTTTAACTCTTTCAATCTTTAACAGGGCTCTTCAAGGGGGGAGAGAATTGGCATGAAACTAATGTGTGTACATGCCCTGTGACTTTTACCGTAGATTCCGGCATATAAGACGACTTTTTAACCCCAGAAAAGAGGTTAAAAAGTTGTGGATCGTCTTATACGTCGGGTATGGAGCCCGCCCACTGCTGCTGCCGCAGCTTCCGCAGTAGCAGCAGCAGGCGGCGGGCTCCGCTCCGCGCTGGGAGGAAGCTGCCCAGCGATGTTAAGCTGGCTTCGCTGGGCGGCTTCCTCCTGGCGCGGAGCTGCCCAGCGTATTAGGCGACTGGGCTTATAAGACGAACCCCCAAATTGGCAGCTGCCAGTTTGGGGGGTCATCTAATACGCCCAGTCGCCTAATAAGCCGAAATCTACGGTACAAACCTGAGGATAATCCAAGATACATTTTCACTCAGCTCGTATAAGTCTCATCATCTTAAGTGTGCTGTAAGAATAAAATGTCTTGGTATGCCTGAAGGCCAGAAAAATCTGCGAACAAAACTACAGAAGGATATTGTATACAGAATATTGGCTGCAAATAGCTCTTTGGGGGCAAATAACAGTTCTGTGGCCAATTGTCAGTGTGAAAATGGCATAAGGGAAAGAGTTAACCATTGTCCCAATCTGGAAAGGCCCTCCCTCATTGCTGCTTTTTTATTAATAAAGAGAAATGATAGCTCTTAAGCTTGCTAATTTCTTTTTAAAATGGTTAAAGTAACATGTAGTTTTGACCCTGGAGAGTTTCTTTACCACCCTCAGTTAAAACTAAGGACATGTGCTTGACTACTTTGCAGAGCAGAGGCTGGGGTCACCAGGCCACAGGTCTTTTGCTGGATGTGTTCTACATATGCATATGTTTATACATACTAGGCTTTTAAAAAATATATGTGTTGAGTCTTCAGAACAAAGCTTTTTGGCTATTCTTCAATCATTTATCTTACATTTACCCCTGCAGCTCTCTCACAATTAATTTCTGTTCCTGTTGGAAATGCAACTTTCCCAGCCATTTTGTGATGGGATTATGAGCTGCTTGTGCGTAAAATCGTATTCCCTCAGAGTTTGTTCAAGTCCACAAACCTCTGTCTGTGACTGAGCCCCTCTGACATGGCTCCTCTTAGTCACTAGAAGATTCCGACAGTGGTTGCTTTCGTAATCGCTTCCAACATAAAAGCTCCTTAACGGAAACACGTCTTCTGGACTCTCTGCGTGACAGTTTCCGGCGAGGAGTGGGTGTCGCTACAGGAGGTCCGGAAACCTCACCACTGTTTTCGCTGGAAGTATCTCTGAGCCATCCCCCAGCTCCCTTTCCCTCAGTTCAGCTTGTCTCCCCTGCTGGTTTCCTCTTCCGCTGCTGAGTCTCTTCCAACCTGTCTGAGCCCTTTCACCTCCCTCAGTTCAGCTTCTCTCCCTTGCTGGTTCCCTCTTCAGCTGCTGAATCTCTTCCAACCTGTCTGAGTCCTTTCACCTCCCTTCCTTCCGATGGCAGTTCCCTGACATCCACCTCCCCTCCAGGGCCCCCTTCACCCCCTCTCGCCCCTCCTCTACGGGCGGTGAGGAGGCAAAACCCCGGAATGAACTTCCTTCATCTTCCGATGTCTCGAACACTTCTCTCCACCTGTTGCGGTTCCTGGTCTCAAGCACTCCTCCTCCTCCGAGTCCATCTCCCTTCCCCTTCCGATTCTGGGAATCCTTCCAACTCCTCCTCCTCCTCAGTGGTCCCAAAGTATTCCCTCCGGAACCTCTCCACAGGCTGAGGTTTCCGCGGGAACCTTTGATGGAACATTTCTATCAATACCTCGTCATTGATATCTTTGGCCATTACCCACGTGTTTTCTGACTCCGGTTCTCCTTCCCACGCTACCAAATACTCCACCTGATTCCCCTTCCACCTGGCATCAAGGATTTCTGCCACATGACTGCTGCATTCTCTTTCTTCTATGACCGGTCCCCGAGTGTCCATCCCTTCTCGTCCCCCCTCGTACGGTGACAGTAACGACCTGTGAAATACTGGGTGCAGTTTCATGTGGTTGGGTAACCGGAGCCTGAAAGCCACTGGGTTGACCTGTTGAATGACCTCAAAGGGACCCAACCTCCTGGGTCGTAATTTCTACAACCTCCTTTGAACGGCAACCCTCGGGTTGACAGCCACACCCTATCTCCAACCCTTATGGTTTCACCTTCCCTTCGGTTCTTGTCTGCCTGCCTCTTGTATTCTTCCTTCGCCCTTTCTAAGTTGAGTTGGAGCTGACGGTGGATTGCTTCCATTTCTTCTACAAAATGCTCGGCTGCCGGTACGCTCCATCTCTCCCCTTCTCCCCTGGGAAAGCCCTGGGATGACACCCATAATTAGCCAAGAAGGGGCTCATCCCTGTGGACACATTCTCGGCATTGTTGTAGGCAAATTCCGCCAGCGCCAACTTTTCTACCCAGTCATTCTCTCTGTCATTGACATAACACCTCAGGTATTGCTGGAGGACACCGCTTGCTCTTTCCGCCTGCCCGTTGGTTTCAGGGTGCCGGGCAGTCGAAAAGTTGACCTCCACCTGCAGTAAGCTCATGAGCTTCCTCCAGAACCTGGAAGTAAATTGTTTTCCTCGGTCTGAGACCACCCTCAATGGCACCCCGTGCAACCTAAAAATGTGTTCTACAAATAACTTCGCTGTCTCTTCCGCCGTGACTGCATGCGAGCAAGCTACAAAGTGGCACATCTTTGTTAGTAGGTCTACCACCACCATGATGGCTGTTTTCCCTTTGGACTTCGGCAGATCAGTCATAAAATCTATCGACACTGCCTCCCAAGGTCGTTCTGGTGTTGGTAAGGGTTCTAACAGCCCCGCCGGCGCCCGCCTTTCCCTTTGGCTCGCTGGCACTGCTCGCACGCTCTTACTTACTCACGTACCTCCTCCCTCACCTTAGGCCACCAAACTTCCCTGGTGACCAACCACATGGTTTTGTGTTGCCCAAAATGCCCCGCCGTGGGGCTGTCATGCAACTGCTTGAGTACCCTCACCCTTAAGTCTCCTTCAGGGATATACAGTGCCCCTTTGTAATACAAAGCTCCATTTCTTTCCTCGAAACCCCTTGATTCCTCTCCCTCATCCCTAAGACCTCTGAGCTTATTCTGGGCGTATTCATCATTCTCTGTTTCTTCTACCAGTTCTCTTTGTCCCACCAATGCCGCCCCACACACCCAGCGGTCCTCTGGAATGACATGTCTCTCTTCGGGTGCTCCCCCCCCTCCCAATATTCAGGTTTGCGTGAGAGAGCGTCCGCCCTAATGTTCTCTGGGCCTGGCACGTAACAAATCTCAAAGTTAAATTTGGAGAATTCCTGGGCCCATCTCACTTGCCGTTGGTTGAGCACTCGTGCCGTCCTCCAATACTCTAGGTTCTTGTGGTCAGTGCACACTTGCACCTTATGTTGTGCGCCAATTAGCAGGTGCCTCCATCTCCGGAACGCCTCATGAATGGCTAGTAGTTCTCGGTCATACACCGTGTAGTTCCTCTCGGATTTGTTCAGCTTTCGCGAAAAAAGGCACACGGTCTCCACTCTGACTCCTCCTTCCCTGGCTGGAGAAGCACCGCCCCAACCGCTCTGTCTGATGCGTCAGTTTCCACTCTCATCGGTTTTTGTAAATCCACATGCAGGAGCTGTTGTTCCGAGGCGAAGGCCCTTTTAGTTCCTCAAATGCTTGCTCCGCCTCCTCCGTCCAAACGAACTTCTTCTTACTGCTGAGACAGTCCGTAATGGGCGCCGTCAGGTGGGCAAAGTTTGGGATGAACTTACGATAGAAGTTCCCAAACCCTAAAAACCTCTGCACATCCTTCCTTGTTTTGGGTGTTTTCCATTCCAGTACCGCCTGGACCTTGCCGGGATCCATGGCCAACCCCTTGTCAGACAGGCGATACCCCAGGAATTCCACCTCCTTGGTATGAAACTGACACTTCTCCAGTTTCACCCACAGCTGGTTGGCTTGCAGCCTGCTCAACACTTCTCTGACGTCTCTCACATGCTGCTCCTCATTCTCAGAATACACCAACACGTCGTCTAAGAAGGCCACACAATTCTTGTAAAGCAACGGCCCCAGGACGTGGTTCATAAACGATTGAAATGTTGCGGAGCCTGCTTGTAGACCGAAGGGCATAACTAAGTATTCAAATGCCCCTAAAGGGGTGAACATGGTGGTTTTCCATTCATCCCCCTTCCTTATTCGTATCAGGTTGTACGCCCCCTTAGATCCAGCTTGGTGAAAATCTTTCCCTTTCGCACCCTTGTCAAAATGTCGTCAATCCTGGGCATCGGGAAGGCCACTGGTTCTGACACTGCATTTAAGGCCCTGAAGTCACACACCAGTCTCGGCTTGTTCGTGTTTTTTTGTCCACAAAAACACTGGGCTGCCCCCACCGCCCTGGACTCTCTGATGAACCCTCTCTTCAGGTTCTTGTCAATGAACTCTCTTAGCTCCTGCATCTCTCTGTCTGACATGGCGTACAGCTTGCCCACAGGGAGCTGTGCCCCAGGGAGCAAATTGATTTGACAGTCAAAGGCTCTATGCGGTGGTAGTTGGTCAGCTTCCTTTCGATTAAGACGTCACGGAGATCTGCGTATTGTCGTGGTACCTTCACGTTCTCCTTCACTTCAGTCCCTGCTAGGGTGGCTTGGGCCCCTGCCAAAACCTTTCCCTCTTTGCAATGTTCTAAGCAATGTGCTGACCCAAAAGAAACCACTCTCTGATGCCAGCCCACCAGCGGATCATGTAACGCTAGCCAGCTCATCCCCAATATAATGGGAGCTCCTCCCAAGGTGGCCACATTAAAAGCTATCAGTTCAGTGTGCCTTGCCACCTTCATTATCATTGGGACGGTCTGCAAGCTGACTTCTCCTCCCAACAGCTCCCTGCCATCGATCGTGGTTACCTGCAGGGGTTGCTTAAAGGGAGCGTCTGTATCTGGTGTTCAGCTGCAAACTCTTTGCTCATGAAATTGCAGGAGCTGCCTGAGTCCAACAGCGCCTTTATCTTTAGAGGGTGTCCGTTTGGGAGCTCTAGTGTCACTTCTATCACTAGGGCGGGTTTAGGAGGTTCTGGAGTGGGCACTTTCACTGCTCTTTGGCCTGGCTGCTGTGCCCCGACAATGGCAGCCAGGCGTTGGCTTTTAGTTGCTCCGGTATTTTTCCTCTCTCCCTCCACAGCTCCCACCATCCCTTGCCATTCCTTCCTCTGGGGGCAGACTCTGGCAAAGTGCCCTGGCTGTTGGCAGAGATAGCATTTCCGGGCGCCTTTTCCATCCTTCTTTCCCCTCACTGGGCTTTGAAACTGGCGCGCGCGCGCTGTTCCGATTTCCATCGGCTCTGCCGGCGGGACAGTTGGCTCTGGAATGTCTGGAATGCGGAACTCCTTCCAACGTTCCCCTTCCCTTCCCGCCTCTCCAATGCTCTCGCCTCCTGGCGCGCTCCTATGGCCAGCGCTGATTTGGTCAGCTGGTCCATAGACTCCGCCCTGGGCGCCCGGGAAAGTTCATCTTTCACAGCCGAAGAAAGCCCTTCTTCAAAGAGCATTTGAATGGGTTCCGCCGATAAGTCCCACCCCAATCTGTGTATCAGCATGGTGAACTCAGTCCAGTACTCACGTACAGATCGGCTCCCCTGTTTGCAAGCCATTAACTGTCTGCGCACCACTCCCTTTTCAATATCGCTGGAAAACATCAGATCCATGGCGCGAAAGAACTTCATCGTGTCTTTTAAGACGTCACTATTCGCTGCCATCAGGGGTCTAACCCAGTCTCTCGCCCCCTTTTCAAGATGCCCAATCACAAAAGCCACGCGTGAGTCCGCATCAGGGAAATCATCAAACTGCAGATTGAGGGCAGATTGCATTTCTGTCCGAAAGCTATGATAGTCTTTGGGCTCCCCAAATTTTTGCACCAATCCTGGTACCTTTCTGGCGAGCTGGGTGGCTTTCTCCCTTTGTCTGCATCTTGAGCCCTCCTCTCCTCCAGCCTCGCCGTCTGCAGCGCCAGCTGGACCTCTAACACCCGGTACCTTTCTTCCAGGCTTGGACCCGCTCCAGCCCCTGCTTCTCCGGTTCCTGCTGGGTTGCTCATTATTATGCCGTCTCCTGCACAAGCTGCGTTCAAAGACTGTCGGAATGCTGTGATGGGATTATGAGCTGCTTGTGCGTAAAATCGTATTCCCTCAGAGTTTGTTCAAGTCCACAAACCTCTGTCTGTGACTGAGCCCTCTGACATGGCTCCTCTTAGTCACTAGAAGATTCCGACAGTGGTTGCTTTCGTAATCGCTTCCAACATAAAAGCTCCTTAACGGAAACACGTCTTCTGGACTCTCTGCGTGACAGTTTCCGGCGAGGAGTGGGTGTCGCTACAGGAGGTCCGGAAACCTCACCACTGTTTTCGCTGGAAGTATCTCTGAGCCATCCCCCAGCTCCCTTTCCCTCAGTTCAGCTTGTCTCCCCTGCTGGTTTCCTCTTCCGCTGCTGAGTCTCTTCCAACCTGTCTGAGCCCTTTCACCTCCCTCAGTTCAGCTTCTCTCCCCTTGCTGGTTCCCTCTTCAGCTGCTGAATCTCTTCCAACCTGTCTGAGTCCTTTCACCTCCCTTCCTTCCGATGGCAGTTCCCTGACACATTTTAACAAAGAAAACAGTTTGAGGGGAATCAGCTGCTACAATCTCAGCCTTTGGTTTCCACAATGATTCCCCTGTGGCTTCAGAGGGAAGGGCCTTGCCAACCCCCTTTTGTCTTCCTCCTCCTCTACCTCCCCACTTTTAACTTTCTCATGTGTTCAGATCTCTTTGGCCTCTCCCTTCCTCTTCCTCTGGCTCCCCAGCTGTGCCCTGTTGCTCTTTCCTTTCTTTGTAGTTTCATTTTCTCAGCAAAGCATCCTGGCACATCTGTCCCAAGTTTCAACAAGGCCACCTCCTGCCATCACATTCTGATCACCCATTCTAGAGGTACAGGAGTCCACCTCACAGGCTTTCAGCTTGCTAGCAACTCCTTCACATTCTGAACCTCTAGCAAATGCTTGCAAGCTTCTTGTTCATGGGTGTTTCACTGTGCAGGGAAGCAAGTGGACTAAGGTAAAGTTAGCAAAGAAGCAGAAACCCTTGTGTGAAACTGCAAAAGCTCGACTGTGCAAAATGTATGCTACAACATATTTCTGAGGCAGCATTAAAGGAAACACTTATTTCCTTGAACAACAACAGCAAACTCTAATATTGAGACCACTAGGCAGTGGTTCCTAATTAGCTAAGAAGAAGAAGAAGAGTTTGGATTTGATATCCCGCCTTATCACTACCCGAAGGAGTCTCAAAGCGGCTAACAATCTCCTTTCCCTTCCTCCCCCACAACAAACACTCTGTGAGGTGAGTGGGGCTGAGAGACTTAAAAGAAGTGTGACTGGCCCAAGGTCACCCAGCAGCTGCATGTGGAGGAGCGGAGACACGAACCCGGTTCCCCAGATTACAAGTCTACCGCTCTTAACCACTACACCACGCTGGTACCACGCTAAGTACTGCAGACCCCATTTTTTGAAAGCCAAGCTATGACACCCCCCCTTACTTTTGAAATTTTTGATATCTCTATGGTAGTTTTTGTTAGATGAATGGTACTACTGAACCCCTGGGTAGGTTATCCAGACTCCCTGGGGTCCACAGACCACCACTTGGGAACCACTGCCCTAGAGAATACAGTCATACCTCGGGTTAAATATGCTTAAGGTTGAGCGTTTTCAGGTTATGCTCCGTGGCGACCTGGAAGTAACGGAACGCGTTCCATGAGCAGACGCTCAAAATGATGTCACGCGCATGCACAGTAGTGGCAATCACGACCCGCACACGTGCAGACGCGCACTCGCGAGTTACGCTCTACTCAGGATGCAAACGGGGCTCTGGAACAGATCTCGTTCACATCCAGAGGTACCACTGTACTTTGACTTCCTACCCACCAACACCCCCTTCTCCCTCCCTGATTCTTGAACCCTCCTGACTCCAGTGATTGAGACTTGCCATTTCTCATATGCCCCATTTTGTCCATGTCAGCCCTTTCAAAGGCTAGGGGATAAAGACTGTGGTTCTGGAAAGGTGTGTGTGTAGGCCAACTATATACAGTTTCTTATTTTAACAACAGAAATCTTTGGCATCCTCAGTTATCCTTGGGTGCAACATGTATTGTCCTGCCTTGATACTTGGTACTTGGGCTGGACCTTAATAACAACAACAGTTTTATTATTTATATCCCACCCATCTGTCTGGGTTGCCCCTTCTAGATGTTGTACTACGACTCACATCATTTCTGACCATTGGCTCTGCTAGTTGAGGCAGATAGGAGTTGGAGTCCAACAATATCAGGAGGGTCATGGGTGCCCCTCCCTTGAAATAAATGTTTCACGACTGGCAGGGCAATTCATTTATGCCACCATGTGTTCTCAGCAGCAAAGGTGAAAGCCAAAGAACAGCAAGAAAAACAAGAGGCAGTGTAATAAAACAGACAATCCCTCATTGTTCTGAGCAACCCTGTTGCCATCCACCAATCATAATGTTGGTGGTGAATGACATCCCCACATTAGAAAAGCAATTAAGCCATTTATCAACATGTGATGATAAAATGCCCTGATTATGTCACTAAATGCAATGTTCACACCTCTCCCTATGCACAATGCATTACAGTAGTGTTAAGTCAGAAAGAAGTGCTCTCAGTGCTTCCCCCTGTAAAGACTACTGTGAGACAACCAGCAGGAAAGCACCAACATACACTGGCAGCCATAGGCTGCAGGCCTCCCCTCAGGCAAGGGGTGACCTTTCCCACCAACCCCAAAAACCAGGACTGACAAATATCACTTTTGGCAGGGAAAAAGATGGTCAGATAGCAAAGGAGGAAGTGCCATTTCAATCAGCAGCCAGACAACTCCATTTTGCAGTAGCCAATGTGTGTCTCTACTAACATCATGAGGATATCTTGTAACAGTGTGTGAAGAGGAGAGCTATGGTTTTTCCTGGAACACATGTTCTCTTTCACAAGATTGGGTTTCATAAGAATATGGATTTATGGAGTAGTGATGCCATCCAATAACTGAAAATATGGCAGTGAAATCAAGTGACAAACATCTTATGCCCTCAGAACCCAGATACTATTTTACTTATAGAAAATGAATGTGTTTGTTTTTTCTATGAAGGAACAGACATAAATGATTGTCCAATGTGTAAATCTATGTACCACTAACTGTGACCAGTGATAACATTGTGTTTTAAAAATTTATTTATAATTAACAATAAATTAACAAAATATGTCAGAGCAAGCTATGTATTTTAAGGGGGTTTTATAGTTTAAAAAATCCTGGTGGTGTTATATATCTATACATGCAGATATACAATAAGCTGAGCAGTTGCCTTATGCTGACTGTCAGATACAGAGCTGGCCCACCCATGATGTGAGGTGATGCACCCACCTCAGGTGGTGGAACTGAAAGAGGCAGTTCTCTTCCCACCCCACCGCTTCCACTACAGAGAGGGAGGCATTCTGGAGCACAACATTGCCACTTGTCTTCCCTGCCCCTGGGTGGAAAAGCCAAGTGAGTGGCAACTTCTGGAGGAACACCTCAGCTCTTGCTGAGTTCAGAGAGAACTGGAGCTTAGTGGCAGCAGAAGTGGGGCATGGTGGGAGGAACCAGGGGTTGGCAATTCCTGTTTATCCTCAGGTAGTGAAATGGGATAAGCTGTCCCTGCTCAGATAACTAGTCCATGCCTAGCCAAGCATTTTCTTCATGGGCTGCCAGCAGTTTCCAGACATTCCCATTCTCCAGCTCGCAGCAGTTCCTAGGCAGAGATCTCTAGGTGGAAAATTATGGAGACTGAACCTGAAACCTTATCCAGGCAATGAATGGGTGCTTCCAGGGGCTGCCTCCATACATCTGAAAAATCAGCAGCAGCTCTTAACATTCTACCTGCTATGGTACCGGTAAGTCACTGGGAAATATGAGGATTTGTTTTGACTGAAAACAAATTTACACATGTACTATGCAGCTAATTGCTTCCAAAGTGCAAAGTGATGATTTGACCATTGATGAAAGAGAGTGCCCGCATTGGATTCCCTTCCAACAAGAAATAAGGTATAAGGAAGGGCTTCCTACATTTCTGGAAAAGAGCTATTGCATACATAACCAAGGACCCAGATATATGGAGTATTAATTTGCTCTTCCCAGCTTCTGAGGAATCCTACATCTACACATGGCATAAACCTCTTTACCCACCTGGAACAGCCTTCATGTAAATAGTTGGCCCTAAAGATATAAAAATAAACATAAAATATATTCAATATAACCAGCAACTTGAAACATTCTGATCATAAAGCAAATATGAATTTTGGCCACGATCCAGCACAGTACTTAAATCTATGTTGCACTGTGACCATATGCGACACATCTAATCATATTGTATCATTTTGGCAAAAGACTGTACCAAATAATCATTTTCTGCACGTTGCATTTGCAACCATTAATTTTTTTTTAACTGCATGCTAATATGTTTTGTGACTCACTGCCAGCTTGGGAGAGACGGCAGTCCACAAACAATACAAATTATTAGGCTGCTCTCATTCAAAAGGAGATTCCCTCCAAAGGGGGGTTTCAGTCAAAGCCTCCTTCCATACGTTTGCTAGAAATGTCGAGTGGGGTGGCCATTTGGGTTGGCCCACTCATATATACAAACCTTTGGCAGAAGCTCTGATAGACATGTCTGAAGAGAGAAGCTTTAACAGATTTCCCTCTGAGAGGTAATGGAAACCTGAATGTAACAGCTACATCATACATTTAAAACACATGGCTGCACACCCGAATCTCGGGAACTGTAGTTTACTCCCCGCCTGGAGACTGACACACAAGAGCGTGAAACATTCCCTGGGTCCCTTGCAAACATAAGCCCTGGCACAATTATTCCAATTGCAACCATTATAATCCGGCCATAATAAACTGCCTCTGGTTTAATATTTCACCTTGCGACTCCTATTTTGACTTCGTTGCCCAGCATAGCTGTCAACTTTTCCCTTTTCTTACGAGGAATCCTATTCGGAAGAATGGAATTTCCCTTAAAAAAAGGGAAAAGTTGACAGCTATGTTGCTCAGTAGCACCAATTAAAATCATGCAACAAGACAACTGAAGCAGTCTCCCTTGAAGGGACCATGGACACTCCGCGACAGGGATCCAGTCGGACGAATCCAAAACACCAGCGGGAGACGCAAGGAGCGAGGCTCGGCGGGAGGGAGCACGAAACGGGCCACCCTCGAGCCCGTGAAGTCGCCGAAACCCGCCGCTGCTGACCAATCGGGAACGAGCAGAGCCGCCTTCTGGCGATTGCTCCGCCCTCCGAGCCTGCGTTTCCCCTCCGTCCCCTTCTAATGGTCGCGTCCGTGGCCTGGAAACCTTTGGAGGGGAAGCGCCACTTCGTCGGAAAGGGTCCGGATTCTTTTGAAAGGAAAGGTATTTTTTAGCCTCTCTCCCGCTGTTGTCCGGGGCTCGTCAGAACGAGCGGGAAAACCCGTGAACTCCTGTAGTCCGTCTATCCAAGTAAATGTAGAGCCATGTAGGAAATGTACGCTGTGAGCCTACATATTATTATAAAGCCGGTTCCTGGAGAAAGGAGAGGGCAGAGAACTTCGGGGATTTTTATTTTTTATTTTAATGCTATCCCACTTCATAGCTCTTGCTCTTATCCGCATTCTAAGCAGTTTGCTGAAAATACTGGCGCGTTTTTGACTGGTCAGAGATCATTTGTCAAATCGTGTTTTTTGCAGCGTTTCTGAACAGAAATTGAGCCCCGTTTAAAAGGGTGCTTCATAAACGGCAGGGGCTGGGACTAGTACAGTGAGGGGGGAAAGTATTTGATCCCCTGCTAAATTTTCCCGTTTGCCCCCTAACGAAGAAATGACCAGTCCATAATTTTAATGGTAGGTTTACTGTAGCTGTGAGAGACAGAATAACAACAGGAAAACCCCCAGAAACCCAGAAGACAAAAGTCAGAGACTGATGTGCATTAGAATGAGTGAAAGAAGTATTTGATCCCTTTGCAAAAGACGACTTAGTACTCGGGGGCAAAACCCTTGTTTCCTTATTTCCTCAGCCTACTGGACCATTGTAACCTCAAGAAGGGGTAGCAACGTTAAGTCTTTTGCAGCATAAGCAGCAAAGTCTTGTGGCACCTTGAAAGATTATCAGATTTAGAACTGCACAAACTTTCATGGACTGGAATCCACTGCAGCACACCTCTACAAAAGCTGACGTCATAATAAATATATTAGGCTTTAATATGCTGCAGGGTTCTTGTTATTTTTGGACCAGTATAAAACTGTGTGATATACTCCATAGCATTAGTGGACATAATTTTGCTGGACAGACCTTACTCAACCATGAAACCCACCAAATCTCAAGCCCAGTATACCATAATCTGACAGTAAAATGGGCTTGATCCCATGTATGCAGCCCTGAGTTCATTAGATGAAGCGTGCAGTACAAGTGTGAAAAACTTTTTTTTTAATCTTATTTCCTAATTTTATAAGGCATCGAATGTTCATGTTTTTCAGTGCCAAACATTTTACAGTACATATATTGAAATGTGTTTTGTTGATGGAGGTGTCTTCTCTGTTCTGTGGAAGGGCAGAAATATTTCCACTTTTGCAACTGCAACACACATATAAACAAACACAAAAATCTGTGCAGGTTTTTAAAAATAATGTGTAGGTAAATTGCAAAGTTGGTTCACCAAACTAAACAGCTAGAAACCTTTGGAAGTTGTTATTAGCTGCTATTTATATCATGCTTTGTATGGTGAACTGGTAGTTTAATTGTACACATTGTATGTCTGTTTCAGACATTTCCCCTTTTACCTCTATTCTGTGTGTTGGCCTTTGACTGCAAGCAGTAAACATTGGATCATATTAATTCATCATAAGAGTGGCTCTGTTGTGCATTCATTAGAATTGTTTTTTTGTTGGACTGGACAGGAGAGGGAGAGAGAGAGAGAAGAAAACGTGCAGATTAAAGAAATGGAATAGTGTAAACTCAGTTCATATTAGGAAAAAGTGTCAGAGCCCTTGCCTCTGATAAATTATGTATGCTCACTGGGAAGGTTGAATGACCCCCCTCTTCCTTAGTATATCTGTATTATAGAGAAAGCACAACATAGCTCTAAGGAGCATGGTGGCCTTCCCCAGCAAAAAAGAAAAAAGACACAAAATATCAGAATGTAATGGTAAGCAGGAATTCAATCTAAAATAAACCAGCACCTAAAACATGTTATGGAAGATTTAAACAAAGGAACCAGATCTACTAAAGTTTTCCTCATTTGATTTTTCAAAAGAACTGAAATGCTGGGGAGAACTGAAATGCCAAAATATTTTGAGAAAATATTGATCTCAATCATGCTGTTGCTGTTTCCTAGAAGGGAAAAAACAAAAACAAATACTTGTTCTTTCCATTGGTACTCTTTTATCAGAAATAAACTTTGGGGAATTATCAACCAAATTCTACTTGTCATGTGCAAAGTTCAAAGGAAGTTCAAAACCTAAGATGTTTTAAAGCAGGGTACGAAGGCCACTCTCTACTAGATTTTTTTTTAAAGTACTTGTTGATCCGTAAACTGTTCCAACATGAATGCCGTGGCTATCAAAGCAACAGGAGATTCGATGAATATGAATATGCTATGAATACAAAATCTCTGCATTCTGCCAGGACTGTCAAAGACACAATATATTGATGTTGCCCCATGCTTTGGGGTGACTTTCTCTTCTTCACAGATGGTATCTTTTGCAGACACTGTTTGCAGATGTGCAGTTGGACATTGTGCAGTTTCATGTTGACCTTTTGTTCCACTCAAAGGAATGACTGGCTAATTGGCTGTGTTTTAGTTTAGAGAAGAAATTGTGCTTGCTTGCATACTCCATCTTCTCTTTACTTTGTTATTTAAACAGTGGCAGAGCTGCTGTAGTTTTGAAAGGGCCTTCAGCAAAGTCCTCTCCAGTGGGTCCCAGTCTGCATTGTTACACCTCTGGCCAGGGCTTATCTTGCAGCGACAACAGTGAGCGACCCTTTTAAGTCCCTCCATAACCCTAGTGTACCATTGCTGTGAGGCATAGTAGGAAATTAAGAAGGCTGTCAGCCACTGTTAAGGAAGCCTGTAGCTGAGTAAAAAGGCATCCAGACTAATGGACCCTGCCAGGTGGCTGGGATCCAAGAAACTGCCCCAAAGTGCCAGGTGCTGTCAATGAAGCTGAACGGATACCTCTCAAGCTTTATTTCCAGAAGAACCTATTCAATCAAGTGCATGGGTGAGGTGCCCTATGCTAATCCCTCTTAAAATATCTATGGATTAAGAGCCCTCCATATCTTGTTCCACAATGGACAGATTTTTTTTAAAAAGTATTCTTAGATTATTATTTTTTAAAAATCGTTATATAAAAAATCCTTGTTTTGTCTTTAGAATTTTATTTTCACCCCCCCCTTTCTTCTTCCACTTCTCATAACAGAACATGGCCAAGGCAAAGATTGCAGTCATTGGTGCAGGGCTCATTGGCCTCTCTACTGCTGTTTGCATTTCGGAATCTGTCTCAGACTGCAGCGTAACTGTCATTGCTGACAGGTTTACCCCCAATACAACAAGTGATGTAGCTGCTGGGATGCTCATTCCTCATATTTACCCAGGTGAGTGGAATTTCCTTCCTAAGATGCAAAATGTAAATAGGCATAGATTTTTACGTTATGTATTTATTTGTTTTCCGTCCTTCTCCCTAAGGTCCCAGGGTGGGTTACAACATTAAAACACAATATTGAAAATGATTTTAAGCAACTCACAACAATAAAAATAAGGTGGGTCCTTAACATATATGCCTCAAGTGTTAAAAGCGAAGGTAATGATGATTTTCTGTGTTTACTATCAGCTCCCAAAACAGGCTTCAGAGAGGGGTAACTGTCATTTTCAGGGCTGATTCCATGACAAGTGGATCAGTGCACCACGAGCAACAAAACACTGAAGTGGTTGCTGTGAAATGAATGCTACTGTTGCCAAATTGAGGTGCTTGTACAGTTGATTCATAATTTACACACATTTAACTTGTGCAAATCCAGCTTTATGTACTTGGCCAAAAAGGATCCCTCCCACCATTGCACTCACCTTGGGAGCACGTTCAGAGATGCAGGGAGAGTATGTTTTATTCACGATTTTGGCTTTATGCATTATCCCTGGAACATAACCTCCACATATGTTTAGCATCAACTGTACGTCTCTCTCTCTCTTTACAGTAGTTCTATAAGGAGAAAAAGTAGCAAATCTAAAATATTACACATCGCACTTGCACCCACTCAATAAGCTACTAACATTCTTTGTAATATTGCCAGGCTAGGGTCATTCCAAAACTCCATCCAAAGAGTACACAGTGCCTGTCATAGTACCCCTATTGCTGCATGCAGACTCTTCCCTGTTCTGGACTCTGTATGTACACTTTGCTTCCAGGCAGAAATATTTGCATTGTTTATTTGGCCATGTTACATACATCATAGAAGCTGGAAAATATATCCGTTCAACTACGTATGAAGGTAGTCCATATTTTACAGGAAGAAGCAGCAATCACTTTGCAAGACTAGATTACAAATCAAACTACCATCAAGCTCCATTGTATTCTAGATGTTTCACTGAGTATGGAGAATAGAGATATGAAACTATAAATTTAAAACATCATTTAAAATGTGTTTTCTTTCTGCTGTGCAGACACACCGGACCATCAACAGAAGCAGTGGTTTAAGGAGACCTTTGACTACCTGTCAGTAATCTGTAATTCCTCAGAAGCTTCAGAGGCTGGGATTCATTTGGTCTCTGGGTAAATAAAGAAGGCTGTACTATGCTTACTAAAAGCAGAGGGATAGGCAAGCCTGTTGGCCAAGCAGAGTCCAAGGCACATAAAGCAGTGAAGGTCTGGACAGTGCCTGTGTGACTGTTTGGGTAGGAACCCAATGTACACTGACTTGAGGAAGAAAGGTGGGCTATAAATACAATAAACACATAAAAATGTATGCATTGGAATTGTAATCTATGGCCATGTTTTAGAAAGGGAGAGAGACAAAACCAATATGCGCTCATGAATTACTAGTATTACGGAATACTGTGTCCGGTTCTGGGCGCCACAATTTAAGATGGACATTTACAAGCTGGAACATGTGCAGAGGAGGGCATGATCAAGGGTCTGGAAACCAGGCCTTATGAGGAACAGCTGAAGGAGCTGGGTATGTTTAGCCTGAAAAAGAGGAGTCTGAGAGGAGATATGATAGCTGCCTTCAAATATCTAAAACGCTGTCACATGGAGCAGGTTGGTTTTCTCCTGCTCTGGAGGGTAAGTAGGACCTGAACCAATAGCTTCAAGATACAAGAAAGGAAATTCTGACCAAACATCAGGAAGAACTTTCTCACAGTAAGAGCTGTTCAACAGTGGCACTAACAAACTCCCTAGGGAGGCGGTAGACTCTCCTTCATTGGAGATTTTTAACAGGTTGGATGACCATGTGTCATGGATGCTTTACTTGAGATTCCTGCATTGCAGGGGGTTGAGCTAGATGACTCTTGAGGTCCCTTCCAACTCTATGATTCTATGATGATGATGATTATTTAAATTTCTATACCACCCTTCATCCGAATATCACAAGGTGGTTTGCAATATAAAAACATGAAAATACATACCATAATAACAAGCAAAAACAAATACTCCCCCCATGCAATTCTATGACAATAACATCCTAAATGGAACCCTTGGGACATGCTGTTCCCAGTGTGGTATTTATTCCACCCCGCCCCCCCCCCCACTGTCACATAAGCACATGTTTTGGTATCATGAATGAATGGTAAAAATTTATTTGGGACTGGTCTCCCAATGGCTATTCATCATGGTGGCTGTTTAACAGCTTTGTATTAAAAGCAGTAGAGCAACAGCAGGAGAGGACTGTTGCCACTAAGCCCAGCTTGTGGACTTTACAAAGGCCCTAGTTTGGTTATGGGGGGAAATACATCTTAGGAACAGGTGTAGCAGGAGCACGGAACTACCCCTCCCCCCAAAAACCCCCAACCACAATTATATGAAATAATTTTGTTCTTAGATAATGATTTTCCAAGAAATGTAACAGGACAGAATGGCTGTGTGTTTTACGTTCCTCCCCCCACCCCCTTTCATGTCTATGAGCTGGCAGATCTTTAAAACCATTCCTGAAGAGAAGCCTCCATTCTGGTCTGATGTGGTTCTGGGGTTTCGCTCGATGACTGAACAGGAAATGAAGAAATTTCCGCAGCACAAATGTGGTCAGGCCTTTACTACACTGAAGTGTGACTGCCCACCCTATTTGCTTTGGCTGGAGAAAAGGTATGAGTGTTTGAATGGACACCTTGCTATAACAAATGAAAGAATGGTCTTATTGGATAAGACCAAGATCCTTCTATCCGAGCATCCTACCTCCACCAGCAGCCAGACAGATGCCTCTGCATGCTCACAAGCAGAACGTGATGGTCCTTTGTCTGGTCAGGGATGATGGGGATTGTAGGACCACAGCTTCCCTGTCCCAGCTTTCAACACACTGTCATTTTCTTATTGTGGTGATGTGATGCAAAGTGAAACACAGACCAAATGTTAAGAAAGTGCTCCCTGGTTGTAATGCAATGGCACTTCTATTCTTACACCATGTTACAACATGGGCTAGCAGTTCTTGCTTCAAAGCAATCACACACTGAGTGCTCTTTATTCTTCCAGTGTGCTGTTTTGACATATGAGCAACCTCATGGGGAACTCATGCCTTGTCATGTTTCATTTTTTAAACAGTCCTGAAAGTGGTGCCGACGCTCAACTAAATTGCAGAATCCATTTAGTATCTGTCAGGCAGGCCTGTGGGCAAAGGCCTCTGCTGCCCCTCATTTCTGTCTTACACTCTTGTAATTTCCCAAAGGAGCTGCCTGATCCTCAGAGCGAGTCATTGGCACAAAACTCACTCAAATGAATGCTGTTTTGCTGATAGGCCCGTTTGAAGGATGGTGTCCAAGTAGCTGAAACAAATGATTAAGATTTCTTTCACTGAGAGGGTCAGAAGGAAGTGTCTATTAGATGTGTAATTTATTGTGTACCCTCAAGTGCCCTGAGCACTATTTATGGTGCTGTTCATCAAAAGATACAAAAAGAGAATCAATCATAAGCACTTGGCTGGAACCCACGAGCCACTTCTGTAGGCAAGAAGAGTTTTGATTGGGGCATGTCGGCTACTTTTCGACTGTCACAACAAACTTCAGAAACATTGAATTGGGAGTGACCTCAAAGCCACATCCAATTCAGGAGATGCAGCTGCAGCATAAATGATGAGCAGCCAGCCAGCCTCTTCTTCAGACCAAAGGAATTAAGAGTCTACCACCTTCTGATGCATTCAGTTCCACGGCAGCATAATTTTCAGCTGCATAAACATTGCAATAGCTAAACAAAAACCAACTAAAATGAAAAAAACCTGGGAAAACAAAAACATCTTTGCCTCACAGTAAAAGGATTGCCACTGAGAGGCGGCATGTCCCATGAACAACTGATTTGTTGAAGGCACAAGAGGGTCATGATTTTTTAAAAAAGAATTGTGCCCACCTGTGACGATGCATTGGTGCGGCACAGACAAGTGAGATTTCAGCATAAACCGAGGGCCAACTTAATGTCCATCAGCTCTTGTATCCTGCTTTAGCCTGACGCTGGGATGCATTATTTTCTGGTAGAGGTAGATGGGAAATGTGCGTTTGCTTTTTCAAGGATGGGCACAATGAGCAGTTTCCTGTAATTTTGATCTATGTGGGTTTCTGTGTCCTTTTATTACCAGCCTAGCACATGTGTTTGCAACGGAACAGATGTTTTGTAAGAGCACAAAACACCCCTGGGAAATGCAGCCTCCCTCAAAGCTCTGTTCTCTGACTTTGTTCAGTGCATTTTTGATGATGATGATGATGATTTATAGTGTTTATAACCCGCACTTCAACCGGCAGGTTCACAGGCGGTGCACAATGTTATATTGATACTTTAATGTCAAGCAAAACCAATAACGATAATAAAAGCAATCAATCCATCTGCTGAAGATCAATTCATTCGCTCCAAAGACCTGAAGAAAAAAGTACGCATCCTTATGTGATGGCGGGAGGCTGGTGATGGGGGGTGGGAAGCTTTATCTTCCATGGGAGAGAGTTCCACAGTTGCAGGGTCACAAGAGAGAAGGTTTTGTTCTGTGCCATCATACCATGAACCACCACTGTCAATAGAGCTGCAGGCAGGGCCTTTCATATAAATCTTAAGGCCTGGGCTGGCAGATGGTGAGAGAGGAGCTCCTTCAAATTCTTGAGTCTCAATCTGTATAGGTCTTTACACAGCACCACCACCACCTCACTCTGGGCAAACAGAGAGCAAACAGGCAGGCAGTGCAGCTCAGCCTCTTATGTAATACAGACTCGGAATTAAAACACAGAGGAGTGAGAATCATCGGTAGGATTGTGCAGGCAAGCTTCTGCTTTAAGTAGCAGAAGCTTCCACAGTGGGTTAAAAAAACCAGAAAAACTTCTGTTTTTCTGAACAGCAATCTCCAGCACCAAATCACGAACAGCTCTGAAAGTCTCCTCAGTTCCATGATTGACATGTGAATTGGTGGGCAACTGTGCGAGAAACAGAAGTCTAAAGTTCTTGTGGGTGCACAAAACTAATTGCATGATACTTTGGATCTTGACTCAGCATTTTTCCTGATCCCTGGAAAAACTGCTCTTTGCCGGAGAATGAAGGAGATCACCTAACCTGTGATTAGTTGTACGTTTCCCACTTGTTCAGTCCTTTGTTATTCTTTACAAATTGCATATTTTTCCTGCTTAGATTGTCGAGAGTCATCGGGACTTACCAAAACACACACACAGCAGCCACACTTTTTTGATTTTTGTTCCACTAACTTTACATAAATGAAGAAGTGTGTATCTGAAGAAGTGTGCATGCACATGAAAGCTTATACCAAGAACAAACTTAGTTGGTCTCTAAGGTGCTACTGGACATTTATTATTATTATTTTATATATTTCGACCATCAGACCAACACGGCTACCTACCTGAATCTTTACATAAATGAGATATTCTACAATTTGAATGGATACTTTATCTCTTGACTGAACTGGTGGCTATGAACTGATAGCTGAAGGAGATAGGATATACTCAGCAATGTCTATAAATGCATGCTTTAATTTTAACTGTTAATTAATTTTATTATTTACACCCCGCCCATCTGGCTGGGTTTCTTCAGTCACTCTGGGCGGCTCCCAACAGAACACTAAAAACAGAATAAAACTTCAAATATTAAAAACTTCCCTAAACAAATGGATCCCATTTGACTTGTGTACACTTCTGTTCCATAAGGTTTTTCAATCTCTTCACTGGTTTTTCTTCTCAACAGTTTCTTTTTTAAAAAAGTAGGATGAGATTATCTGGATTGCATATTGGAACCTTTCTGTTTTTTTCTTTACATCTTTCTATTTCACACTAGTCAAAGACCATCTAAATTATCTTATATCCTTGGCCCGCATAACAGTCAGGCAAAACATTCACACTGATAGATAATGATTTCACCTCTTGATTCTTTTTTCTTTGCAGGCTGAAAAGAAATGGGGGCCAGGTGCATGCTAGAAAAATCAGAGACCTATGGGAGCTCCGGAATGACTATGACATCATAGTGAATTGCTCTGGCATTGGCTCCAGGAAGCTCGTGGGTGACCTCGAGATACACCCCGTCAGAGGTCAGGTTCTCAAGGTCAAGGCCCCTTGGGTAACACATTTCATTCGGGACGGCGATGGATTAACCTACATCTACCCAGGGATACACAACATAACGTTAGGTGGGACACGGCAAAAAGGCAACTGGAAGCTGTCTCCAGATCCCAGTATCAGCAAAGACATACTTGGCCGATGTTGTGCTCTTGAGCCATCCCTTCAGGCAGCTCAGGATATAAAGGTGAGGGTGGGCCTGAGGCCATCCAGGTCAGCCGTGAGAGTCCAGAAAGAGATACTGGTTCGAGGCAGTGGAAAGCTTCTGGTGGTGCACAATTATGGACATGGGGGCGGTGGATTTTCCGTGCACCAGGGTACAGCTAAGGAAGCAACCCAGCTGGTTAAAGAGTGCATTGCAGCCCTTGAAATGTCAAGGCATAAGCCAAAACTGTAGCCTGTAAAGTGAACGTTCATATTCTCATTTCTCTCTCTCTCTCTAAGTAATTACTGATATAAATTGGATTAGTGTGTTAGTTCTGAAATCTGGTCAGGAAAAATGCCATTGGGTTGATTTACAGAGGCGTCTCTCTCTTGACAGCTGAGCACTTGATGGCCAGCAGGGGAATGTGAGAACTGGCTGAAAGGTGATGGGAGGAGAGGTTCTGTCTGCAGTGTTTAATCTGTAATGCAGTTGAATACAAAATATTATTGAGTCACCAACCCTTGCAAAAATGTCTGTTGTGCATCTCCAATTCGCCAGCAGAGGGCAGCATTGGATCAGTCGCTTATTTGAGCCCTATTCAAGTTGCTTGGGAATGGGGGCTGCTCTTTAAAAACCAGGGATGGCTTGGATGGTTCAGAAGCTGCAACACTGGCATTCCAAGAGTCTCCTGCAAGGCCCTCAGTTGGTCCAGGCCAGACTTCCCCTAATATTTCCCAGAGCAACCTGCTGTCACCACCTACTCCTTTACATAGAGGAATCAGATTTTCCCTTTATTGGCTGCAATTCAAAATCAGTATGCGGAGTGAGATCTGCTAACTTGGAATCCCCCAGACCAGAATACATTCATAAATTTAAAATTGGTATATAATTTTGGATGGAGCGCCATCCAAGCAAGTGGACTTTTAATATATAATAACAAAGAATTATGCTGTCATAACGTGGCATGCTTGTCTCTTCTCTTCAGCAGCTCTAACACCACTTTGACTCAGCTCACTGCTCTTCCTAGCACTCTGCTAATTCCTCTTCTGCGTCATTCTCCACTCTCCAATGATCTCTATCAATTGACTCCGCCTGTCACTCACTCTGACTCCACCCAGCACCCCATACCAGTTCCCTGCTGCCAATCATTCTTCCGCTCTTTCTTCTGTTCTGAACATCATCTTAATAAAGGATTTCCTCTGCAGAAGCCAATATACTGGTAAGAAGCACAGGGAGCAAGCCCCAGGGGGTTTATTCAGCACATACTTCGCTGTAATGAAGACCAGCCTCCCATTTATTTCAGTGGGGCTTGTGGGTTAAAAAAAAAAAGGCAAGGGGCAGACTTTGCCAATGTGATGGGTTGACTAATCGTCTCCTATTTTGAATGGGAAAAACTCTGCAGCTATTTCTTTTTAGTGCATGTCTTTGTTCATGATGGAAGCTTTCCCAATGATGACTATTTATTTATGAAATTTATATCCTGCACCTTCCTCCCAAGAAGCCCTGGGTGGCTATGCAAAAGCCTTCCTTTGTGAACACATGAGCAGCATCTGCTATCCTCGAACAAATGCTGTGTGTGGCCACAGTGCCAAAACATCATCCTTCATACTATAGAGCAGAGCCATATATCATAAGCTGCAGACCGTGAAGCTGCAGGCAGTTGTAGATTACAGTTGCCGTTATCTTTTATGTTACTAGCTTGTTGCACGATGCTGCCAAATTCCTGGGCTTTAATAGTCAGACCATTACGCTGCCTGTAACTCTTTACAAGTAGCTCTGAGCAAAACTGCTCACCTTTCCTGAATACAGAACAGCGCATTCCTCGCTACAGTCAACCCAGCAACATTTTCAGATGTTGCTGGTGCTGAGTAGCATTGCAGGCTGCCCAAGAGTTTGAAGTACAGCTTCAAGACAACGGGATGTAAGAAAGCAGCCTCAGCTAGCCCTGTGTCGGTTCATTTCATCCACTATACCTGCCAACTTGGAATCCCACTTGCTGCATCGCTAGAGATGGGAAGATAGCTGCTTCTCTCCCACTTCCTCAGTCATTCCTCAGTAATCCAGTTCCAGGCTCTGGGATGCAACCTGACCTGTGCCTGCACACACACATTTTGCTCTGGGGTATCCAACTGTCCAGGTGTTTTGAACTACGATTTCCATAAACCCCAGCTGAGATTATAGGAGTTGTAAACATCTGAAGCCTCTGTGCTGGCTATCCCCAATTTAGCTTCTTATGAGAAGCTTTCACTTTTTCCTTCTGCTCCCAAACTGTAAAGGTAAAGGGACCCCTGACAGTTAAGTCCAGTTGCGAACGAATCTGGGGTGCGGCGCTCATCTCGCTTTACTAGCTGCGGAAGCTGGCATTTGTCCGCTCCGCAGACAGTTTTTCCAGGTCATGTGGCTAGCATGACTAAGCCACTTCTGGCACAACAGAACAGGACACCAGCGCATGGAAATGCCATTTGCCTTCCTGCTGGAGTGGTACTTATTAATCTACTTGCACTTTGGAGGAGGGGCGTGCTTTCGAACTGCTAGGTTGGCAGGAGCTGGGACCGAGCAATGGGAGCTCACCCTGTTGCGGGGATTCAAACCGCCTACCTTCTGATTGGCAAGCCCAAGACTCAGTGGTTTAGACCACAGCGCCACCCACATCCCTCTTCCCAAACTGTAGGTTTCCTTTATAAACCATTTATAAATCTTACACATCTAAGTAAAGTATCAAGCCCTAAAGATTTCAGGGGAGAGTTAGGTCACCCCCAGACAGTATTTTGTGGGAGTGATTCAAGCTCATACCAGGGAATTGGAACAAATGCTCCATAATCCACCGTCTGCACAAGGATTGTGAAAGCAAATCAGGATGAATCGCTCAATAAGTTGACTGTCTGGAGGAGCCTATAAGCATTGCTGTGGAAACCAATTGGGATTTCAAAGTGCTTCTCTTTGGGATATATATCACATGTATTATTTGCGTTCCTGGCTTCTGTCGCTGTCATTTGGTTATCTTCTGTACTTTTACAGGGAGAAGAATATTGTTCCATGTTTCCAGTTCAATTTTGCCTTCAGATCTCTTTCAGAGAGATGAAAGGGGGAGCATTTGGGAAATCAGCAGGAATGCAATATGCTCACCTGAATGCAAGAGCAAATGCTGTTCCTCAGAGAATAGGCTCTGCTAAAAAAGACAATTACTATATTAAGTCACATTTTCATCTCACCCTTCTTCCAAGCTAGAAATTGGAATCCTCTGTCCCTCCAGGTGTTGTTGGACACCAACTCCCATCACCCCAGCCAGCACAGGTAGTTGTCAGGGCTGATGGGAGTTGTAGTCCAGCAACATCTGGAGAGTATCACATCAGGGTCCACATTCTTGCTTTCAGCCAATCAGGCTGCAGTTCTATGCACATGTACCAGTAAGGCCCACTGAACTCAGGTTCACTTATGAGCAGACATGCCTAAAATCACACTGCCAGAGTGGTGCTTGACTCTCACAAATACAAATCAGAGGCCAATTGTCTCAGAACATATGAACTAACAACACTTTAGGAGACACCTTGATAGCCCCAGCTCTTGGAAAGTCTTTCTTTGCACCACTGAATATTGATATTCTTAAAGCACAATCAAGGAAGTTGATCGGTTGATGTTCAGGGACAGAGAAGGGATTTCAGTTTAACTTCATTAAAATTTCATGTGAGATGAGAGCTAACACTTTGAATTAGTAGTCTCTGGTTTAGCAGATGGGGTTCTGCCTCCAGGGGGCAAAATTGGCAAGGCTTGTTAGGCACACCGAGAGATTCATTTAGGAAGGGAATAGAGACAAGCTTTTCTTGCATCCCACAAAAGGAAGAGGAACATATTCAACATGGATTTCGGCTCTCAGCTTTGCATTTTTTGCCAAACAACAGGAGAGGCAAGCTTGGATTGTAAGGTTAATTTAAGCAGTACTTTTTGTAGATTAGGCCAGAAGTTTTCAACCTTTTTGGGTCCAAGGCTCCCTTGAGCAACTACATTCTTTCTGCGGCACCCCTGTGGGGCTCAGGAGCCCAGTTATGTCACCCCTTGCTCGCAGAGCCAGCAGCCCCTCACCCCTTTTCAAACACTGGTTGAAAACCACTGGATTACACAGTTGAATCCCTCAGTCCACCATGTTTTAGAAAAAGTCTCCTAGTAATCATGGATTGCAGGGCTGAAACAGAGGTGTAAGGTCAAAATCAACACAAAGAAAGGAATTTACAATGCTTTCTCTAACTCTTAATTTGCTTTCCAAATGAAAAGCAGTAAGAAATATAAGAGAAGAGGCTTTCTTACTATGAAGGAAAAGCATTATTATTCCTTCAGATACCAACCTGTTTTCCTCCAGGGTGATGGTATAACATCATCTGCAACCATTCTGTGTCCTCCAACACATATTATTTAGATCCATTCCAATCTGGGTTTAGGCCTGGCCACAGAACTGAGTCAACCTTGGTTGCCCCGATGGATGACCTTTTCAGACAGCAAGACAAGACCTTGCTCCTCCTCCTTAATCTCTCGTCAGCATTTGATACCATCACCCATGATATCCTCCTAGACTGGCTCCAGGGAATGGGAATTGGGGACACTGTATTAACAGTGGTTCCAACCCTACATTCAGGACTGAGTCCAGAGTACAGCATTGGGAGAGTGCCTTTCAGCCCCCTGGTCGCTATGCTTACCTTATCTCTAGTGCTAGTGTTACTGGGCTGGAAAAGGCGGCATTCTGCTAATCTCATTCTATAGTATTAAAATGCTGGAAATTATCAGTAATAATAACAGGAAGTAGGTGCAAAAAAGAACGATAATAAATGACTTAGAAATAGAGTTCCCTCTGGCAGTATCTACTCAATATTATTTTTCTCCTTTTTATACAGTTGAGACTAATTGCTGGCCTGCTACAAGAATAGCCTTTGATATTTAGCCTCAGGGAGTGAAACATGCTTCCGAAGGCAGCCATGTCAATATTTAATCGTTAGATGTGATGCAAATGGGTGAGAAAATAAGGTTGCTCTGAGCCTTTGCATTCAAAATTAAAAATATTTCCAGCTGCAAATGTTAGGGGTGGGGGTGGGGACTTTGGGCATAGCTACCAATGTTTCAGAACGGGCAGATAACAGAATATGAGTTTAAACAGCCCTGAAGTTGGCTTCCAAAACAACCGCAAGTGAACATTACAGAATACGCTATAAAAGTAGAGCATCCAACTACAACAATCAAAACAGCAGGAGGAAAAATCAGAAAGC